TTCACACTGGTGAAAAACCTTATGAATGTAGTCACTGTGGAAAGTGTTTTAGTTTACCAGGAAATATGAAGAGACATGAAAGAGCCCACAATGGGGAAAAGCCTTTTGAATGTTCTCAGTGTGGCAAGTGTTTTAGTGCAACAGGACCCCTGAAGAAACATGAAAGAGTTCACACTGGAGAAAAACCTTATCATTGTCACCAATGTGGCAAGTGTTTTCATGGTTTAGAAAACCTTAGGAGGCATAAAAGACTTCATATTGGCAGAAAACCTTATGAATGTAAACATTGTGGAAAAAATTTTAGCCGATCAACACACCTAAAGAGTCATGAAAGAGTCCACACCGGGGAAAAGCCTTACGAATGTAAAGAGTGTGGCAAGTCTTTTCGCCATGAGGGAACCCTAAGGAGCCATAAAAAAGTCCATAATGGAGAAAAGCCACACGAATGTAAACAGTGTGGCAAGTGTTTCAGCGTACCAGAAAGACTGCGGAGACATGAAAGAGTCCACACAGGAGACAAGCCTTATGTATGTCAACACTGTGGCAAGTGTTTTAGTTCGGTGAGTAACCTTAGGAGGCACGAAAGAGTTCATACAAGAGATGGGCCTTATGAATGTAAACAATGTGGCAGGTGTTTTAGTGTAGCAGGAAGCTTAAAATCGCACGAAAGAGTCCATACAGGAGAAAAGCCTTATGAATGTAAACAATGTGGCAAGTGTTTTAGTGAAGTTGGAAATATGAGAAGACATGAAAGAGTCCACACTGGTGAAAAGCCATATGAATGCAAGCATTGTGGAAAGTGTTTCAGTGAAGCAGAACACCTAAGGAGACATCAAAGGGTTCATTTAAATGCAAAGTTGACTAAACTCCCAGGATATAAATGCAAAAGAACATCAAGTCAAAATGCCGATAACAGGTCTCTTAATCCCTCCAGAAGCAATAATTTCCCATCACAAGTTAGTTTACATAGAAATATTAGTCTCATTTATCCATCAGCACGTGAAAGTAAGTTTAAATCAAAACAGGTCATCATTGCAAAATACAGCTGTTGGATTTGTCAAGAGGAGATGTGTAGTGAAGCTCTTCTTCTTCAACACTACGAAGATCATATGAAAGATGTGTGTGAAGAAACATCGTAAATATTAAGTGACTATTGAAACAGGTGCTGTCAGTACAGTGTAAATGGGCCACTTCAAAAAGCAGCTATGCAGTTTTGGATAGTGGATTGTGTATAGTGAAATCCATGAGACATCAGACTCCATAGTGCATTTGCTCATAAATTATACATTAAACTCTCAAAATTTGGATAGAGTGAAAGTCTAAGCGGACATCCCCAGGTCGCGAAAAAGGTGTCCGTAACTGGAGCTGGCCGCTTACGGGAGTGTAAAAATATAGAGTTTTTATGGGAGTTGAGAAAAACGGGGTTTTGTGAAGGTGGCGGTAAGTAGAGTTGACCACCCACGCGAGTGTCCGTCTGGAAAGTAGCTTCTACTGCATTCATATAGCAGTGATAGCATATAATAATCATGGCTCAAAATGAATTCGGACTTTTGCCAGTCGTGTTGACTAGCCAAGGAAATTTTTAGTTCAGTCATTACGGTCTCTTTTACGGCTGGTCAAAATGTATAAAATATCGTAAAATTCCGAAAATACGCCCCTCCATGAGTAAGCCCCTCCAAATATAAGCCCCTCAAACTCGTACCGCAAAAACCCTCCGTTAAATCGCCCCTCCAAATATAAGCCCCTCGGGGGCTTGTACTTAGAAAATTTCCCTCAAATACAAAGTAAAACAAAGTAAAAACGGTAATTTTCCTTCCAACTATAAGGCTAGCCCAATCGATTTTGAAACGCAAATTTCCCTCCATAGATAAGCCCCTCCGAATATACGCCCCTCCAAAAATAAGTCCCGGGGCTTATTTTCAGATTTTTACGGTGACACCATAATGATTTAAAGTTTATAGCGTAAAAAGCAAAAACCGAAGTGAATCAGGATGCTTGTCTGCTTGTTTGTTGACCGGCCGTAATTATTTTAAATCATTTGAATTTTTTCCGAATGAGGCGGATTTTCCCAAGTAAGAGGGAAACTACATACACATAAGCGGTCAAAACTGGCTCCACTTCCCCTACAGGTTCGTTGTAGTGCTTTAATTATTCAATCTTTTGGCGAAACAAGTAGCCAGGTTACCAGTTTACTAAGGTGTCTTTTAAACTTCGTTGTGATTGCTATTTGTTTATTCGAAGCTCAAAGCGAGCTACATTTGCAAGTGTTTTAGTGCAACAGGACCCCTGAAGAAACATGAAAGAGTTCACACTGGAGAAAAACCTTATCATTGTCACCAATGTGGCAAGTGTTTTCATGGTTTAGAAAACCTTAGGAGGCATAAAAGACTTCATATTGGCAGAAAACCTTATGAATGTAAACATTGTGGAAAAAATTTTAGCCGATCAACACACCTAAAGAGTCATGAAAGAGTCCACACCGGGGAAAAGCCTTACGAATGTAAAGAGTGTGGCAAGTCTTTTCGCCATGAGGGAACCCTAAGGAGCCATAAAAAAGTCCATAATGTAGTTGTAGTGCTTTAATTATTCAATCTTTTGGCGAAACAAGTAGCCAGGTTACCAGTTTACTAAGGTGTCTTTTAAACTTCGTTGTGATTGCTATTTGTTTATTCGAAGCTCAAAGCGAGCTACATTTTTGGGTAACGATTATTAAACAATCTGTACTTTCATAGAAATGTTAACAAACATTAACTCGGAAATAGTTGAATGCACTTTTTAAGCATAAATAATGTTTTTGCTATAAGAAGCCAAATTTTAAACTTCTTTTTTCAATAAAAATGGTTTGAAGTCACGCACTGGTGTTATTTTTCTCTCCTACTGGATTTGGTGCCAATGGTGGACGATTCAGCGTATTGTACGAACACAATATAACGAGTACGTTACATTGCGTTGGTTATATTGAGGTTTTTTGTTCTACCAGTACCTAAATACATGTACTTGTTGGCTAAGTCTCGAGAAGACAACTAATCGTGATGTCACCGCCGCCCTGTTACTGCTCAGTTGGAAGAGTACCGGTCTGCTAAGCAGGAGGATGTAAATTCACTCCGCGGCTGGAGTGTCAGTAAAACGCGGAGCCGGGGTCGAGGTGTATTTTTTTTTTTAAATAAATGCTGTTGTATGTGTCGGGCTAGGATTTGGTTAGGGTTAGGATAAGGTTAGGGTTATCACGGTTAGGGTTAGTGTCAACCACAACCTTAACCCTAACCCTATCCCTAACCCCTAAAAAAAAAGATAGACCCCGATCCCAGCCCGGTCCCGCGTTTTACTGACACCCCCGCTGCCGGACCACCAACACAGGTCTGTAAAAGACTGGTGGAATCATGCTAGCTGTGATTAAAATCCTCTCTCAGTTCGTGACGTTAAGCGGTTGGTGTCTTACACATTAATGGAAAGATTACGCAAAAGACCTAGTGACATTGGTAGAGATTTAGTATCCCGTTTACGGTGAACGGCAAACGTTAGTTTGTAGAATGTGACCAAGTTTTCCCTTTACTCGATCTTCAATGTTAATTACCGTAAAATTCCTAAAATAAGCCCCTCCAAATACAAGCCCCCCAAACCGGTAACGCAAAAAACCCTCCGTTAAATCGTCCCTCCAAATATAAGCGTCCCGGGGGCTTATACCTGGAAAATTGCCCTCAAACACAAAGTAAAACAAAGCAAAATTGGGAAATCTACTTCCAACTATAAGGCTAGCCCAATCGATTTTGAAACCAAATTTCCCTCCGTAGATAAACCCCTCCGAATAAAAGCCCCTCCAAAAATAAGCCCCTCAAAAAGGGCCCTTGAAAAACATAAGCCCTGAGGCTTATTTGGGAATTTTACGGTATTTTTGAGGAAAAACAAGAAATTTTGGTAAGAATTATAGTTTTAGAGTGGAGGAAGTAGACCCCGGGGTCATGGTTCTGGGTGGGCGAGGTGAGATCAAACCTAAGGTGACCGCAAAGTGCGATTTTGCCTGATGACGTCCGATCTCACCTCTCTGGTCTTTCCAGAAATCAGCCACTGGCTACAAGAGAGAAAAACTGGCATCGTTTCGTTTCCTTTTCGAACTTCACTACACTTGGGTTTGATTTTTGGCATTAGCTTGGTATTAACTAAAATGACAATTCTTATTTTCAAAGATTGATTACCAACTTCAGTTGGTTTAGATTGTCTCTTCCGTGAATGAACTATAATCATCTGAGAGAAACTTCTTGCTTTACTTAGATTTGCTTTTACGATGTTAGCTCAATGAACTTTGACTGATCAACCAATTTCTTAGTCCAGTATTAGTTATTTGTGTTCCCTTTTTTCAAGTTGTGTTGTACGATGATCAAATAAATATGGGAATGGGGATGAAGTACTCCTCTAGTCACACTTTTGCCCCCCATAGACTCGCTTTTCGAGGGCCCGACACCCTCCAATCTCCATCCCCTGGAGTTAGGTTAGTCAGGAGGCCCACCTACCCTGAGAGAAGGCCCACCTACCTACTCTTCATCCACTGGGCGCGACATCCTCTTGGGCTGTAGGTTTATTTTGCTTGACACCCCAGGGGTTCATGGGATTTAGATATTAAATTTTTTATAAATTTTGAAATTGATTACTGAGCACTTTGTCAACCACTTCCCCATTTTCATGCAGCCACACAAAGTTGTTGTTGCCCTTACTGGGAAACAAGGGGAAGTTGATCAATAGTGCCATTAAGTAAAGGACTGATTTACACGACACTCGCTTCGACATAAAATCATGAGTGGCAACATGTCTATTTCGAAGCGTTCAACTGGAGAATTGTTGAGTAAATACAACTGAATCAATATAGATAAAATCTTAGAAATCATTAGAAAATCGGTGAAACGCAAGAAAATCCCTGTAAGAGAATAACAAAAGAATAAAAGTAAATAAAACAGGAACATAAAGAAAAGCAAACAAACGATTCATCAATTTATTGTATATTAGCGCCCGAGAATAATTAACGTCTATTAATTATTTTAATGGTTTATTTGAAAGTTGTTATTGACTTCACGTATCCACAATAATGAGTAGCGAATAGCGTTTTAATCCCTTCTACTGCTAGCTGACAAAACAGAAGTTTCGAACACCCAAGCAGTCAAGGTCATTAAAAAATAATTCGAACTGCAGGCTAAGTGCTTCCACTAGGAACAAATTCGTTGTCCAGCTGAGGATTTAGTTTGTCTCGCAGGTCGTCAGTGTTAAATGCATCACAGATTAATAAGAGAGAACTGAGTAAGCACAAATGTCACCAGACAAAAAAGCTTTATTTAGTGTATACTACATAGGCATGAGCTTGAAATGGGGTCTCTTCTGCAGACCAATCGTCCGGCAAGCTTTGTTTCATGCACCTAATAACTTACAAACTTACAACTCAAAGTGTTAGAGATCTTTGTTGACTTATCAGTCTGTCAAAAAACAAAAAAAAAAAAGGTTTGTACAGGTTATAACTCAAAAGAAGCAAACACGACCAAATTCAAGTCCAAACTCCTCATCTCTGTCTCCAATATCGAATACAGCCACATCAAGTATAGGAAGACGATGGGGTTTAGGCGTGTCTACCTCTACGATTGTGCGATGCCAGGCCCCGTCTTTTACCTAGTATTGAAATATATAGTTGAAACAGTTGGTTAGTCATTCAATTTTTCACCGCAATGCCTTTTGGAAACTTAATGGTAAAGAATCTGGACTAGTAACAACGTTATAGGCCCTTTGCAAAAGTTGGTGACGCGCTTGGCTAGCACTTAGTTCATTGGTTAAGAATCTTCACTGGTAATTAGGTTATACACCGTAGTTTCGTCTCCTGTGTTACTAACAAAACCAAACGCCATTCTCAAAAACTGGGCCATAACGCTTATATTTGAATGGCAATTCCTCTATATTTTCAAGTAAAGACTATATATTAGATGTAAAAATGCTATAAGGAAAAACTTCTTTCCGAGTACTTAGTTTGCATAATCACACAGTTATGTTAAACACGTTATCAAATGTTATTTGGGATTGGGATTGAGATTGGTTCCTCTGCGACTTGATATGACAGCAAAATATAAGGGGAATTAGGACGAATTACCCTTGAAATGAAAGGATTTTAGCGGATACATATTATTAACACTTTTGTTTCTGCGCGGTCGTACTATAAGACTCAATAAATTGATTTCCACTAACCAAACGTGTCGAAGAAGAACAAAAGCATCACAAACGGTTATAAATCAAACCTTACCATGCAATCATTTCGAACGAGCTTCGGCTTGAACTTGTTAGAAGACTTAGCGTGTAGTTCAAGCCCATTGACAGTCAGAAACTTGATGGATTTGGTGGCTTCATCTGATTTCTCATCAGGCCATGCTATTGAGTTTTTACAGTGATATGTGATCTGCTGTCTTGCGTGGTCACTTAACAATTGGAGGAATTCAAGTTGACTGGGATCTGATACATATTCCAGCTTTGAATGAAAAGATAAGGTAAAGTTAGTCTTATGAGGGAGGCTGTGCGGCCGAGTGGTTAGAGCGCTGGACTCGCAATACGGAGGCCCCGAATTCAAGTTCCGTCCTGGGCTGAGTTGCTCAAAGCATGGTTAGCTTTAACCATTGGTTAAGCAGTATCAAAACCAATACGTTGTCAAGGTATTAAACGCTGGTTAACGCTAACCATGCTTCGAGCAACTGGGCCCAGACCGCTAGCTGGATTTGTTCTCGGTAGTTCCAAGTTCAAGTCCTCGTTCACGCTTGTAAATAACCAATTGGTTTGCCTCCGGCCAGGTGGGATTCTTAACCCAGTTAAGTTTGATTTGAATCATTTGTTTAAGTCATTTACTCGGCCTCACTACTGGAAGGGCCCCATACCGGAAATCATGGGGTTACCTATTCTGAGAACGGACCTCTATAATTACAAGTTGTTATCTTTTGTCAAAAAAGGGAAATAATCTTGGAGGAGCGCTGGAAAATCGTTCCAAAAAAATTATCATATTACTGAAGTCTAAGTTTAAAATCGAATACTTTTGTACTAAAACATGACTGTACTTTATTTGAGTTTCACTGTATTTAGCACGATAGTACTGATTGAGGACACAATTATGTCTCCTATTAGAGACATGACTGCTATTTTACGTGGTCATCAGAGCCACGCCAAGGTCTAGCCGTTTGCATTGCAACGGCACGACCTTCCGCTCGGGCGTCAGGCGCTCAACCGACTGAGCTAATCCTGCCGCGATTGACGGCGGACGGTTTCTAGTAGCAGTAGGGAGCTTAAGCAACGACTACGGCGAAGGCTACGAAAACGTCACTTAATTGAATTCGAAGTGCTTTAAAAATTTCGCGCCTATTCCATCTCGTTTAATTCGTCAGATATTGGCAAATTTTGTCCGAGTGAATTCTGAGGGACTGTAGTTCAGGAAAAGAAAAAGAAAGTTGTTGTCTTGTGTTCACGTCCTCGAGAAAAATTATTTAACGTGAAATTAGGCACTTTCACGTTGCAGTCGTGCAACGACAGCTAAGAAATGAACAAAAAAGCGTGATGCACGTGCAAAGTTGTTGTTCTGCCGATCTAAACCAGTTGTTTTTTTGCTGTTCTCGTTGCCGTCGCCGTCGTCGTTGCTTAAGCTCCCTAATGTGTAAAATAAGCAAACACTGTAAGGTCATAAGTTAAACCACCAACCTTGGATAGTCCCAGCAGTTCCTTTCCTAGCCATTTGTAACCATCAGAACCACTGTACCACTTCTTTTGATCAGTCACATACGGCTGTGGAATTCAATAGAAAACTGATGAAGTCAGTACGCCCTTAAGTTCAAACCTAACTCTGATGTGCCAAATCAGAGGTCCGAGGAGTTCTTGTAGACTGCTTACGATTGCTACAAGTTATGATTCGTTATTTGTAGTTGTTATACTGAGTTAAAAACTTGGTCCTGTTTGGTTACTAAAAACAGACAAAAAGAAATGACTTCTTAACAGTAAGGAATCTGCAGTTATCACTAACCTGGCTTTCCTCTCCTGGATACAGACAGGAAGCGTTTGTATGAAATTCACAATAAACTTTGATGGCATCGTTAGTAATGCCTCCATTGGGATCAATCCAGTAGAGTCCTAAGATGAATAAACATTTCACCACTATATTAAAACGGTGCTGTGGTAAATGATGTACATTCCTATATTTTTGAAAGGGCCATCAACAATGGCTGCGACTGTACGTGAAAGTGAAACTAAACTTCAAACAATAACTGTACTTACCACTGCGAAATTTGGGATAACTCATATGAAGATCTCTACAAGTCCTGGCGGGAAATTCTTTGGAACCGTTGGGATTTTTGTACATATCGAGGCGGTAAGTGATGACATCATAAAGATCAATAGTCTAAAGGTGCGGAATGTGGTAATATTAATATAATATTAAGTGCAAACACTTGGTGCAAAGTGTGTACCCTTTGATATCTAAGAACTCTACTGAATATGAACTGATACTTTTGCGTTAAGCTTAGCCAGAGGGGGATCATTCTGGCAACATTTCTAAGGCTAAGATGTAAAAAGACCTATGGACGTGAAGAACTAGAAGCAATCACGAACCCCAAACTGAGTTTCAATGGGCATTTGAATGGGAATTTTTTCAGAGATTATAATTCCATACGCACACAAAAACTTAACCAAACCAAACACCTTAATTTTGCAATTCTCTAACATGAGATGGTAAATGCTTTTGAAAAGTTACCTTGGGTTTCTTTTCTTCATTCTGTAAAGAAGAAGAAATGACAAATAGTATCATTACTGCGAGGGTTTCATACAATTACAAAAATTTTAAAATAAATATACAAAACTAGTGCGCAAAATCCAAGGCATTTAATATAAACTGTACACTGCTCTCTGTCTGATAAACGCGCCAACTGGATGTGTACTGTGCCTTTTATTGGCTACAAGGACATGCATAATAAGATGGTGATAGCTCTACTAACCTGTTGCCGACCTCTGTAAAGTCTCGGTGTTCCAGACTTTTCCGTTTCCAGAGAAGCAGCTGGGCTGTCATAACTGTAACCAGACTGCAAACCCGGAAACTGAAGACAACATCAAGGCAAAGATATTAATCGCGTGACGCTTAGTTGTTTGAGAACAGTTGAATAAAAATCTTCAAAAAACACTAAATAAATCAAAGCACTCAGAGTTTGGTTGCCTTACCGATAGCTGCCCAAATTCAGCAGGAAGCACGGCCTACAAAAAAGAACAACAATTTTCACAGTTTATTTACAAGATGCCCTGTTTTGTAAATTTAATATTGAAGAAAAAAGTGTACTCTTTCTATAGCTCGTCTCAGGCTCCAAAATAGCATGTGCGGCGATCGTGATAACTAGATCACGCGCGTCTTATTTTCGCTTGACCTTGTTTTCGCGACGCCCTTACTAACTAAGAGCCTACAACAGGTTAAGCTTTATAGACCATAAACAGTAACAACCCAGTGAACTAATTAATGGTTATCACTACATAGTGATAATTTAAAGTAAAACCTGATTATTTTTGGCACAAGCTAGTTCAACATACCGGTGGTCCTGGAGGTCCTCTGTCGCCTGGTGAACCCTAAAAATACATTTTACATGCATAAAAAATAGTTATTACATTCCGATAGACCTGAAGAGCATCGACTTGCCACCATACTGTAAGTTTTAAAGGAAACATGAGAAATTCTCCTTACATTCATTTGCTTTTCTTGTATCAAAAATGAAGAATGGTAACGCGCTTTCGAAGAAAAAAGCAGTTGTCCTTAAGTGATTTCACGATGACTTGTATTCATACTGTTTTTTATAGCCTGGCTCCCATTGCCACGATGCATGCTTTGTCCTTTGATAAATTCACGGACAAATATTTTCTTTAACAGTCACTTGCGTTCAATATATTTATTGAAGAATTTGTCTTTTCTTATAACCAAATCAAAACTACAGTTAAATCCACGGATTTAAAGGAATTTTCTTACCTGTTCGCCATCTGCACCCTAGGGAAAAAGGAAAGGAAAACAAAGTCAGCGTTTCATTTTAGATCTAAAACTAAAGGAGCTTTATATGTTAAGCTATTTGCAATCTTTTAAAAAGCTTTTTCTCGCATCAATTGAATTCTAAGAATAATGGCCCACTTTTGTTATTTAAAACATATTTAGGGATTGAACTGTTTTCTGTCGTCTGTTGCAACGAATGGCTACGATGAACGTGGATTCAAAATTGAAAACGTTGGCCCAACTTCTTCAAGTTTTAATGCTATGCCTGCCAAAATCACCAAACAAAAGTTTAAGAATAGTAGAGTAGTGCTGCCTGGTGAAAATCTTTTGATGTTTTTTTTTTTCATAACTCTACCGGGTCAATTTTTTTTATTGGTGAAGGCGCTAAAAGTAATAACTTCAGCTCAGAATTGACACGAAAACAGCAAGGAACCATCTTTTTATCTTGGTGTCTCTGCTAATGGCGTCTGAAAACAATCTTGGCTACCTAACTATCGCAAAATATTACAGATCTACGCAACCACGGTCATGGCGTTTGGTTTCGTCCATTCCCTCGGGATTATGCTGCCTAGATGTCTATATAACATTTATATGCTGTAAAAGGCTATTTTACTGGATCATGTTACTTTCGCGGTGCTTTGAGGCAACCGCTACCTACGTGGCCTATTGAAGCCCAGAAAGAAAACAGAGAGCATTAAGTTTAATAATGATGTCACGTCATACCTGGCGTCCTCTGTCTCCCTAAAAATAACGAGGTACAAGTTTTGTCAGTGCAAACAATTCAAAGAATGCATCAGAAAGTGTCTTTTTTTCAAAGTGGCGTGGAGGTGTCAACCCTATGAATAGTCAGAGGAAATGACTGAAGAACGACAGGGACCAACTCTCATTACACGTTTCTGGGAAACTTCCCACTTACCCCTCCCCTAAGCCAACATTAACACTTACTTCTCACTTAAAGCAAAATGTTGACTTAGGGGAGGGGTAGGAGGGCAGTTTCCGAAAAACGTATGATGATCCGCCTGACTCTAGGTGTCTGTTTTAAGGAGGTGTCCACCCTATAGCTAGTCAAAGGAAATGACGGAAGAAGAATGGCAGGGACCCTCCCGATGTGGACAGTTTAGGGAGGTGTCGCTCTTATAGAGTTGTTGAATAAAATAGAGAGTATATTTTACACTAATTGTTCCAATAATATTTTCGCTGTTAGCGATAACTGCAGCAAGTAAACCTCAGCACAATGATATCAAGTTTTTAGTTTTCTCATTAACTAGCATCATGAGAAACACGTACATTTTCCGAAAAAACGAATTTTATGTACTTTTCAAAATTTATTTTTTGGTATGTTTTAGGTGGCAAAAGGGAGCAGCAGAGCAAAGATGTCTGAAGAGGTGGACACGTTCGTGCGCCTTTCATTGTTCGAAGAAGAAACACCGGGATAAAGTTTTCTTTGGCTAACTTAAACATGAAATCAGAGGAGCGCATCAGCACGGAGCGTGAAACTTTCAGTCTATTTTCACTTTTATCTTTCTGTACAAACTTCGCTTTGCCCATTTTTGTCAGTTGCTCTTCTAAATACAGGTTTCTTGGGTCCTTTCACCTAAATTTCTTCAACCTGCAGTTACATAAACTTATTGCGCTAAGCATTTTGCTTAATTCGTCCGCCGTTGCTAGAAAACCCACAGTGCAAACATTCTTGTTCCCTAAGCCACGATCCTTTGGGCCAACGCCACGTGGCGCTGGCCAAAAGGATCGCGGCTCTGAAACGAGAATGCGACGCAATAAGATTTGGCGAAAAAATAATGAACCTATAAATAGCCTGAAAATCGAAGTCGTTGTGCCCAGGCCTTTTATGAAAGATTGACGCTACGGGGTGATTGACTGCTAGTCGACTGTGGTGTCTCAAACTGAAACGACCTAGAGGATATGGCACATAATAATTTTCATGATCTATAACTCATGGTTTTAAACGTTACGAGCTCACCTTTAAACCAAGGACACCTCCAGATCCAGTGGGGCCCTACAATTTAAATATGGAGAGTTTGCTAGATTAGAATGAATAATCCATAATTGCAGCCTAAACTAAATAAACAGTAAAAGAAACTGAGCGACGTACCTCAACTCCTTCATCTCCTCTCTCGCCGACGCGCCCCATAACGCCGTCGGCACCCTAAAAACCAAATACAAATGAAATTCAGCTTTTTCATTCCAGAGAGAATTCTCTTTATTTCACTCACTTACTCTTACCCTAACACTTCTATTTAGCCACCCCCCCACGTCCCCGGGCTGATTTATTTAAAGCATACTAGGCCGAGGGCTTAATAGAGAGGGGTGCTGATTCAATTTTGCGAAATGGGACGCTACACTGCCTTTTCAAACAAGTAGAAAACGATACTAATTTTTTTTTTTATAAAGATTTATGACGTAAAGTGGAAAAGCTCAAGCCCATGAAGTCGGAGGTCAACAGCCGAAGACCAAACTGAAACAAATCCCAATTTTCAGCATTTGAATAAATCATACCGGATCAGTCCACATAAGGTTTTACAGTAGCGATTAGATTTAATCAGTACAGTCTATCACTTAGTAATATCATTTGTGAAGAAGGGGGAGGGGTTGGGGGGCTTAATAACTTTCTTCCCCTGAAAGAGGGAGGGGGGTTATTTGAGACGGAGTCTTAGTAGATGATATAGGGTAAATAGGCAATGAATGGACTGCTGTCTAACTTAGTTCGATTTAAGAATAACATACCAAGGCTCCTTCTTCTCCTCTGCTTCCCTGGGGTCCCAAGTCACCTCTTTTTCCCTATGGTATATTAAACGGGTCAAAAAAATGTTATAAATGTAAGAGACACGATAGCTATAATTATATTGTTTGATTAAAAAATGCAACGTTTATTACCGTTTAGCAAGCTATAAACGTTTCAGTTTATTGGCGCATTGTCAGGAGAAACTGTTGATAATTGCGTTTTGAGACATCTAGTTGAATCGTTGAGGGAGTAAAATTACCTTTCGCGACAGGTCAAATGTAAACTTTCGTAATTTCATTTCACTTAAGAGTGGACGAAGAAATAAAATCCTAGGCAACCTGGTGGACTACATATTATTTTACAATCATGAGATTTGAACATTTTAACTCGTTTAAGCAAAAAGCAGAGCAGTTAGAAATTCTTAGACAAATGTAAACAAAAATTTATCCTTTTTCTTTTTATTAAGGTTTTGACGTTCTCTCAAGTAGTTTTAAATGTTAAAAAAAACACTTCAGACCTAATTACTAGGCACAGCCTCCTTAGCCTGCCAACAAATGTGTTCTGAAAGTATAATAGGACATATCTGAACTGGCAGACCTGCTTGCAAAGCAGTTACAAAATACCTTTTCTCCCTGATATCCAGGTGGTCCAGGATCTCCGGGATTCCCTCTGTCACCCTAAACAAGACACAAATAACATTATTAAACGTAAAAGCAAAAGAAAACTTATATACAAAGTGAGAGGTGCTGCTCCGCACATAACAACACACAACAACACACAAGCATCAGAAATATTTATGCAATGACTACAATGTATGTTATAGTATAACAAGGAAGAAAAGCAAATCACGCCAGGGGGGAGAAAACTAAACGAAAACAAAAACGGTAATCGTTTTGTACTTTTTAAGTTTGCTTTTTGAAGTCGGCTTTATAAAGTTTGACTGGCTAGTCCATCATTAACCTGTTAGAATCAAATCAAAGTGTTCACTGGTTCCCCGGATGGCTGTTCATTTGTTTGTAATACACATATAAAATAATTGGTTGTCACCAGGAGGTTGCTATGACCACAGGATATGTAGTCAATGTTCAGTAAGAGTGCCAAATGTGGGGATTTTGCACTTTTGTGCAATACACGACAGTGAAAGTTAAGCTTAAGGCAAAACATCCGATTAATCATTATGTATCCGAAAAAAAACAAACAAACAAACAAAAAGCAGACCTCACTGATGCTGTGATAAAGAAAAAAAAAATTTTACACCTCGGTAAACGAAATGCCTCAGTTTCCTTTACAATAAAATTACCTTCTCCCCTTCAGCGCCAAAACTTCCAACATCTCCAGCTTCTCCAGTATCACCCTAAACACAATAGAAAGCCAAAGGAAGGAATCTCACAAAGTGTTAATGGGTTTTCAAACTTTTTTAAGAATAACTCACGGCTTAGCCCTTAAAGGAGTTGTGTCACGCCTGTCCAGTTCACTTTGTTAATACAGAAATTGCTTGTAAATGAAAAAATCACAGGTTCTCGTCAAATAAGCTTGTCTCCCAAGCATTATATCAAATGCTACAAACAACAAAAAAGAACGTTAAAAACTGTTAAGGCAAACAAGCTTTCCAAAAAAAAAAAGAATAATATTGCAATCCACTTGAATCTTCTCGATCAAGTTTGATCATTCCGTGTCTCCTTTTGAATTTTCTGTGTTATTTCTACCTTCTTTTCACGTTTTGAATGGCTATTTTTTAAAAAAGTTGTAATTTGTTTAGTACCCACGAAGCACTTAGGAGTTCCTATAACCTCGTTTAAACGGGTTCGTGCGTTCCAGATCGAATTGGAATTTAGAAGTGTAGGTTTTTTTGGGGGGTGGGAGGGGAAAACTGGAGTACCCGGTTATTTTCATCTTTCACTCAGTTTTGTTGCAGTTCTGTTTGAATTTTGATATTGACATTTCGTGATACAGCTACTATATCCCACCAATTTTGCGAAATGTCGATTTTAGTGAGACAAACAGAATACTTAACCGATCCTTTCTATCTCGAAGGCGTCAAATAAAGGGCAGAGGGCTCGTAACTATTGCAACGAGGAGGAGTGCAATTTGAATTAAAATGAATTGCGTTATAGACGATTTAGCAAATTAAAGGTGATACAAAAGAGTCACAGTTTATGAGCGTTTGCAATTTCAAATAAGGCTAATTGGTACCGTTGTGCCCATTACTCCATCTTCTCCACGTGAGCCGCGTTGACCTGTTACGCCCTAAACGGGAAAAAAATTAATCAACATTACCAGCTGTTGTAAGACGAGTGTTATATCATATGCGAACCTAGTAAAATGGCTCGACCCCGGATTAACTGTGAGGTGACCGTGAGAGACTATGTACTTTCTATATACAGGCATATATTAGTTATCTCAACGCGAATTTCCTTTAAACTCTTTAAACTTTAAACCGCAAGGTTTTAAGTGCAATAAACTGTTTGGCTCGAATTTATCTACAACATCTTTCAAGACCAGGTATGCTACCAGGTACTCTGATTCTTAGCACTTGTGCCAAAAACATCATGCAGCCTTAGTGTTGTATTCAGGTGGCTAATAGGTGAATCTTCGTTTACATTTTTGCCTCATTAACATACGCATTTCATTTCCTGATCAAGCTATTAATAAAATAAAATTGCTGAATATTGAAAGAGTGCAGCAATTTCAGTTACCTCTTTAAATTTGAGACCGATACACCGAATAGTTTCGGAGAAATTTTGTCCTAAACCCTCAAAAGTTTACAAAAAGTACATGTTCTCAATAGTGTTTTTGACACCCAGCAATTTCGCAGGTTTTGATTGCTGCTATTTCCTCTGTTATTGATTGCAAAGAGCTGAAAATTGCACAAACTGCTCAAAATAAGCAGCTCTTTAAACTTTTGCAACTAATTTGTACGTACGATGACGTTTTCTATCACTCGTATGCTAATGCGCAACAATGTCTGAAACAGTGTCGTCAGCAAAGATTCGCCTGGGAACAAAATAGTACATGATATAAACGAACATGACTTTATTTATTTACATACCATAGTACCCTCGGAGCCAGGAGCCCCAAACTCTCCTTTGGGTCCAGTTGCTCCAGGAGCACCAGTAAATCCTTCAAGGCCTTGGTTTCCTATGTCACCATCTAGACCCTAACAATAGTTAAACAAAAAAACAAAATGATAAAAGAAAAGAACAAAACTCTGGTTGCACACCCAAACTTACGTTACATTCATATTCCGTCACGCTAGCCCAGAGGCTTGTTTTCAACTCTCCATCGTGCAGAATTTAACCTGAGATTTGCTGAAGCTAACTTCCTCTTGTCTAAACCACGCACGAATTATATCAAACGAAGTTTCTGCTGGGACTCTATATGAAGTAATCTTCATCGAGAAAACGGGCGGAACAATTCCACATCTCAATCGTCGAGAAAGCCATCGCCCCAAATCTCCTTTCCGCCAGACATTGGTGTTTCTTATGCCCCAGTTGTAACGGTAATACTTATCGACACAGGGCGTCACCCTGAAAGGTTACAGCCTCTAAATCCGTACTTCCAGGATAGCCGAACACAATTGATCGAGTTCGGCTAATATGAAGTATGGCGTTTGACCTGAGCCTAAATGTGAAGGCAAAAAGAAAATCTCCTATTTTCTAATTATACATCAGCTAAACTGTGAATTACATTTGATCCTTTTCTTCCAGCATTTCCAGGCTCACCGTTCTCCCCTGAACTCCCCTGAAAAAATACAAACAAGTACTGTTCTTAGTAGTGTTTCACTATTGGAACTATTAGACTATTTTATTGGTCATGTGCACGCAATAATCGCCCAGAAGATAGCTCAGGGGACACAAAACGTGGTTCCGGAAAAATGTTCGCTTAATCATTTTATTTGTTAACTCTATTGAAGGAACACTTCTATTCAGGGAAAGGGACATTTTCCTGGGTCCCGAAACCCGGCTTTAACCTCCACGCAGGGGACACCTTAGCACTCAAAAAGTGACCCAAAAGTCGCGTTGATAAGTTTAAGTGTTTACTAGTCACAATGCCGAGAACATTCAAAAAATGAACTATCTCACTTAAATCGATATTCTGCACTTGTGGGAATTCAACCCAGAATTTTGCAGAGATAAGTTAATAAAAAATCATGACTTTTATTAATGCATTATCTACCTTCTTGAAATATTGACTGCAGCAGATTCCGAGGCAGAAAAAGAAAACTATTTTAATTGTAGGTTAATTATTACCAAACCCCAACCCAACCTCCATTCAGGGGACACTTCTATTCAAAGGGGAACTACCCTTGGTCCTGAGAATGTCCCCTGAGGTTCCACTGTAAAACCAAGACGACATCACTGTTATTATGATCACTGTTATTCCAACTCAAAATGCTAGTAGAGGGTACTGAACTTTCCTGAAATTGAATTTCCAGATAGAGATAGAAAAATTCGTAGTCGTGTGTGTTGCAAATTTCACATCGTGGTCGTGTAGTGATGGTAAAGAAATGTCTCAAACGTTTTGATGCACGTGCAGAGTTGAGTTGTTGTTTTGCTCACGAAATTAACTGCTTTTTGGCTGTCAAGTTGATTCCGTCGCCATCGGTAAAGCTCCCCAACGAAAACAAAACTAAGGTTATTACTTACAGATTCGCCTCTTTCCCCTGATCTTCCTCGAGAACCAGCAGGACCCCCTTCACCCTAACAGAGAAATGTCAAGGTAAGAATTGTGGCAAGAGCAAAAAAGAGATGAGACGCGAGTGAAATAAGCAATGAACGGGATAGAGAAGGAGACGAGAGAGGTACAATCTCTACTTTTTTCCCTCGCGGTGAGCGTTGCAGTGGCTTACTTGCTTACTATACAAATAAATTCCAAAAACATTTCGAAGTTTGTACCGGCAAAAAACTAACAAACCTTAACCAACTAAAAATATATGTATATTTTACTTAACTTACATTTTCGCCAGCTTTTCCGTCGCTTCCGTCACTGCCTGTGTCACCAATTTCCCCCTGTGTAAGAGCGTATATAAGATTGAGAGAGGTTGAAGTAGATTGAAGATGCAATATGTAATGTTGTAAAAATAATAAAAAAAGTGTCAAGGTTACCTTAGCTCCTTTAGCGCCCAGTGCTCCTTTGGATCCAGCAGGACCAGCGTTGCCCTGAAGACATGAAAAGGTGAATATGTTCATTGCGATGAGTCAAGCAAGTGTCATATGGGATACGACGAATTGGTCTGTTATCGTATCGAGCCCATAATTGGTGGTCTTCATAAAATATTCTGATAATTTTAATCATATCATCAGCTGCCTATCAAAGCAACTGCTGCAACCAGCCATGCGGGCAATGAAATTATCTTACACTGACCCGAAATTGTTCTCACAGTAAAAATTCAGATTCAAATAGCTGACAAAGCTATAGTCCACGGATCATTAAGCAATTGCACTTTTTTTTAAAATGCACTTTTTATTTGAGTGTCAATGTATTTAGCACGAGAGTGCTAATTGGGGACACTATTTTTACCTCTCCTAATGGAGACGGGACCGCCATTTTACGTGGTCATCCGAGTCACGCGAAGGTCTCGCCGCTTCCAGTGCAAAGAAAGTACCTTCATTTCTCAGTCATTTTAAGACCCTGAGTAATGGTCCGGTCCCGGGAATCGAACCCGCGACCTCCCGATCTGCAGTCAAACCCTCTACCGACTGAGCTAATCCTGCCTCGGTACGACATCTCTTTCTTTTCACGACTACAGTAACCGTGTACCACATTATGAGGTTTAAGGACCGATTAAGACATTCTATGGCCATGATTAACTATGGAGGCTTCCTCCCAAGAAACATTAAACAAAGTTTCATGGTAAGCCTCGTGGTTTAATAATGATAATAGGACTGAGCGGAGTTCAATTCTATCAGTAAATGATTCGGATAGAATAGAGCTTATTTGTGATAATTGCAATTTTTTAAAATTAAATCACCATGTCTCCAGAGTTTTTGGATTTGACGAGAGAGAAAACAACAAAAGCAACAAGAGCAACAAAGAGCCCATTCAAGTGCAGTTATTCTATCGCATAGCGCGATTACGCATGCCGCCCAATAACTTAGGCTTGATGTGTACTGTCCTTTTTAACTCGTGGGTACGCGCGAGCGTACCACGAGTTATTGCAGGGACTGAGATATGCAAATGAGTCACTCACTCACTCGTAATAGACGCACTTCGTAATTAATCGGGTCCGAAATCCAGAGCGCGAAGATCTATCGTTTCCAAAGAAGCACGCGCTCGCCGAAGTTCGGTAGCATCAAATTCCTTGCTGCGAGCGTGCATCGTGCGCTACAGCACGGTTAGGATAGAGGTCTTACCAAATTTAAGACAGGCAGGAATCTTTCAAATTAGTACGATTCAAAAGTCGACAAAAGCCTTTGACCCGTCCAGGCGTTAAACTTGACAAGAAGATGAGCATTTGCTCTTCGACTCCTTCAACTTCGACGCTCCTACCTTGTAGTACTGTAGTAGGTTATGTGTATGAATAAATTTATGGCGGTCAGTATAAAACACCGACTGCGGACTACGGACTGCGGACTGGGTATAAAATACGGACTACAAAATATGGACTGGTGAAATGTATGGTGAATAAAGGCACTTCTTCTCCTTCTTCTAAAGGACTCCCCAAGATCACGGGGGGAAATGGATGTGAGTTTGAGCATTACCTTTTTAAAATAACAGCGGAAATCGAGATAAGAAAACATAAGCTAATGTTTTGCGTCCTACTTCGCGGAGGAGTTGTGTCGGCTTTGTATCGCATATGTTCTTTCATTGCCATGAAATGCGTTTACATTGTTTTTTACTGTCAGTAGCCTGGTTTCAATTAGCCTTAATTTCATCTCATTGCTTCGAGTCGTTTTTATGGCCGATCGTTTGCCGGCGGAAGTTCCATGGAAAAGGCATTAAATATGAGACTTTCCTCTAAATCACGTGACCATCCTCAATGGCGTAGTGGCTATGTGAGGTCGGGTCCAACTGAAGGTACCGGGTTCAAATCCCGCTTCGGACCTTCTTTTTCCCTTCTTCCTTTTTTTTTCTTTTTTGTTTTATCTTGTTTGCTTATTTGTTTTGCTGTTTTTTTTTTGTTTTGTTTTTAAATATATACTTAAATAACTGTTACTAAAGTGCAATAAACAGCAAGAAAAGTATTGTGTTTCCAGAACAAGGATAGTATATTTATAATATGAATTTCTATCATTTCCTACAATTCACTGTGGGAAAACCAGAGGTGATAACTAATTGATTATTTTCTACACAACGTACCCACGAGTTGACGATAGTCTTTCTTTGATTCTATCACATCAGCAATGTTCATAACCATTCACACTGGAGAATTTTGTTATTGATATAATTATGATAATACAGTTATCACGATGAACTCGATCTAAAACTGCGGTATTTCTTTGAACATCATGATTGTATGCAGATCATCACAAGAGTGAGTACTTACTCTTATTCCTGCAGGCCCAGCGAATCCCTTTTCTCCTTCCAATCCAATGGCACCCTAAAAGAAGATTACGCAAATATGTAACGTTTTCGAGGGAAGACATTCGAATGTTACCACCTTAGCTGACATATTAAAATAACAACATCTATGCTGATAATGACAACAAGAGAGAACAATTAAATGCCTTAGTTTCTTTGTTTACTTACAAGCGATCCTGCAGTTCCGGGAGGACCAGGTGGGCCAGACTGTCCTTGGGTACCCTGTGAGACAAAAGAGATGAAACATGGCCGCAAAACACTGTATTTTCGATCTCCATTCCAGTACCCCTTTTCGTCCATACTACATCCGTGGATACGGCAACTCTGTTATAGCCTAACATGTTCAAGTAATAGGTCACCTTACAAACGAACGCGGCATTTAATGTGAGTTTGTAGAGTCTTAATTCCAACTTTAGGAAACATCGGGAAAAAAAAAATCTATGAAAAAGGAAGATATGCTAGCAATGAAAAACCAGCGTTCATTTTCTTATAGCGCTTACTTTGCAAACTTCAAAGTTCTTTATTTGCTAGCTAAGGCGTCGGTTCTTTGTGCATTATGTTGATCTCTATGAAGCTTTCGCGTTTCGCTTATTCATTCAAGGAGAGGAATCGATTCATGAGCTCTTTTTTCATGGTTGACATTCGTACTTTTTTTACACCGGCTAATATACACTTCAAACAAGAGATAGTAATGTGGTGTGGGTAATTCTGGAATAAGTCAGTGAAATATTTCCTTGTTTGGTAAAGGAAATGTGACGTATGCTGTAAATTTTATGTGTTTGAACGTCCAGGTAATATTTGGAAATTATTATTTCCAGGACGCACAAGTAATGCTTCCCACTTCCATAAATTGATCATTCGATTTATACCTACCTGTGAACCTACTGCTCCATTTTCTCCAGGGGGACCAAAGTCACCGACAGCACCCTAAAAACGATTATTAATAGCGTTTTAAGGTTTGATAAGCAAAACAACAACGCTGTACGTCCATCACATTATTTGGTACATTTCTTTGCCCTCACTCCGCACGACTGCAACTTGAAACTTCACCTGCGCCGGCGCAGAACTGAACAAGACTTCAGTTGAGGTCGAAAGCTAGCTTATTAGTTTTCAATTTTATCTGGATTCTAAGTTTAAGATTTTCTCTCATAGTTTGAATTTACCTGATAGATGAATCTACTCAAGTCCCGAAACTTCACATTATCAAGTTTTAAGGTGAACACGATGACAAACCCTTCTTTAAATTTGTTCAGAACTTCGACGTGCTCATTGAGAATTCAACACCGGGAATATCCACCCACAACAATTGACCAGTTAAGCCGGTTGAAATAATCGCCATAGAGTTTTAAATAAGTGTCCACTCCCGATGATGCCGCAGTGAGCCAATTATACACTTGGAAAAGAGAAAAAGACGATTTGAAGCACCCAAAGGGGCTTGCCTGGAAGGAACACAAACCAAAAGAAGGACTAGGACCATTTGTACTCAAGAATGGTAGTCATAGGACCGAGCGATACATCTCCAGCTATAAGTATCAAGTGGTTATGCCATATTTAATGAATTGCCCCTTGGAAGGGAATCTAACCATAGTTAATTAAAGTAGAATGGTTGGGAAACCCTTTGTTATATGTTTTTGTTAGCTTTTTTGGGCCTGACCGTGCACAAATTTCAATAGCATTCCTATCATTTTGAACTTATTGACCAATAGAAACATCGCATTAATTTACTCAGTCACAATTTGTGAACAGAAAACAAAGGATTTTGCACAGTCAGGGAGCTTCCAACATAACCTACAGCACCATTGCTTTCAACTTTGATGTTTACCGTCTTTCGTCACCAGTCTCCTCTACTGGCTATGATCTAACACAGTCTTGGAGTCTGGATTACAGGGAATGGATTCCACATTCTTTGTCAGTGGAAACTGGATTTCGGATCTCAATCGTTAATGGGATTCCGAATTCCCTGAGCTGTATTCCGGTTTCCAAAGCCCAAGATCTGGATTCAACAAGCATATATCTTCCGGATTCTAGATCCGGATTCCCGCTGACTCGTCCCCAGTCGTCTCCCCTGTGACGGCGCGAGGGTCGGCCCGAGGGGTACGAGTCGGGGATTCCCGCACAAGGGGTGATATGAACCTTAAAAGGCCACTGATGGCTTAGATTGGCCCGATTTTCCTTCCAAGAAAAGGCTTAGACGAGAGCCCAGCTGACAAGTTCGACATCTTTTATGTATTATGTAAAGCTTAGCAAACGTATCTCGTAAACACAGTTTAATAATGCTTTCAAAATATGCTTTTTTTTTCTCAACAACATTGTGAAATATTTTTCGAAGAAAATCTCGTTTAAAACGCTTCACCAAAAGGATAAATATTCAACAAATAAAAAGTGAAAGGAAGAACTGGACGCAATCACCTTATTGCCGTTTCGGCCACTCTTTCCCATTGGACCTTCCTCACCCAGCCCTCCCTGCAAACAAACCATGTCACAGATTACTGTTTAGTCGACAGTAATAGCTATTAGGAGCTCTGTCAGACTAGTTGGACGCATGAGCATGTAACGCTGATTAACTTACCTCGAGAAGAGAGACCTAAAGCTTAAAAATTTATGAGAAAACAGGGAAAAATGCATGTCAAAAACTACACAAAAAATCGTCTCAAAGTAAGGTGCTGACGATCCAACTTCTATAAAATTGGCGCTGCTTATCAACGATATCATTTCTTATTATGTTGCATTTAAGAAAAACAGGGGACCCATTTGTTTCGAGACGAAACCTTTTTCAGTCAAATGACTTGTAGTTAAATTTTGTAAGGGCCTGTTTACATGGAGGTAGGTGAGGTACCTTGCGGCGGGTCACCCCACTTATCAGGAAAACGTGATCAAATTAAAATGGGAGATTATATGGACGGGCGGGTTGCCCCAACTATAAGCGGATTACCTCACCTACTTGGGGTCCCCCACCTCCATGTAAACAGGCCCCTAGTTGAGAGTTAAATTGCAATTTCTCTCTTTTGTTATTCTGAAGCCATGCATGACACATGGTTGTAATCTAAGATGGTGGCCATTTGTACTATTTGTTGCCATGATTTCATTTTCGCGTCATGTGACCTCGCAACAACACGTTAACAACCTCGAGTTTGTGTCTGGGTGTCGCGGATTCCAATATTCTTCGCAAAAGGAAGCCAACAAAGTCTAAGAAGTTCAAACATATCGTTCTGAGCACTCTCAGTTCTATACTGACCGGTGCACCGTCTGTTCCAGCCGGACCCGAAGGACCTAAAATGCCACGAGAACCCTGAAACAGAATAAAAACACTCGGTCTGTTAAATGTTCTTTTTAAAAGTGTGAACTACATTGCAATGAGCCTCACCACGGACATTTACAATTGAGACCTTTTAATAAACAAGATGACATTTTGGAATTTTACATACATGTTTCGACGGACCTTCATCATCTTCTGGGAAACAGTTAATAACAACCTGGTTGGAAGTTGTATCGCATTAACCTAAATTATGCTCGCTTAATAGAGGTGATAAAAGTAGAATTCCCGTCGGGGTGGCTAAAATGTGGCCGTGGTCGCCTGACTAACCAATTACAATTATTTTCAACAATTATTATTGGCCGACAGATGGTCGCAGCTGAATGGAGGAGGTCCAACTATGTATATCAAGAAATAATGGAAGTGCTGCAAGGGAGGGGAGGGTAGAGAAAATAACTTACAAATTCCCCTTGGCTTCCACGGGAACCTTTAGGGCCCGATCCTCCACGATCGCCCTGCAATAAATAAATTTGGAATTTGAAAATTACAAGGAAAAACTGTTTGAAGGAAAGAAACAAAAGGTTTGTACCTGAGGGCCTGTTTCTCCTTGAGGACCAGGCTCGCCAGTAGCGCCCTCTGGACCCTGACAAGAAAAAATCAAATTACCATCAATATACATTATTGGAACTTAATGTCTCGTTTTTCGCAATTACCCGCGACTCTGCGCGAAATTTAAACACGCGAAGTAACGAGTCCTCACTACTCGCTACAACATGAAAGTCAAAAGAAAATTTCCTTCACTTTCCTGTAGTTCCCAGCTCTCACTCTCTCTATTGTGGGATGACACTTGAGCTGTCAACTTCGCTGATATAATATTTATTGCATCTGGGTCTTCCCAGCTTTATATGCTTTCTTCAAATGAACGGTCATACATATGGCCAAATTATGCCTGGACGTTTTATATTTCTCTGTCTTAGGAAATCAACATTTCTGCCAACATCAAAAAGACTTCATCTTTCGTTTCACTTTGCGTCACACTTTGTGATTTCTCGATTTTTTTCCCTTGATTTTTACGGTTAATATGCAGGTAAAGGGAAGTGTTCTTGATCGTGATAAAATCCTAAACACGACAACTTGCCATTAGCCGTTTTTATATTCGAAGACGTTAAAGTCGTCAAGACGCATTTAACGTCTGAGAGGTTAAAGTCGTCTTGGAACGACTTTCACTGGGGCGCATTTATGCTCAACTCCTCCAGATATGACTGAGTACTTTGTCTTTTTTTATATTTTTTTTTTTCTTCAATACTATCGTCTTCTTTTAAACGTTGCGTTTTTACACCAGTCGAGACTTTGACGTCTCAGACGTTAAATGTGTCTGAACGACTTTAACGTCTTTATCATAAATGGCCATTAAGACCATCACAAAAATGATGTCATACCCCAGAGCCAGGCTCTCCTCTCGGTCCTTGATCTCCAATAGGACCGACTACTCCCTAAAAGAAAAAGAATAAATACAATTGCAGAAATAATATCCTTAATTAATATCCTATATTTAGGTAACACTGAACTGGGCTGCTGTTGTTCAGGGTAGCCTGCATAGTGGGTGGTTTTTAATGGTGTGTTTTTCGTTAGCCCTTTAAGACCTAAGAGTGATCAGCATCAAATTTCTCCTTGTATTATCAATGCTTTTTTTTTTTAAACAGAGTGGTTATGAGAATTACGGACATGATCACACAAGATGAATTTGCTTGATATTTTATCAACTGCTCCCCTGTACTTCTGTAGGAAATGAATAGGGGCAACAAATGAGAATTCAAATTTTGATCTTAGGGGGGTTTCACAAAAGCAAAACACACCAAAACCGCTTGCTGCGCAGGCTATGCCGATTCAGGGTCGTTGACAATTCTTGTCGTTTCGTCAACCTTAGCTGAAGCCATCTCTTCACAGTCAAAGCAGTTTCAAAAGTTGTCCTTGACTCGTCTCTGACGGAATCGAGAATGCTCTTCTTTCGTGAAGCAAGAGCAAACAAAAGACGGCAATATAAATGTATTTGTCAGAGAAAAACGATTTTAGTCTGGTTGTCATTGGTTAGACCAAAGATGATGTCATTGGGTGTTGAGACTCAAATCTTGAGATATTGCTGCTTACCAATCCTTGGGCTGGTAAACAATTTTCCGTGAGTGAGTTATCCTGTCTTTCATGTAGAAAAGCCGTTTATGAACAATGATTACTGGGCATCACAACTAGACATTTTCATAAAAATGTTTATAAAAGCAACAAAAACTATTTTGGGCCCCAGCTAGTTTAGGAATCTTGCTACTTGCCATTTTTCCTGCATATCCAGTTTGACCGGAGGGGCCCATGTCTCCTTGCGGACCCTTAAAAGAGAAAAATCCACAGTGTTAGCATTATTGCCAAACAATATCAAGACGTGTCAAAACAGCACTGGTTGTTTCAACAATTCTGTATCGATTCACTTTTTCTTGTGGTTTAGATCTTTTACTGAGTACATGCAGTTTTCTACCTGTAAAGTACTAGACCTGACTAAAGCCGCCGGCGCGCGTTTGCAACACGTCATGGAAGCAGTAATGTGGAACTGAGTTTGGCCCTTATTTTTACACATGACAGTGGCATTTAATATTGCTAACATGATTCGTCAGAGACAAGGGAAAGGAAGTTGAAATTTGAATAATAACCTGCTGAAGTTGCTCAGAAGAAAGAGTTCAGTTGTTAATTAGGAGAAAATGAGTGCTTTAGTAACGGCCTTGAGGGAAACGCATAGATTTTCTCAGTCGTGGATTTGGTTACTACTTGACGCCTAAACTCATTTCCCATAATCAAGAGTAAAATATTAACTTCACTGTAAATATATTTAAAACATACCACTTCGCCGTTTTCTGCGGGAATCCCAGAAGCACCTTGCGAGCCTGCACCACCCTAAAATGAATGTTCGACAGACAAACCAAGTGAGATATAAGGAGGCAGAATCACCCAGATTTGGTGCAACTTTGATCCTAACAGAATATCGATCTAACAAGTGTTTGTCTCAACGGAAAACCACTGATATAGTTGTCTTACTGGAAGTCACTGAACTAGCACAAGAGAATCATGTTATTAAGTGTTTTTGGGTATGGACGGGTTGGAAAGAAATGGACTTAAAAGTCTAACACTAAAATTTGGGAAATTTGCTCAAAAATTTTGATTATGGTTTAAATGTTGAACCATTTTATGGTTCGGCGAGAGTACGTGCATGATTCTAGCCTGCAGAACAGGAGTCATTTCTTTGCGGCGTTTTCGAAGCAAGCAACGGCAAGCCCGAGACAAGCGCGCAAACTCGAAAAAGCGAATGATGCCTGTTCTGCAGCTTAGCATAATTCTAGCGTAGCTTGCGGAGAAATTGGGAAATTCTTTCCATAATTTCTCTATAGGTAACTAAGAACTCAATTTCTGACTTGTAGACATCATTGTATTTGCTACTGAGTGTGGTTTACATTTAGAGATATTTAGTTTGAAAAAGAGCTGATGCAGCGACCAGATTCACAGAAATCTTTCTACCATCTACTAGGTTTATCAAGACATGGTTTAGAGTGCTGCCACTCCCTATCTTGTCCTTGGTCAATACTCAACTGGTCCACCCGTTTAAAGGACACCTCGATTACACGGACGACTGAAATAAACTCCCGCTATTACGGACTCTCGCTAATGAGGACACTAACTCGAGGTCCTTACAGTGTCCGCAATAAAGGGAGCTGACTGTACTTCGTCCCCCTTGTTTGACCTGATATATCTAACTTATATTGCACTTACGGGAGATCCAGAAGGTCCTACTTCTCCTTGTTCGCCAGGCTCCCCTCTAGAGCCCTACGTAAGGCAATAAATCAGCATTAGTTCACTGATTTAAATTCAGATTCATTAGAATGGTCTCTATTTCTCCTTTAAATGACTGCCTGCGCACGTCAAACATAAAACAACCACTGAACAGTAATATAAGAATATGATTGGTTTGTCGAAGAGGCATAAACGTGGGCCGCTTTCGGTTAGCTAAGTAGAACGCAACGCATTCCCCGCTGAAGAAAAAGTGCTGAAATGTACTTGTTCCATAACTTGGGGCAACATGCAGATACGTGGCTGCCGATGGGACAATTGAACGATGCCTTTTCATCTTAGGGATATTTTTGACCGCAAAACGATGTTTTGATCATTTTAACTACAGCCGACTTCTGGGAATAGGGAATTCGAGTTATCGGGAGTTCGAAGCAAATAACTAGAAATAAGGAAATGGGATGGGGCAGGAATGAAAGTATCGTGCACACTTCACGTCCAGGGCGGCAATATATATATTGCTATTTTGATTAAAGGAATTAAAAGACAAAGATTAATTAATCAGTACATGATTAAACGTTGTTTATTATTCATTCAAAATATTTCCCCGATTCTGATTGGCTAAAAGCACACGTTTAATTCACCATAACCAGTTACTGATGACCAAATTTGGAAGAATTTTGACTTTAACGAGAAAATGACGTCAAAAATGCAGCGTTTTCGCAGGTTAAGGCACCGTTAACCGAGAAGACCTGGGGACGAGGCTGAGTTGTTTTAGTCGTGAACTTGAAAAAATGGCGGACATTTCACTCGTTTCAAGAGTAAGAACTAGCCGAAAAAATAGGTAAAAACATGGCAAGAACAGCAAGAAGACAACTCGAAGGGCGACACCTGCTATTTGGAGAATATTTGTGGATCTGGACAAACTTAAACGTACACTATCGAAGATGAACTGACCGTCGATGGATCGATGGAGATATTGCGTATTTTGATTAAACTAGGAATTAAAATAATGAATAATAAAAATCAGTTATTGATTAAACATTGCATTTAAATTGGACTGACAAAATTGTCAAGAAAAAGAATACACGGTTGTTTTGAAACAATAAATTCAATGTTTTGAACTGCAGTTAATTCACTGCTTTATCCGACTTTTCACGCGCTTAAAACATGGTTCGAGTTATCAAAGATAAACGGTTGTTTGGAAATAATAAATTGAACGGAAACTGCAAAAATCACTGCTTTATTCGACTTTTCAATAGTGGTTCATAGTTCTAGTTATTGAGGATAAAACTGTATAGAAATGATCTGAGCGGAAACAAAAATTGCTCGCAGCTATCAATTGTGGTTCCAGTTATCACCCCGCATTTTCAAGGTCAAACGAAAATCGCTAAAAAAAATCCATGTACTCGCCTGCTTTCCGTCGGTACCTCGTCTACCAATCCTGCCATCTATTCCTTGTTCTCCCTGTAATGAACAGAAAAATAAATAAAAATTAAGAATAAGAGTAAAACAAATAAGTGAATAAATGAAAAACAAATAAACGAAATACCCTAAAGTGAACTATAACCGTATTTGTATTGCTCTGATCAAAATAGTGAGCATGCGCAATGCTGCGGTCATGACTCATCCTAGTAGAGTGCTCAATTTCAACATGAAAGTATGGCTTTATGTGAGAAAGAGCTATATCTAACTGCAAACTTTATATAAAATTGGAAAACAAAACACAGTTTGAAAGAAAAGCAATTCAAGTCTCTCATGATTTGAAACTTATTAATACTACAGTCAGTGGTACTACATTCTATGTCAAAAAGGTGAATCATGATTGAATGGAAACCGAAACGGTGCAGGGTTTAATCATTAAGTAATTTACAGCAACGAAAATGAGACGACGTCGATCATAAAGTTTTTTACTATTGTACTTAAATATCTGAATGGCCAGCAAATAATGTTGCTTAATCTATTCTGACATCAATATTCATGTAAAAGTTTCAAGAAAATTGAGGCTTACTATTTCTCCTTTAGCTCCAGCAGAACCGACAGCTCCAGCAGGGCCGGTTACACCCTACAAAACAACAACAACAAAAATTTATGTAGGAAACACGTTGAAGCGTGGATAGTATCCTGACTATGCCCGCCTGCCGTAGGCTCTATATATTGCGTGGCGGATATAGGGGAGGGACCCCGAGAGGCCCGGCCACCCATTAGATTTGCATTAAATTTGCCTGGGTTAAATTTGATGCAGAAAAGTGCAAACTAGGGGGAAATCAGGCAGCAAATTTGGTGAACGCTGCATTTACATCCGTTGTCTTACATAGGGATGTAAATTCGCGGGCAAATGCGGCATTTATCATCTTTGCTCCTGACTTCCCACTAGTTCGAATTTTGTTTGCATCATCCTGAGAGAAATTGAAGTAAATCTAAACTTCGTGGCCAAACCGACGCCAGCAGGACCAGAAAAAATATTTTTCAAAGCTTGTCCCACCTCCTATCGTAGGGACCGGACGAACGGGACCCCACTTATTTGAAAAACTGAATCAGCCACTGTATTGTATTTTATAATCAGATATGTCAAGAGAAGAATAGTTTAATACAACAAACTCTAGTCACGTACAGTTGTTCCTCGCGATCCCCGAACCCCAGCTTCACCAACAGGTCCTGATTGGCCCTGCAAATATATTTACAAAAACAAAACAACAACAACTATTCAATACAAAATTGTAAGGTAAAAACATTGAACTAAAATTTAACGATATTTCTGTCTGACACACATACCCTAAGTCACCGGGTTTTGCTTCGAACAGCACATACAGTAAAGTAAGAACGGGACATAAGTGTGCCTGTATCATACATCCGTTATGAGTCATAACGGATGCAAAAAGGCTGACAGAGCAAAAACCTTAAAATGATCGCAAATTTAGTTATCCTTTTCGTCACGATGATTGTCCCCAACCGTCTCGTTTCAAAGTTAAAGTTATTTCAAATTCTTAAGATGCATTCGAACTGGGCAACTATTTTGAAATACACAATACGGTTGTTAGCGTCAACTGGTATGGTATTGACCACACTCTATTGGATACTGCTATCAAATAAACGATCAATTAGTTTGTCTAGCACCTGCAACTTATAATTAATGTAATATCAGCCCAGATGGGAAATAATAAAGCACATGAATATACTTTAATTAAAGAACTTACACAGACGAGGTATGTTTTTCAAGGGGTAATCAAATAGTTACCAGACAAAACCGGAGACGCCAGTAATGACGTTGCACTGCTAAAAGCCATAAATTGGTTAAACAATGCAATAACACATTCCTTTTCGTTTTTATTTCATTTTTCATTTTAATCTGGTAACGTTTTTGCTATTATTTCAATGGGGCCAATTGGCCACAAACCGTAACTTGGCCAAGCCTAGGTTACTAAATAAACTTTGTTACTATATTATGGTCTCGTTACATACAGAATCGCCCATTTTGCCTTGGTCTCCTTGTTCTCCTTGCTCTCCTACTGGGCCCTTTATTCAGAGAAATATTTCATCAAAAGCTAATAGTAATTCATAAAGCGTTGCTCCTAAGGATCAATTTAGGGTTCTGGGAAACTACCCACCTACCCCTTCCCTAAGCCATCAATCATTTTTCCTTACGTGAGAAGTAAGTGTTAATGTTAGCTTAGGGGAGGGGTAGGTGGGCAGTTTCCCGGCAACCTAAATTGAAATGCTGCTGACAAGGGATACTAACTAACATGAAATTTGCAAATTTCACCTTTGCACTTCTTCAAGAGTTATCGGATATTCTATATTGGATAAAACGCTCCTCGTTTTTGATTCTTCCTTTTTAAAAGTGTATTTCTCATGCAGTACTATTACGTACTAAAAATAAAGTTTAACCTTTAAAGCACACATTGTCGGTTTTCTAAATAGTACCCACTACAGTTCATCACAGTGCATATTTTTTTGTTGTTGTGCCGATGAACGGCCCGACTTTACATTTGCGGGTGTACATTTAGCTCTTGTACTGGAAATATGAGTGATGAGCTATAGTTTAGGAAAATTTCTGTTTAAAATATTTTTCGCCAAACTACGAGGGCAGTAACTGTGGAAACCGAATACCAAAAAAACTAACACCAAATACCAAACACAAAAAGCTAACACTAACCTGTTCACCATCTTCTCCGTTGACACCAGGGATACCTCCCGTTCCCTAAAAGCACAAAATAAAAAACAATTACAATACAAAAGCAAATAGTTTATTCTCAAACGACACCAGAAAGTAGTGTCCGTCGTTTAATAGTTCAGTTGGTCTACGCCGGTCTGCTGAGCGGGGTTTGTCGCATCGAGTCAGACCCCACAGGAGCACTGATCAGGGTGTCTAATAGACAAATTCCACCCATCTAAGAGACTTCAAGACAGTCTTAGATTTTGGATTCCACACAGTGGATTCCGGATTCTGTGTCAGTGGTACTTGGATTAAGGATTTTTAGTTAGTGGGACTCTGGGATTCCCGGTGCTCTATTCCGGATTCCAAAGCCCAGGATTCTGGATTCCAAAAGAAAAAATTTCCCGGATTCCGTTACAATTGGGGCGAATATATAGATGAGATTATGCTGACTGTGATTAAGAAATTGTGAGTGAGGTGACAGCAACAATGTGCACCGAAACCAAACAAGTTGTGGGTGTGGTCTTCTACGCCTATTAGAGAACCCAGAGGCCTCCGCAAACAGTAAAGGGCATAGAACCCTGTGTCAGTGTTTTGGCTTTGGTCTGTTTAAGGGGTTATTGATGGCTAATTCACGGAATGATGTATACTGCAGGGCAGCAACATTCGCCCAAATACAGCGTGAAAAATATATTTGCGCATTGTTGGAGACTTAAGTCCCTTAGACATCTTCGGAAACGTAACTGAGTAATATAGTGTTAGTGATTGTAATTTATGTAAACCAATTATGATAAACGTACAATATTGTCGTGCACATAGTTCCATAGGTAAGAATACTTAGAGAGAAGTGATAGCCGGTTTGGCCTAAACCTAAATGTAGTGGCGGATACAGATACAGACCTTCAGATAATGGGGGGAGGGGGGCTGTCATCCAGACCGCGAGATAAGGGGGCGGGCGGTCTTAAAAAAAAAAATTTTCGGCCTGCCTATTTTTCAGTTTGGTCTAAAAATATATATATTAAATGTACTATCTATAAATATATGAGTAAAAAATAACCCTTTTTCCTGCAATTCCGTCCGCACCAGAGCTGCCTTTTGAACCCTATATCAAAAAAAGTAGACCCTGTTGTATGTCTGCAAGTCCCTTCACAAAAAGAATTGATGCCGAACATTTGTTGCATGATATCAAAAGTACATTTCAAGAGAATATCACAGTCTCATCTTCCTTCGTTGTATTTAAGTGCCGGTAATCTATACATCGCGAGGAATTTTTTCAGAAATGACTTTATGGCGGTAATACAAACATAATTACTGGTAGCCCAGTAGTTTTCATAATTGCCCACAAATAAGGACAGAAACAAATAATTAAGATAAACATTACGAGGTTAAGAATCCCAACTGGCCGGAGGCAAACCAGTTGGCTATTTACAAGCGCGATAGAGGGACTTGAACTCGGAACTTCCAAGAACATGCACAAATCCAGCCATCGATTAGGGCGAGGGGTGAACTCAAGGCCTCCGGATTGCAGTTCATTCGCTCCAACCGCTACGCCCGCGCTACCTCCTGTAGTCTTCCAAAAAGAAAAAAAATGGTATAATGTACCATTCGGCCAGTATATCCCACAGATCCACGATCTCCTTCAACTCCAGCAGGACCCTGTCAAGAAAATAATGATTTCAGTAAAGGATTGAATTGTCAATTTAACAAATAGAACTTCAGGTATCTCACTTGACACTAATACCTCAGTATACTTAACTTTCTCGGCATCGAAATACTTCCACCACAGTGAAGCACTTTCTGAATAAGTAATTGGTTCGTTAATCCGCCATTTTTTTTTATATTTTTCTAACCTTCACTATAGGCGGATGGAGCACAAGAGAAAACAAATAGTAATAAACAAAACTCATTTGTTGTTCCGGAGTACATACGTTACACAGTCTCCCTAATTTTCAATTATATCACGACTTAGGGTAAAATATCTACAAAGGTACACTGTAACAGTTTGTAACAAAAGAGGACCAGCAAAAAACTCTGCAAGCAAATCTTGCACTATCTAATCTTAAAATACCATTTCGCCGACGTCACCGTCTGATCCGGGAGGACCTGTGCTTCCATCGGTGCCCTGAAAACACACAATCCTAATATTTGATTGGCCGTTTCGCGAGGAAGCTACCCTATTGCGTAGACGTTTGACTTTTGCAAGCTTTTAAGAGTGTAAATAATAAATAGAATGGTAAATGTGAAGAGAACGTGAAACCTCAAAAACGTTCCGCAATTAAAGCAACCTTGAGACGCCAGTTGTTCGAAAGGTGATAACGCTATCCACCGAATAGATCTCTATCTAGTGGATGACGCAATTGGTTTCCCTAATAATTATCTCATGTATAGTGAGTTATCCCGGCGCCGCTAGATAACGCTATCCAACGTTTGGACAACTGGGGCCTGAGTTCCAGATGGGACTTGAACCCACGATCTTTTTGACACTAGTGGGATGTTCTAGACACTGCACTAATGGGAACTCTAGAGATGAGCAGGTCAATATAGTAGGCTAAAATATAACGACTGCATCGAGCAGTAACATCATGTCAATGAACACTTGAATATACAGCATAGCGCAGCCACGTAAATACTGTCTGAGTAAAAATAAACGAAATATGTGTGGAAAGAACATGAAAACTCGGAAAAAAAAACAAACAAACAAAAACTGCGTATGGTAATTCTTAAACCATATAAACACATGAGTTCCGTTCTATTTTCGTTAACCATTTTTCATTGCATTTCTAACCTGTCCACCTTGAGGTCCTTGTTCACCTTCACCTCCAACAGGGCCTTGTTCTCCCTAAATTAAACAAACGAATCTTTGAACTCGTAAGATGTCGGCTAAGATACTACCCTCCCTTGCAGAGGTTTAGAGATCATTTATGGCCACAAAAATTGTTTCTCTCACCAGACTATTTCCTCTCGTTTGCGAGCAAGAAGAGATTGAGTGACGATCAACAAGTGTTAACGACCTTGCCTTTACAGGTCACCTTCTAAACCTCTGGTTTAACGCCTCAGTATTTACGCTTGTTAAATTTCAAGATTCATTGCTCATATTTACTCTCCTGATCATAATTTAGCCTCTGAAGAAGTAAATGGTGAAAGCCGAAGGCGGACAGAGGCTGGCAAAAACTCTATCTTCTGTACCCGATAAGAAGCCTTTCAATTGTGTCAATGGTTTTTATTCTACGTTTTTCGAAATTTATCTTTAAACGTATTAAAAAAGACTTCAATCTTGCTTTAGTGGTCTTTGAATACAGCAGACCTCATTTTCGGTAGGATGTATAAATAATTATGTAAATGTAAGGTAGATGATGGTGGTGATGTGATGAAAATCATGATGATGATGATTGTGATAATAATATGTAAACAATTCTTGCAGGACCACTTGGACAAACAGCGGCGAGGAAAGCCGGATCTTAACGTAGATCAGGATCAGCATTATAAAATAACACTTAAATAAATTTGTAAACCTTAGCTGTCCGATCAGCCTTGCCTTCACTTTTAAGTATATAATAATATGTACTTGGAGATACATCCATCAAACCAACACACAACATCCTCTCAGTGTCTCGGACAAATACCATGGTCAAGGTAAATGTAAGTTGAGACATTCAGCTTCCTCATGCTGTGTGGTAATACCTTTTCTCCCATTTGTCCCATTTCACCGTCTATTCCTTGTTTTCCAGCAGGGCCCTATGATGTAAGCGGAATTTTTTTATAAATAGACTGATTTTCTTTAGTTTCTGTCTTAGAAAATCCAGCTATTAAAGGAGAAAGTCGCTCTTTTGCAAGGTAATTATTCCTGCAACTTATCTACACTTTTTTGCGCATAATGGTAGAAGTTATATAACTCTTAGGGGTGATAAAGTATTCTAAAACGTGACAAAAAATACGAAAAGTTGCAAAGAAAAAAAAGCACAGTGTAACATGGTCGGATGAAGAAAGTAAGCAAGAACTTACAAGATAATCTAACCTCCATTAAGCAGCCACCTATTAAGCGGCCAGTAACCGAAGTCCCAAAATAAATGCAGAAAAGAATTTTAAATTAAACTTCTATTAATCGGTCAGTAATCGTAGTCACGATTTAATTGTAGAAAAGAATGGTAAATTAAACCTGTATCAAGCGGCTTCGGAGACGTTTTGGCCGTCCTAACGAGAGTTCTCTTATTGTTGTCATCCCTATTAAGCGGCCATCAAGAGCTTGATACACTTAGTTTGCCTTTTTAGTATATTTTGATTATGTGATAAAGGAAAATACAGTCCAAGATAGAAGGTGGCGACCTACTGCGGACCAGTAATACTGCTCCCCCCGCCCGTATATTTCAAAATAAAGTGATGTTTTAAGCGGCCATTTGCTGGTACCCCGATGGTGGCCGCTCAATGGGGGATGAACGGTACTTTGGCATCATCGTTACCTGCACTCCTTTCTGACCAACAGGCCCGACAACACCACGCTCTCCCGGGAGGCCCTAAAAATAAACAATAAGTAAGTGAATAAATAAATAAAAACAGCTGTTTTCTCAAGGCACAAGATTGTTGAACATTCTGAATGTGAAACTGAGCAAGGTCAAGTTTTTAAAGAGGCGTAGTGCTAGTAGGGGTGATCATGGAAGTGTTGCCTTGATATTTACTTTTCAATACCGCAAAATTTGTGGTTTAAGCGTGAACATTAAAAGAGAAGATAAAACATGCAGGCAGTATCAATACCTATCATGCGCCAGTATCTGAGCTTCAAAGCATAAGATGGACAACTTCAGTATCGGTATTTACGTGAGCTAAATCACTATTTACCATCTACCTATCTAAATTAGATTTTAAAAGAATATGATTTGAAAACAATGACAGCTGCTTTTCTTCATGTTGAGGCCTTTTACGTTTAATTGTTGTTTGCTGTATTCTGAGGGTGGGCTGTTATACGTCTCGGAGCTCCTATGTATGAGAAACTTGGATCAGTACGGCATATATGATGCTGGGAAACTGCCTAACTATTCGTCGCTCAGGACAAGTAAACAACAAAACACGTTTTCGCGTGACATGATATATTTTGTGTTTTTTCTTGCCTGTGACCACCCAACACCATATGGGCAATTGTTTACTAGTTTTATCTTTAAAGCTGAAGAACTCAGCTCCACCGTCGAGTAAAATTATTTGGCCGTGACATTATTACCATTCCACCTTGCTCTCCTGGAAATCCATCGTCTCCTTTTTCACCCTGTTAACAAATTGAAAAAAAAGTATCTTGCTCACAAATATTGCTGACCTAGGCTTTTTCAAAATAACTAAGTCTTGGAGTAAATATCAGCTATGTTAAATGTTTCAGTAACTGTTTTCTTTTATTGCTTTGCTTTGTTTTGTCTTTGTCTTTAACTGTGGTTACTCCCGTCGTTAAGGCAATGTTAATAATACAGCACATATAAGAGAAACAAAGTTATAACAGCATAAAATGATTATGAGTTGCTTATTGGCAGGAAAATTCCTGACACTCACCAGTTTATACGTATCCGGGTGTTTGAAATACAAAAACATTTCATCCATCTAAACTCCTACCTCATCACCTGATAGTCCAACCTTTCCAGCAAGTCCGGGACGTCCCTCGCGACCCTAATAAATAATAATTAATAATAAAATATTACCTCACCTGGGGTAGCATTTGTGAAACCACTGTGAGTATCATAATACACTGCCATGTGTACAAGACAATGTATTATTGCTACCATTTTCAGAAGTGTTATACACTTTTAGCACCCCCCCGTCGCCCCCACTCAATCCATCAGTCTATCAAAAGTAACGAGATGGACACATCTAGACAATAAATGAATCAACCGATCAATCAGTAAGAAAAGGTAGTGCTTTGGGGTATTTTTCCACCCACCCCTCCCCCCTCCTTTACGGAGTTGCGTCGCAAATTAATCAAAATTCAAAAAACAGTGGGAGCTGCCACCAAACTGGGTGAAACATAAAAAATAAATGCTCAAAACAAGAGACAAACACGTAAACATCACAGCGAATACAAAAGGAGAAACGGAAGGGTAAACTCGAGGAAGATTAAAACGGATTACAATTGTGGTTTTTTAACACATGTTAGCCTAAAAAAATTTTCAGAGTTTACTTTTTTGTAAAGTTTGATATAATGCTTGGAAGACATATTTGTTTGGCACGAAGCTGTAATTTTGTCATTCACAAGTAATTCCTCAATTTCTGTAGAGAATAAGGACGTGTGGTTGGCATTATAAGCAACAGTAACAAAGCCCTTTTAAGCACATTAAGTAATATATAAAGAAGATAGACATATTTTCTTACTCGTTCTCCAGCCACTCCTAACGGGCCTTGTAGTCCAGGTTCTCCCTGTAAGAACAGACCACTGCATCTAAGTATAATATGAACTGGGCGATGAAAGAAGCGTTTGAAACATAAATTTCTTCCAAAAACGTATTTGACAAACGTTACCTGACCGCCTTGTTCACCTCTGGTCCCCCTTGAGCCACGCTTTCCTGTTATTCCCTATAGAGGTTACAAACAATGACTAAGTTATGTTTTTGAAGAAACGGGTCATTCCTAGAAACTTCACTTACAAGTAAGAAATTGGTTAAGATAGTTCATACGCTTTACCCGACGCAGCCTGAGAAAACAGCCGACATTTGGCGACGCTACCACTGGTTTCCCGCCAAATGACGTCTGAGAAACGAGCGCAGAAATTCCATGCTAATGGCGCGTCACTACCCAGGTCTGAGTAGTTGTTCGCGCTTTAAATAGCTTCAGCCACTTCCTTTGCTTTTATGATCTGTTGTAATATAGTTGAAGTTAAAAAATACATAAATGATATAATAATAACCGTTAAAATACATACCGCCATTCCTTGTGGTCCCTGAAGGCCACCGAATCCCTCTTCACCCCGAGCTCCCTGTAAAAAAAAGCAACACTTACATGTTTGTTTTGCTTCACAAGATATCAAAGCAGAGGCATTCTTGCACGCTAAATGCTTTTGTTTGCCAAACGAAAATGTCAAAACAAATTTTATTGGCAATTAACCAAAAGAACTAGCTTGCAAACAGACCAAAACGCCAGACATAAGAGTAGCAAAAAAGGAGGAAGGGGGAAGCTTGATTCTTGCGGAAGCTGTTGCTTTTGTCATATTTGACCCATCAAAGTTTTAGTAAACCCGGCCCATATCTTTCCGGTATGTGCTGAAATTTACTTTACTTTTTGTTTCCATTGCTTTCAGGAGAGAAAAAATGTCTTCAAGAAAGGACAACAGCATTCGTGAACAGCATGTTGTTCATGTACAAGTACCATCTGAACATAGGAACTAAGTGTTTTCCAATCTGGGCATAAATTGTACTCACTCGTCTCCCTGGTATCCCAGCTAAGCCTCGGCTTCCTGTGCCACCGCGAGCTCCCTGTTAAAACGAAAATAAATAGATAAATACTAAATAATTAAATGATGAGAATGAAATATAATAACCAAGTCTTGTCAAAGGAAATACTAAAGTAAAATCGCCCAACGCTTAAATGGATCTTGACATTACGTGATGTTAACACCCTCTCCCACCTTAATCCACTCAGATCGAAGTGGTAAAAATAGAACCATTGGGCGTTCAAGTTAATTTAGATTAGCGGCCAAAACTTCCTTACCGTTTTGCCACGGGAACCCTGTTCACCACGGCTTCCGGGAAATCCGGCCAGACCCTTGAGACAAGCAAGAATTAGGACAACATAAGTAACTGGTAAACAAACACATTAAGTATCTTTTCTTACTACGAATCCGAGACTGTTTTCTCTATTATGAATGAAATGAACTCTAGCGGGCCATATTAAATGTGGCTATGTCATGCTATTTGCTATCTTTTAAAACAGCTAAACTTGTCTTTGCATTAACTGAAGTCTAAAAGTAATGGTCCAGGATTGTTATTGCGGGCGACAAGAGCAGCGCTAACTAAGTAATAATTTCAGCACAGAATTGACCTGAAACAGCAATCTCCTCGTCACAAAGCCACTGATTCAATAATCATCTTACCGACAGTCCCTGTTGACCGTTCGGTCCTGCTACCCCTGGTTTTCCGTTTTCACCCTGAAACAAAAAAATGATATCTGCATCAACAGCGTGGAACCCTAGCATGAATGACGACAAACCACACCGTCAGTTTGACCCTTGTGGACTATATATATATCTGTCTCTATAAAAAGTCTCGAAATTTAAGAGGTTTATGGTTTTTGGTTGAACTTTTTGTCAGAGTCTCTCCTTACCTGTCCACCTTTCGCACCAGATGGTCCAGAATCTCCGGGCAGTCCCTTTCCAATAAAAATAAAATAAGTCAGTTTGAAATAAAACATCTCAGTATAATTATACATTACCTCTTAAAAGCATATCTTTCTTTCACTGCACTCTTGCATTAAGTGCCTAGTCGAGCGGTACTGGGTGGGCGCTATAGAAATTTTACTTATAGCGGAAGCTGGAGTTAATCGGTGTCAGTCATGATTTTTAGATTTAAATTACGTGAAGGATTATTTGCGAGCACACTCTAATACCCTGAATTTTAGTCGTCTCCTCGAGTCGCAAACTCCCCAGAGAGACGTCTGAGCGACTTGTGAAGACCGCTAAAATTCAGGCTATATTACTATTAGTGGTTACGAAATAAAGTGGGTGCTAGACAGTGGAAAAACCTACACTCACTGTTCGAATGCATGAATTGTCATATATAATCATAGTTACTCAACTACAATTAAGACCGTGCACAAATTAACACTTTCGGCCTACCGCGGCTCCCTTGGTTCCTTGGCTTCCAGTTGGTCCTCCTTCTCCAGCATCTCCCTAAAGGCAATCCATTGTTACTTTTCTTCCGTAAAATACACAGCTAAGTAAAAAGCTAGACGAAAATTGGATTTGCCCAAGTTTGCTCCTTGCAAATATGTCGCAAAAATGTAAAAACTGCGTAGTAAATATTGGGCAAAGATGGTAAATGCTACATTTGCATACCAAAAAACTGGAGGTGCAAATAACTAAATGTGGCATGTACCATCTTTGCCCCAGATTCACTCATCACATTTTACAATTTTGCGACATATTTGTAGGGAGCAAATTTGCTTTAGCAAACTTACCACGTCTCCGACTTCTCCTTGTTTGCCAGGAACACCCAGCAATCCTAAAGATCCGTCTTCTCCAGGAATTCCCACAGATCCAGGTTCACCGGGAGGTCCAACATCTCCCATTGGGCCTGCGTCCCCGTTCTGACCTGGGCTCCCTTTGATTCCGGGATTACCAGGTGTCCCAGGGCTGCCCACAGCGCCTTTATAGCCCTAGCAGATTCAGATAAATAAACAAATAAAACCAGTTTGTTGGGGTAAACAATTTTATTGACAATACAAGTTTTACCATTGGTTTTACTTCATTCTCGTTTTCTCTTCCCACATTTTCTATTCCTTATTCAGTTTGCAATAAGAATGGAATAGATGATCATTTGAAGGGAGGGACAAAGGATGGCGCAGTGGTGAGAGCACTCGCGTTCCACCAAAGTGGCCCGCGTTCAATTTGCGGCGTCGACGCCATATGAGGGTTAAGTTTGCTGTTGGTTCTCTCCCTTGCTCCGAGAAGTTTTTCTCCGGTACTCCGATTTTCTCCTCTCCTCTCCTGAAAATCAACATTCCAAATTCCAATTCGACCAGGAATCAGCTAGGGCAGACGAAGAACCACTAAGTGGATGTGCTACATCTGAATCGTTATTTATTATTCATTTATTTATTTGAATACCTGAGGACCTGCTGAGCCGACCGGTCCCTCTTTCCCCTCTAGTCCCTAAGAAGCAAACAATTATAAAGATTAGAATATGAAACTGCGTTTATAGCAATTATGTGGCGCATGACACAAAAGAACACTGTGAAGGGTTTGAGCCTTCTTTTCGGACGAAGGGAGAACGCCATCTTATTGGTGTACACTTAAGGTTTTTTTCCACAATTCGTAGGGCTTGAAATACCTGCCGGTAAATGAGTATTAAATGTCCGTTTAAAAAAGGTATTGACCGGTCAAATCATTGAATAGCCAGTCCCATAAAAATAGTACAGCACTGGCAAAAAAGCCGCAAATTGGCGCTGGTCTGTTTCCAGTACATCTTAAAAACCGAAGTTAAAAGCTACTTCTTAGGAAAGGCGTTTCTGAGCGACGCACGTCAACAGGAACCGACGCCTTTTCCGATAGGCTGCGTGGAAACGGATGCCACAACAACATTGTTGCGCCAACAATGTTGGGAGTTGTTGCGTGCGTGTTGGCAGTGGTCTGCAAACGGATGCAACAACTCCCAACAATGTTGGGACCTACAGTGCATCGTGGGAAGGATACAACCTATAAGTCTTTGTAAACCATGCGTAATGAGCGTGCGTGGCCCCAACAATGTTGGAAGAGCTGTGCAAACGGATCCAACATTGTTGCGCTACGCTTCGGCGATCACGGAACAAAAGAAATGTTGGGAGTTGTTGGCTGAAAAGTTTGACCGGTTTCAAACTTTGCGCAACAACACGCAACAACATCCAACAACATGCAACAGGGTGTGCAAACGGACGCAACATGTAACATCCAACAATGTTGGGAGTTGTTGGCCAACAATGTTGCGTCCGTTTGCACGGGACTGTATAATATGACTTGACGCTACCAATTTGGTATTGCTAAAATATAAGCTTCTTTCTTCTTATCGAGACGATTTGGCCGGAAATTCGGGCTAAAGCACTGCTAATGAATGAAAAAGGACCACTTCCGGTAAAAACGGGTTGGCAAGCGTCGCTCAAAAACGTGTTTGCTTAAGCTAACCAATAGTTTTCCTTACTTGTGGACCGGCATAACCAGGAAGTCCACTGACACCCGTAATTCCATTCATACCCTGAAATAGAGAATGATACTTTGAGATTTAGGGTTACATAGCATCTTTACATTGGTATAGTTTGCTACTTAAAATGTTCTATCTTCGGCTGTCTAAATCCCCCTGTTTCTTCGAGTTGTAGATCGCTTTGCAAAAAAAAGTGCCCTTTAGCAGTTTTTTTTTATTCAGTTTGTGCAAATATAATTCGCGCGCATACTCCGACTTATCGAAGCTGGAAAATAGGTCAGGTGACGCTGATTTAAAAAGAACGACAATTATAAATTTGAAGTCTCAGAGTCATCAAGATACGTATAAGTAGGCTAGCAAGGCAAAAGGATCTTTAAGCGCTTAAAGAATACCAATGGTAAGTTTCAAATTGTTCGCCACTTCACTTAAGAATGACAAGTTGTAATAAATAGTAACCTTTTTTATTATATAAACACCAACGAAATACCAGGTTAGCTTTCGCGCGCAATCTACTTCAAAAATCATTTAATAAATTCTTCAGTCGCCATAGTCTTATCGTCGAGAAGTATGGTGCAGCCCTGCGGGAGATGAGATTAGCAATCCAGGCTTGAATTGCACCATCGTATCCTTACACTGCTTATTTATTGGATAGAGTTGTATTTCAGTTGTATCTCGGTACGTGTGCGCGTACAATTTTATTTTGAGCGCGCGCATTATTTGTTTATTTATTTAATTGACGTGTACATTTAGTTCGTTTATTAACGTCTTAATTTTACTTTGCGTTATTTTCCTCACTTATACATTGTCCGTGACTGTGCTCACATGGTGGGTGGCTCCTCCTAAAATGTTCTGCAATTGGTATTGGATTTAATGGAGCCGAAACCGATTGTGGAATTGCACGCATTTTAGGCATGCTACTGATGAACAGTTGCGACGCGTAGATATATATATTTTTAGCGACTAAGATGATTTGCAGTCTGTCTACTTTGAAATGTTACCTTCACAGGTGAAAATATCACCGTTGCTATGGCTACATGATAGATCGCGCCTTTCACACCAAAAAACTATTAAAGTGGAATGGTTTGGTAGTTCATTGGTGTTTATATAATAAATAGAACATTACGTGGCCGCTTGGAGATACGAAATTTCTCTTCTCGTGTTGAAAAAATATTTCACGAGTGAGCGCATATTTTTCAACACTCGAAGAGAAATTTCGTATCTCCGCGTGGCCATGTAATATCCTCTATCTAGCCTAAGAAATCGGCCGACATTTCGAGACGACACCACTCGCGTTTCCTCGCGAGACGACGTCTGAGGAACAAGCGTAGAAATTCTATACTGATAACGCGTCACCACTCCGATCTGGGTAGTGCTTCTGCTAGGATAAAAAATTGCTTTAACCAGTGAAAAGCACTACAGTCACTATACCTAGATCTGGGTAGTAATGCGTCATCAGTCATGGAATTTGTGCCCTCGTTCCCGGCTCAGAAGTCAGGGGACCTCGCGAAGTGTCGGCTTTTTCATGCTAAACCATATCCAGTAGTTATTATATTCAGTTGACTACGACGACAGTAACCAATCCCACTCTCCTGTCTAATGGAAATAAATCCATGAGAGTGAATCCCTGTGACTAATCTTCAACTAAAAGTAGCCCTTCAATCATAGGAGCAAATCACAGTGAAATTTAGACTTACGGTTAATCCATCTACACCGGACTTCCCTGGAGGCCCCATAGAACCCTACAAGAAATGGTAGTAGTTATTGTGAGAACTGGAAGATACCTATTTACCTGTCGTATTTGCGCGGAGATGTTAATACTTTCGCTACTATAAGTGACAGACTTCAAGTAAGTTGGGTCGGGGCATTCACACCATAGTTAGCACCGTCACACCGTAATATAAAGGCTTAAGGTGGGTGAAAGGAAACTCGGAAATAATTTTTCTCTGCCCTAGAGGCTTTAGCTCGGCCTTAAAGTAAAGTGGGAGCCTAAAACTTAACACACAACAAATTTAATAAAAGCAATTTTGTGCATCAGTTTAGTATCGTCCTGTTTATCCTTTTCCAAGCACTTAGTTATAATTTATGGACGACTAACAAACAGAAGAAAAAAACGGAAGAACAGTTCGTAGAGATTTTCACGCAAATAGTTCCACGGGAGTTCATCCAAATACCAAAAGCAAAAAAAATAAGCCGACTGGTAGATAAACTGTGTCACACCAACGGAATCTTACAACCGCATGGTGCGCTTATTTTCAGAAATAACTGTAGGCTTTTAACCAAGAAAAAGACAGCGGTGAGATATAGCGAGTAAAAAGTTGATAATTAAACACAAGACAGTCATGACACAAACCTGTTCACCATCTGCGCCGCGTTCTCCAACTTGTCCAGTCACACCTTCTCGACCTTTTGCCCCAACAGACCCTGGTTGACCCATTGCACCTGGATCTCCCATAACGCCCTGAAATAATATTGTGGCAGTAACAGAAGGCCTAAATAGCGGTCTTTACGAAGAAGCATGTACGTTTAACAGGGCTTCTGACAGGACGCGGAAGAAAAAGTCAAATTTCGCGGGATTTTTAGGGACAAATTCGCGCAAAAATCGGCCGATTTCACGGTAATTTCGCGAGAGTTTTCGGGGAAAACTTCACCAAAAAGTAATCGGTAAAAAACGGCCGATTTTGTGGTTATTTTCAAGGCAAATTTTGCTAGAAATCAGCTGGTTTTGCGCTGATCAGACAAGCGTTTTTAACGTTTTTCTAACCTTTCTTTCCCCTTTCAACAACAATAAAGCCTTTAACATCATGGCGAGTGGCCAGTTTTTCGCAACATAATCTACGCCTGGTAGTTTCGGAACGTTGTTTGCACGTTTCAGTGACGAAGTTCTAGGATAAATTTGCAAGTTTACGGCAAGTAAATAGCCCCTATAGCTGAAATAAGTTTCAAATATGTTGTACAGACATGTATTTTATGAGATTTCTACCGAATTTCGCGGGATTTCGCGGATTTCCCTGAATTTCGCTGCTCCGCGACCGCGCGAAATATCGGGAGCCCTAGTTTAAGGAGCCCTTGTAAGTATGAACATGAACTAAAACATCTGATCGGTGAATATATCATCAGTACCTGTTTTTTTTTATTTTGGAAAACCAGAACTCAAGCGTCACACATTTGCCGTTTTTAAACTAAAGACACATTATCCGTCTGGACCAAACTGGGTAAACATTTTATTTTTCGTCTGATCGTGCTTCCAGACAAACTATACCAATAGACGTTGTGCGCCATTCAAGACGTATTACGAAAGATAGTTCAACTAGACGCAAATTGCGTCTTATGCCCGTTTTTATACTAGAGACGTATAACTAGAAGAACTACAAATGTTTGCCCAAGTCCGTCCAGACACATGCCACTTTATTTATAAACTAAAAACGGGTATAGCCGCATTATTCGTCTGGACGGACAATGCGTCCTTCGGTCTGTAGCTAGAAAAATTAAAACGGCCTTTGTGAAGCTTTTGAGTTTTTTAGTTAGTGTGAACAAAAGCATTGCTCACCCTTATTCCCTGATATCCTGGCGATCCCTGGTTTCCCTTTGAACCTGGAGGTCCCTTAAAGAGATAAAAAAAAGTATACAATGTTTGAAAGATAAGAAGTTCAATGCTAATCGGACAGTTGGAAATGAAAACAGCGATGTTAGTACTGGTCCGCGTCGATGAAAGTTGCTACTCGCGGGCTCTGTCTGTGAAAACACATTCAGTGTAAAAAGTTCATCCCTCTACCTTTTCAGGTTGTTACTACGACAAATAGCCCACAAAATAACCTTGTTTTATTTTAATACTTCCTTCAAAATCTCTTGATAATGCAATCATTAAATGGGCAAAAACATTTGTGACACTATGGCAGAAGTTGATTGAATGATTATGACTGCATGGTATTACTCTTTTTACACTATATTGTGTGCCCGAGAGATACAGAAAACTCCATATATGGTCGAATTAACCGAACTATGACTAGGAAGAATGATCACCAACAAAAGCCAATGAAAGGGAGACCGTGAGAATTCAGGGCATAGCGTGGAGCTGAACACTAGGGATGTTTTCACAAAAACTCCGAACTTCTATAGGAATCGAATTGGAAGAAGAATAAAGATCGGATGGCAAAATTAGCACTTATCGATGTTTCACCTAAATGTCATAAGAGTTAACTCACATCGGGTCCACCTGGGCCAGGCTCACCAATCTCTCCCTGCGGTCCTTTGAATCCCTAGGATAAGTAAGAGTATAGTAAATAATGGTAATAGGACTGAGTGAAGTCCAATTGGACGACACCAAAATCTGTTTACAATTATAGTTATGATTAAAATCATAACTCTAACATAATTTGTGATATTTTAGGTCTTTTTCTAACTAAAACACAAGAAATCTTGCTAGCAGTGAAAAATGCCATTTAAGCGCGCGCGTGCGAAGGCGCGTATTGTCCTATTAGTGCTGACACCAGGACAGCTGATAGCCAATCAGATTTCATAATTTTGTTATAGTTATGATTAATCCTGTAACTCATTATTCTAATACATGGTTACCATCACGGCGTTCCAAATTACGTGAAAGAACTGAAGTCTATGGTGTTTTAGTAAGGATTAGAGAAAGTGAAAGTAAATTGAGCATGACTTTTCGGGTCATTGCATTGCTTCCAGTTGGTACCTTTGACACTTGTTTCAATCTTTTGTGAGGTTTTTCGCCGGGTACATAAGACTAATTTTAGAAAACGGTAAACGCGATTAGCAAACGCAATTGAACAATGTTGTAGTTTGTTTCTGAAGCTGTGAACGGACCGATTTATACCCATGTAAATGGAGATCGCCACAATCGATGGAGAGTGCTATGCTAACTCTTCACCACAAAGAATGTCTGTGGTCTTGGAAGGCATATCAATATCGCCAAAGTTTGCGACAAACCGGTACTCCAGATCCTCCCTTTGTGTGAGGCGTGTGGTCAGTGCATATCGTAAGTAACGAGGAAAGAATTCGTTGATTTCTGGAATATATTTCAGCACTTCTGAATGAAATCTGTCCCGCTTACTGAGAACAGGATTTGTCTTTGGCGTCGGGGCACCGCGGATAAGACCCTGATAGCCTGCGAGCACCTTTCCTTTTCCTCGACCCATTCTCCTCACGGGACGGCGGCTTCCGCCAAAAAATTTTCCCGAACTCATACAACTGAGCCTGCTCGCAGGCTAGTACCCTTAAAACAATGACGTCTTTTTAAGTCAACGCGTTCAATGCAGTTTAGCGCGACTGTCTATAATTAATCAAACTTATTTGTTGTAAATCGATTGTTGCGGTGTATATAAAGTTTAAAATCCTACAATTAGTCCAGTTTCTCCTTGACTTCCTTGCTTTCCCGGAAGACCGAAGGCTCCCTGCAAAAACAAAGAAGAAGTACATAAATGAGTAAATTCAAACCTCTGGGAGGAGTCGTATTCTAGCTGGTGAGAAGCACCTTACGTAAAACGTGGGCTGTGTCCAGTAGGCTGAACGAAATGATTACTGTTATTATTGTCATCATCATCATATGCATTCACCGCAATGAAGGTATTTAGCAGGGATTATTATGGTAAGCTGTACAAGTTGCACTAAACGCCTGCATTGAAAGGTTAATATTTGTTTTAAAATTATACACCAGACCAAATGATAATCAGTTATCTTAAACTTTTTGTGCTGGTTGCAATCAAAACTCAGGCTTTTGGGAAGCTGCAGTGAAGCGCTCATATACTAACCTCTTGTTGGTCAAATTTGACTTACCTCGTATCCTTTGGGTCCCAAGTCTCCTGACTGGCCGGGTGTACTGATCTTATGTGGAAAGCAACAACAACAACAAAGAAAATTTACAATTGTAGAAAACCACTGCGGTACTAGTACATTTAGAACATTTTAGTGGGTGCGAGGCGAGCCGTTGAAAAATGACCATAAAAAGAATGAAAATTAAAAATTGCATGTACAATACATGTAGTCTTCCACGCAGCCGTTTTGTCTCGTCACGCAACGCTGATCCTCGCCTTCTTGGGAATGAGCTTTACGTGAAAGGACAAAAACGGCTGCGTAGGATACTACATGTTCAACTACAGACGAGAAACTCAAACCTTTGGTAACAAGAAGTAAAAAAGGTTGTCATTTGACTTACAGATCAGGCCCTAGTTGTTCAAAAGGTGGATAACGCTATCCACCGGATAAAAATCTATCCAGTAGATGGTGCAATTGGTTTCCCTAATACTTATCCGCTGGATAGTGATTTATCCGGTGGGTAGCGCTATCCAACTTTTGAACAACCGGGGCCAGAAAATCAGCGTTCTTTTCCTGCTGATAATTGAGAAACCTTTATTGTCGACTACAATTTAGTCAGCTACATAACTATAAGTAATTGCCACCGCAGGGATTTGGCCCTGGTATCGTAGTAGCTCGCGCGTATATAAAGAAAAGTACTTACAGTGAAACTATGCAGTTCGTGTCCCAGAAAAAATCTCTATTTGCTTGAACAGGGGCCGCACGGAATCGTTCGGTTATCATGACGTTTCAGTGCTCAACAATGCTGAACGCCCGACAGTAAGAAAAGGTAAAGGATAACTCAAAACAGAAAATTCCCAAAGGGACCGCTTGAATTGATTTTGTGACAGCAATTGTAAAGTCATAGCTCGATACTCTTTTGCATTACGTGAGTGTTCATTGACATTTACTTATGTATTTAAATATTGTTATTGGTCTATTAACCGACAACATACAGAGCGGGGACAGCTGTATTGTCAACTATTACTATTATACTTGCCATGGCAGCGCCTGTATCAGGAACGGTATTGACTTGAATTAAAGGTCCTTTCAAGCTGGGTATGCTCTAAAAATATAGTAAACAGTAAATTAGACGCTTACATGACATATATTGATGACGCAGGTACAAGCTGTTAAGCTATCAGACTATCAGTCGCAGTGTGATATTTGTATGCCTGTAAACTTGAATCTCTTGGTATCAAAGACACTTACTGGTAGGCCTGTGACTGATCCTGGGGGTCCTGGGGGACCAGGTGGTCCTGGATTTCCTGAGCTACCTTGAGAGCCTCTGTTTCCTCGGGAACCCTGTTTTAAGGATACACAAATAATTAACTAGAGGTCCTCTTCCCGGAACTCCGGGTGATTCTTCGCACCCGAAACCCTTTTTTACAATCGAAACATAAAGAATATTAGCTTGAGTCCCAGATCATAATCATAGCTGGTAATTTATTAAAATATCGTTTTTGTATACATATACCGAAGAGGGATCTTAAGATACATGGACTACATTACCACGACGGTAGCGGAGACGTTCATTTCGCCTTCCTTTTTTTATCTAGCCATTTAGTCAACTCAATCGGCGATTTGTCAAATGTAAAAGAATTCTTCTGGAACCGAATTATTGAGATTGTATCTTCGTTCAGAAAGAGATTGAAGAATTGGACGTCCTGTGTTTACGTCCCTCTTGCAGGCGATAGGGGAGTGCGACGCGAAGTCAGAGAGCGGGAAAAAATAAGGTGGATGAGTCTTTGAGAGGGAGAGGGGGAGGGGAGGGGAGAGAACGCCTGTGGGATTAGTTTTTAAAAGGTTATTCCGCCCACTTTGTCGGATAGTTATCGGATCTAAGGTTTCGGTCTTAACATTTGTCAATGGGTGACAGACGGCACTATTTAAAAATATGTATGGCTTCAGAGAAAAAAAATCTTTCACAGTTGCTTTCTTTGTACGACATCTCTAAAACCCTAAGAATTGGTTAGTAAAACACGTTCCACTTTCTCTTCTGGTGATTTTCATTCAGATCATAGTCTAGCGACCATTTCTTTGTGATCATTTTCTTCGAACTTTTAAATGTTGTTAATTAATTTTGAATTTGATGACTATAGCTTCCACGCTTAGCTTTGGACGACGTGCGTTGAGATCTCAAAATTTCATATAACTGAGCATGTTCCGAGATTGATTCATCTGTATCTTTTCATGAAACCATCTCTTAAAAATATCTTTGGGCTGTTTAGATATTCAGGTGAATATTTTGACAGCCAGCTTTGAGGACTCTTAGGGCGAACACAGTCGCGTTTCGTCTCTTCTGAATTGACAGTCAATTCTTCCACGCTTTCCCCACTCCAACCCTGTTGAACCGTTGAACTTGAGTAACCGCTTGCATACTGTAAAAAGTTTAATAAGCTGACTCTACGCATATTATTCCTGATGAGAGAAAAGAACTCGTTTACAAGCCAATATATAATGGTAAACTGCGAAGACCTATTTTCCATTGACCAGATCCCGCCTCAAAACGTTTTTTTTGTTCTTCGAAGATAATAATATATTCTACATTCACGGCGTTGCTTATTACGATCACTTCACCATCGTATCTCTAGTAATCAAGGTAATGGACCTTAGAGTTGTGTTGACAAGGGCTGTTAAAATAAACCAATCAAAGTAAAGGAGATACCAGAATCTGCCTGGTGTACCGGAACGAGCGTACTACAGGCGTTCCCTCACTCTTACACCCTAGGGCCTTTTTCTTCACATAATTTTCTGCTCTCTTTTTTCCAGTTTGGCAAAAACTCCTAGTAAGAGAGCATATATCACTCTTACGTTTCACTGACGGCATATTAATGGAAGTCATATTGCAGACAGAATTAAATAGTAAAACATCTTTTTTATGGCGACAACAAAATGGTAGAAGCAGCTTCAAAGTGTATTTTTGTTTTGGTGAAATAAGTTCAGGAAGCAACAGGCCATTTCCGAGTTCCCCCGGGCCTCTGTTTCAAAACGAGGTTCAGTGCTCAGCTTTGAATATGGAAATGATTTTTCATTCTCATGCAAATAAAACCCATTTTAACCAGAAAGGTTGTGCACTTGGCCTCATTTTGAAAGTGAGGGTTTTTGAAACTCGGAGGTGGCCTATTATAATGAGCACGTAACGGTAGCACTTGTACCTTAACTCCTCGGGGGCCTGTATTGCCACGCGATCCCTGTGGTCCTTGGAACCCCTGCGGTAATGATAAAAATTAGAATTTGCATCATTATCATTGTTACCATCACCAACACCACCATCACAATCATCATCATCATCATCATCGTCATTATTGTGACAACCTGAATGCGAATGCATTTTCCGACCAACAAATAATTATGTAAATTTTGTTCTGTTTTTGTTGTGTTACTTATTATTTTCTCCACTCATTTATTAATGTGTTCTTTTCATCCTGGAAGTCTACATTCCTCGCCTGTTAGATGTCACGCTGGTAAGAAAAAAAAATCAACAGCACTAACCTTAGCCCCCTTTGGTCCAGGGTCTCCGGGAGGACCATAAACCTGCAATGAGGAACAACGAACTCACTATACTTGCAATAATAATCACATTGGAACAATCAGAGATGATTACAGTGTAAACGGGTTAATGCGGACACCAATGGGACATACCATACTGTCCGTATTATCCGACCGGTGACCTTACTTTGTACTAACAAGGAGAACGCAACGGGAATCATGAAGAACACATTAGAATACCGAAGCAGATAGTTATTTTGAGTCCAGAAAAAAAATCAAGGAAAGATGAGCCTACAGTCAGATTCAGCGGCCCATTGTCAGGTTTCATTCACATCTCAAGTCACCTAGAGACATCCATACAAGACACCTATACATACATACAGCTGTACATAACTTTATTTAACTTTGGATTGTAGAGTAGCCAAAGGCTAGTATCTCCGATTAATTACTTGTACAACATCACACTTCATAAAAACATATTAGCATAAAACACAAACTGGTATTAAAAGTAAACATCTAGTTTAAGAAACTGTGGGAAAAAATTAAACGTCTAAATTCCTTCAGACTAGTGGTTCTCCAAAAGAATCAGCAAACGAGTTCCAATATCTCGCTGTGGCATATCTACCTGAGTTGAGGCCATATGTAGTTGTTTTGGGTTTTGGTAAGACTGACTAACACATTCGTACCTCTTAAGCTATAGTCAAACGTTTTAAACTGAAATAACTCTTTTAAGGTATGCTGGACAGTTGGTAACGTTAATGAATTTGAATATACACATCATCATATTCCTAATTCTCGCATTTGCCAGGCTGGGTGTATCGGCCCGCTCTAGTAAACTGTCATATGATAGTCACAGTCCCGGGGGGGTACTCCCTTATAAGGGCTTAATGGGGACGTGCGGCCAGCCAGGGTATGTTTTTCAGGATTTTTGTCTTAAACAGGGTATCGATTTTATCATTTTTTGTCTTAAACAGGGGACCTTTTCTTGGACGATAAACAGCCTGCGCGTATGTTCTACGAATGTCTTAAACAGCGTATCAAAAATCGGAATTCTGTCTTAAACAGGGTGGGAAAATCAACGATTTTTGTCTTAAACAGGGTCAGGGTATGAGGGGCCGGGCCACACCTCCCCACCCAAGGATATATGGAGTACCCCCCGGGGTCACAGTTTCAGTCCTTAAAAATATACCTCAGGATACGTTTGTTTAAGAGTTCTAGTTTTTGTTCATCTTGTGATGGACACAAATGCCAAACCATAGAACAGTAAGACAAATTGGGAAGTATGAATGCCATGTATGTCTCAGATGAGTGCTCGTGTGTGTTCTGTGGACGCAACGCTTCGGTTGGCGTCCATTTAAATAAAACCCCTGCTTCAGCGGAAGCTTAGGCCTGTTTAAAGGTCGTGCTACTGCCGTGCCGAGCTCATTTCATAAATTATATATACATTAGAATACATTTTAAGAGTTCTCAAAACCTCTTTTTATTTTTAACTTTTGTTTCCCGCGCGCAATAGCTATTTTATTCGACTGAGTTAACTTTGACGTCTAAAAACCAAGTCATGCTACAGCCTTGCTGAAGTTGAGCCAGCCCAGAACGGCAGTAGCAAGACGTTTGAAACAGGTCCTAGTCTCCTTCATGGCCGCTCGGGCCGGAGTCACGTAATGCTCACCGCGGGGAAGGCATTGCGTGACTCACCGTGAGCTGCTGCGAAGAAGACTACCGAGAGCTTAGCCATGATCAACAGAATTTTGTTTAGAAACGATTCCGCACATTGTCAGAGTAGGCGTTAGGCGTACTAGTCAATTAGCAGATTTAGCAAGCACAACATGAAGACAGACACGACAGGGCGCAGATCTCAAAACCGAGTTGACCAATAGAAGAGTGGCAAATTGGCACCGGAAGTCCGTTCGCCCGCTTTCGCGCTCTCATGTTACGTTGCATTGTATATGCTATATCTGCTTAATAAAAAAACTAACATGAGTTTGCGACTCAAGGTGACTTACCGTTGTTGTGATAAGTTCTGAGGAGACATAAAAGAGAGAGCAAAAATGAGAAGAGAACCCGCTAAGGGGGTAAAAATCATTTACTTCTACCGGTGTGCGAGTTATTTGTCCAATGCCACAGCCAATAAGGAAGCGTAATTAGGGACGGACCATTAATTTTCTAGGAGGAGGGGGAGGGGGGGGGTCATTGGTAAAGTTTCACAATGAAAACATTTTTTTATATGTGGCTCCCGCTGCACCGCTGCAAACAATTTGTTTTGTGTCTCCGTCTTCCTACAAACATTTTTTTACTTGCTTACAATTTATTTCAGTGTTTTCAGCCTCCGCAAACAATTTATTTTAAAATTTTCCAAACCCCCCCCGTCAAAAAATAATGGTCCGCCCGTAAGCATTGTTATATAGCTGGGAATTTTTCCCAACAGTGCACGCTCTCATTAAAGGTAAAGGTAAATTAAAGCAACTATACTTTACATCAGTAACTCGTGACAGTAATAAAAACTGATAAACTTGAGGTCGACGGTGCACTTATTCCCCCCCTCCCCCCCTCTCTCTCTCCATCAATGTTCCGTTTTAAGGGTATTTAAAGCAAGGTAGTTAAAGCTACACAGAAAAGAGAAAAGTTGAAACAAGGATGCGATGTTACGGAGGATCGAACTCGGGACCACGCCCACCGAAGGCCGCGAGCTAACCAACTGTGCCATCCTCCCCATTAGTTACTTCGAGGTCACATGCTTCTAGCCAAAATCTATTGCAGAAATCTATGACGTCAGACGGTAATAGTGCACTGCTACCCCGGCGAATATTCACCGACGACTACGGTTACAGCAAGGTTTAATGAATTTCCAGCTTCTATATTTCCAGCTATCTAAGAAGTCACTTAAAGACTGGTTCCACGTGAAACAGTCGAATTTCAATGTTTCCCTCGAAAGAATATTAACTGTTTCCCGAGGGACCAGTCATTAAGTGTTTAATTATTAACAAAATTAAATAGATAACCGTGACACATCTCCTTGAAGGGTTACAAGTGCTCCAAAAACCAGCCCTTCCGCTCGGGCTCTCGGGCAGACATGTGATACCCTTTCAGTGATTTTCAGAGTTCTTGCATTGCACCAGACCCCAGATCTTCTGGGGAGGGATAGCTGTTCAAGATTACTTTACTGACTACTATACATAAAGTTGTTAATTCCTATCTTGTTGATATAACGTTTGATTTCAAGCACAGCGACGTCAAAAATCACTCACGCTATGACCACTCACGCTGTTATGATCACACTGTATTCAGTGCCGCCTATAAACCTTGACATGCATTTTAATAGTATTTTTTTTTAAATGCGACCACTACAGTCCACAAAGATAATTCTGGTTACCTTACAACATAGATGTCTTGTCCCTTATATCGCTATCTCCCGTCCTTTTCTTCTAAACGACGGCTTTAATTACAATCTTCTTAACTGCATTCTGTCCTAGACAACTCTATAGTGGAATCTCGATTTAAGAAGGTTCCAGGGACTGGCAAACTATGTTCGCTATAACAAGGTTTCGTTGCATCGAATTTCTTTTACATTTTACCATTACTAGGTCGGGTCGTTCGTTTTACCGAAGACTTCGTTATATAGAGGTTCGTTTAACAGTTGAAGTCCGAAGACCCACAGCATACAAATTTCTGACCGCAGACATAATTTCATACTTACGAGCAATAGACGTTTGTAAACAGCCCAGAAGGAGTAGCGACGGCCAAGAGAGCAAAACCATGGCTAGACTTCCTATCGCAGACTTATAATTCTACTGTCCTTGAACCATTTATACGACAAACATAAGCACAGACTTTGAAAGGATTGCTGTCGCATGTAGAGTGCATGGAGCAAAGGATTTGAATAGCCCCTTGTGAAATATGAGTTTACAAACATAACGCGATGACAGCTTGCTAATTAAAAATTCATTCAACGTCGTGACACAACCGGAAAATACTGTTCTGTCGGAAAATTTCGTCTTTGTTCTCCTAGGTTTCTAACACGAATTGCTTCGGAATGAGTAGAATTTTTAAAGTTAAACTTTCATTTTTAAAAGGCTGGAGTACAAGTTTAGGCGTTATTCGGCATATTGCTTGACATTCTTCGTTTTAATACTATTGTCTAAACTGTCTACTATTAAAAAATAGAATTGGCCATTTAAATTTTGATCACAACTAAAATAGCGATAACGATTTCAAAAATTATTGTAAAAAAATCAGGGTTTAACCAAGGCGTTTTTCGTAGACCCGAAGTAAAAGTGGCTAATTTTCCCCAAGCATGAGTCTACAGCTCACGTAAAAAATATAACGCATCTAATTATTAACAACTTGAGTTACCTTCCCCGTTCTGTCCTTTATTCTGAGTTGTTAATATGACGACAGTATGTTAAAACATTGACCTAGACTACCCAGTAGTGCTTTGGTCCAGACAAAATATTATTGATGAGCACAAGCGAATGGGACCTCGAGAAGCACCATGTTCGCACTTTGTCTACAATTCTACTGTGTTTGAGGTGGACCCACCCTCCTCACCCCCTTCCCCTAAACGAACAACCCAATTCCACTATCTTTATTCACTATACTTACTTGGACAAATCTTTTGCGCTACTTGAAATGCAAGCTTGGGTATGTCATAAATTGACTGCACAAAGTAGAGTCCCCTGTTTTGAAGCAACTCTAATTGACGTTGTTGGGCGGATCCTGCGCCTACGGCGTAGATTTCAAATCCCCTTCGTTTTAGTTTATTTGCTGGGACGAATGGATTGCCAGGTGGCGTTTGAGCCCCATCTGTCACGATCACAACCACCTACAACAGAAAGGAAGGAATAACTGTTAACAAAATACAAGAGTACAATCGAACGCGACATTTTGCGCAAAGCGCGAGACAAGCGTGGGGATCGCGAGTATTCTTCTCACCTCGTCTCGCGCTTCGCGCAAAATGCCGCGTTCGCCTCCAGTTGCTTGGCTCATAAAACGCCTGTTATGCATGCTGACAAAATTGTTGAGGCACTGTCCCCAAGGAGAACAAAATAATCAATACTCCCTCCATCCTCCATTCAAAAGTTGGAGTGTTTGTAATTTCCTAAAGGTAGTTCAAACAGCGGCACGACATTGCATAGAGGGGGTGGGGTGGGGGCCCGATTGCAGCATGATGAAGGTGGATTGGCTCAAGGAGCCTGCGTGTAGTTCCAAGCGGTCAAATCATGGAGAAGGCGCGCAAAAAAGAAGGCGAATGGGGTAGGGGGAAGGGCGAGTTATGTCTCTCTTTTCCTCTCATTCGTTTTCTTTTTCACTCTCTTCTCTTCCCAATTCGCGCCGTTTCTCATCTCTCGCCTGGACCGCAACCAAAAGGATATTTATATTATCGAAAGGACGCTTGAGAATATGTAACTCAATGGGAAATAACATCAAATACGTATTGAGAAGTGGATGGCACTATGAAAAACAATAGTACTTAGCAAAGGACTTGAGGCACAAGTAAAACAGATTACGTAATTCACACCAAGGAAAGGAAGGATATAATTTAGACTTGCCACAAGTCGACCTCACGAGTCTTTCAGCGAGCGACGAAGTCGCGAGAGGTCGACCTTCGTCTTGCGCCATATTAGATCGGACGAGGAACATTTTTAAAAGTCTAGATAGAATTGCGACTAGATTTAGTTTTTGGTAGAGAAAAAGCAATAGTGAACTCTTTAAGCTCAGAACGACTGAGTGTCTTACTCCACAAACATGCTGGAAAGCACTCCCCCACAAAAAGTGGCTTGAAAACCATGTGCGTGGCAGAAATCGCCACGGCCGACAGACATGGTTAGCTGGGAGATTACTCGCCCTTCCCAAATCTAAGAACTCCCGCCGTCGGACAGCCGAGCCGAAGCTCAGCGGCGAGGCTGAAGGGAGCGAATTCTATTGAGCCGAAGAAAACTAGGAATCAGGTGGGACGACTCGCCTCAGTTTCTCCTTTACACTCTTTCACACTTCGTATTTTCAGTATTTGCGCCCTGTTTCCCTTCATTTGTTGCTGCTAAGAGTCCACAAGCACCTTTCTTTTCGAATTTTACTTCATGACGTACTATCTCTCTGGGGCAATTGGCTCCTTATGGCGGATTTCCATTGTCGCATACCTTTCACGTGCGTACGCACTTAATTTTACGGGCGTAAATAAAATGGGGGAGGTGTATGAAAGGTCACGCGCAACATTTCATTTATCGTCTCTATTTTATTTACGCACGTAAAATTTAAGTGCGCACGCACGTGAAAATTATGTGACAGTGGAATCCGCCCTTCTTTTGGGATACGGGTTTGAACCTAAAATTTCTTAGCTTAAAATCCTATGAAAAAAATAGTGAAAATGAAGAAATGATTGTCGCAGTGAACGCAATTTATGCAATTGCACAAAAGTCCTGCTGAAGAGGCTTCACTTAAATGGTAACAGAATTAAAAGTTAGAGTGACAAGCTATCTCGCCAGAAACTTGGGCTAGGCATGAACTGGTTAAGTTATTTCCTTCACTACCACTGGTTGCCATAGGATCATGAACTACTAAGAAAAAGCTACTCAGGAAGGTGTCTAGATAGCCTGTCCACAGACGTTGACGCGCACCCTACAAGCGGTAAATTAATCCGCTGCGGTTTTTATTCTCATACGCTAGCTCGAACATCTTGAATGAGAACTTTCACGTAGATCGTCTGTGAACAGGGTAGTGCCCAGTTGGTTCCGAAGGTACCCGGCTACAGAAGGCTCTCTAGACTATCAAAATCAGAAAATATTAAGCCGGCAGAGCGGGCGTTATTTACCCTCGACTGCGAGCAGAGGTAATAACAAACCAACTGCGCGACTGACGAGCCACGTGAACGACTTTACTGTTGAAGGAAATAATAAGGACGTACCTTCCTAACACTGGGATCTGTTCGATACGAAGGCGTGGCGTTGTTGTAAAGTTTTTCATTCGCATCTTTAATTCCCAAATGTAACTGTGTATTAGCGAATGGTTCTGGTCCAGCGAGATTAAGAACCCTGTTGATAACAGCATCCTTGTCTTGTCCTTCGCTAAACCCAAATTCAACGTTAGAATCAGCACCAAATTTTATTACACCAATATGAGACCCATCAGCAGAAACGTTCACTTGACGGACAACATTAGCAACAAACTGTCGGACTCCAGGCCACGCAAATGTAATGCTTCCGGAAGCGTCCAATATGAATCCAAGGTCAAGAATGCATGGATCGCCTGGGTTCTCTAAACAAGATAACAATAAACGGATTAAAACCGTTACAATAAACTGACACCAGTTTTCTCATGGACGAATCATTTTTCAAGTCAAATGTCCCTCTAATATTACAAATCAAGATTGTCCTATTGCTGCTAATTTCAGTAGAGTTATTAAACTTCCTGCGATTTCAAGCCAAGCAGATAACGATGCGAGATTTCAGAGCCTCTTTGATAAAGGGAAGGGGGGGGGGGGCAGGGACGGATCCAGGATTTTTTTTAGGAGGAGATGCACCACTAAGAAATGGCGTAACTGACTGGTCACGTAAACCTATTTTAATACAGAATACCAGTTGTATTAGAAAGCCGCAAGTCATCTCGGGGGGAGGGGGTGGGTTGGGTGCGCAGCCCCTGCACTCTCCCCCTAGATCCGCCCCTGACTTACCGTTTAAACCTTACACTCTGACAGATGGTGATACATTATTCTAGCCTAACACTGATTAACATGCTAAGTTTCAAGTTTTGCTTTGTTGCCCTCGCTGTTACGTTGAAATGAAACAGTAGCGCAGCCTTTGAAGAGACCTGTTGTATTAATTAAATTTATATCTAGCGAAGTGTTTAAAAACATGCTCCAAAAAGGCCTAGATTATTCGCACAGCAATAGCCAGGTTTCTGGTGACTTCGGCCGGTGAGAATTTTCATAAGCGGTTTGTTTTTTTTTAATAAGCTGCCACGGTCATGTAGGGCTCTAAAGCAGCTAGGAATGACCCCGGGGGGGGTACTCGCAGAAAAATTGGGTAGGGGTGTGCGGCCCGCTTCCCAAAACCCTTACCCTATTTATGACCAAAATCTGCGATTTTCCCTACCCTATTTATGACCTAACCAAAAATTTGATACCCTATTTATGACCTGACCCTTAAATCAATACCCTGTTTCAGACCTGCCTTATAATTATTTCCCTAGTTCAGACCAATGTTAAAGGCAATGTTTATCTGCTTTTATTAGGTTAGGGGGACATGATAAGGAAATAGCTTCTTCTAAAAAAGTGCATTCAAGACTACAGTGCAAAAATCTTTTCCCTATTTATGACCAAAATGGCGGCAAAATAGCCAAAATCGATACCCAATTTATGACCAAAACGGCTGAAAAACCCTACCCTTTGGGGCCGCACATACCTGTATAGCCCATATTAGGGAGTACCCCCCCCGGGGGAATGACCAAGTTGAAAGTGATAGAATTTGATAGATTTGAATATTTCTTTGCCAAATAGGAGTCAAGAAGGGAGTCATATGGCTTATAGGAAAGAGCTGAATTTTTCTATAGTAAGGTGGCCATTGACCCCTTTATTTAAGTTAAGTTAAGCTTTGTGGCCAGACCTGGTGCGGTTTTCGTAAATTCGGCTGATCTTCTTTCTCTCTCTCATTTCTTACGAAATTTATTCCCCTTTGCACTCTTTTTTAATTGCCATATCAAAAATCGTCGTCTGGCTAATCCTATTTGGTTTTTCCATTTTCAAGAAATATGGAAAGTGTCCATAAATATTTCGTAAAGTCAATTCAGTGGGCCTTGTGAGGCTATGAGCTTCTCACGCAAACAACTAATCTGGTGACTGTACTGTCCGGGCGTCACGCGATGCAAAACAGAAGAATGAGGCATTTGTTCCCTGGTCCTCGTCTTCGCCTCTAAAAGCACTGTAAATTTACAATTAAGTGTGTTTTAGGCTTTAAAACGCTGGTAGCTACTAACCCAAGCCAACTCCAGCCTATAGGGACGGTATCTCCGTTGTAACGTAGCCTGTATAACATACAGGCGTACTCTTTGAAGAATGGCGCAACGATTGATATAAGCTTATTGACCAACCCACATCAATCACCAAAAAAGATCAAAAACCATTTAGCGAGAGGATTTGATGAAACAATTAACTTAGCGCTGACTTTTCACTTTTCCTTTCGTTGGCCTGAAATTGCCTAGTTTTTAAACAGCATCGATATTTCTTTCATGTGGTATTAATTTTGTTTTGTCAACAATTCCGTCCTCGTTGATCTAAGATAACATGAGTCTAAAGAATGAGTGCGTCTTTGTTTAAAGATGTACTTTCCGCATTATTAACGTTTAAAAAAGTTTAGAAGTTACCTTTATCGAGAATGAAGACCTTTAACGATATATTAGTCGATGTAGGTGAATACACTTTGGATATACTTTCCTTTTTGGTTCTTACCAAGCTATGTTATGATCTGTTATGTGCAATGAGTTGCAATGATCTTCGACTTCAATTTGCCGCCCTTGATCGAGTTTACTTGCAACGATGGCTACTTCAGTGAGAGGTCTTAACATACATTGAAAAGGTATAAGGTAGAATTTTCTTTAAAGTTACCGAAAAACCTAGCTCTTTCCCCCAAAACAAGGTGATGAATATTTTGGATAGTTTACTCTCCCTCTCATCCTTTTTGGAAAGGATAACAATCATGAGTGTAACTCTTTGAGTAATGCAACACTCGGTTCCAACTACATTTCTTCTGCAAATGGAATAATCTTGTTGCCTTGCAGTTACAAGCACGTTTTTCTAGTAGAGGACAAAGAACAGAGGGGACAGCCAGACATATGGTGATATATAAAGTCTAGCGTGCTTAAGTCGCAACAGCATGCTTACATGTAACAGATTGAAATTACTTACGGGCTGAAGATGTCTCAATAAGAAGAAGTCCTAGAAAAAGCAAGCGACTCCACGTGGTCTTCAACATTCTCAGTTCCCGTAAAAATGATGCAAATGATACTACTCTCGAACCATTTATAAGTCAAAAGTTGACCAAGATTGATGGTCGAGGGTCTATCGCGTAGCAGACACTGGAAGGTAGCTTCAAAGAGCCCTTTGTGAAATACGAGTAGGTGTCCTTTGCTTCGTAGACCGATTCCAATTCGCGCGCATATTATGTAACGCCACTCCCATTTGAGTTGCACCCCGAACTTCATGTTAATGTTAGCTTTGAATCCTTTTCTTTTACTTGTTAGGTAACTCTAGTGCGATCCAGCAGTGCATAAGACTCTCATCCAGGCGACGCACTGACTTCACCTAGTAACGATACTTAGGGACAGACTGTACCCCCCGCCCCCCACTTCTCTTCACTTAGGTTACCTTCAGGATAATGCATAGACTTTCGAGTGACTGAAAATGAGAAGTTGATCCAGTCGTCTTGACGCGCGATCTCCTTTACCGGGAAAATCGCGAAAGGGAGAACAAAAGACACTGAAGTTGAGTGAGGAATGCGTACAGGAATGTAACACAATCCCTACTCAAGTAAAATTTCGGAGGTCCTAAACCTGCGTAGCATGGCGGTTTTGTCGGGAGCACTACTGAGCGGCGAAAGCCGCAAAAACGCGCGCGGTTTCTCTGCCCTCACCCGCCTTTCCTACTTTTTGCGCGCCTAGCCGAAACCGCCATGCTTCGCAGGCTAAGAGGCCCTCAACTACCGAGGCAAGTGCAAAGCACTCCTTTAGCGTCAGTTCCACACAACACAGGTGGGAACCACACGTCAGTTTTCGCATAGACTGTGAGTAGTCTCACATTTTTTTTTTCAATTTTAACCGCTCGCGTAAACGAGCTCAATCAGCTAATATAATATTATTATTGTTATTATCATTAATTTTTATTGTTTTTGTAACGCCCAGATTGAGATGAAAACTAGACGGATTTTAAGAGAAAAGGCGGACTGCAAGCAGGTCTAGTTTTTGTTTTAACACGGCATGCACTGGGAAGGTGGATCAGCAGTCACTGTTATTTATTTATTTTTTTTCATTTTGTGTCTCGAGAGCAGTAATTTACATCAAAAATGGAACATGGAAATTATTAGCTTAATATTAATTTGTTTCTGGACGTATACTACACATCCCCATCTAATAGTTTTGGATGCAGCCCCTTTTATTCTTTGCGAAAAAAAAGATATTCGCAAAGAAGTCCACCTTCGGATAATTGTCATTTCGGTATCGGCCAATTTCGACCGATACTGATATCGAAGCTGATTTAACCGGTTTGTAGGCTAGGAACTGTGTTATTATTCAATAGGTTTGGATCTGCTTTCGGGAATTCCTAGAGAGGGGCTTCTGGGGTTTTGGGTACATTTTATTAATTATATGTAACAAAATTTACCGTTAATTAAAGATGCCATAAGCTGGGTGCCTGATACTTTTCCCCTACAATGGAGGTCAAAAGTGTTGGGACCTTTCCAGTGATATTACTAAAACTAGCGACCCCTTCCCTCCCACCCCAAACAAAGTTGAATTTGGAGCAAAATGGGTGAAAATGAGTGCTTTTTTTGGCCACAACATTGCTAGGGGAAGTGGGGGGAAGACGGGATGAACCCAAAGCCGAACAAAAATTTGTCCTTAGGAGCAGAGTCCTACGGAACTATTGCTTGGAAGGGCTTTTTCACACAGTCCCAAGTTCTTTTTTCCTCCATTGTAGATAATGTGAAATTGAAGAGGCTTTGCCTTGACAGAACAACGCCTTTACGGGAGGGGGGTGGCAGTTTTAACACCGTGGATGAGCTCTAATAGACCTTTCCCGTATTCCTCTCATGTGAACAAACAAAAAGAAATGAGGACGAGGTTCGGGTGGACAATTTCATACAAATCACTGTAATTTGTCCAGCCAAGCCTCGGGTTGGTGCCTTTGTTTACAGGAACACGAAAAAGGTCTATTCGTCCAATATTTTTACTACTATTCTTGTTTTTGCCAAAAGAGAAGGCAAAAAATAATGAGGGTAAGGGGTTAATAGATTTAACGGAGATCCAAGAAACTAGAGACATGCAATAGAGATAAGTAACTGTAACATTTTTTGAGTTTTTCTTCAGATCATTTCAAAATAAATAAACATCTGATCGCATAAAAATAGAGGGAAGGAGACCGTTAAACGTAGGTAAGTGTTTCGTCTCTAATGCACAATTACAACTGAGTGTAGTGCTACTGAAGCAACTATATTTCTTTTGTTAAAGCAAGGTTAATTAACAAACAAAACATTTTGTGGTTGAAGTCGTCAACAAATGTACGTAGTGCTGTGGTCGATTAGTTCAAATATGAATGTCGAATTTGCCCCTTTATTAAGCGAAAAGAATTTAACTTGCACTTTTCAGAGGATAAATCACAAAGTACCGTTGACTGGAACCACACAATGGTTTTTGTTTGATAGCACGATTTGTGATTTTTTTTGTTCGATACTTCTTTTACATGAAATAAATAAAACACGTTTGCCATGTAAGGGAATAAATTTGTATATTGCTATAGTATCTGTATATATTTAGGCAATGGCCGAGTAATACAGTGAATTCATGAATTCTTCAGACTGCGCATGCCTTATATCGGTCTTAAAATATACCTTAGCTTAAAATTGTGCTTATCTTTGCGTTACGTAACTAATATAAGAAACAGACGGGTCCTAATTCGATGATGAAGTCTTGCTTGAGGTCTGTACCCCGGCCAGCGACATCGTAAGGAGCAGCATCGATCACTGGCAAAGCTTCCTTGACAGTTGTGTTAAATTCCAGGATAGTTTGATGCCACTGATTATCATGTACCTGCCAGTTAACAATAATGGCACAAAACGGAATTAGGTCAGTCAATCAAACCATACATCAATCGATCAATTAAACAATCAATTAATCAACCAAAAGAGCCAGTCATCAATCAATGAACCCTTTAACTCATTAGATTTTCGAACATGTGGTAAATTGAACTCATTTGATGAAGCTAACTTAAAGGCCTCTCTCAACAATTCGCTATTTACACATAGACCATAATGCATCTTGTTTATGCATAACCATTGTTTCCAATTCCTCCTGGATATTACAGTGGTCTCAAGAGAAATCGAAGACACTGGTTATGCAAAATTTTGGGGGGTAAACAAGGAGCATTATGGTCTATGTGAAAATGGTGAATACCATAAATACTCTTTGTTGTCCCTCAAAAATTGTTTTCGATTTCTCTTGGGGCAATTGTAAGTCCCAAGAGAAATTGAAAACAGTGCTTGCCCAAAATGTTGGAGGGACAACAAAGAGTATTATCACGGTATTTTTTTGAAAAAGGCCTTCTGAGATTCAGTTCTTCATGGCGAAGCACCACCGACTCTTTTAAAACTAACCCCTTCATTATTTTTTTTCAGCTTTACAAGTTATTATTGAAAGCAGAAAGAATTCAAGAAAGACAATTGTGTCTTTATGTAGGACGTGTAAAAATAACGAAGGAATTAAAGTTTTATCTGAATGGACTGCAGACTTGAAAGGCACTCCTTTTTAGAGGCCTTTTGCAATAGTTGGTCACCTGTACACAAAAACCTTTTCGCTTATGTAAAATTTTGTTTTTGCCAAAAGCGACCTGTTTTAGTGTTTAGGGAAAGTTGATCACGAGACCAACTATTGCAAAAGTCATATTGACCACTCCAGAAAATACCATAACATAACACAATGCTTTTTTTTGTCACCCCCAAATTTTGCATAAGCATTGTTTTCAGTTTCTCTCGAGGCCATTTTAACTCCCAAGAGAAACTGAAGACAAATTTTATTTGAATGGACTAGAAATCAAAATGGCACTCCTTTTGGAGTGGTCAATTTTGACAATTACATCTCGATGGAATCATGGGCAGCTTAACGGGACAGGAGAAAAGCGGGCCAAATGATGTACGTTTACAAAACCTACAACGATTTCGCCGTGAATATGGTCTCCGCGAATAGAAGGAAGAAGTGTGACGGGGCCCGCAATAGGCCATTTGCACGTGTACGATGACGTCATTTTACTTCTACGACCAGAATCCTTCAGGATTTTGATTTCTTTTGCAAATTAGGGCTTTTGTATTTTGAACTTCACTGGGATTACCATAGATAAAACGAGAATGATCCTGGCCATAGTAGTTCAACCAAATGGTCTTTGCGGGTTTGATCATGTAGGTGGGTGGGTTTGCTGGGAAATTTGTATCTCTGACGAAAAGGAAAATACTTTTCTCGACGAAAATAAGTTAGTTATGCTGATGTTTTATTTACGTGTACGATGGCATTTACCTTGCATTCATTTGTAACAACAACTGGTCTAGTTTTCTCTGAACTTGTCAGCTCCATGTCGTTATCTCCCTGTAACTTAATGGTGAGGCCGTCAACATCTTCCCAGGCGCGAGAATTCAAGCAGTGATATGTGATATTTTGGCTCACGCTTCTACTTAAAAGTCGCAAAAATTGCATCTGTACTGAATTCATACCGTAATTTATCTGAAAAGCAAAGAAAAATTGATTATTTGCAAATAAATAATATTAGGGGATAAATACGCAACACTGTATAAATAAATACCTCCAGATCACGTATTTTAAAATGTTAAAGGGAAATTAAATCTAATATCCGATTCAGTCAAGATGTGATTTAGGCTATGCTCACGCTACAGTCACCTCTTTCCATAGCGGACAATGTTGGGACGTCGAGATCGTGTCCTCATTATCGACAGTCCGTAATAATGGGAGTTTATTGTAGTCAAACGTCTGTAATTTATTTTTGCCTGGGATTTAGCTGTTGTCCGTATTATCAGTCGGGGTGTCCGTTAGAGCACGTGTCCGCAAGGCGAGAGTTCACTGTATACCGGAAAGCTCTCGCGCCGGTATGAAAACTACACCGAAAACGGCTTCTGTTCACGCATAAGAACAGTGATTTTGGCGCGATTTCTGTAACCGGCGAAGCTGCGTCGTGACGATCTCGAAAGTGGAGCGTCACATATCGGATAGGTTCTGTGCCACACTTTGGTACAGTAGGAACAGGTATCCGGACCGTATCGGAAGTGAATAATTAGGGCTGAGGATTGGAATCCGGGGGGTTACTTGGGTTAACTTTTGCTGGGTATGTGCCGCTGGCCTCTCAGAATCCCTACCCCATTATAGTCGTTTCTGTGGATATTTTAAAAACCCCGTCTTACTCACTTTGGGAAAATAAGTACTTTTCGCAATCCCAACCTAGTCACTTTCTGTTTATGTATCTAGCCTATACAGCCTTTTAACTTGCTCATCCTGGAGTGAACTGACACATTTGTTAAACTTAATGTGGTGTAAATCTTTCTATTTTTTAATCCCTACATACCTGAAGTTTCTCACCCCCAAAATCCTAAAAATGTGCGACCCCATTTTAGTAACTCTTATAGAAATGCAACCCTATTATAGTCAATCCAGTCGTGAAAATGCGACCCCACCCAGTGGCACATACCCATTAGTTTTTTACTAGGAAGTACACCAAACCCTCGGGACTTGGAATTAGCTCATGAAACCCTCTTCTTGTGCCGGCATGGTTTGAACATAGCCTTACTTGCCTTTAAGATATCGTTAGAGATCAGTTTACATCATGCACTAGTTATACCACTCATCTTCATAAAACATTGATTAACTTACAAGTTGTGTATCAGTCCTTTCACCCATCCATTGAAATGGTTGTGCGTCCAGAAATTTAATCTGTGATGAAAGAAAATCGTCGTCACGCATGAATTCTTACAGTGAGCTACATAGTCTGCATTGCAGGCTTCAAGGTGGAATTCTAAGCATCTACGTGGGATCCTCCATGCAATCTTTGATTTTGAAAAGAGACGGGGATTAAGGAAGGCAAAAAAAGCTTTCTTGGCCGTTTTCTGACGTTCAGGAGGCTGGCTAGGAATACCTAACATCGATTGGATTCGACTGAGTTCAAAAGTGAACCCAATCCATGAAAGTGCATCCAAACCTAATTGCGGGGGACATAAGCAGCCAGCAATCCCCATCTCCAGATTGCTATTACGCATGCTAGACATGTATGAAGCCAAGAATGAATGGAACGCATAGAACGCAATGTGATCGCGCGCTCTGACCTTCTGTCACGTGAAACTTACGCAAAGCACCAGCATCAGAGTCATTAGAGCAAGAGCGTTATGAGCTATTATCAAATGCCACATTTGAACCGGGTCTAAGGCGTATTTCATTTTAGTCATAGTATATGGGCAATGCAAAATACTCCATTATCGTTTGAATCTTTTCATTTTTCAAATATATGTGTAACGTGGAAAAGGTTTAACTTAGTGTGTGGACAACGTTCAACTGTAACACGTTCTTCACCGCAAGAGCTATAACATCGAAGGCGCCCGAGAAAAGTTAACAATTATAAAGGGTAAGCAAATGATAAGCAAAGTCGTAATAAATCTAACCTCTTTGTTATCCGGAAAAACACAAGTGGCTCCTCTTTCGAAATCGCAGTACACGTATTCTGCGTCGTTGTAACAGCCTTCGTTTGGATCTACCCAGTACTTGCCTTGGGAAAAAGAGAAAAACAAGAAAAATTGTTAATACAGTGTCGTAACAAACTCATCGCATAGGACCAAGAAATCGATAACGGATTGGGAGAAGGGTCGAAAGTAGCAGAGGTATCCGGTTTGTTCCCCTGGCTTGGATTTGCAGACCTAAAAAGACCGGTGTCGATTTAACAATAAGGAATGAACCCTTTTCGGACGTAACATTGTCCACCTAGTACGCGCTTGAGAAATGCACAAGTAGAATTGGTGCACGCAATGGAGAGGGACACGCGCCTGTCTTCCTTGATCACGCCTATGGAAACTCAGCCTTCATCTATCAATAACAGGGTTGATGTCCTCAGTTGCCTAGTAACAGAAGGTTGACAAACAGTACCGTATACCCAAAGTTTGAAAGGAGTAATGTAAAATCAAGAACAAAAGAAAGCCTAGTGCTAGCCTTGTAAGTAAGGTTTCGAAAAGGTTTGGTTCTTTTCGTCAAGATATTGAACAGAAAAATATGTTGACTAGCACCGTTTTTCGGGAATAGACAGAATATTTCCTATAACAGAAGCTTTGCGTAGTGGGTTAGCTGTTTCCAATCACGTAATCAGTCTGGTGTTCGAGTTCTGTCTAATTCATGGCTCTTCTTTCTTCCTTTCCTTTTTAATTTTTTCTTGGCTGTCACCATTTATTTCCTTCTGTTGACCTTTTCCCTCTCTAGGTTTTGCCAGACACTCATTTCCGTTAATAAACAAATTTTGAGTTTTGCACTGTTGAAACGAAGGACGCGCACGGTTCACTTACCACTCGGGTAATCAGGATGCTCAAGGTGAAGTTCTCTGCAAGATCTTGCGGGAGAATTTCTAGTACCGCTTTGTGATTTGTAGAAATAAATAACATTACGAAGAGCCGTCAAATAATTTAATGTCTCAACAGGCTCTCCCTCTTCTTTCTATAAGAGAAGAGAAATTACTTTAGATTTATTCAAATATTGAAAAAGAGTTAAAAAGGTGGCTGTCATTATAACATTTACTTACGCGGCATCTCCTTTATAAATAAACTTTTAAAAAATTATTTTACTTGAGGAGATTGTCATAAACAAAGAATGTTAAGCCCAGTAGCATATGTTCTTATTCGCCTTAATAAATGTTATAAAACTGTTCTTATTCAATGGTAAAATCCTTAATAAATGTTTGTTAAAAAGTTTCGAAAAAAAAAAAAAACAAACCATGGAGAAAAACTCTTTCGAGATCCTGCCAAAATTTTCCGAAAAATCCCTCCGGGAGTGCAATTAGTAGAAAGGAAAGTGAAGTAAACACGGACTTAAAAGAAAATGTTTTCGATCCTGGTGAGGATGACCTCACAACATCTGGATTAGAGGTCACTAGAATCTACCGGCGCCCTAACCGCGTGGGACTGGAGAGATATGGTATGTGAATTATTTACTCACTCAACTCTTCAATCTCGCTCTATCATCAAAGCTCCAAAAGTATCGAGTTCTTGCCCTCCCAAAAAATAATAATAGGTAATTGTGTCAATGCGTGAGAGGATTGTAAATATAAATTACCTCTTTTGACGAGTAGAGTCTGAATCCTGGACCTTTGTTTTGGCTTCCATAAATCTAAAGATACATTACGTTAATAACGGATCAACAGGGAGTGGGATTATCATATATTGTTTTCAATATAAAGTAAACTCGAGTTGTCGATTCACGCAGGAGGTTGATAAGTGCGAAATAGGTGCAATAGCTATATTGTATCTACAGAATGTATATCATCAACTACTTATGAAAAGTCAAAGTCGGAATCAAAAACCTCGTCGACATCGTCTTTAAGGTGATGTTTATTTGATTGTTGGATGAGCATGCGCTTTTCCTCTGTTATGTTATAAAACGCTATAAAGCACAGAATTAATTAACAAGCAACTCAATGATTCTGGCCCGATTCACTGAAGAGGACTGGAAGGACGAAAACGGGGATGGAGATGGATTATTTATTCTTCATATTCAGTCTTCGGTTAGGGAGGGAGCTCATTCAATAAGGCCCAAGTTTTCTATTTTAGCTTCCTCGGCAGAAAAATACTTTTAATTCTTTTACTTATAATTCACGTCTCTTTAATCTTTAAAGAACATTTTTGTAATGTCTTGAATGTCTGTATGTATATGTGTTATTTTTTCTGGCAAACAAATACACTGAAACTGAAACTGATCGAAACATTTGACGCTACATAAAGCATCTCACATAGATAACAATGAAAATGACAATAATTGCTACTTACCCAGTCAGGATTTGTTATTTTCAGACGACCAGGAGGTCCCTGCAGGTTACAGGAAGAAGTGAGAAGTCAGTACAAATAAAAATACCGCTCAGCAATCGAACACTTCCTTTTGCTATCGAACATTTATTATGAAAGGAATATCGTGTGACTTAGCCGACAAACAAAGGCAACGAAATAAAAGATGAAATACAAACCATACCAATCAAAAAACATACCTGGTCTCCGGGTGGACCTGGGGGTCCAGGGGGTCCCTGAAAGAAAACACGTGTAGTGCGTGGAGACATGAACAATGAAGCAGATCTCATTGAATAAAATAAACAGTTATTAACAAGTAAAACGGTATTTACTGCGCTTTTCACAAACATGCGAAGTCTAAAGTTCAAAAGCCGCCTTCACAGTTGCGTTTTTCGCTGCCGTCAATCACAATTACGATCACAAGCAACGAACCTTGAAACACAGAAACACACAAAACGGATCGGAATCCACCAATCACAAACCACAAACCTTGACCTTTTGAACCCGTCAAAGTAAAGTTTTGTTTCCTCAGAGGTCCGTTCAGATGATTGACGGCAGCGAAAAACGCAATCGTCAGTTGGCTTTTGAACTTCAGAATTCGCCTGTTTGTGAAAAGCGCAGTAAAAAGCTGCAGTTTTTACGGCTATGTTCGTTCGTTTTATTGAGAATTTTACTGGGTACTCTCCAGAAGCAATAACCTCGTTCGCTCAGCTGTTGCAGTGTCTTTACGTTTAAATACGTTTTCAAAATCGTAACGTCCTATTAACATTTAGTTTTCGTTCTCCATATAAGTTATTTGAAAAAATGATGACAGTTCAAACAAACAAATCAACTTACTATAAGTCCATCTGTCCCCTGCAGAAAAAAACGAAACTTTCAGTTCTTCCGGCAAATTATTGGGTGGAATGAAAACAAAAGCAAATGAAAACATCAAGAAACCAATTACCAACGACGGTTATAAAATGATCCTAAAAAGAAAAGTAGAAAACATTACCCTTCCTCCTCTCTCTCCCTTGCAAAGAAAAAAGAAAACCATGATCAATATTTTATTTATTTTTAGCAAATAATTACTAAAATTATACAGCGTTACTGGATTTATCAATTTAAACAGTTCACTACAGATGTAAATCAGCATTAAAACGGCGAAGGAGCAGCCTCAGAATCCGCTTACATAAGAGAGTATAATTAAGTAGTATTGTCGGTTTAGAATATCCACTGGGATGGGAAGCTGATTATTAATAAATAAATGGGCAGGAAAGTCAAAGCAAAAAAGAAAGAGAACTTCGCCTAAAAAGTAATGCTCCTTTATACTCTCTTGGTTTATTATATAAACAAATACTTTAAGAGAAAATATAGCGAAGATAAGGTATACAAAAGCAATAGATAGACACGCATCAAACATCGTTGACAACTCTTCCGAACATTGAAAAATTATATATATACATGGGTAATAGAGAGACTCTTTCTATTATCCACGATATATTATTAACATGTTTCACGATAAGCTAATTATGCTCTTACAGGAGCTCCTGGATCCCCTTGCGGTCCTCTGTTTCCCTGGAAAAATATAACCAAAAAATGGCTATTGGTTGTGCTGTCATCATGTTGAATATATTACTATGTAAGATCTTGACAAATTTTATATTTGGCTTCATAAATCATATGGCTCAAGTATTTGTTGGTATTACTGATTAAGTTTATGCGGTAAATTATTCATTGTAGCTATTTCGTTCACCTGTTCTTTGTCAACTAGACGGGGTAAACCAAGGAAATGCGTGTGAATTATTTATCGAGGAATGACGCTATAACTAAAAGCATAATAACTCGTTCAATTTATCGAAAACGTTTACACATTTAGTTTTCTCTCAATGTATTCTGGGAATGAGGACTTCTGAGTGCAAACGCTCCGTTTGTACTTTACCGACTCCCATCACAACTCATGATGTCCTCAGTGACATACGTACAGCATCCTACATGTATTATCACCCAAATCATTTTAAATGACTTGATCATAAGTTCAATAATCATCGTACTTATTCGCTTAAGACTTTTCAAAAATGGACAAACTGTGCTCTCAAAGCAAATTCCTTCAAAAACATAACAGACAAGACTTAAGACAATTTAATTTCTCTGAACTCCCCTTTTCACACGTACCTCCCCTCCAGCATAACCTTGTGGTCCAGGAGGCCCTTGATGCCCTTCAACACCCTACAGTATTGACAAAATGTTAAATGGTCAACATTTTTTCCACAGGCGAATTAGATAATGTTGAGGCCGATCCCTTTTACAAATATGGTGTAAATAAATAAATTTAGCAATAACAACAATTATCTTAATTCTAGTTAAATAAGAATAAAAAGAAAAAATTATAAATAAGCAAGACCACAAGCCAAAAGAAATAAAGCCGCCAATCGTAAATCAACAATGTGTTGTTTACAATCTCTCATGTGATCTGTGCGATGCAGATTATGTTGGGTATACAGCTCGACATCTCCACTAACAAATTGTTGAACATAAGAACTCGGCTATCGGTTATAAACTTTTTGCGGAAGCTCATGGGCAATTAGGTAACCCCAAAGAGGGCCAATTTCGACTTCTGCGAAAGTGCCAAACGAAGTTTGAATGCCTAATTCATGAAATGCTGTTTATAAAAAAGATCAAGCCAAGCTTGAACACCCAGGCCTATTAAATTTGTGCAACAATCTTTATTTGAACTAACGTTCTTGACACTTAATATTTTATTAGGTTTTTAATGAAGCACTGTTTATTTAATTAGTATTTATGCTCTGCAACAGACACTTATTTTTTTGCTTGGTAATGACATCAGTTGAACGTCGGAACGTCGTCATTTTTAACTTTTTTAACTGTTTTTAATATGAGAAACATAGCTTATGCTAATATTGGGGACCAGTCAACTGAGGTGTAGAGAATAATTTTTTTCTTTTATGTACATGTTTATGTACTCTCTATATATTTCAGTCATATCTATCTATAAACGAAAGAGTATGAAAAAGGAGAGAAGGAATTTACGGGCCTAATTCAAGCGTCGAACTTCAAATGTGTCCAACCTAATGCTGATGAGGAAAGTCTAGTATTCATCTCCGCGCTCAATAACATGTGGTTCGTTCCAAGTGAAGTTTGACCTTTTTTCCTGTCCTAAACCAAAAAAGGGTAAAAATAGGTTTACCTTGGGTCCTCTGGGTCCAGTATTTCCATCCTGGCCTTGATCTCCCGTCATGCCCTAACATATATAAGAGATCGATATTTAACAGAAGTTTAGCTTCTGCCTTATAAAGTCGCCTTCCTAGTCATTGCCACATTGGCCAATTACCTAGTTCATGTACATGAGGCTCTTCATTGTAAACAGTGCTGAGTTAGCAATAGCCCCGGAGCAGAGAAGAAAAGCTTTTGTCTGCTTGAAACCACTCTCATTTTTTTATGAGAAGATATAAAGGTCTACTGACTCATGTAAACCGTAGCCTAATTAAGTCTTCGTCTAGACATCAGACCCAAAGAGAGCACGAACGGATTAGAACAAATATGATTTGATTCATATACTCCCAAGGAAGAGGCAGCCATAAAAACAAGTGAATTGTTTTCAATAAAAGTTGGCAGGCATTTTTTCTTACTGTCGCTCCATTTCTACCAGGCGGTCCCTGTACTCCTGTAAATCCAGTATCTCCCTGAAATTAACAAAACATTACTATTGAGGATTATTATTAGCAAATGGATACGAGGGGATGGAGCTAATTCTTGCAGCTTGCAAACTGAGAGAGCTGATGGATCTTTGTCGACCTATTTTCTTCTCCCGCTCATTGCTTACCCTTCTACTCCAAAATGGAAGCAAATAAACTAAGAAAAAAACTCCACTTTTCAATAAACATAAAAAAGAACCTGCAGTCCACTTTGTCCTCTCTCGCCTTCATCACCAGCCATTCCTTTTGATCCCTGCGGGTTAAAGGTAGCACAAAGACAGATAACTCCAATACGTTAATTCATAAAGTTATGTCTTACTTGTTGTGGAAAACGCTTACCACATTACCCTGGGGGCCAGAGATTTATGTTGTGCTGCGTCTTTCTTGGCTTCTACCTTTGGCCTTTTCCCCGCCCCAACCGATTGCCAAACGCGACAAAAAACTCTGTTACCCAAGGTATCACCACTTTCGCAAATTAAACGAACACCATTTTAAGTTCCCTTTCTTCGAAGACAACAGATAGAACGTGAATTAGCTTTTTTGTTGAAAATGAGTACTTAGCTAAAACTTAAATTGTTTATCTAGCCTTGATGATTTTTTTAAAAAATTCAACCAACGAGAACTCGGCAAATGGATTAAGAGATAAATATATGAAAGAATGTTATGTGAAGGTACGATAAAATTCCGAAAAACAAAAAAAAACAACTAAAAAACCTAATGAAGCTAATGATCTTTTTGATGGCTGAAATTGTAAACATCTGATTAACTGAATCCAATAGGGGTGACTAAGAGTTTCCCTAGCTCCACGAAAAGACTGCAGATTACACCTAATCACGATCTATTCGAGGGGCTCAAGTTTCTGGTTTACTTTTTTATTACACCTGGAGTTAAATATCTGGTTCAAACCTGTGATCCTCTTTGTCCTCTCGGTCCAGTGGCTCCATCTTCGCCGTCTTTTCCCTACGGGCGACAAACAGCAATTGAGGAGCATAACAAAGACGGCGGCGGCTACGGTTACGGCTACAAAATGTCACTTAAAAGGTAAAGTCACGCTGTTTCAAACTTAATCGTGCTCATTCCATCTCATTCAAATCGTCAAATGTTGGCAATTTTTTTTGGTGTTGAACTCTAAAAGACGGTATCGAAGTTTAGGAAAAGAAAAAGAAAGTCGCTGTCTTGAGTTCACATTAAGCATTTTCAAGTCGTAGTCGTGCAATGACGGCAAAGAAATGTACAAAACAGTATGATGCACGTGCAGAGTTTTTGTTTTACCAATCTAAGGCCTAGACCAAACGTATAACTTTTCATGAGACGAACCAAACTCTAATTCGGGTCGATCCGACCTAAATTAAGATAAGATCGTCTGTTGGGTCAGACGTCAAACTTAGGGCGCGTCGAACCAATCAACTGAATCAGACCAAAAAACAGCAATTTTAGCCCAATGAGGCTAAATATACTTTCTCATTTAATGCAAATTCTTCATTAATTAGTTTCGATCCAAACTCATTCAGACGAACTTAACTAAGCCAGGCGTTTAACTTTTCATGAACTTTACTCACTAAGTTTGCGGGTTCGTCTCAAGAAAAGTTCGACGTTTGACCTGGGCCTTAACGTTTCCAGTTATTTTTAAAACGAAAAAAAATACTCGTCCACACGTAGCGCATACTAATTAAATCGTTTTCGCCCGTCCACACGAAAACGCTCAAAAAAGATGGAAATACGATAGCATTCCTTACAGAGCATGCGTAATGCGTATGATGTATGAAATCATCGTATTCGAAAACCCGCGTTTTCGTCCGTCAACAAGTAAAGGAGAAGTCGGCGTTTTCAAAAAGCTCCACTTTGGAGAGTATTTTTGGAAAGCTGCTTTTACGGAGACTGTCTTCACCGGATACTTGAGGAAGGTGGGTAGAACAGGAGAAAAAAATATCCGCTTTCAAACAAAAACGGATACGTGTGGACAGGCCCTTAACCTATTGTTTTTTGCCGTTATTGTTGACGTTGCCGTCGTCGTTGCTTAAGCTACCTATTTATTAGTAAACGTGTACATCTAACGAGATTTTTGAAAACCAACCTAAGCAAATTTGCAGCCATTTGAGTGAAAGGACGCCGTCAAAAGGCAGGTTTCTTAATTAAGCCCGAAAAGCTTCAAAACCACAGTAAAAAGGAAAAGGAAAGGAGCAAAAGAAAGAGCGAGAAGAAGGAAAGGAGGAGAAGAGAAAAAAAGCAATGGTTGCACTCTTAGTTTTTATAATGGCTACTTCGCACACAAAAGGTCCATTTGGCGATAACGTTTCAAACATCCGGCTGGATGCCACATATTATTATCATTACCTACAGTACTAACCGTTGATGAAAATCATGTGAACAATTTATTAATGACTCTTGCAACGTCTTTCCATTACTTTAAAACAAAACATCAACAATGTTCCTTACTGGCTCTCCTGGTATCCCAGTCTCTCCTTTCGTTCCTGGTTCGCCGTCTAATCCAATTAAACCTTGTGGTCCCTGTCTACCCATGGTTCCATTCACTCCATCGTCTCCCTAACACAGTATTACCGCAATTAGTTTCAATAGAGAAGTGGTGTACTAATGCAATAGTATGAATAAAAGTATACAATTTCAACTAGAGGAGAATTGAAAGAAATAGGGAGAAGGCAAACTATTGATTTATTTTTCGGGTTTCTGTCTACAAAACTCAACAGTACATGCTCTGGCCGTTTACCATCTGTCAATTTTATCAGTACGTTAGGGACAATCCAAATCCGTGTAAGGCTCTTAAAATTCGTGGGCCATAGAACATATTTTAAAACACAACCACCCAATTTTGAAGGGAAAATATCTTTAAGCGGTGAACCTCTCCTTAACCTTGTCTTTCTCCTCTTCCCCAACAAAACAGACAAAGAAACAAAACGAAACGAGCAAAATGGTGCTATGACTTTACCTTTTGTCCAGGCTCTCCGTTTGTTCCTGGTTCTCCGTCTTCTCCAGAAAATCCCTTATGTTATGAAAAAAAGTTGCAGAGATAATTTGCTTCCTGAATTACGTAACAAATCAACCGTAAATTTACTTTGACTTGAAAACAAAACAAAACAAAACAAACGAATTTCCCAGGAAATCAAGCGAAATCACATTAAGATGACGAGGGGGTCTGTAACCTATTCTATTCAAAACGATACGAGCAAATAATGGGCTACGACATTACAGCCCTTATTATTTCCATTCTGAAATCACCGCATGTTGATCCTGCGACCTGATTGGCTATCAACAGCCGGTGAGTCTGATTTATTCACAAATTACACTATTTTTTACTCTAGATCGCATCGTTCATGTTCTAAATCGCATCATGAGATGTAAATAATACAAACCGGTTACAAGATCGATAAATTTTTGGCAGTGACTGAATTCTCTGATTTCAAACTGGCTGTAATAAAGTCACTGGTACTTGAACTTAGTGTCGTGTAATTTTAATTTGAAATCAAACTGATTTCAATTCGAACTCGTGCAAAATCACGTATATGCAGATTTCAGACTAAATGCGCTACCCGCACTCAGTTCAATTACTATTATTATACACAACTTAGCTTACAGGTTGTCCGTCTCGCCCCGGGAGCCCTTCTTTTCCTTCCTCTCCGGGAAAACCCTGCAAAAGTAAAAAAAGCCATATAAAGACAGGTATGAAGGACAACAATGGGAACATAACGCGTGTCACTGAAAAATGTCTAAAAAATACACCAAATTTTCGATGAGTTTTCAGGTGCTTCAAGAGCACTAAAAAATGCCAACACTTGTAAAGTCCCCAAAGGAATCGCTTGCCATAAGATATCTAGATACTATAGACCTTTCCTTAAAATTGGCATACCCATACAAAAAGTGGCATACGGCTGTGTAAAGACGATAAAAGTTCTTATTTACTGGGTTCTTGCCAGTTCTAACTGAGAAACACGCACATACATGAAACCTAATGTTTCTTATAAGTCTGACCTGAAAGTTCTTATTTGTTTCTAGAAAATCACCCGAAATTAATGTTCTTATAAGTACTTAAAATTTGGTTCAGAAATACCGTACATTGTACTATTGAGAACATTTTTTATTCATCAGCCTGAATTGATTGTTTGTGTGCTGCTTTATTGGCCAACTTTCAGCCTAATGTTCTTAATCCACTTGTTCTTATATGTGGTTGTTTTACTGTATTGAATCATCTTTAACATACTCTAAATCCAGCTTCTCCTGGTGTCCCTGGGGTACCATCCGGTCCTTGATCTCCCTGGGATGCAAAAATAAATGACAAATATTTGTAAAGACCAAAAAGAGCATGAAACTTCGGTAATAAATATTTAAACCAAACATAGCTAAAAGAATTTTATTTTTCGACAACACAGTAAATCTCTACACAGATGCTAGTGGAAGTAGGTGCTCTTTCTAGGCACGATGCATAGGGTTTCTAGATATATAGATACAGGAAGGCCGCTGGTTTTGGGGCAATGAATGATAATAATTATAATTATAATAATTTCTTAATTTTGAAGTCGGTTGATAGAATAGTACTGTCACTAACAGTACTATAAGACGGTGATGTGATCCGGATTCTGAAATCTGATAAATTTTTGCTTGTGGAATCCGGAATTCATCCAAAGGAATCGGGAATCCCGCTAACGATTGCAAACCGAAATCCAAGATCCACTCACAAGGAATCCGAAGTCCAATACCTGAATCCAGAATCCAAGACTGTCTTGGATTCCCTTACACGTGGCAAGTCAGCTACGGAATAAGTGAGAGCAAAGGACGAGGTGGGGTCTGTAGGGGGGAGGGGGAGAAATTCTTACCAATTCTCCAGACATTCCTAGACTGCCAACTACTCCGACAAACCCAGGTATACCCTGTATGTTGATAAAGAACATTTTTTAAATCAGCAAAGGAAAAAAAAGAGGACTCATGAGAATTAATAAAGGCCAATATTAATCTTAAGGGAATATTGCCACAGCTATCCGTGCCTCAAAACGCCATCAAACGGTTACCGTGCATTCTTTGGATCGCCGAAAACGGTCTAGTTTCCCCTTCACTATGGTCTGTCTCTTAGTTAGAATATAATTAAGATCTTTTAACAAGGGCACCCAACCGGAATTTTTGGAGAATATCTGTTCGGAAGACGATTTGAGATCTAGAATTTTCGGAACATTTGTTGTAAAATGTTTTGCTTGCCTGACTCTCCTGGGATTTTCGAACATCTAAAAAACCGTATAATTGCCCATTTTTAACGGACTTTTACCCTAAAAAGGTCACTTAGAATATTCGGGAGCCTTTTTTCTGGCTGAAATTTTCGAAAAGGTAAGTTTTGATCCCTATAATTTTCGGATCACTAATCTTTCAGCTAGGAAATCCGAACAGATAAAAAAATTTTCGGGGATAAAAATATTCCTATATCTACCGTTTAAATGCTAAAATACATTCAACAATGCTATGTTTAAGTGGTTTTGAACTATATTCTCGTTGGGTGTCCCTGTTTTAAGCTTAATTAATATCTAGTGTAGAAAAGAAAATAATGGGAACGTATCACATTTAAAACCTAGTAACTTCATTTGGACGCCTCTAGCGAGTTACAACTAAAAACTCACATCTGTAAAATAACAGTGTTCTCACTATCTTAGCAGAAAATCGTTGCGCATACAACAAAATGAATATGTCCTATTTACATATTAAATCGTGCATAAGGACTCAGTTATCTTTTGGCGTTTCTGAGAAACTGCATACGCAAGGTAAGTGTTTATGATTGAACATTTAAATAACGTACACTGAAAATTGAAAAGATCTGTTTCAGCCCCAAAATGCTAATTCAGCCCCGCAGGCCAAAGTCCTGTATTGGCCCTGGTTTAGGGAGCAAAATTGGCTCGAAAATAGGACTGTATTTTACTCACCGAAATAGCCCCATTTTTGGGGCAAGCTGACTACTAAGCCTACTTATGCGATGATAAGAAGAAATAAAGCCTCTCGGTGAGTTTACTACCTTTTTGCCTCTTTCTCCTTTCGGACCAGCACTTCCTATTGGTCCTGGTCGACCCTAAAATGGGACCAGAAAAAGGTTATGCTAATAAATACAGCAAGACCTATGTAGGTAAAGTGACAATAGCTAGAAAAGTAGTACGACAGCGAGAGATAGCTCTCTTCTACGAATGTGTAACGGGAAAATATTGAATCACAATACGGAAAGAACGAAAAAAAAAGGTCGTGATGATAAATACATCCAGAGAGACCTATGTAAGTAAAGCTAACAGCTAGAAAAGGAGTCAGACAGCATGAGGAAGCTCTCGTCTACAAAAAAAATAAGGGGGCAGATATGAATCGCATTGTGGTAGTTAATAACTTGTCGCCCAGCACTATCAAAATGCCAAGGCACTGCCTAAACTCTGTCAGTATTAATCGGCAAGTCATTGCCTGCCAATCTCGGAATCGCTGTACAAATTAACTAAGCAACTAAAATAAGCCAAACTGACTTAAATAACTAAGCAGAGATGTTTGTTTTACGCGAAAAACCATTCATACAATGTGTCCGTCTTGTCCTGGTCGACCATGTTCACCATTACGACCACTCGGGCCCTGAAAAAAATCAAAGCATATTATTTTTTATTTATGCTTATGGTAACAGATAAAAAACAGCAGGGAAAAAAGGCGTTTATTGTACCAAACACTAAATTTATTTACTGGAAGTCCTGGCGGTCCTGGCTTTCCTGGTTTTCCATGAGGTCCTTTTGCACCCTAAAATTAAAAGATTCACATGACTGTAATATCTTACTCTACCACAGCAAGAGCCACAATCAGCTTCCACTTTCACTAGATGTCGTGGTCGTGGTTTTTCTTCAAGGTTGAAACAACTAAATACAAATTTTCTTAAAACTTCATATTTCTTCTCTGTCTTGTGGAAGAAGACAGAAGGAAAAGGAGGAGAACAGAGAGATATATCTACTGTTAAATTATTTTCAATTATCTAACTTAAAACCAAACTGGTTAATCAACTTGTCTCCGTGGCGCAATCGGATAGCGCGTTCGGCTGTTACAATATAGTTGGTCACCGAAAGGTTGGTAGTTCAAGCCCACCCGGGGACGAATGTTTTATTTTTCGTTCTTTTTTCCGTTAAAAATCATTGCTATGCAATGATGTTGACATGTAAATTCTTTCCAAGCATAAAATCAAAGCCTGAGACGAAAAAAAACTTTCTTTTTTGGCGTTTAAATGTGTCTCGATTAGTGAAAAAAATTAAAGACACAAGGAAAATATATGACATAAAATATAACAAAATAACGTTTAAACAAAACCTTATATTCTGAAATCACCTCTTGTTACACCTAATTACAATAACCATGTTTTAGAAAAACGCTGGAAAGGAAAATGAAAAAAAGGAAAACTGCCAAATGGGAATTTCTTAGGCTTGCTGATGAAGCACTCTGGGATGCATTCATTTGCAGCATAGATAGCCTGTTCACAATCCCTCTATTTTCTCTTTAGAGATCGTCAAGTGCGCGTATGAAAATAAAAACCGCGGGGCATTTATTGACCGTTAGCGCAAGGGGGTGGGGTGGAGAAAAGAGAAAATAGACACACCGCCCCTGTTCTCGCCCTCCACGCTCGCTTCGCTTGCATGCTCGCCGATTTTTTAAAAGAAAAAGCCAACAACGACGTCTGTGTACAGGCTACAGTATGGGGTTTTTAAGGCATGAAAACAAACACGCGCTTTTATAGGGTTTACAACTTCAAATATCTTAGGGTCCTCCTAGACCACACCCGGTCTTGGAAGGACCATGTAGAGTATATTGGCAATACGATCTCGAAAAGGTTAGGTCGATTAGGTATTCTGAGTCGAGCGCGCCAGGTTCTTCCCAAATCTACTCGTCTAATGCTCTAAAATACTATTAATAATTAATAGTCTTACCATTGTTCGACTTCTGTTCGTCTGTCTGGGACTTAGTTGTGGGGTTGCGAGCAAATCGTATCTAGATAAGCTAAACAGACGTGTCGCCTGTATTATTGAAGGTCGATCTATCAGGGCTGACGAGTTAAAGTCGACATTTGGCTGGCCCAGCCTTCAAGCGCGTAGAGACTATTTGAAGTGCGTCTTAGTCTTAGTCTATAAATGTCTTCATGGAATGGTGCCATTGCACTTACTACAATACAATACCATAAGCCATGACTTGCTGCGTCCTACTTTTGCGAAAACTATCAAGTACCAAGGAAGCTTTAGAATAAACGGTGCTCGCACATACAACACTCTACCGGGAAATATCAGACAAACGGACTTTCTCAGTGAATTTAAGATAAAGCTCAAACGTTATCTTAGACAATAATACTTGCACTTGATAACTTAATCATTTTCTAGCCTCTTTTATGTTTAATCTCTTTGTTGTTGTTCGTTAAAATACAATTTTAACTGTACGTGTAGGTTGCAAATGCGGGTGAAACCTATAATGGTCATTAACAAGTATATTTTATTCCTATTTTGCTTTTTACATTTTCCTTAGACAACGTCATTGCAATTGGGTGCATCTTAAACTTTTTTTTTTGTCTGAAAGTTATTTTCTCCTTCTTCTGGGTAAAAATTTACTCTCTTGGCACAAACCTTTGAGGCATGAACGATTCTACATTCTTTTTTAAAGCTTATCTTTATCTTTGAATTGAATAGAAATGAAACGGAAATCGTAAAGACAGATCTTTCTAGTGCTCATTTATTTTCAACAAGTAACTCGCATACAGATGTCTCCGTGGCGCAATCGGTTAGCGCGTTCGGCTGTTACCTCAACATTGGCAACCGAAAGGTTGGTGGTTCGAGCCCACCCGGGGACGAAAGTTTTACGTTCCTTCTTTTTGGTTCAAATTGCAACCAAACCGGAATTACACTATGATATTGCAATGTAATGCTGAACGGTATGTGACGACTTATATTTTGTTTTACCTTTTAAGTGGCTGTCAGTAAAAAATAAACAATTTCGTTACCTCGAAGCTCTCTCGCGTTCTTTTATTCAGGAAAATTTAAAAAGAACGTATTATAGTTGTTTCTTCGTCAAATCATCCTCTTGATGCTCTTTCTCCACATAAAGCCATTTTTATCAATAATCAGTGGCAACTGGCTTAAACGGCAAACAAAATCTTAGATCAACGAAGGCAACCTTCAGCAACCTCTTGAAGCTCTACCGCACAGTCGATACCGTTTCGCTTCCTTCGCCGCGGCAGTTTTCCCTTTCGTAAACGGTCGCTGGCATTTTTAAGACACTTAGAAAATTTTTGACGTGTTATTGAAAGCATTTCTATTAAAAAGAAAAAAAATCGCAACCCAGGGTTGAACCTGGACCTCTAACCCAGGCCTGTCGTATCCTAATCTCTCCCCCGTACCACTACACTACCACACCAACCGGCCAAAACTCCGAAAAAATTGATTACATACACTAGAAAACTGTCTTGCTTAACTGTTACGTACTAGACTATTATTTTCCTTACTGTAATCTTAATCCAGGAAATATATTATATCCATCATAACTAAAGGCTTGGTTAACCATAGGGGCATCGACTGTCAGAAATGGCAACGACCGTTCACGAAAGGGAAATAGGCTTCGCCGCGCCACATTGAAATGAGTCATGCTGGGTGGGGTACTGCCCTTTGATAATATAGTTTGACAGCACTGCAAGACGGAGGATGGTGTTATCCTCCTTTTAAATACTCTTTCACGATATCAATGTACAGTCTCTGTACAAACCTTGGAAGCGGGAATTCCTGGTCTTCCTTCTATTCCCGGTTTACCTTCAGCGCCCTGAAAACATGATATTAAAAAAAATGAGTTTTGCAGGCTCATTCTAGTGACCGTTAGATAACATGTCTCCAATGGCATACATGCTGTAAAAAACAAAGGCTCTTTCAAAGATTCGGGAACAGTTTAGCACAGACAAACAACGTCGGCTGGATTGGTAAATTACTGCATAAATGTATAACGCCACAAAAATAAGACAAGAAGAAAGAACTAATGAAGAAAAACGACCAAATTGCAGTCTTACCGGTCTTCCGGGAGGCCCCGGCCTTCCTAGATTTCCGGGAGGACCTCTATTTCCCTAAAAAAATATTGAGATTAAACATAACCTTTGAAATCGTGGCAAACAAAATCGCCAGCAAATACTTTTCTGTAGTTTTATTACAATGAACCCAGTTCAGGATCAGGTGATGGTTCTAGCTGAAACAGTCTCATCACACACACAAACACAATCATAGGAGTTTATCAAGGGCGAGCCCAAGCAACATTAGTACGAGACAGTTCTGATTACTAAGAAGCCGTAATTAAAAGGTTTTAACCTGTCAGTTTCATTGACATGTTCTACACGTAAAAAGATAGGGCCTTATAACAGAGCATAATAAACTGTGCCACACGGTAAAGTACTGCTGGCATGGGCAATCTTACAAGGTCTCTTTTCACTGATCACGCCGTTAGAAGGGTTTATACCAAATGTACATAATATCAAAGCAACACAGAAAAGTATGCTTTTTACAGTGAATATGACAGTAAAATTTTGTTTACAGGCCTGGAATGCTGTAATGACAGTCATTACATGATCAGGATGTGGAAAATCACGCAGTATTACCATCAAATGTTACAGAACGTTGAGTCTATATTTAACTTACCGGGTCTCCAGGACTTCCAATTTCACCAGGTTCACCTACACTACCAATGGAACCCTACAAGTTTAAAACCAAGTGGCTTTCTCAGTTTGACAACAGATACATCAGAAGAAAATTTGTTTTCACAAGAGGTACTTATCATTTAAATGGGTGGAATAGAGCTTATGGTTAGCGCCTCTCTTCAGAAAATGTGGGTTGTCATTTGAGGCGATGCTATTTTTCAACTCTTTTTAGTTCTTTCCTGCTGATTTGGCTACACCTTGTAATATATTCTTCTTCCACATGGTCATATTTAATCGTTAAATGTTTTCGCATGAGATTCCCAACCGGATGGTTTGGGTAAATTGTAAGCACTAATAAATGCAATAATAATAAATTAAAGTATTTTTCTACACCAAGTCGTTCTGTCAAACTAAAGAAGGTAGAACCTTGAAACATTAGGTTAGGGAATAACCATAGAACGAAAATAAAATAGCAGGACAATGCAAAAATTTGCCTTTTTTATATTATTTAGATTGATTTACTCTCGAACATTTGTGTTCTCAACAACGATAGAACGATTATAGAATAGAAGGACAATACAAAAATGTTCTTTTTTTACACAAAAGTAATTTTCTGTTTAAAGTAAATAAAGTTGCGATTCTTGACTTAAAGAATTTAATGGCAGTACCAGTTCTCCCGTTGTTCCTTTAGGTCCAAGATCGCCTGTTCCACCCTTGGATCCCTGTAGGAAAAGCATGAAGCTAACTTTTCGGTTGACAAAAGAAAATGAATTGATAAAATGAATTCGAGATTCCGACTTAACATGTCTGAATATTAGGCATCCTTTCCAGGCACATGCAAAGCAAAGCATGGAAAAGGACTCACAGGAAGCATTGCAAAGCGAGGAAAAACCCAACTACGTGGCAAGTCCGATTGACGGTCTTTGGTCTTTTATTTGCCAAAAAGAGTTCTTTAGTTATTTTAAAATAAAGCAAACCTTTCTATAATTTTGCGGGCGACAAGAGGAGCCTGCAATCCTAACCTCCAGGTTGTTATTACGCATGCGTCGCACGTATGTAGCCAGCATTCGTTTGGACTTCCACCAAGAATGTTTTCGAATGGAATGCACAAAACGCATTTCGTGTTTTGACCTTTTATCACGTGAAACTTACGCAAAGCACAGCGTTGGTGTAAAAGCGTTTTGACCTTCGATCTTTGTCGCCCGCACTCCGTAACCTTTGTTTATTACTAGACATAACTACTTTTGGAAATAAGTTAACGTAAACATACCTTGGATCCAGCTGTCCCTTTTAGACCACTGGGACCTCGCGGCCCAGTTGGACCCTAAACATAAAGTGAATGAGAGAACAGAAAGCAGTGTATTAATACATTTTCACTGCAAAGATTCAGTAAATTAAGTTGACATCAACACCATAAAGGCACATTACATTTATAGCAGAGAAGGCCAGCATAATACATATCAGCAGTGAAGGGAAGCGCTGAAAAACGGTCAGTCAAAGAGCTAACAGAGTTCTGCGCAAGGCCAGAGAATGATGTTTAAGAGACTGTTCTTTCTATGAAACATTTCTGGTAATCTTACACGATTCTAATCTTTTCGTTTTTTACAATATTCATTATCCCCTTTGTAGGAAGTATGGTCACCTTGTAGTCCGAATCGATAGGCCTGGATTTGAGTTCAAGCTGAGGTGATTATGCGGAGCCTGGTCCCAGGCAACTATTTTGGCTTTTTTCCTTTTGCAGTTTCCTATGACAACGCCATTGCAATTAGGTGCATCTTAACTTGTAATTTTTTTTCTGTCTAAAAGTCATTTTCACCTTCTTCCGGTTAAAATTTACCCTCTTGGTACAAACCTTTGAAGTAGGTATGATTCTACATTCTTTTTTAAAGGTTATCTTAGAACTGAATAGAAATGAAAAGGAAATGATAAAGACAGCTCTTTCTATTTATTTTTAACATGTAACTTGCGTATCAAACTATTGATGTCTCCGTGGCGCAATCGGTTAGCGCGTTCGGCTGTTATCTCAACATTGGCAACCGAAAGGTTGGTGGTTCGAGCCCACCCGGGGACGAAAGTTTTACGTTCCTTTTTTACTGCTCAAATTGCAACCAAACCAGAATTACTTTATGATAAAACGGTATGCGGTGACTTATATTTTGTTTTACTTTTAAGTTGGTGTCAGTGAAACCAAAAAATCGCGTTACCTCGAAGCTATCTCTCGCTCTTTTATTCAGGAAAATTTGGCAAGGAACTGTAATCTCGTGATGCCTGACCCCATCCACATTTGTGAATGGATCCCGCAGAAATAGATTGTTAGGGGTTACTGCTGAGATGGACTAGCAGTTGAAATAATTTATGCCTAATTCCTCCATGCTACATGGAAACCGGGACAAGCTCAAATCCAATGGAACGCTCGGCACATACGCGGTCTTCACCCTACTTTACCCTTCATCATTTTCCTTGTTTAAGATTGAAGTTTGAGTAATAAAAAACGAGCATCTTTGCTTTTTATCCAAACTGATTTCAAAGTATTGCAACTGCTATAACTCACAGTCGGGCCTGCCAGTCCAGGTATTCCTGATGTTCCTTGAGATCCTTGTGCACCCTTAAATGAAACACAAAAAGAATAAATTAAATTAAGCCGGATAGAATTCACATTTATAATAGAATTATAATTACTTTTCTACAGCATATAGAAAAAATCATTTTCTAGTATGCCTGAGAAGGACCGCTATCGGAAAGAATAACGTGTAAGAATTAACTCATAAGCGGTGCTCTACATAACATGGAAAATGCATTTACCTCTTCCCCTCTTTTTCCAGGTTTTCCTGAAATTCCATTGAGACCATCTTTGCCCTGTTACACCAATATTAAATAAAGACATTTAGTACGTCAGCTGTAGCTGTCTAGAGATAGGACATTGAAAGGCAGATCTGGGACCAGGATTTGGTTTTCAGAAGAAGAAAAGATTTTGATACAATATTACGACTACAAATCAAATCTCTGTCAATTCTAAAGAATCTAAGTTTGCCCTGTGAGATTCACTTTTTTTATTTCTTTAGTTATCTATTTACTCCATGTAATTTTTTTTCTTCTCTGTTTTACTTGCAATAAACTTTAAAAAAAACGTATGCACTGCGCCTTCGAGGTTAGCTTTGGGTTCAGAATGTTTTCTCTTCTGACCTATTTTAAATCCATTTCGTGGAGGTAGAAATTGTATGAAGATCGGTATTTTTGGGACAAAGAGAATTTCCATAATAGGTAAGTGATCCTGTTTTAGAGGGTTTGAAATGAGAGATTCTACTTTTGCCGTTTCATTAATTAGTAAATTGTGAAAACAAACCTTTGGTCCTCTTAGTCCTGGTGGGCCGTATGAACCCGGTCTTCCATCATCTCCCTGCGTAACAGTAAAATAAACATTAGAAGAAGCAACGTACAAACCTAAAACTGAGTGGGCGCTTTAGAAAGAGATTTCCCAAGATGTCAGCCCAGGAAGAAGTGTTGGTCAAGAGCAACCCTTTTTCTTTCGTCTTCAATGTATTGCCATTGGGGAAAAAAAAGAAACATTTAATTTATACAATTATTAATAAAAAAGGCATAATAAAAACAAAACAAAAGCGTCCTGGAAACACTCACCGGCATTCCGTCTTTGCCATCAATGCCAATTGCTCCAGGAAATCCAACGCTACCCTGATTGAAATAAGAAACAAGCGGAATAAAATAGCGTATTCACAGCAAATACAGACTAAAAGCATGCTAAAAAAGTACATTCAAACAACCTCTAGAAGTCTAGAATGAAAAAACTCTTCAACTGCAATATTATGATAAACCTCTAATGTCCAAGACGTCAGCCTCAACCAAAGCAAGTGAAGATACCTACTCTTTTTTTACAGAGTCCACGTGCCCAGGAACTAAGGCATTTACATTAAACAAAATTAAAAATTCATAGCTTATCTATCAAACACCATCAATTGGGCAATAGATTGATACGATTCTACAAAGAAACACAGAGCAAGAAAAATTTGGACCAGTTTATATAATTTGTCCTGAAAGTTTCTTTGGCATGATACGTTCTGGGGTATTCGGGAATAATGAGCCTAAAGAGCCGATTCCAATCAGGCTTGCATTGCAGATGTAAAGCTTTCCTTTTGAAAATAGTATTTTCCTCTGTTACCTTCTCTCCTTTAACTCCGGTTAACCCTGGACGTCCAGGTAACCCTAAATAACCCTAAGGAAAAATAATAATGAATTAGGAATCTTGCTCAAAGAATTTTAAGTCCCATTTAACATCAAAGCTTAAACATTTCCCTGGTTTTGCACTGCGCATCTCTTACTGCGCATAACAAGATGGCCGCCGTAAAAAAGAGCATGTGAAGTAACATTATTAAAATGAAGTTGACTGAAGAGAAACGCTATTCGAATTTTTGCTTGCGGTTGTTTCTTGCCGAGGTGAGACTCAATGTGTTGGGGATGTGCATAACTTAAGCAGCACGCGTGTTGATGAGTTCGACTTCCTCACGGAGAACCTCGATAGCGGATGTTTAACTTGTGCTTACTCACTTTGATTTTCATTTAAACGCTTTCTTTATCACATTGTGTCCTAAATGTAATATCTCGATGTAAATTCTGTAAAAACGGATTTTTTAATACTTTCTTCCCCCTTTCACATACATTCTATTTTGAAACTCGCCCCAGTCCTCTCTCAAAAATCAGAGAAAATGCATTTGGTGCGCACTTTCTGCAGCTCTACCGCAAAAACGAGTACGGTGACCCCCATTTTTTATTTCATGATTTTAATAAGGACAGTGCTTCCTTTCGATGAGAAAAAAATTGGCACAAATCTATGTTCAGTTTTTTGGCAATTTTAATAAATTGTACGGATTGAGCTATCACGGGTCGAATAGCGCGTGTCCAATTCAATTCTACTTTGGAGCGTAAAGTAAAAACAGGAGCATTGAAAGGCATTTTTCTGGTATGTAAGTGGATAAACAATACAATAAAGTCAAATTCTGTCCGATGCCACATGCGTCATCGAAAAAATCTCTCCTTTTTGTCTAGCTTTGGCTGCGCGCGGTTTTTGTCAAAGGGTCCAAAATAGCCGTATTTGTCAGCATTGTGACGTCAAAACGAGCACTGTGACCCCCACTTTTTATTACTTTTTTATCATCTTCTTGACTTGTTTCATCAGTGTACCAAGTTTCATCTACAATCTATGTTAGGTTCTTTTACTAAGGAATCACCTTAAACATGGCTTGAAATTATTTTCTTTACTGAATAGAAGCTGCTCACTGAAAAACTCTACTTTGATTGATGAAAAAATTTAGGCAATTATGTAACATGTTAAAGTTCATTTGAATTCTGTGCAAAATCCTGTGTTTAAGTTTTTCTGTCACTGACACACTCTTCAACCTAGTTTAATTAAAATTGTTTAGATAGTGTAAATGGGGCATAAGTCTCGCCCACCATTCAAAGCTAAGGAAGTTGGGAAGGTAGTTTAATTACTGTTGCAGTAATAAATAACTGTTGATAGCACATGCAATCTCAAAGCGACGACCCATCTTAAGGAATACTTTTAATTATTAGATCTAGATGCAGTTTGATACCAAGCTGGCCTGTCAATGCCAACGGCATATGGACACTTGCTCATTACCACGCCATGATAGGTGGTCTCTATTAGGAGTGAAGAGGGGAGGGGGGAAGAAAAAGAGTGAGCGCTTTTAAAAATTGTTTCTTTTTATGTGAAGCTACATGTATTGTTATAGTAACACAGCTTGTTGAATTATTACTTGCCATGAAACCTGGCCTCCCAGTGCGACCGTGGGGTCCTCCAGTTCCTGGCAAACCCTGCGAAAGGAATGAAACTTGCTAATGATCGCCTTTTAGAAGTTCTTGACAAAAATACGCCTTTAAACCGCAAAGGGTTGGGTTAACAAAGTTAAATTTCTACCAGCTATAAGTAGTTACGGCCAGATCTTTGTAAGCAACTGCCATTCAGATCAATTTTACGATCGAGTGATCTGGTGTGGAGTGAACAACCGAAGATCATAATGTGCGACTTGCAATTGTTAGCTACGATTTACCGGTTTGCCATCTTCTCCGTTAATCCCTCTTGGACCATAGCGACCAGGTGGTCCCTGAATTGCATGAAAAAGACAATTAATTATTTTTACGAAAATTTCGGTTCAACTCAATTACAAAGCGCACTGTAAAACTAGAAGAGAGAAAAATGAATACTTACAGGAGGTCCTGGCAGCCCAGCCTGTCCAGTCAGTCCACGCTCGCCCTGTAGAAAATGCGATGTCGCTTTTAAAAATGTCTAACAGTCATACTTGTTTGCTGGTAATATAAAACGAAAAGCGCACTCGGAAAAAGTTATAAGCTTACCGTTTGACCAGGTTTACCATCTTTTCCTCGCTCTCCAGGACGCCCCTTTTTGAGATAAAAGGGGGAAATTAATTACTAGCTCATTATACTAAATATATTTTTGACACAGCAATTTAGTCCCGAAACATTGCTCAGTAGTTTTGCTCGTCACTCGCTATGAACCTTAAGACCTAATACTTTATTTAAGAAACTAGTTTTCAAACTTAAAAAATTTACATTCAAAAGACAATTTTACGGGTCTACGATGAACAAACATGTCTTGTAATAGTTGAAATACGTCACTTGCTAGTAAAAACGAAATCCCATATTAACCAAATGCCATCATCGTTCGGTTACTTTATTTCATTTTGGCCACTTACTCTTCGGCCGAAACGTCCAGCAAAACCAGGTGGCCCTTGAGCTCCAGACGGTCCCTACAAAAAGACAAGCAAACAAACGAATCAATGTTATGTATTTAAAGTAGAAGGTCTAAAAAATTTAAAACTATGTCAGTTTAAAAACACTGTATTCTATCGACAATGTTAACGATTTTGTTGTTCATGTTTACTGTTACCGTTAATTATTGTTTCGTTAAAAGTTCTCGATTAGTACCGCTTGTGGTAATCTAGTAGTCATTTGACACGTTATTTAAGTTGTTAATTGATAGATTGATCGATTGTTTGTAGCCTGTGTACAGACGTCCCCCCTCCCTCAGAAAAAAATTGGGAGTAGAGTCTCTTCTCCCGTCTTTTTCTGAGGGAGGGGGACGTCTGTACACTGGCTATAATTGTTTGACGATTGTTGTTTTCAATGGCTTACCACTGGTCCCTGTGGACCCTGGGCACCCATCAGTCCTCGGTCACCTTGGTATCCCTAGAAGGCGAATAAATTATTTCACTTAATTAGGATTCCATATGAACTTCATGTGTGGTCTTAGGCTTCATTTCCTATGGCTTTGGATCCGCAGATCCACATAACTGAAACAGAATTGAAAATGTATAGTCGAACCTCTCTAGAACGACCACATCGTGACTTAGCCTCGTTTTGAAGCAGAGGCTTGAGACGACTCGGATATAGCCTGTAGCTTCACACTTAGCCACGTTTTGAAACCAAACCGATATTCAGAACAAAAATGTTAACAAAATAAAATGAGGAAAGTATATTGAGTTAATCAGTTTGGGTATTTCCCTCTTTAAATGGCCGTTGGGGAAGTTTAAAAAGTTACTGTAGCATTTTTGGATTGGACTGTTATCTAACCTTTCGCCCTGGCCTTCCTGGGTTGCCTGTTGGTCCTTTCTGGCCCTTGTCACCCTGTTCAAATTCATTTACGTTAAAAAAATATAAAATGGTCTGTGGTAGAAGAACCAAATGTTTAATATTAAGTAACAGGTACCCTTTTTTCTCTCCTACTAAAAACCAGGGGAGGAGTTTAACTTGTTGAAGGACTGAAATAGAGAACTCGAAGCAAAGGTCGGCTGACTTAAGAGGATGAACAAACGTTTTTACTGAGATACTGTACGTCTGCTGCCAAATGAGCTGCTTATGAAACTAGACTCTGTTACTGTCTCGAAAAAGTCGTCTCATATAATTTTTGCCGCTCACTTGATCCCTCAACTCTAACGGACATCTAACCTGGTTGTCTTGTTTCTTTCTGGTCTTAGACGTTCTTAGCCAAGTAGAACGTACAAGTCTGAACAAAATGTGATCATGATCCACGCGAATTTCTTATGACATTTTGCTTTAGTTTTCCATTGTGGACACCGTTTTAAGCCTGTCTTACCTAACCTCGGTTGTTCAAATGTTAAATAAAGTCATCCACTGTCCGGTGGACAAGTATCCAGGAAACCAATTACTAAAATAGGTAATCCGGTGGATTCTGCCTGATTTATCAAGTATGTAAATAACATTGTTATATTCCTAGACTTTCACTCAACTAAACAGGGACTGCCATTGGTTGATTCTTGGTCACGTGGCCTTGACTAAAATTAAATGTATCCCGATCGTGATACATTAAACAATGTATCCCGCTCGGGATACATTGCAGCACGTGATCAAAGCATGGTGGAAAGTGGTGTGACAGAAGGCGGGAAAAACACCGCCAGGTCCAGCCAGTTTTCTTTTTCGTGAATGAACACAACAACACAAAAACGAAGCCTCAAGCTAAAAAGCAACGATTTTTAAAGTTATCCCAGAAGTTCCCAGAAGAAAAACAGCAGCTAGTGGAGGAAAAAGATGCAGATAACATGAGGAAAGTACTTTTGTTTGTAGATCATTCATTCAGTGGTTTTGAGAATTAAATTTGTGTTGTTATAAGTACCGAGTCGACTGTTTTGGTTCGCTCCGGTTATTCTTTTGTTGCTGTTGAAGTGAAAGTCTAGAAACATAACAAAACACTTAATGTCAGGTCCCTCGGGAAACCAGTTAGTTTTGTTTTCCCTCGAGTCCTGATGTTTCCCTCGACTTCGTCTCGGGAAACATCAGGACTCTTGGGAAAACAAAACTAACTGTTTCCCTTGGGATCTGACATTAAGTGTATACTATCCGCTTTTTGGACAACTAGAGCCTGTACTTAAGTAAATATAGAAAACTACATACAAAGATACTAGCTAAAGATTGCTTATCTCGCAGAGGCTTATTATCTTGTTTCAAAATCCAACTAACGTGGCAAGTTTAGTAATTCTGTGTTAGAAATATGCAATTGATCAAGAGACTCACCTTTTGTCCTCTAGGTCCCCTAGAACCAGGTGAGCCGTCTTTACCTTCTACACCCTTGTAAAAAAAGGAAGTGTCACCACTATAGCTTCTAAGTCTGGGTTTGCCTCCTTTTTCGTCAAATACATCTTAAAGAATGTTGTTTTGTTCCACCTTACGCCTTATAAGGCAGGGGAGACGGCATTTGTCTCGGTAGCTTATTACTACGTGCATATGTTGCAGTTCAAATTTATTCTTGGTTTAATTATCATCTTCTTAGTATTTTTGAGTCTGGTAATAAATGATACTGTTTTTGGAAAATGAAAATTTAAACCAAAGAACCAAAACATCTGTAACCTAAATTTGAAATATTTAATGCAGGCCGCCGCCTGGTTAGCTCAGTTGGGAGAGCGCCGGTCTACTGAGCGGGAGGTCGCGGGTTCAAACCCCGGCCGGACCAACACTCAGGGTCTTTAAATAACTGAGGAAAAAGTGCTGCCTTTGTAATAATATCTGCAAACGGCTAGACTTTCTAGTCTTCTCGGATAAGGACGATAAACCGTAGGCCCCGTCTCACAAGCCCTTGCACATGTATTAAATCTGTGGGACGTTAAAGAACCCACACACTCTTCGTAAAGAGTAGGGCACGTAGTGCCCGGTGTAGTGGCCTATCTCACTTTCACACTCATGTATGGGGGCATCATTACTCATTCCTTCACTACTTGTAAACTGCACCTTAAGCAGTCTGGCAAAGTCCCCCAACCAGTGTTGTAAATTATCCCTGAAAAGCCCTGAGGGGAGTGGATAATAAGATATTTACAATTTACAATTTACAATTGCAGGAAGTACCTTGCACCAAACCCAAAGTAGTAACATAGAATGCTTGTCCGTCCGAGGGTTAACAAACCTCAAGACAGCCAAACCAAAAAGGAGAAACAAACTGAATGCCTTTGAGCAATATGGACGCACAATCTTGCGAACCCTTAACTTTCCGAAATTTCATTTTTTTTTTAAGTGATGAAAATAAAAACACCGGGTGAAAGTATTCCCAAAGAGGTTTCATTTGTATATATTTTTGTTAAAAGTCTGGAAAAGTTATTAGAAACACCTCAAAAGGCTTTATCATTCGCTAAGGGCGTAGAAGGGTTTAAGGCAGAAATAACTTTGGATGACTCCTGGCTGAACATCCAATAACTAATTATTAGTTCATACCGTCATTCCAGTAGCTCCTTGTAAACCAGGGCTACCAGGGGGCCCGTGTGTCCCCTGAAAGTAAATGAGAATGAAATTTCAAACTAGTTTACAGTCCTAAAACAGGGCTGGAGCGTTATATGATTCACTTATTCTTCCGTACACCATAATTTTTAGGAAGTTATTATAACTCCAAAAATGGAATAAAAATTTTAGGTACAGGATAACCCCTTTTTCGGGGGTTACCTTAACTCCTAATTTAACTCCGAATTTTGGGGTCATTTTTACTCCTGAAAAAGAGTTCTTTTTAACTCCAGGTCTGGAGTCACAAAAACTCCGAAATGGGGTTATTTTTACTCCTTACATCGGTTGTTTTTACTCTTTTTGGAGTTAATTTAACTCTGAAAGTGGAGTAAAAATTTTAGGTACAGGATAATTCCTTTTTTGGGGTTATTTTAACTCCTCAATATCTGGGGTAACTTTTACTCCTGAAAAAGAGTTCTTTAAACTCCTTTTTGGAGTTAAAATAATTCCACTGTAAGGAGTTGGATTAGCCCCATTAGAGGAGTTATTAAAACTCCTTGAAATTACTGTGTATTATCCTTACCGGATCTCCTGCTCGTCCAGATGTACCGTCGTCACCAGGAAAACCCTAATAATAAAACACCCAAACAAAACAAAAACAGGGAAATTCTTTAAATTAAAGTGTTTGCCTGCACGTATATATATGCTAAATCTTATTAATCGATCTACACATTTGATTAACCGCCAATTCTTATCTATCCGGCATCCATTCATGGGTGCAAAGTCATGTTAGAAGCTCCGTTTTTGTCGGTATACCTGCTCCGTTCAAAACCTCTTATTTCACTGATCCCCTTTAATCTGCATTTCCATTGTTTTCAGGGATAGGCTTATTGTTATTTGGAAATCCCTATTGTTTTCCCAGCTAATCAAAAACAATCTTTCAAATAGGTACGGGATCGCCCGTTTTTCTTGAAAGGCTTATTGTAATAACCAGCAGCTCAGTAAGATATGGCTATTGAAGGACTAAATATTTAGTGTGAACAGGTCGTCCGGCGGAGTGCCTTTTATTTGCATTATTTTGCTGTTCCGACGTTTTTGTGTCTACGTTAGTACACTCACCGTTTGCCCTTTATTTCCTGGCTTTCCAGATTTTCCTGGTGCTCCACGCAGCCCCTGTGCATGAATTGAAAAATCTGAACTTTTTTTTTTAATTATTCAATTTGAAGAGAACATTGCACATTATAGTAACCGCAGGTTGCTATTTTGCGTATGCCAAAGCAGTTACTTTCTCCATTACAGCCCTTAATAACATCAAACATGCATGTCTGATGTTTTCCAAACAAATTTCTACGTTTTTACGGTATTAGACAAATTCGTCTAATTTACGCACTTTTCATTAGCGCAGGGGAAAAAACAACCTACCTGAGTTCCTGGCCTTCCTCTTTCTCCAATCTCACCCGGCGAGCCCTAGTCAAAGAGAGAGATGGATATAGATATGGGAGAAAGGAAACTATTCAGTGAGCACAAAGGAAATAATTCTACTTCAAATCTGTTTTTGTAATCATGTTTTAGCATCCCTTTGTGGAGCTCAGATTCCATTTTTTGTAATCTTATTTATTTATTTATTTTTTGTCCACCCTCATGAGAGGATGGATGACTATTACATTCTGCTTATATCTAGCATTTTTTCGGTGATCTGATCCATAAGTGCTGCTTATTTGGCGCCACTTATGCAGGCTGTATTTGCTGGTTCTTATTCCTCTCTACTGAGAGCGCCACCTATCTAATATGTTTTGACATGTCTAATAAACTTAACAGTCTGAATAGCCCTTTAAGAATCATGGCTATTTATAAAATTTGCCACCAAAAGAATCGGATTTCGTTTCTTAGACAGTAGTATCTGGTTTTACTTTTCTTAAGTAGTTAGTCCACCATTTAAATATGCAAAGCTAGCTTCAGCTTTATGCCGGGACAAGGAAAGTCTTTCAATAGATTTGCCTTGTTTGTATGACTGTTTGTTTTCAGTTGATAATTCTTCTTGAGTTTTGTTTCATAACCTGATCTCCTTTGGCTCCAGGAACTCCGTCTGAACCAGGCAATCCACTGTGACCCTTTTGATGAAGAAGATAAGATCTTACATGATTTTACAACAGCTGAACTTGAAAACGATGAAAAAGACAAATAAAGAAGGTTCAAAACAACAGTAAAAAAAATAGAGGTGATGAATGCGGAAATGCAGATTGCAGAAAGTTTAGGAACTAACATTAAAAAACTCAGTAACGTCTAGCAAAAAAATGATGACCTCTATAAAACTATAAGAAAACAACTTGGCCCTTACTCAGAGATTTTACGCTGCTGCGCACAGATTTAAAATGAGATTTTAAATGATTTGCGCGGAATCCTTAACCCCAATAATGGTGACTAAATAGTTTACCTTTAGTCCTGCCATACCAATTGCACCAGGAAATCCTATGTCTCCCTGAGAACCCTAAAGCCAGAAAAGAACGTGCAACTATGACGATTATTTTCATTTTATTATTGTATTTTTTTCTAGGCAACTGTGGAGGTCGTTACAATTCACACCATTAGGCTTCTTTTAAGAAGCCTAATCACTTTGTAATTTTTTAAAAAAAGAAAAAGGGGAGAAATCATCTGGATTACAAAGTGATTTGAGCTGTCAAGACATTAAAGATGACAGTCACGATAGTGTTTTCAAATACCAGACATCAACGTTTAGAATACATACACAATACGGAAGGTCAGGGGTAGTAATAGACCTTTTTACCGATACGGCGGCCATATTGAATTTATTAGATTTAAGGAGTATTATGGGATGCCCAGGAGAGCACTCGCTCAGTATTTACGCGCGCTTTTCGGGCAAAAGAGAACTTCACTGTGTATTTCTCGGGAAAAAGGCGATCATTATTACATAGAAAAAAGGCACAACGATCTCTTTTTCCCACTGCAATCTTTTTTGGGAAAACTTAAAGAAAAATTGGCCCGAAAAACGCGAGTAAATGCTGAGCGAGTATATCGGATCAGGCTCATACCCCCTGGGCATTCCATAATACTCCTTAAATCTAATTAATTCAATATGACCGCCGTATCGGTAAAAAGGTCTATTGTGCGAGAAAGTATTATCACTGTCTTGTTTAATAATATTCTCCATCACATTCCTGAGAAACATATTGAGGTCAAACCCTAAATCCAAGAAAGTCGCTACCTTTGGCCCAGTTTCTCCAGGTAAGCCTTGTTGACCGCGGCGTCCTCGGGAACCCTACGAGAGAAGTATATAATTTTGTAGATTTTAGTCTCAGCTGCATCTTTTCATACTTTAATTAACGTCTAGAAAAAAGTTAGTTGCGCAACTGAAAACGCCAAAGAACAATTGATAAGTCGGATATCTTTTCTTCTGAACAGACCATTTAGAAAAGGATACTAAGCTCACTTTGTTTGTCTGTGTATTTTGTTAGAGAAACGTTGACTTTTTTTTATCTTTGAAATTGTTTTTCGAGTAAGTTTACTCTGACTATGAGTACAAGAGTGAAAACGATGAGAAATCTTATTCGCCTTACGGTTCTTCCAGGCGGTCCATGAGGTCCAGGAGCTCCAATTTGTCCTCTTTTGCCCTAAAAAAAATTCAAAGTAACTAATCATCAAAAAATGGCGACTGAAATCAAAAGACCGAAAGTTGAGTAAACCTTGTCTTGCAATGACAACGACTATACAGTCACGCGGTTTAAATGACTACAATTATATCAAACAGCTTTTACGAACCAAAACTCTACTTGACCGGGATAACTCAGTGCAAGTCGTATGTTTTCAGTTGACAGAAACGCCGTTTACCCTTGATTGCTATTCTACAATATTCGTCTCAAATCGTTGAAACAGGAGCCGTTTGTCTTGAATTTTTTCTAAATTTTTTACATTCACTCTTCACACCTTTATTCTCACTCAAATGTGCCCCTCTCCTTTCCCAATGTTAAGCCGAGCGTAAATGGAGCACTAAAATGACTGCAAAGCCAAATCAACATTGGGGAACGGAAAATCAAACAAGTGTTTCAAGATTTGTGATGAGGATTGTAGCTCATCTTTGTCTGATGACAATGATACTTCCACCATTGAGTAATTTCTTTGGCGATTTTAAATTTCAACGAAAACATTAAGCCTGCAGCCGAAAATCTGATATAATGAGAGTGGATCTGGGTCGAACGGATGAACGATTTAGAAATTTTGGAAGTTTCCGCCTGTTTCGGAAATATCGTGTACTAGGACAGCCGAATATTTAAAGTAAAGCATAGTCAGAGGCATGGCAACGGCTCTTCGGCTAACAAACAGAGGAGTGATTAGTTGTTTGGTCGGTAAGTTAAGGCTTACATCAAATATTCCGTCAGGGCTATTTTCCGTCGGTATTTCAAAATAGCACGTGTGATGCCTTCTTGAAGAACAAAATGTAAAAACGTTTGCCTCTCTAACCACAAATATTGCAGTATGCTGGAAAACAAACAGCTTAAGGAAATTAATTCTGCTTCAGTGCAAGCTTTAAATGCTATCGCATTAGGAGCGTTGAATATTCAAACAAGTTGTAATGCTAACCTGGTTCCCCTTCGCACCAACTCTTCCGGTCGGACCGGGTTTTCCGCTGGGACCCTAAAAAAATAATATATTTATACTGCATTTATAGCAATGCTGCACGCAGTTTAACTATTGTATTTATCATAGCGGGAATTTCGTTTTGTTTACCGAGAATGTGCATGTGAGCGTTTGAAGGATGCAGTAGTCTAAGGGACTGGACAAATGTGGTTCTATGCATTTAAAGCCTGTATGAAAGTTTGTTAAATTCATAATTATAATACAGATGGATTTATTTATGATTACTTTACAACAACCTACCCTGTCCCCTCTTGGACCTTGAGCTCCAGGTTGTCCAATTAATCCCTACGGAAGAAAAAGTAAGATGAAAAGTAATTAGCCAGAATTTTCCAGAGGTATGCTCATCAACCTTACCCCTGCCCCAAAATAGTTTCAAGCGAGTCACGAAGGATCTCACTTCTTTTCGATGTATGAATAAATGGAACAAGATATGAAATATCTGTTGAGCTGGTAATTTAATAATTAATTTACATAATCAAATTACTCCTCTATACAATAATTAATAAGCGAAATATGAAAAGTATGCTATATCTACTATAATAAATGAGATGCATGATTTAAAAGAGTAGATAAGAGTGGGATCAGTGGTAAGCTGTTCAAGAGAACAGAGCCACGATATTCGTAATTTCGGTTCCCTATTTCAGTACTCGGCTTAGGCACATTTGTTTTATTTTGAATTTTTAGATTATGAGGGTGAACAATGGACATAGGTTTAAGAATAGTGTTAAGACGAGTTGCTAGTTGTTCCTAACGTCTTCGTTCCAACAATCTCAGGCGAGGTCACCGAGTAAAGTAGAAGTTCTAACATTTAGGCCTGAGAATGAGACTAAACGGGCAGCCCTGTCCTGGAGTACAGTTTGTGGATTCTTTTAGACTGACAAAAACCCGAAACACCTATACTGCCCCGTACGGAGAAAAGTTTGGTAAGCAAGCTCAATAAAACATCTACTCTTTGACTAGGTTAGGCAATGCAATATAGAATAACTTCCCAAATGCTTACCATTAGAATTCAATTCAAAGCAAGACTTGAACTAGACTTTTGTTAGAAGCCGGATTAATTAAATTGGATTCGCTTTGAATAAGTTTTACTTTTTCTGTAGGTAAGATTGATAGTCATATTCGAATGTCAAAGACTTAATTGCCTAACAATTGTATAGAAAATGAGCAAAGTATGTTATCAACTGTATTTTTTAGTTGGAACAACTCTCTGAAGCGGAACGTTCGCGTTTAATTTTATTGTGCTACATCATGACCCTGTTAATCCTAAAGCGATTGCTACCTCAACACCTTTCCGTCCTTGATCGCCACGGACACCTGGACTCCCAACAGGGCCCTACCAAGTAGAATCACAACGGTTAGTGGGCTGTGGTGCATCGACAAAGGGATGAAACACCAAGTCGGAAATATCTCAGTACAAATTATTTGCTAAATAAAACTGATATTCACGTTAGAAAATATTCATATATTTTATTACCGTAATGAAACTGAATGGGGCATGAAACTGAATGGGGCACTAAATACAACGCTCATCTGGTAGCTGAAAACCTTACTCGGCAGCTTGTTCAGCTTTTCTAAATTGATAATTTCGCTTTTTTTTCTATTGTCGGTCCTGTTGACAAAGCAGCCATGAACGGCGAAACAAATGTTCTCGACAATATGGTGAATATTCGGCCACTGGGGTTGAAAGATAAACGTAATTGAAGACAGTTTTGTCTGAACACGTCTCCGCAGTCCTTATCAAACATTCTTCCATTCACCCCTGGTAAGATACTTTGCAACTAGAGACTAACTAATGTTCAACCAAAACTATTGATATAATATGAATAAAAGTATTCTAGTGAGTAATAAACATCAAATTAATAATGGAAAAATAGACGCACCAATGCTGTTATTTATGTGATAAAGGCATTGAACACTGAACGTAAAATTCAACACCTCTGATTACGTCACACCATGAATTTTTTTCATTGAAGATAATGACAAGTAATAAGTCCATGGATCATGGTAATTGCGGTTTCCGTGGAAAACGCAGCCATAAACTTGTTGTTTTTAAACAGGAAAAAAAAGATGATTCACTTCTCCCAGTAATACGGTTTCAATATTTAATATGTGTCATTTTTAAAACATAGATAAACTACACGGAAGAAGTGCCAGAACTAAAAAGGAAGAAAACTACATTTTATCTTTCCAAGCAAGGCCCAAATAATTATCATAAACACACCATCTCTCTTATTCCATACCATCATTCCTTTAACGCCAGGAAGTCCCGGTTCCCCTGGTTTACCGGGACTTCCATCATCTCCCTTTTGACCTTGGGGTCCGCTTGGCCCTACTTCACCATTTTCTCCTCTCGGTCCATTTGCCCCTTGTGGTCCTCGGTCGCCTTTAAGTCCACCTCTTCCAGGTACACCTGTCTGTCCAGGTTCACCGGAAACGCCCTATCAACATGTCAAGACTAATATCACATATACAAAGAATTATGTGTATGCTGGAGTCATTTGATATTTTTGACACAAAATTTGTTCTTTGTTCGTTTTCTTTATGCATCTGGCTTTCCCCTTTTTAAGCTAGATTCCAGGTTCCCCGCGTCCAGCTCCCTTCTCCCGTTTCCCCGTTCCCCATTCCCCGATCTCCTGTTCTCGTGTTATAGCCTTTCACATGATCAAAAGTCTCTCCAAAAAATAAACACTACCGTCAACTTTCTAATAATAATTATAACAAATTTTTATACAGGCACTAATTATTGCCCGAACTAAAAACATAGTAGTGCCTGTCCCAAAAAGAGTCAAATCAAAGGGAGTCTCCAAAAAATAAACACCAATTCAACTCTGTCCGATTCACACCTTTTGGACCGTCATATTTGTTACACTAAAAGCATTTCCGTCTTAAAAGGCAAGAAAAAGCTGGGAACATTTGGGACCAATTCTTTGTTCTGTTTCAGTCGTGTCCGGGCTTTCCTTGTTACACTCAAGGATATCTTATCTTTGTTCCTCTGCTTGGCCTTTATCAATCTTAGATCTTATTCGTGGCCAATAATCAAAAAGGCGAGAAAGCTTTACTTACAGCCGGCCCCTGCGGTCCTTGCTTGCCTTTGAAACCTTGTAGACCCTAAAATAAAAAGAGTGCACGGCTGACATTCTTATGAAGTAAGGTTTTAGAGGGCCATAAGTTTACTAGTTTCTGTAACTATTCCGTACTACCCTCTTTAAGTAAAGTCTATTATTATTAGTATTATTATTATTTGCGTTAAAACGTAAACAAACGTAACCTATATATAGCAATGCGAGAAACATAAGCCCACCCAAACCATTCGGGTAGCCGATCAGAACTCAAAGTTAGCTTCATCTTGTTACTCGCAGAGCCGGAGCAAACTGATTGCTTTTTAGACTTACTTCGAGCAAATCGCTTGATTTATGTTTCTTCTTACCTCTCGTCCAGGCTCCCCCAGTCTTCCGGTCTGTCCTGGTATCCCTCGTTGACCCTAATATACAATATTGAATAGTACAAAAGAGAAACTGAAAAAGCTTTCAGTGGGAATAACCGCTTACATTTACAACAAATAGGGTAGAAAAAGTAACAAAACCAACAAAGACGGAAAACACTGCAATCAATATTCTCTGTGCGTTTGTGAGACACACACAGATATATGAAGAGTCATAGGACCCTGGAGAAAAGTGACTGAAATCATTTGATGGTTTATTTAAATTCAATTCCCAAAAATGGTTTATTGATACTGGCTACATAACGGCCATTTTTCAGCTGAGTGAGCGGCAAAACGAAACTCACGCCCGTAACTGTGTTCGAGTCCGTACCGAGTACCTGTGGACACCGTGATTAGGTCTCTGAGCATGCGTCGGACTGGCTGCGCAAACAGTTATATGCTCACCACGACGCTTTGACTTCTTACTGCCAGTTTTCATCTTCATGAGATGGAGGTCTATGATCAACACTTCCAACTAATGAACCCTTTTCCTCAGTCGTATTTTTCATTGACAATTGTCACCTATTCTAGTGGATTGTTCTCGATGCCTCAGTGCGGCAAGTCTCGTAAGAATGGTCTAGTTGACCTTTGATTTGTTCTACTTTAGCCGAAAAACCTATGCATAGTTGCTTCAACTTGCGCTTACCGGATTTCCGTCTAATCCCTTTCTTCCAGGTTCTCCAGCGTTCCCCTAATAAAACGGAACGAAAAGCAACGAATGAATAAATTATCTACTTAGGAGATTATTTATTATTAATTGAGAAAAACGAAAGTATGCAAAACAAACCCTTCGTCCTTGAACTCCAGGATCTCCGGGGTCGCCTGGGTTTCCTTGTTCACCCTTATAAACAACAAATGACTAACGTTAATCACATTTTAGATTACTGCTTGAACATTTTTGCTACACTTTCTTGGTTTGCATTCTCTTGGGTAACATAATTTCCAAACTGATTATAATTAGTCTCGCATGCAGCCAATTTTGACTCGTTACGCTGCGCTCCACTCCAAGGGGAGAGAGTTACGTGATGAGACAAAAACTGACAACGAACTGATGGATACTGACACATTGAGGAGGGGCTAGTAAATCCATTTTCCATAATTCAGAGGAATAAATTGATAATTTAACCCTTCAAGGGGTATACGATTTCAGCTTTGGATAAAAAATTTTGATACGAGAGAAAAAAAAAAACTTAGCAAGTTTGTTTCTCCTAGGGTGCTTACCATTAAGCTAAAATCCCTAAAATTCCGGACGGATGATTGGTGTTCAGGTCATATTTGTTTCAAGAATTCCGACTCAAAATAAGAGATAATTTATAGGGTTATTTTTCACTTCAGTACTTTGTGTAAAGCGAACTATGAATGCAGTTTACTATTTCTTTCTATGCCTTGCTTTGTTCAACACACGCGCTACACATTTAGCGTCACTGAATGCCCTAAGCTAGTCTTCCGCTCTCGAAGGATTAAAATTCGAAAAATTTTCGAATGTACAGAAAACCTCCAAAAGGAGAAAATTTCCTAGAACCATTACTAGTGCACAATGTTACTGAAAAATGTATGGAAGAATATCTGACCCTGTCGCCTTTGATTCCTGGTAGACCACGTGCACCAGACGCACCTACTGAGCCCTACAACACAAAATTATTAAAAAGCAAAAAGAAACTATGGGGTATGGCGAATAATATAGGGTAAATAGTTCGGGACAAGAAGTAATACGGTGAATTTTTTTTATTATTATTGGGGGCTTACTATGACTATGACTGCAAAAGCCAATACATTGTAACAGGGGTAAAGGCTGGTTTTCACTACCGAGTCGGAGTTGGAGTCGTAATCGAAAGCGTAGAGCTTATGACCTAGTGAAAAAAGCGTTCTGATTCCGCTTACGACTCCACCGCCTACGTTCCGCCTATGATCTAACGAAAACCAGATTGTCGGAGTCGGAAGAACTAAACCAATCACAAAACGTGCGAACGTGCGTTGTGATTGGTTTATTCTTCCGCTTCTGCTTCCGACTCCGACAATCTGGTTTTCACTAGATCATAAGCGGAACGTAAGCGACGGAGCCGTAAGCGGAGTCGGAAGAAATGGAAACGTTCTGATTCTTCTGACTCCGTTTCCGTCGTGCTTATGACTCCGCTAACGACTCCGACTTTTGATTTTCACTAGGTCATAAGCGCTCTTACGACTCCGTCGTTAGTGAAAACCAGCCTTAAATTACATTCTCGTGACGACAACATGCAACTTATCCACAACTGGAAATTCATTTGATAAATGACAATTTTCTTCTCTTAGATAATTTCTCGGTCCAATTATTTCTTTCAACAAAAATAAATCTTCACGATATCATAAATATCTCATATTTTGAGAACTAACAGAGTCAATGGAAAGATAAGCTGACACTAATGATATACTTTAATTTGTTTGCTTGCTGGTGTTTCTGGAGTGTCAGAAAACGCCTTATTTATGATTTACTTTGAAATGTAGCTAATTCCGGCCTACTCACTCTCCTTACATTCTCTTTTTCACCCTGCACAAGAACCAAAATTCTATTCCTGAATGGTGGATTGCTGTGACCCTTACCTCCTCTCCGGGGGGTCCCGCCTCGCCAGGTTCTCCATTTGGACCCGGACCTCCCTAAAATACAAAGGCAGTGTGAATCGATTTGCTCTGCCCCAATTGTGACACTCGATAATGTTTTATGTAATGAGTCGGGTGTGGACACTAGAATTAAACGTTTGTCTGTTCAAATGAATTGAAACTAAGGAGGCTTTGTTCTTCCCATGCTACTTTCTTACTTATTTTTCATATTGCCAACCACTCCTCCATATTTGAACTTTTTCTATATCATTTACATATTTGTATAACATGCTTCAGAAAATATCCATTGTCCTCAGAATATATATTTTTGTTATATAATTTTAAAGTACAATGTCATATACCTATTCCATTTTTGTATATAGTATATTATATTTCAATATTTTTGCTTGTTGATCATTTTTGGCGTTTTTTCCTCTAACTTACGAGGGCCTTAAGTTAGAAAACTGTAAAAGGTTACTTAATATGTCTCCCTCTTTTAATACAGATATTGTATTGTATTGTAATCATCGAGTTTGCTCGCGCTACATTCTCTGATTCCCTTTTTAGACCCTCCAAGCGGCCTATGCCACCCTTGATACGGTAGTAAAGTCCACCTCTTACCAGAAATCTTACTTACGTCTTCACCATGACGCCCAGGAAGACCCCGGGAACCTTGCAGTCCAGGATCACCCTGGAAAGGAATTTATTTTCAATTTTACAAACAAGTTTTTTGGGCAAGATTTGTAGACTACGAGTAGTCCTCCAGACGCGTCTCGCCTTTCTCGCGTGGGGTGATTTTCACACGCGCTCGCGTTTCGCTCGCTCTACTATCCCTGAGGAAAAATGGGGACTACTATTAATCTACAAAATTTGTGTCTTTCGTCGCCCGATTAAATTTCCGAAATAGACATTTTCCGAGTATCGCATTGTTGGTCCGAAAATGTATACCCTGCACGTGGCGCAGACGGGATCTAGTCAATGAGGCAACTGAGCTAGATATTCCCTGTGAAAGGTTTGAACTCACGAGTCATTTCACAGGAAGGTGGAGTATCAGTAGTCCTGAATAGGACTAAGAAATTCTCACCAGCTATTTTTCTCGGTGTTCTTACGCCAAAACAGGAGCACTCGCACGCGCTTAATCCCAACAGCTACGGAGGTTAGTGACAAGCAAGTCAAATCTCTCAGCCTGAAAAAGTTCGCGCCTTGACATCAGGGTTGTCAGAAGTGACCAATCCAGGGATATTTTATTTAAAAAACGCCATCCGTAAAGAAATGCCAAGCAGAGTAGCCTGCCGATACTAACCAAGTAGGCGGCGATTTTCGCCGGCAGCCGGCTACTTTTGACAACCTTGTGACATGCCCTACGGACCTCAAGTGAAATTCGTTAGACAAGGGATATGAACGGTATCTAGTCACGGTCTCCTACCCCGATTACGGCTCCTGATGTACATAAATATTTCATAACCTACCTTTTCTCCAAGTGGACCGGGGATGCCAACTTCCCCCTTTTCTCCGGCTTCACCCTACGGAAAAGCATTTACGAAGTTTTCTTTGGTAGCATCTCCTTCAGAGCCAGGCAATAAAAAACATTCACATGCACTTATAAAACTGTCGTTTCCATCGGGACGGTCATGGACGTACTGGAAGCAGTTTGATCAGATGCATATGTACAACGCAACCACCAGTTGACCGAGTTGGTTCGATTGATTATTGAGGGAGAGCAATCTCGGTTAACAGAGATCTCGGTTATGAAATTATCCTAGCAACCCATTCTTGTGTGCTCTCGAGAAAAAGGCATTAAATTTGGCTGAAAATTCTCACAGATACAACAAAGGGCTGGCAGGAATAGGTTTTTAAAATCAGTTTCTTCATAAATTCCACATGCTGGTGTGTTATATAAAATTATTACACACTTTGATCAGATTCCTTTCTAAAATTTTAACCTGTCAAAATAATATACATTCATTGTAACATCACTTTGTTTAAACTTACATCTGCTCCCCTTACTCCAGGTGGCCCAGTGCCCCCTAAAGGACCCTGTAAATGAACAGGTTTAAAATGAGGCGGCGATTGACTTTGAAACTTTAGTGCAAGACACATATTAACAAAAAAAGCATTCGTCGGTAAGAAGGTCTTAGTCAGCTAAACAAGTGTAAACACAACATAAATTCTGATACAGTAACGCATCCTAAAACATATTAACAGTAAGAAAAAATGAATAGAAAAAGTTCCTTTTGAGATTAAAACATGTATACCTATGAGAAGTGAGAGCCAGCTCTGTCAGCCGATGAAAGTACAACATGTACACAGGATTACATAATAGACGTTACCGGTTCTCCTGGAGCGCCCTTTACTTCTATGTATCCAATGCTAGCGGGTCCCTTGGAATCTCCAGGTCTAATCTAATGAAATGGAACGTATAGGCTTTTGTTTTAAACTTTATTGCGATAGTACAAGTTTATATCGCTTAAACTTCCATGTCAGAGAAATATGATTAACAATTATTCCACAAGTGCGCGTTGGATATGAGATCGTAGCAGGCCAACGAAGGACGTACCGCCGAGTCGACTATAATCATCTCGCCCACAAAATATCGAAAATTCTTTCCGACTTTATTTGTAAAAACAACCGATTTTCAGCTTGTTTTTAATTGTGAGCAGACGCGTACGGTTAGCATATTTGGAGAGTGTGGTATAATGGCTCATGTTCCATGATGGCTAAGCCAATCAAAGCTCTAGAATTGCATTATCCAATGATTCAGTTTTTAATAATAGGAATTACACCACCATAACTCCAGTTGGTTCTTTTTGTTGATACTAATTCAAGTAAAGGAACTTATTCCGATGTATGCACCTGTCGAAGTCTACAACAACAAAAATTGGCCAAGCCATCGTTGAGATCAATACTCACAAGACCAGCAAGAGGTCCAATATCCGGCCCACTTCCATTAAAATTTATGACTATTTCTCCTGGTGGTCCCGGAGGACCACGAGGGCCCGGTGGTCCTTTGGGTCCGGGACCTCCAGGGTTTCCCTGTTGAAGGAAAAAATAGAGGTACACACTTAAAATAACACAATCTGCGAGCGGGAAGAGGAGAAATATTGCATTTGATATTTCAAAGTAAGAACTGTAAGGCCACGGCATAGCTTGAGAATTTAAGAGTTGTGACTGAAGTAAGTATAATGATAGGTCACCTGCAGCCAGACACTTGGTAAGGTGTTTTTTTTTTTTTTTTTACACAATGACATTGCGTTTAGTACAATAAAGCCTATTTCATCCGTTAATTTCCAAGTGAATTTAATGAAAGTAGAGCCAGTGTCACACCCTACAGTAATAGACTACTGGGCAACTGAGTTTAGAGGTGTTCTTTAACGATTTCTCACTGTTATACAACTAGTGCTAAGGCCGTTCAATACATAAAATGGCAAACCTCTGTTCCACGATCTCCCTCGGGTCCAGGAGGCCCTGGTGCTCCTTTGTCTCCCTAGAATGTACATTACAAAATGAAAGTATCAATTAAGGATGCGTTAGATCGGTTACAAATCCCCAAAAGTAACAACTATCTTTGATCAGAATTCAAAGCCACTCAGAGGATAGCATCTTTTTCGTGCAATTGTGCCTGACCAAGTGTAGTAAGTAGAGGTTATCAACCAATGTGCGAGTGGAGGAAATCAAGTAAAATCACTGTTAACGTCAGATTTCAACCTGAAGACAGATCCGTGCGTTAATTTTTTTTTTCTTGGATTACAAGCATAATCATCACGCTGTGACTCATATTCTTTTATGTCCCCTTGCATCTCTTGGTTGGAAGCAGGACTAAAAAAAAGCAAGATTTCATGCTGTGGAATATTGTGAGGGTCATAAATCCTTTTGGGGCAAAATCACAAGGAAAATCTGTAAGTTGGCATGCGTAAATTATAACAAGAATGACGCTTTTAATCACCAAGAACATTTATCATATATCCACTTACTATCATTCCTTTTGGCCCAGGATCTCCAGGTGGACCAACCTTAATAAATAAATAAAAAAATTAAAATAAAATAAAAACGAACGAAGACAAATTTCAGAGGCCATATCCACGCCAATCGGTTTACAATTGTAAACACCTACAAACGTGCAAGTGCACATTCATACCACAACTATCATCCTAAAAGCTCTCTAGCGTTAATAAACCCCTAAAACAGACTAGCCCTTACCACCAAGACCAGGGCCCGGTTACTCGAAAGATGGTTAAGTTTAAACTACGATTAACGCCAAATTCTAGTAAGCAAGGTTTTCTTGTCCAAGAACATGCAACTCTGGCTTACAAATACTGTTGAGCTTTTACTCACAGAAACAGTAATGATAACACAAAATGTTACTCTAAGCAATACATAGGAAAGTAAATACAAAAACCGAACAAAATTTTAATGCTGGATTAGCGCTAATCGGCCGTTCAGGAACAGCCCCAAACGATTTGTCAATCTCACTCCCAAATCTAAGAAGGAAATCTTGTGGTCTTGACACTTACATGAAACCTCTTCGTCAGAACGTTTGCGTAGTACTACAAAAGAGAGATCTGGAATTTTTGATGAATTTTTCAAAGTTGCCACTATTTGGAGTGGCCAATATCATATCGCTTACGCCTGGAAAACGTTAAACGAGCAGTTATGTTTTTCTAACCGGGCTCTTGTGGACACGGTCTTAAAAATCATTCAAACACTATTTGTGTAAAAACATATCTTAATCATTAGGTTCAGTAATTGTATCAAAATTCTACAAAACAAAGGACCAAATATTTCAACGTAGTTTAGCCAGTGTTTAACGAAACCGCGTTCTAAGTTATTTTCAATTTGCCCAACGATTTTATCTAAACATCATTTATCGTGAACAGTTTTATAAAAGCATATAGGGAAGACTAGAAAAGAATTTATCTACATAAAGCAAACCACAAAGGTCCAAAGATTCTTTAAACCGGGGCTTAAGTTAGGCTTCGTTTAAATATTTGGCCCAAGGAGTTTGTACTGTTTGGCCTTCCGATCTGTTAGAATCTGTTAGGTAAAGGGCGAAAACCAAAACCTTCAGATCGTTGATGGTAGAAACCCTTTTTGGAAAACTGAAAGTCGTTTACTTCGTCTAATAAAAAAAAAATAGAAAAGTAAACACTTACCACCCTTATTAGTGCTACTGGTTGAGCTGTGAAACAAAATAGCGAAATCAGTTAGAAATGTAATGTTTCCTCCAGCACACTTTTTCTTTAAGCCATCAACTAAATCCTTTATTGGCAGTCTTTCTCCTACTGGTTTACAATTAAAGATGGAATTCTGGAGCCAGTTCAGGCATGGAAGTTTCAAAGGGGTTGCACGTAAACATTTTCCTTTACACATACCTTCGACACGAATAAGTCTTTCAACAGGGGCTCCTAAGCCATTATCCGCCTTGCATCTGTATTCACCAAAATCGTCATTATTGTTTATATCCACAAACACTACATTGTCAAAAGCAGTGTTTGTTACAAGTTCGCTTCCATCAGGTCGATACCACGTGACATTCGGCATAGGATCGCCATCGGACACACAAGTCAACTCCACTTTCCCTCCAATTTGGGCCAAGGCTTGAGATGTGTTTATGCGCACTATTGCGGCTGGCCCTTTTGGTAAGGAGGCAGAACATAAACTAAAACATGAGTTTTTCACATCAAGAATGGATGAAAAAATCATAAATGACGGTTTCAATGATAACACTTTTACGTCTACCATATCCCAGATCTAAATGGAATTATACGTTTCTGGAAAACTGCCCACCTACCCCTCAACTAAGCTAACATTTTGCCTTAAGTGAGAAGTAAGTGTTAATGTTGGCTTAGGGGAGGGGTAGGTGGGCAGTTTTTCAGAAACGTATAATGATCTAATGGAATTCGGCGCCACCCTTCTCAGGATTCAGGAATAAGCTGTGTTACATGTTAAACTGAATTCGCCATCATTGCCAATGGGATGAAAGGTGAACAAAGGAGGAGGAAATCGGTATTGTTCACAAATAGCCTGTTTCAGAATTTAATAAACTCTATAAACAATAGATGATATAAATAGCCCTTTTATCGATTCGTGATTCAATTTCACGATTCCTATAAATGTACGTATTGTATATACCTTTTTGTTTAACTGAAAAAGCACCAAAAGGTCTGCGTTGAAGACAGTTTGTGCAAAAGAAAGACCAAAAAAAACTTGCTTGCCCTACCAAGCCCCGACTGGACAGGGACTTCTCGTAAACTACAATTATTGCCTTAAAAGTGAAGCTTCAGAACAACCAGTTGACTATTACCTTTGCGAACTGGTCTCCGTGGCGCAATCGGTCAGCGCGTTCGGCTGTTACCTCAACATGGGTAACCGAAAGGTTGGTGGTTCAAACCCACCCGGGGACGATACTTTTTTTCCTTTTTTGAAGAGCAGTTGCATAGTTGATTTTGTCAATGTCAATGTTAATGGGATCAAAGGTGAACAAGGGAGGAGGAAATTGACAATAGACAGTTTGTGTAAAAGAAAGACCAAAAAAAACTTGCTTGCCCTGCCAAGCCCCGACTGGACAGGGACTTCTCGTAAACTACAATTATTGCCTTAAAAGTGAAGCTTCAGAACAACCAGTTGACTATTACCTTTGTGAACTGGTCTCCGTGGCGCAATCGGTCAGCGCGTTCGGCTGTTACCTCAACATGGGTAACCGAAAGGTTGGTGGTTCAAACCCACCCGGGGACGATCCTTTTTTTCCTTTTTTGAAGAGCAGTTGCATAGTTGATTTTGTCAATGTCAATGTTAATGGGATCAAAGGTGAACAAGGGAGGAGGAAATTGTTATTGTTGACAAATAGCTTGTTTCAGAATTTAATTAACTTTATAAACAATAGATAATAAAAACAGCCCTTTTATCGATTCGTGATTCAACTTCACTATTCCCATAAATGCATGTCAGTATTGTGAATACCTCTGCAGAACCTTCAAATTAGAAAGCGGAATATGTGTTTAACCGAAAAAGCGCCAAAAGGTCTGCCTTGAAGACAGTTTGTGTAAAAGAAAGACCAAAAAACTCGCTTGCCTTGCCAAGCCCCGACTGGACAGGGACTCCTCGTAACGTATAATTATTGCCTTAAAAGTCAGAAGCTCCAGTAGAACCAGTTGACAATAACCTTTGCGAGCTCGTCTCCGTGGCGCAATCGGTTAGCGCGTTCGGCTGTTACCTCAACATTGGCAACCGAAAGGTTGGTGGTTCAAGCCCACCCGGGGACGTTATTTTTTGTTTTCGTCATTTTTCTGCCGTCTTTCAAAAGAGCAGTTGCATAGTTGATGTTGTCTGTCCATTATAATTTTTAATTTCGAAGACACAGTGTAAGACCGAGTCATCTGCTCCTTCCAACTCGCTACTTTCTCGCATATTACTTTCAAGCGCCTGCTACGAGGGCTAGGGTCAAGGTATTTAAACTTTTCTCCCTTTTATTGCAGTGATTATAGTCGTTACGCCAACACGATAGCTAAAAGGAAAAATAAGCCTTACTTCCACAAAAATTGGTGTTGCATTCCCTTGACTCCTCGCTTTCTCCAATACAAACGAGTCCACCAAAGGCTGGGGGAGGATTGTTACAGCTGCGAGTACGAAATTGACTGCCTCCACCACACGTGACTGAACAGTCACCCCAAGGACCCCAGTCTGACCAGTTTCCGTCAACTGAAATTGAATGAGCATACGTTACTTCACTGAATCAATAGCTAGACTTGGCGCGTTACAAATAAATGAATAAATAAATATCGTTTATTCCACTGTCTTGCAGATAACTGAATCGGCGGTTATAGCTAACAATAATGCTACATTTAAGCCAATTAATTGAGTTTATTTGAACCCATGAAAGAAACGAAAATGAGATGAATATGACTTGAACTGCGGAAATACAAATAGGCCATTTTCGAGTTGCCTAAGGCCTCTGTTTCAATGCGAGGTGAAGTGCGAAGTTATTGATATGAAAATGTTAATTTTTTCTTACGTATACTATAATTATAAAACTCATTTTCACAAGAAAGTTTTTGCAATAAGCCTCGTTTGGAAAGAGAGAATTTTTGGAACTCTGAAATGGCCTAATTAATCCAATTTCACCTCATTTAAATCAGGAATGATCGAGAAAAATTGATGGAAAGCGATAACAACACAAAATTTTAAAAAAATTGTTTGACTGCACAGGACATTCGCTCCAGTCATTCCAGTCTGACTAATTACCGTCAACTGAATTCAAAGGCAATAAAAGTACTTAATTTTCCTTTCAAACTACCATCACTGTTAGAAATGCGAACCAGGTTGCCATGGTAACATCCATGTTGAAGTACACCCCGATTCCCAGATAAATTTTAGGAAAAGTCGTTAAGTTTAGCGGCCATGGCCTTAGCGGTTTTGACGTTATTCAGCTATAAAGTCAAGGGGGCCTCAAATTCCCCCAGAATAAATAAAATTAAACAACTTTTAAAATAACTTGGGTGAAAAAAGAGTCAATCCGAGAAATCCAGCTCATATCCAAATTGACCACGTCCTCGCGAAGTGTTTAAGAACAGCTAAGCGTACTTGACGGTGTTTTTTGTATGTCCAGGAATTGTCCTTCAGGTAAACTTGCCCGAAAGAGATTTAAAGCTTCTTACTTTTGAATGGTAGATTTTTATTGATTTATTCATACCTTATGAATTTGAGGTAAGTGCTCGAGACCAAGTTCAGTTATTTTACTGAGAGTTTTATAGCTGCTTCTTCAGTTCCGAGTCCATTTATTTATTCAGGGCTAAACACGCACAGAAAGTAGCAAGAATATCCTTGCTTTGTATGCTTGTTAGCTTGTACGTTTGTTTTTGCCTTTTTGAAGCTGGGAAAGGCCATACGTGACCTTGTTTCATCACTTTCCCCAGGGCACGACCCCCAAATACCAATGGTATGTGGTGAAAACCCAACAGTACGAAGTTATCTCTAAAGTCAATTACTGATGACTAAAGCGCACAAAGGCCTTTATTGCAAGGCTTCGTTTCACAAAGTCCCAAAGACACTATGTCCGTGCAAAGGCCGGTGTAGGATTAGTGCAAGTTCGTTTTCGGCCCTGTTCTCCTCCTCCACGTCACATGTGACAGAACAATCAACCAAATCATTCTATTTTTATTAACCGTCAATAAGATAAAACATTTTTAAAGTCCCTGTGCTCTTCACGGCCCCTTCAGTCTCTGTTGTCTTGCCAAGCCTCAGCTAGACTGACCTGAAAAGGGGCTGCTCACAGTGTAGTTACTGGCTTAAAGCTGAGCTCCTGACGTAAGCATTTTGATATTGAACCATAGGTGGTCTCCGTGGCGCAATCGGTCAGCGCGTTCGGCTGTTAACCCAACGTAGGCAACCGAAAGGTTGGTGGTTCTAGCCCACCTAGGGACGGTTTTTCGCATTCTTGTCTGCCTCATTGCCTTCATTTTGTCTCAAAACGTCCAGAGTGTAACTCGCAAGAGTATTTTCTTTACATGGGCAAGGCCTCGCATTGCATTGCCTTGATTCGTCACTTTCCCCAGGGCACGACCTTCCACCAAACGCCGCCGGGGGACTCGTACACATTCTTGATCGATTCTGTACAAGGTCTTGTTTTATGGCTTTCCCCAGGACACTATTGGACTGCCTTTCTTCCGGTGGAGGTTTGCGGCAAGTTCGACAAGTTCGCATGCGACAGAGAAGAATTCCTGAACAATCATTCTAGTCTGACCAATTATCGTCGACAGGGCAAGTCAGTTCAAAACACATTTTACATCTTTGTGTTTTTCAAGTGCAATCAAATTCTACGTATATAGAGTAAATTGTTCCAGACGACCACCCATTTCTTTTTTTTTTTTTTTTTTTTTACAGCAGAATAATTTGAAATCAAATCTGTCGACGTGTATTTGAGTTATCTGGGTAGTTCACGTGCTCTCCAAATCGTTTACGATACAGCGCGCGACAATGTTCAAAGGAAATACCTCATAAACCCTTCATTTTGCAGCATTAAACAAAATGATTGTCTAGTCGAAAGATCACCCCAAGCTACACGTAGAAGCGGAAGAATTTAGTTAGTCTGGAGATGCAAGACATGTAGACAGAGACTGAACTGTTGTTTGCTTATGTGGAACCGTGGTGAAGCTAACTAAACTTTCTTAAAGAACCGCAGAACGCGTCAACTTGCCGCGTGTACTCCGTCATTAAGGTAGCCCCCATTTAAAGCATCTTTTCAATACGTATAGCATAAATTAAAGCTTCCTTTCTGCTACTTGTGTCCGGAAGAATCCGTCCGTTAAAAAAAAAAATAGCAAAACGTATACCACGGGCATGTGCACATCTACAGTACAATGGTTGTACCTTCTTTGAGGTTTTCTCGCGCTATGAAAAGTTTTTAAAATCCAACACAAAATGAGCATATATAAACTAAGAAAATATTACTTGGGCAAGGAGCTTCGTTGCACGGTCTCGTTTCTTCGCCTTCCCCAGGACACTTCTCTCCTCCGAATGCCGGTGGGGGATCGGTGCAAGTTCGTGTTCGTTTCTGTTCACCGCCTCCGCACGTGACAGGGCAATCACTCCAGTCATTTCAATCTGACCAATTACCATCAACTAGATATAGCATTTTAAAACGTTTTTTAAAGGAAATCCACGGCTATGAGACTGTTTCGGAATTCAAGAAAAAACAAAAAACAACAACAATATTTACTTGGGCAAGGAGCTTCGTTGCATGGCCTCGTTTCTTCGCTTTCCCCAGGACACTTCTCCCCTCCGAACGCTGGTGGGGGATTGGTGCAAGTTCGTGTTCGCCTCTCTTCACCACCTCCGCATGTGACAGGACAAGCGCTCCACTCATTCCAATCTGACCAATTGCCATCAACTACCAATGAGACATACGAAACATTATTGCGGTTGCTATAGCAACCATTTCGCATTCATAAGTTATCGGGTCGATGAAGCTGTTTGGGCTTGCTATAGTGCCAAGTTATGTTTCTTCAAAAAATGACAGAACCTGTATTTGTGCGCCAGTCTACGGATAAATGCTAAAACGCAAAATGTGGTATGAAACACAAAGAATGAGGTAGCATACAGCTCAAAAACCAAGTATTTTCAAACTTTTTCGTATTCTTTATTGTCGTTTAAAAATAGCATTTTGTTTACCTTAATCGTTGAAAATTTTGATGATTTCAAATACCAAGGAAGTGTAACATTTTTTTGGAGCGTTGGTAAAATCCAAGGTCTTAATAACTTGCCTGGCATCGTTAGCGAGAGACAAAAGCCATCTACGCTGCATGCATGTGTAGAGGAGGAAAACCTGAAGACCGGTAGTCAGTTTAGCGCCGTAAAACCACAATCAAGTTAGCAAGGCAATGAGACCTGAGCATGGGGCATTAATTACTAACCTATATAAGTTTATAGATGTTAAATGTCTCAAAGTATATGGTTTTTTACCCCGTTTGGTCTGAAGTTTTGAGTAGACTTTAACCGTTTGGCACTGAAATAGGGTTAGGCTTTGAGCACCTTGGAACTAGGGTCTGGAGTGTTTAATGCTTTTTTATCGTTTCAGATCTTAAGGTCTCGGTAAAGGAAAACGAGGTGCCCACAGAAAAAAATTCTAGTCGCCCGAGTATTTTCGCTACAAAGGCAAGTTCTATATCAAATTAAAGCTAAAAGACTAAATTACCTTATAAAAGATTTTATTTCATCGAATTTCAAAAGGCGCTTAAGTTTTTTGCTCTCGAACTCAGAGGTATCGAGTTTACTGCTGAAGCTCCAGCCCTTTCGCGTTGTTAAATATTCACTTCCTTTTTATTGCGTCTGATTAACAGATAAAAGACCTAAAAAAGGGTGTGAGGAAATTTGCATATGTCTCGTATTAGCGGAATTATTGCATTTCAAACTAAAAAGTCGAATCTCGAGCGCGATTTACGCAAAGAAACTGACATAAAATGAGTTACAAAGGGAAATCGGAAAATTCCTCACACCCTTTTTGATTCTATATCATTATCCATCATATCTGAAAGTTTCAAAGCGATAGCTTAAAACCTGTCCCGACTGGAGGTCGGAGAATTTTGATTTTTGCGTCTACAATAGAGTGAGAGAAAATCGGCTCTAAAGATTTAGCGCGAGGTCCACGCTTGGCTGGTTAGCTCAGAAAAGGCCTATTTTAGAAGGGTTAAAAAGCACTTTCTGATTTTCTTTTTCTGCCAAAATAAAATTTAGGACCCACTCATGCCAAAAATCAAAAAAAAACAAAATCGAGCAATGTACAAAAATTTTCATTTACCGAGACCTTAAATAGTGGAGGAAATATCACTCAATTGGTCTGGGAGGGTCCAAGCATACCATACCATGAACCACTCCAGAAGTGGCCCCTAGGGAGAAGGCGATCACCTCGCGAATCGCAGCCTGCTTGGGAGATGCATGAAGGGAAGGGGATGGGGGAGAGGGAGTGCGTCCCTTTTAGACTCTCCCAATCCCCCTCCCTTCTCTATTGCTGGCCCACGCCTCACTTCACGCCTCAAAAATTCAATTCAGCGCCCTAAGTGCTTATTGGAGCGTTTACCGTATTTTGAATTTTCCGACTAAGCTCAAGGGAAGAAGGGTTTCGTTTCTTAAAGAAACTGTGGCGATACCTCGTTTGGGGAGCGAAATACAAAAATTTCGGATTAATTTTGGTTTCAGGGAGACTACCTATCAAACCCCTCCCCTACGCCAAAACAACACTATGTACATGGGAAAGACGAGTTTCGTTTCTAAAGAAACTGTGGTGCTACTTCAGTTGCAGGGTAAAATACGAACATTTCAGATCGACTTTGGTTTCTGGGAAACTGCCCAACCTATCCCTCCCCTAGCCCAATAATAACACTTAATTACTTGCCACTTAGGCAAAATGTTAGCTTAAGGGAGGGGTAGGTTTGCAGTTTCCCAGAAAACTAAATTGATGAAGACACCTACCAGGACAAGGCTGCTCATTGCAGGCTTCTTCCTCTTCACTTGGACCTGGACATTTCTGTCCCCCATTTTGAGGGGGAGGGTTTGTGCATGTGCGATTTCGCTTTCTTTTTCCTCCACCACATGTCACCGAACAGTCACCCCAATTCTTCCAATCTGACCATTGACCGTCAACTGTAAGATAAAATAAATTGATTTGCACCTGACTCCGTGATTAGACTGCAAGAAGAGAAAAAAAGAGAAACTACTCGTAGTCTAACCTTGTTAGTAAAAAGACTCTAGGAATCTAACAGACTGCACTCAAACTTCTCGCGCATCATAAATTTTCTCCACAAGAAGATAAAAGGAATCTTTCAAAGCGTGTCTCTATAAGTGGCAGCACGCTGATGAAATTATGAACACAAGGTTAAAGAAACAGCCAAGGGTAGGTTATTACAAACCTAAAGACGTGTAGAAAACAATCTCCTACCTGGACATTTCCCTTCTCTAACATCCGTCACGATTTCGTCAAGGGCACTGAAGTCCTCAGCCAAAAAAACACCCGTGTCGTCCGTTGCAATTTCCACTAAGTCTTCCAGGATGATGCCCTTCCCAATTCCTAGCGTCATTATCTCTATACCTTTATTTTTTAAGGGAGCCGATGCATTTCTCAGTATCTGTAGACTTGTTTTATCGCTTTCTTGCGGAACTGTTTGCACACCATCTGTCATGACGATAGCTATCTACAAAGCAAAAAAGTTTGATAGGTACAGGAAATGAAGGGGGCAAACATCGTAGATAAAAACGGCAGGGCTGCAGCTTATGTTGGGAGCTTCCTGGTGGTACGCAATCCTTTGTTCAGCTTTTTTTATTCGCAAATTGTGACGGAATGAATTAAGATGTCGTTTTTATTGGTCAGCAGTTTTAGTTAAGAATGTGCAAAGACAAGTCCACAAAAACATAATTATAACAAAGGAGTCTGACAAGCTTCAAAACCATATGTCTTTCTAAAAGCTTTGGATCCATTGGGAGTTGACCAAGAACGGAACAAGTCCACCGAAAATGGGAATTCATAGTCGTTCTCTTTCCACCTTGAACGCTCGTTGGGCGCATCAGGCAATCATTATTATGCTTCTAAAAGCCCTTATAGGTTGCTACGACCTAATAAGAAGGGAAAAATCAATACAATGTTACTGGTATGAATCTAGCAGCAAAAAAGTTTACCTTTGCTACATTTTTTCTCATCCCATTTGCTTCGGAGAAAACCACCGTATCCGCAAGTGCCAGCGCCTTATCGATGTATGTGAATCCACGAGTGTGTGGTACACTTTGCACCTTGCGCTTCACGTTGACAGCATTAAGCGCGGCTCCCTTGAAGTCGTTGAATTTCAGTTGTACTGAGGCGTCAGTACTGTATTCGATGAGGGCCACGTGAGTGCCAGTTTCAGAAACTTCGAACTGGTCTACTAAACGCTCGAGAAACAATTTGAACTGTCTAAAGTTTCTCCTACTAATGCTCCCTGAAATAGAGAAAACACTGAAAATACTAACGTATTTTACTAAATTTAAAAAATGGATTTATGGATGGATTGATGGATGAATGGACGGAGGGACGGGCGGAAGGAAGGAAGGGAGGAGGGAAGGATGGCTGGGTGGAGGGATGGATGGATGGATAACGAATTTTGTTAAATTTAAATGGATGGGAAGATGGATGGGCGAGTTGACGGAAAGAAGGAAGAAAGGAGGGAAGCAGGGAAGGAGGCAAGGAAGGATGGATGAATGGATGGGTGGGTGAGTGGGTGGGTGGATGAATGGATGTGTGGGTGGATGGATGGATGGATGGCTTGATGGATGGATGGATGGACGGACGGACGGACGGAAGGAAGGAAGCAAGTTAGCAAACCAGCAAGGGAGGAAGGAAGGAAGGATGGGTGGATGGATGGATGGATGGATGGGTGGGTGAGTGGGTGGGTGGATGCATGGATGGATGGATGGATGGGGAGGATGTACAGGCAAACATACTAATGTTCAAACGAAGGTAACTGACTCACCTGAAGCATCAATCAGTAAAGCCAAATCTATAGGTTTAGGACAACCCTCTAAACATAATAGAAAGCAAGCACCGGTAAGACTTGTGTTTACAATTATATTTGTCAGTAGACGAAAAAATGAGTCCATGAATCAGTAAGTGGAGAGTACACAAAGAAGGCCTTGTCACAGTCTCGGTAGAAAAGGTAAGGACCTTACGACTAAGATCAGTTATAAACTCCGAGGTCATGGAAGATTTCTCGAGCACGCCAAATTTTACGTCCCCCTACCCGCCTAAGAAAGCATACGGACCTAGGATCGGACTTGCGTTGACAAGCTGTATGATAGAAATACTGCTCGGAGCGAAAGCAAGTAATACTGATTAATAACTAAAAGTATCAAGCGATTGACTCAGCACTTTTGAACCAACAAACTTGATCTCACTGTCTTGGTTCAGTGAGTAGACTTGCCTGAGTCATCCCGTAATGACAAAAGTGCCAGGTAATATTTGCAATCATCTGCTCCATTCTATTTGTATTAAACTGCAACCCTGGTCAAAACATCTTGGGAGACTTGAGGAAATCAGGCGCAAAGTCAGACATTGCTAGATTTACTCGAAAACTACCTCTTATAAAAGCTTGGAAATGTTGATGAAACAGCCTATTTCTGCTGTCCCCCTCTCAGCTAAGCAATGCTGATTGTAATTAAAACGTCTTAAATGCGCGTATGACTTCAACACAACGACATGGGGAGAAGGCAAGAAAATACATCAATTTTGACCAGCCATTGCGTTAGTGTCCTAAGAGTTTTGACCGGGGCTGTATTTTTTACATTCTCTTCTGTAACAGATTAGTTTAACCTAGTTGTTTAAACACAAATTCCGAAAGTAAAGTGCGGTTCGGCACTGTAAAGATCAAAGACAAAGAAAGCACATTGAAAACCACAGCCGCAAGTGCTAAACGCAGGTCACAGCCCCGGGGGTTACTCCCTAATATGGGCTATATAGGTATGTGCGGCCCGAAAGGGTAGGGTTTTTCAGCCGTTTTGGTCATAAATTGGGTATCGATTTTGGCTTTTTTGCCGCCATTTTGGTCATAAATAGGGTAACGATTTTTGCACCGTAGTCTTGAATGCACTTTTTTAGTTGTGGAATTCTGAGCTCGAAACTTTGCAGTCTTATAACATACCTAATAAAAGCAGATAAACATTGCCTTTAACATTGGTCTGAACTAGGGAAATAATTATAAGGCAGGTCTGAAACAGGGTATTGATTTAAGGGTCAGGTCATAAATAGGGTATTAAATTTTTGGTTAGGTCATAAAAAGGGTAGGGAAAATCGCAGATTTTGGTCATAAATAGGGTAAGGGTTTTGGGAAGCGGGCCGCACACCCCTATCCAATTTTTCTGCAAGTACCCCCCACACCTATCCAATTTTTTTCTGCAAGTACCCCCCGGGTCACAGCTCACAAGTGCAAGTTAGAGTGCAGGTAACCGTATACTACAGTAAATAAACAACCCCTATTACTGTCTCCTAGTCCTAATCACAATCCAAAATACTGCTTAAGCTCTAAGGGGAATCTGTTTATCTGAGTTATTCAACAATAGAGCATTGACCTGAACTTGTGACCCGTGTTTTGTACCTCATTTATTACTCACTCAGCACTTCAGCTTTTCGACACTGATGTGTGCATCCTTGATCTTCTGCGGATGGACAACACCTACTACCCTCTGCACAATCACCGTCAGAGACACAGAGATGTTTCAGTATTCCAGTGCACTGTAATGTATAAGGATCCACTACGGGACATCGCAGGGTTTCTGTGAGAGTCCAAATAGCAAAATAAGAGGAGATCGAGTGGTACTCCAAGAAATATCCCACGAGCGACTTGAAAATGTATGTTGACTACAAACGAAACGTCAAATACGTATAAAAATGTTTAACACCACCGTCGGTTTGTGTTCTGTTTATGAGTTTTTTTGTTGCATGGCATGACCGGTTTTAGCCTGCGAGCATGAAGCTCTCCATTTTGGGGAGACGCGAGAAGACACAAGAGAGCCGCACGTTTGCAATAATTGGAGCGATTGCTCCTAGGCTAGTCCGGTTTCGATCGATACCATTTTTAACGCTAGCCTTCGTGGCAGGCGTTTGAAAGGAAAGGCAAAGGGAGTTTTGGGCGCGCGAGGAGGGAGGGAAGGAAACGCCCGCCAGGAAACCCGGCAGGCTCCTGGTTTTCGCCAGTCCGCCTACTAATTTTGTATGCAAAAATAAAGCAACTGTGAATGACTAGCTGTCAAATAAGTCTGGACGCGAAAGTACACTTAGTTTTAGCGTTTGTTTTCCTAAAACAAGAAATCTGACGTGAACAGGTGGTGAAGGTACGTACTATAAAAACAAGTTCAAAATGCGGTCGTCCGTTGAAAGAAGAAAGTTGCAACGATGCCTGGCTTGTTATATGAAATCCATCATAAATCTATCACGTCGTTTGCTGAAGGAAGCGTGCTGGACGTCGCAACTTGCATGCAATGTTTGTCTGAGAAAAATTTAAAACACTTTGCTGGCTCTCGAATTGAATCCAGCGGAGCATACGAAAAAACGCTTCCCACCCTCCTTGCGCGCCCCTTGCGTTTCTCTCGCGCCTAAAACTCTCTTTCCCTTCCCTTTCAAACGCCACGCAGGCTATTTTTTCCCAGGTTTATAAGCACGGTTGCAACAACTTGTCGGCCCCCTGTGCTTCCAACCCCCGGCGACCCGCTGAAGGGGAGTCCCCCCGGAGTTGACACCTTCCCCACTTCACTCGCGCTTGCATGCGCTATGTGTACATAAACCTCGCAGCTGTCCTTTTCTCAGTGGCACCCAATGACGATTTCCTTCTAAATACCTTGAACACCTTTTTATGCTATCCACAGTAGTTTTAGATCTCTAGAAATACTTTCTACGCGGCATAGATTCTGTTCGTTCATGCTAGGGGACTTTGAGTATTTTCGAAATTACAAGGGCTTCGGTATTATTTTCCCGAAAATTTTAGATGCATTTTATCCTTTTATGAATGTAAATCACACGTCCTCAAGTAATAGAAAATTCTAGGCAATATTTGCTTCTCTGAAGACCTATTTACAGAACACAGTCGTTGGGTGCCCCTGTTTTCTTTACATGCTTATCACCCTGCATATTTACACAGACTTGAACCACTGCGCTTCACGCATCTGTTAGCCTGGGTAGCAAGCGTTTCCAATCGAGTTATTGCGCGAAAGTTAGAGCGGAAGCAAAAACCGTCATATATTTTTTTGCTCTTGTCCCAGCTTTCCAAACGAACCTCGCGAGGAAACGCTTGCTACGCAGGCTACGCATCTGTTAGACATTTATCCTCTTGCCTAAACCTTTCATAGTGTTATTTTTAGTACTTGTTATTTTCCTTGCACTTTATAAATCCCAGCTAGATGATCTATTTAAATCATCTTAACCTCTTAAAACTAGATTATACGCGATTCTCCTGATAAAGTTAGACATAAACACAGTCACACAAGATTTCGTAGCAAACGTGCGCGAGCGAAAGGGGTCATACAGCGAAAAATGACACTTCAACAGTGTCACTGAATTGACCTTCGATTCAGTCATGAAAAGCTAACATTTTACACAAACGATTATGAGTAATTAAAGAGTCAGTTCTTGGGCAATCTTAACCATATCAAAAACATAAAAGAGAAAAAAACTGGAGAAATAAATACTGAAGAATGATGTCAGCAGAATTTCGACACTACAGCTGTACACTGATCTACTGTCCGGTTATCAACACTTAAATCTGTCTGTTTAAATCGCTTGGAATTATAATTAGACGCGTGAGCCGCTACAGCTTTTAATACTCGTCAAATCACCAAAGAAATTCGTCGTTCCTTAAACGATTTCCTGTCATTTCCCAACCCGAAGTGTTGTATTGTGACGTGATCCTTCTTCTCTGTTCACGTACTTGGGCAAAACTAAATCTTAGTCAATCAACGTCCAATTGCACATCTTTTAAATCTTGCCGAATTACAAAAAACTATCACATTCCTCGAACGTTTCCGCCTGAATTGAAAATACTAGTAGATGGTGGTTGACGCGCGTAAACAAGGGCGCTGATTGCGTGTAATGACTTGCTTTTAAATTACTAAGCATAAGAGAGAGCTGTTACTTACGTCCACGAGACTCGGCGATAAGTGTTAGCACCAGCGAAATGAAGATGAGATGTTTCATAGCTTAGGGCAAAAAACGTTTTGATCTCCAGCCTCTTATCTCGAAGCCAGGATTATGACTTCCCTAAGACGGCTTGCCTGCCAGTGGACGAAGATGTAATTTCAATCAGACAACCTTTCACTGAAGCTCCTGCAATACGTAACCCGATACTGCCTTGTTCGATATTCAACAAGCCGGCTTTGTTTGAGGAATCCCATTCAATTGCTAATATATCCAATAGGCAAAAAGTGCGAAAAAATTGACAATTTCTCGGTATCGTTTGAGGCCAGAAACCGGACGTAGCGTCCGCTCGTTTGTCCCTACTTTCACACCAAATGATTATTTTCGAAAGTGAATTCGCTTACGTCAGCTTGTTTTACCTATAAAACCAGTGCTTCTTAAACCCCACATTTTTGAGAAGATTTAAAACAGAAAATAGCGATGTATGTAAAAATTAGTCTCCGCTCTTTCCGTTTTATTAGATTCTAGGCAGGAAAGTGATTAGCTCAACTGGGTTTTTTTTTTGTAAAAACCCAGTCCCAAAATTTTACATAAACCCTTCGACGCGCGTATGAAGCACCTAAATAGAATCATATCACTACTCGAGCCTTTGATTTATCTTTTGCGACGGGAAGTGAAATTTCACAGCGCGACTGTTTGATATCGGACAGTACTTGTAAGTGTTAAATGAAAAGAAAACAATTGCTGTGCTTATTTAAAATGACTCGCCAGATTCTCAAAAAACCAAAGGAAACGTGCTGGCTTCCCAAGTGATATTTTTTAAATAAAGAAAGAAAAATACTGCCAAACATTCAGTCGGAGTGCTATTGCTTTTGTTTTTCCTGTGCTTTTTGTTTTTGTTTTTCAAATTCTTTCCAAGCAAGGTCAAAGCACCGGCCTCAAAATTCTAGCACGAAGAACGACAAATATATATATATATATTTTGGGGCGGTCTCTTTCCAGTCTTTCCAAACTCGCTCAAGACAATTCCTTCGCGTTAGGACCGGTTAAAATTTTAGAATATTGAATATGCGCGAAATCCGACTCTAGTAGGTTGCCAGAATCTAGTCTGGGTACTGGTGTACTGCTGAGAGAGCACTATCTTCCCGTCAAGGGTCAAGGGTAGAGGGTAACATGTCGAAAAAAACAACTAAACTTTAGGTGATAATGAGACAACAGAAATTAGGCTTCATTTTGCAATTTTATGTTGCCTTGATCGTCAGAGATACTTAAGTTGTCCGGAAGAGGAGACAGAAACTGGTTAGCATGCGTCGGGAAATCGGACCCGCACGGAGACGCGACTCGACATGCGGGATGAAGCCTCGTGGGAAGCTGTATTCCATCATTTTTTCCCATCATCGTCAATCACTTCATATCAACAACTATGACCTAACAAAATCTGCGGAGAGAAAACAGTAATGAGAATTGCAGAGCGCTAACGAAAATTCCAAATTTTGGGCCACATGGCTCGAACACCATCCGTCTAGTTCTTATCTCAACCAGCGCGATTGCAACACGTCGTTATGTTACAATAATTGACTAAGAGATTGGGACCAGACGAGACAAATGACGAGAAAAGACGGTCTCTTATTTTCCTTCTCGGGTTTACGCCCTCGTTTATCCACAGGGAGCCCACACAATCTGTTTGTGTAGCCGATTGTTATTTTTTAAAATAACAATCGGCTGTGGTATATAGTCGTCGTTTTACCTCAAAAGCGGCTTTTTGAGCGATTTTGAAGGAGTTGGATTTCGCCGTTGACTGTTCAAACGCCTTCAAAATCGCTCAAAAAACCGCTTTTGAGGTAAAAGGACGACTATATACTACAGGTCAGGTAATTCAACGTTTATTTATCATTGATTTATATACATAGTTAGCGACATATCGCTATAGGTGAGGCAAACGGTAAATCCAGAACATTTACTATAAAATAACAATCGGCTACACAAACAGATTGTGCGGGCTCCCTGTGGTTTATCGCAGCTCGTGGCTTCGCCGCTCGCGTGCTTGGGTTCCGCGTGCAGTAACTTTGCAAAGACACGTTTTTACCTTCATCTGGCGAGAGTGTTCAGTTTTATCAAGTAACGGAAAACGTCGAATAGCAACTACCTCTTGTAGGCTAGTTTATTTTTTTATAAAGTATATTTGCAGATGATACGTTTTTTCAACACGCGTTTATTTATATTTCCAGAAGCAGCAAACGCTATAACTTAAATTACATTTTTTCTTTATGCGTTTACCCAATAACGTACCCTTAAAAATCTTTTCGTTAATTCATTTTACTTTTCTCTTCTTTTGTTTTACTGTTTTAATTTGATCTCATCCTTGGCCAGTAATAAATCTGCTAATAAAACATATCATTTTCCTCATGATATTTTACACAACCAAGGTGCAAAACACTACTGACACTACTGAGTATTTTAGTCAGCTGTTTTAGTATCCGTATCATACTCGTTCCGGCTTCGTGCGTGTCATATACAGCGGCACCGCAGATTATAATTATAACTGAACAACAGTGAACTAGCAAGGTGTTCCTGTTCTTTATACACCAAGTGAAGGCGGCCTTAAACAGTACTTTCTGATGTGTGTTGTACAATGACGTTAAAACAGACATTTACTCAGTTCTTTTCAAAGGGACTGTGTCTAGTTCATTTTGTGTATAATACCAATTACTCGTCCTTATTTGGCCTTGGAAATTAACCGAAATAACTCGTTAATGACTATGAAAATGGCGGCTTCGTGTCAAACAAATATGTCTCCTAAGCATTATATCAAACGTTTACAAACAAGAAAACAACTTTGAAAACCTGTTAGGTCAAGTTTTCAAAAATGCTTATTGCAACCGTTTAAATCTTCTTCAGGTTTGTCCGTCCATGCCTCCTCGTGTTATGTCTGGTTATTTATATCTTCTTTAACGTTTCATGCGGTTATTTTTAATATTTCACTCAGTTTGGTTGCAGTTTGTACAGATTTTGAATTTGATAAGTTTCGAGACACAGCTCCTTCAATAAAGTATTCTCAATTCCACTTTAGTAGCCTGCAGTTGGACAGAATCCTCTATAATCTCTTGGCCATGTTATCTACTGATATCTTGGGTATCTGTATCCCGCTGCGGAAACTAAAAAGGAAAGAAAAAGAAAGTCATGAACTGAGCGACAATCTGATAGTTCTTCTCGCCCCATATAAGGGAATCCAGGTCAGTGCTGAATTCTGGATTCCAAATACTAAGTTCTGGAACATGGATTCGTTGTCAGTAGATCCTGGATTCTGGATTCCTTAAGCTGTATTTCGGATCCAAAACCCAGGATTCCGGATGCCAAAAGAAAAAAAAAGAAAAAAAGAAAGAAAGAAAGACAAAATTTTCCTGGATTCCTGAATCCAGGATTCCTTTATATGGAGAGATTCTTTTCCTAGGGGTCTTTGGTGCGAGTTTATGACAACAGAATAATCTCGGTGTTAGAACCCCACTGCCAGCCAACAATCAGTTAGAATTTGACCTGCATGGCTAAAAAAAATTAATCCATGCTGTCATATCATGAGTAGAAAATCTAGATGTAGAGAATATTTAAAAATTCGTTCTGCATGTTCCATTTTTTATAGAGATTTTAATAAATTTAGGCTTCTAGAAAATGAAATGAACTTGAGGATGGTTGAATCGCGAAATTCAAGGCCAACCTCGTCCCCAGGGTTCTTTTCAACCCCACCTCCAAAGCCAGGGAAAAGCTCCCTGGGGACGAGGTTGATTCAAGGCCCTTTTCATATTTGCAAAGTGAATCGTGAAAATGAAACCCTGTGAAATACTGACTCGCCAATATCGATAAATTAAGTAACAATCAGGTATAGAAACTTTAGTTAATAAACTAGTAAACCAGTCGGTTTTATTCCTCAAGGCAGGAAGAGAGCGAGGGGCGGGGAGGGGGGCGAGTCCGTAGGGCGTGTCACTTTTTTAAACCTCGCTGGATCTAAAACTTTTGTTTAATTAATTCCCAAACTAATTTGTAATTTGTAGTTATTAACTAACTGAGTTACCCAAACAAAAAGTCGCGCAGGCAAACCAACCGTAACCGACTCGCCTCAAAAATAAGAACTTTCAATTCGGCCCAGGCTCTCGTAAGGGGTCATCTTGGGACGCGTAAAAGGTATCCGTAACTGAAGCTGGCCGCTTACGGGTATGTAAATTATACAGTTTGTATAGGAGTTGAGAAAAACGGGGTTTTACGAAGGCGGCCGTAAGTTAGAGTAGTCCGCTTAAGAGAGTGTGCGTTAAGAGAGTGTGCGTTAGGAGAGCCTCCACTATAAGAGTTAAAAGAGCTGTGTCAAGAAATTCAGCCAACTTAGGAAATTACAAAATGCCCGTTAAATTAAGAGATATGTAAAAATAACCATTTAAAACTTTAAAGGAAGGTTAAAATAACATAACAGAAACTGGCAACAGATGCCACGGATGGGCAAAACTGAAGAAGATTGAAACGGATTGAAATTAGTGTTTTTGATAACTGTTCAACCTAACAGTTTTTCAAAGTTGATCTCTGCTGCTTGCAACTTCAAAAATAATGCTCAGGAGATATATTTGTCTGTCACGGATCTCTGATTTTGTCATTTACATTTAATTTCTTTGCTTACTTTAAGTTCCATAGCGATTGAGCGCGAGTAATTGGCAAAATTAAACAAAATGAACTAGACTGCCGTGACACAGCCCCTTTAACAATCACATGTAAAGTTGCTGCCTTCACTTACTCGGACAAGTTCCTTTCTTCAACTGCTTCACCATCTTCCTGAGTTCGTTAAAAGATGACGCGTAAAATACGAAGTCACCAGTCGCTATGGTCTGTAAGCTTTCTTTGTTGACTTTTTTACCGATTCCAAGTGTGATGACGCGAACGCCCTTATCCTTCAGAGGTTGGACAGCTTCAGCGAGAATCTCATTGACGCTCTTTGTAGCTTCTGGATCCTTTGTTTGTTCTCCGTCGGTCATTACAAAAGCAACCTATAACGTGAACGTACAGCACACTATCGGTTATTTACGTTAGAAATTAAGTGTATAAATCAATAATTAAAAACTATTGTGTGTAATCAGTATGCCCTGAGTGGCCCGAAGATTTGTCTTTCGGTAATAGCAAAATCAACTTCCTGGCCATGTTTGTAAACAATCAACTGGTTTAACCCCAGCAAGTCGGGTTTGAACATTGTTATGCCATTTTGGACAAATGTTTGTTTATTATTGTTATTATTATCATTATCATTATCATTATCATTATCATTATCATTATCATTATTATTATTATTATTATTATTATCATTGTAAACGTTTTCAACGCTATTTATTCCTTCCTACACTCTCCTAGAACCGGGGCCAATCCTTGGCCCTGCGGTACCAGGGAAGTTTTTTATTTGATGGACAGGTACCTTCCCAGAAATATTATTATTATTATTATTATTTCGCAGTATAAAACTTTGGAATGCTGTCCACATTATGAGTAGTATAGGGCGCATAACGTAACCTACACCACGTGAGAAGCTATACTTAGAAGTGAAAAAAGGTGGGTACGAAACCTAATACGATCCTAATATACATAATGATATGAGTCTCTCTACTTAAAAAACCAATTTAGAATAATATTAAATTCTTATACCCTGTAAAACCTACGCAAAGACATGGTGATATAATTATCTCTACAAGAAGCCTATTTAGAAAATTATTCAGTTTTTATACTCTCATTTATACTTATATATCTAAACGAGGCCATCATCAAGTGGTTACCTCTACTAAAAGCCTATTTAAAATAATATCAAACTCTAATACTCTAAAAAATCTAAGTAAAAACATCAGCAAACTTGTGTTTCTAGATTTCTAGGGAAAAAAAAAACTAGAAACTGGAGTCCTTAGCGCCCTAACTAAGTATTTATCTTAAACGTTCTGGCAATGTTTAAAGTGTTGGAGATGACCGACTTATGCATCCGCTCAAGTACGCCCCGTGCTCTCGCTCCAAGGAGCTTCCTCACCGACTTCTTTAGGTGTTTAGAGTAACCACCCAGTACGTCAATTATTACGTTGTACTGTTCAACCCTGTAACCATTGTATCTCTGCTTCAGCTCCCACATCATGGGCCCATATACTTGAGTGTCTTTTCCTCGTCTTTCTTAGCTCTACTCTCAATCTGTGGGCAGCTCATTTCAATTGTGCAGACTTCTTTCCTCTCGTGGCTGACAAATCGCGCATAGATTTGTCCCAAAATTTTGTCCATATATTAATTACACAGACTTCAGTTTCTCTGGGCTTTTTTGTGATGCCTTTTGCCCGTAGCCTGAAATTCATCCGATTGCTTCGAGTCGTTTTCTCCTCTCGACAACGTCTAAATCGACCAGCCGTTAATGCCGTCCAGTGACGTCACTACTTCCCGAAAACCGGGTAGTGATTTTGATTGGTTGATTGTCTAAACATTCTCGTAATTATGTATAATCACGAGACATTTTAGCGGGATTGTCGCTTGATATTCAGCGGATCGCATCCATGGCATGCTTACGTGGAGTTCAAACATTTCGATAATCTTTATCGTAAACAGCAAAACTGCCCATGTCTTCGAAACTGTATTGCTAGATTAAACTGCGAATGAGGAATTATTGCGGAGAGTCGGTAGGTTTTTCATCTAAAGCCGCTTTGTGTTTTCGGCAGTGATTTTGTTTATGCGAAGTTTCTGCGACTAATATGACATGTTGTCATTCGACCCTCTGGCTATTTTCAGCGTCAAGTGTAATAATTCTGTTAGCTTTTCTTTCTTGTTTCCTTGTTTTCTTTTTTCTTCGTTAAGGACCAAATAGCTTCTTTTCAAATAAAGGAAATTGTTATGTTTTTGAACTAAGCGTTCCGTGTGTGTATTTATTTCATTGCGTGATTGCGACCGAGTTTGAATTACCACCGGTTCAGAGTACTGCAGATCTACTGCATGCAGTTAATAGTTTGAACGTTAAACATGAATTACGATCGAAAAGAGTAAAGCAATTCTGTCAGCTGTTCTGTATCATGTGGACATTCCAAACGATATTTCTTGGTTTAACACTTGAAAATCGTGTTTTACTTTTTGCATGAATTAAAGCAAAGGAGTAGTGACGTCACTGGACGGCATTAACGGCCGGTCGATTCAGACGTTACTGAGGGAGTAATAACGACTCGAAGAAATCGGATGAAATTCAGGCTATTTTGCCCGTCTAGATCTTGAAGTCAATAGAAAATTACCTTTTTGACCCAATCCCTCATTCCTGCTTTTTCGGTAAACACCTCCTCATTTGCTAAACGTAGGGCTCTGTCGATGAAAGTTTTACCTCGCCTGTGTGGGATTCTGTTTACTCTTCCTTTTACGTTGTTCCGATTAAGGGCTCTTCCGGTAAAGTCATTAAACTTTAGTTGTACCGAAGCCTTGGTGCTGTATTCAATTATAGCAATATGGGTGTGATCCTCTGAAACTTCAAATCCCGTTATGATGCTTTTGATAAAACGTTTAAAAACTTGGAAGTTTCTTCTTGAGATGCTTCCTGAGGAGTCCATCAAGACTGCAACGTCAAGAGGCAGGTTGCATTTCACTAAAAGAGAGAAAAATAAAGAACATTACGTAACAAAAATAAATTGTTAATGAAGATGTGTAGCATATCGTTTCCTTCGGCTTTATTATTGGATATTAATTATTGACAAAGTAGACGGACGAATAAAAAAGAGTAAGAAACAAAAATCGGCAAAAAATAAGATAACGTGGCTCTCAGAATGCTGATCAGTTTGGGTATTGCAGTCGTTTTCTCATGTAGTTCGAAATGACTCGTTTGGATATTTTGACGAGAATGGACAATCTTTTGAGTATCTTTTTTATCATTTAACAAGGCACAGCTTTCAGTCACCGAATATGGAAAAATATTTTGTTCGAAGAATCTTGTAGGACTCTGAGTTGTTTCGGAAAGTTTTTTATTTGGACGACGGGATCGTTAATATATCAAGGTGTTTGTTTGACATCCATACATGGGTTATAAATCATACCGGCCATCGGTCCTAGAAAACGTCTATTATTAATAACATGTCCTCTTAGAGGACTACTTTTTTCATTAGATATGATGTTACTGCTTCTGAACAAATGCCAACTTTAATGACATGTATCACTGTATAACAGCCATATTTGTCGTTACCAAGTGGTAATTGGTAACGTTTAGACCAAAAGCAAGTACCCATCCTTCACTCCCTCCCAAAATCTCCTCTTGACGTAACACATGACAGAATCCATTGTCTTGAATCGACAGCTCTCTGGCTCTTATATTGGTCCACTGTGCCCGTGAGATATTATAGAATTTGTGAGAAGCTTACCTTCACATCGTAAAGGCGCATAGCAGAACACAAATGACGAACTACTACCGCGGCACATTCTTCCTCCGTTTGCAGGTGGGGGACTGTTACATTGACGAACTTTTGTCCTTCTTCCGTATCCACCACACGTTTTGGAACAAGCGCTCCAGCTACTCCATCGGCCCCAGTTTCCATGAACTGTATGTTAATCAGGAAAAGAGTGTTAACAACGGACTACAGGCCATGCCACAAATACCCAGGGTGCGTTCCTTTGGGATGATCCGGAGCAGGATCAGTGATCCGAGATCACTCCGATCATTGTAGATCAAATGAACCGATAAATCCTTGTCCAGAGTGGATTCATCGGTTCATTTGATCTAACATGATTCGATTGATCTCGGATCACTGATCCTGATGCTGATCATCTCAAAGTTAGGCACCCCCAAGTTGTCAACCACCACGTGACATTCGAGGCCCCTTTAGGCGCAGGTCGAGGTACAGCAATAGCTCATTTCCTCTGCATTGTACACAAAGTTGGCGAAATTCGTTGAACTACTGCCCACTACTGCACTAACTACTCGCACTGTCGCATTAGTCAGGGGCATCCAACGGCAATTTTTGGGAAAATATCTGTTCGGAAGACGATTTGAGATCTAGAGTTTTCGGAGCATTTGTTGTAAAATTTCTTGCTTGCCCGGTCTCTCCTAGGATTTTCGAACATCTACAAAATGGTATAATTACCCATTTTTAACGGATTTTGACCCCAAAAAAGGCCACCTAAAATTTTCGAGAGCCTTTTCCTGGCTAAGATTTTCGAGAAGGTATGTTTTTATCCCTATAATTTTCGGATCACTGGACTTTCAGCTAGGAAATCCGAACAGATGAAAAGTTTTTAGGGGATAAAAATATGCCTATATCTACCGTTTGAATACTAAAATACGTTCAACAGTGCTATGTTAAGTGGTTTTGAACTATATCCTCGTTGGGTGCCCCTGATTAGTCTTCTTAGTTCAATTCGTTTTACAAAACCAATAATTTAACGTACCTTTTAGTAACATTGCTTACAGCGACTTAACTTTAGTTTTTTACTGAAAGGGTGACTCGTTTCAAGTGCCAATTTTGAGAAAAATAGCGAAAGGAGGCACAACCAATAGCTGAGCCAACACGATCAACACCAGTGAACATTGCTTCACAAATTATGTGCTACTATTACCTGCACATAGTTCGTTATCACATTTCTTAACTTCAACCCTTTCCCCTTCACAATCTTTTCCACCATTAGAGGGATAGGGTCTAGAGCAGGTCCTGGAGCGCTTCTTTTTTCCACCGTTGCATGTTGCCGAGCATCGTGTCCAGCGTCCCCACCGCGACCATTTCCCATCAACTGCAATATGAAAGAAAAAGTAGTGATGGCCATAATCAGAGTACGTAAACTAAGGAGTTAGAAGAGTAACGAGTTGAGCAAGCATTTCGAAATTGATATATTAATTGATATTGATCGGCATTGTTTAAAATGGCAATGTTGATTTAATGTAAGTTTTGGAGGGAAAAAAGAGACATCCCATCATTGTACGCGGGACATTAATATGATAACTTCTTGTTTATTTTTATTTTTTATTTATTATTACTATTTTATTGTATCTAAATAAATATTTCTTACTTAAAACTCGATATTTACTTTTATAAGAGTAAATAGGAAGAGATATTAAATTGCAAATCCTAGTGCTTAATTAATTATTTTTAGTTAATCAGTAGTTTTAGTATTTATAGCCTTACTTGTAATTGTTACACAGCATGCCTGAAAACCAGCTTTCTGAGCCGTTTACCGTGTTTAAATTGAATTGAACTGATTGCTGGCTTATCCAATTTCTAATGATAAAACACAAAACTTAAGATCTGTTTTACCTGGGCATGGCCTTCTGTCACAATAGTAGAGTTGCCGACTCTGACCAGAACATTGTGCTCCTCCATGGGAAGGTGGAGGATTGGTACAAGTTCTATACCTAAACTGCGTCCCCGATCCACAGGTCACCGAACAAGCGTCCCAGCGACTCCATTGGGCCCATCCTCCGGGAACTGAAGAAACAGAAGAGTGATAAAAATCGCATAGAAGAGAGAAAAAAATATGTCAAAGCTTAAACAAGAGTCAACGCTTTAACAGTCAATGAAAACTAATGATCACATGAATAAACGATCAACTGTAAAGTTTTAGGCGTTTAGGATTTGATCAGTTTAATGAATTCAAAGGCTTTAACCGAGGTTTCGTTATATCGATGTTCTGTTCTATATATTTTAGTGAGGAATTACAATTACTGGGGCAAACAAAATCGTTCGTTATACCGAGGACTTCATCATGTAGAGGTTCGTTAAATCGAGATTCCACTGAATAAACTTTTTCTTGTTGGATGGCTGAATGAATAAAACTGAAAATTAAAGCGACCAGTTTTTATTGAATTTCATTACCTGGGCACTGTGGCTCTTCATTACAACTTCGTGTCTCGCTTCGTGGTCCAGTACATCCTGCGCCACCAAAGGCTGGTGGAGGATTGGTGCAAGATCTAGTCCTCTGTTGAGTTCCACCACCACAAGTACGTGAGCATCGTCCCCAGGCCCTCCACGCCGTCCAGTTACCATCAACTTTAGACGATAAAAATACATAAGTTCATCAGTATGACGTCATGGTGAGACGACATCACGTCAAATTACATCATAATACGCGCTAAAATTTTGTGTTTCCACAAAGCACGAAATGGATGAACATGAAAATCAAGCAGCAAACCATAAACAATGCTTTGAAAGACTTGCTGTATGATTCAAAACAGTCCAATTACGGAGACTTTAAATTTTACATATGAATTCAATATGCTTCAAATAGAAAGTAAAATATAGGTCTAAATTACAAAACCTTGCCAACCAGACAAGTTTTTAAACTATTTCTCGACTCTCTCTTAAACTACAAAACCATGGGACCGGGAACTTCAAAACCCTTTGAAGTTCGTCCCTGCCTTTCGAATCTACCGATCATTTCCTTTTGTCTCTAAAAGATAAATACATCTCTCAGACGAACACTAAGACTTTTCTAAGAGCGCAGAGAGACACCATTGCCATTAAAGTCGACCTTAGTGCGAGAGTTTAAGGCTTAACTCACACACGTTTGGCTTACGAACTCCTCTCACACTCAAGTAAGGACTCAGTAGTCAAAATGAGGAAAGTCTGTAGAAAATAGAAAAAAACGTCCCCACATCACAAGACTCTATGGAAGGTTGCTCATTGCCATTGCCTCTGCTTGTCTTGAAGAAGATTTTTTTGGCACATCACGTCAAATTAAGAATAAATTCAGTAAGGGAAGTTTCCTTTTGACGCATGACTAAGAATCATGTGCGACATGTTTTAGATGAGTCATTCACCTGCGCATGGCTGTGTATTACATGGACGGACTTCACGAGATCTTCCAGGGCAGTCTCTACCACCATGGGCAGGTCGTGGGTCAGAGCAATCTCGGTTCCTGGTTTGCGTTCCTCCTCCACATTGTAGAGTGCAGGTGCCCCAAGGCTTCCACCTGGACCATGCACCATCAACTTAAAATCAAAAGCAAAGTTAGACGTTGCTCACTGGCTCGTGTGCTGTGATTAGAAATTGAATAGGATGGAGTTTATCTGCTGGAAATGGAGATGTATTAGGTTTTGTGTATCCCCATATGACCGTTAGCATTTTATGACAGATATTACAAAGTGACCCCTTGCCATAATCTTCGACGAAACGCAAGCACTTTTGCCAGGGGGGGAGGGGGAGTACTCCCTTATATAATCTATATATGTATGTGCCGCCCCATCGGCTACGGGTTTTACGCCGTTTTGGTCTGAAAACGGATACGCTTTGCCCATTTTGGTCTGGAATCGGATATGGTTTTCAAGGAAAGCACGGGCGTTTATGAACGTATTTATCGTTTCAATTCCAAATGAGTAAGAAAGAAAGAGAAACATGCGAATTCGAAATGAATTTGAAGAATTTTTTTCTGAAAACGGGTGTGGAAAATTGCATTTTTTGGTCTGAAATAGGGTCAGGATTTGGAGACGGCACACCCTCACCAAGAATTCCCAGGAGTACCCCAGGGCAGTTTTGTCAAACATAAGGACATAAGAAAAATACAAAAAAATGTGTCTAATATAAAGTCCCGAGGTCGGAGTTGGGTGCATTTCTGAATATAAAAAATAAAAATTGACTTTACAACACCTGGACACGGGATGTTATTGCATACACGAAATTCTTTCCTTTTGCCAACACAGTTTGCTCCTCCAAAAGCTGGTGGCGGATTGGTACAAGATCGAGTTCGATCCTGAGATCCTCCTCCACAAGTCAAGGAACAGGGACCCCAAGCTCTCCACTCGGTCCAATTTCCGTCCACTACAGAAAGTTAAGCTGAGTCAGACTGAGGAAATTAGGGGGTCAAAATTACTTCTACGCAATGTTTCACATCTCTAGTCCACTATCGATAGAAAACTATTTTGTATTTTCATTCCCCATCTGAATCTCTACCTCGTACCCTTCTTTTGCCCTATTTCAACTCACCCCAACCCTTCTCAGTGATAACTTCAAAGAAGGCTGTCGCGACAAAAGGAACATAAATTAAGCAGGTTTTTCACTCCAATAAATGAGCCTGCATAGCACATCAAGGATAATTTGTTGCTTTTTTCGTGCGATTTTCATGAAATAAAGTCGTTGTTTTTTATGTTAGATATTCGCTTACATTTTGACACTTGTCAGCTCCATTTGACAAGATTATCATATAAGACCTGTCAACTTCAGTGTAATTGTAAGAGTACTTTGACTCTCTCATTTTACAAATAGCATTCCACAATAAGGTGCCCATCTCCGTCTTAACGGACACCTCTGTGACATAGGTACCTCCCTGCAATAGAACGACTGAGGTTGGTCCCTGCTGCTCATCGTTCATTGTCTTTGACCCTTTATAAGATGGTCACCTATGTAAAAAGCTACAGAGTCGGTCCAGCTGATATCATGATTGATCTTAGGATCGCCTTACCTGGACAAGGTTGGTTATTGCAGGATTGAGTCTGCTCGCTACTTCCGGGGCAATATTTTCCACCATGGATTGGAGGGGGGTTGGTACAAGTTCGAGACCTGCTCTGAGTTCCTCCTGCGCATGTTGCACTGCATGAGCTCCACGCTTTCCACCTTGCCCAGCTGCCATCACCTGTGGAGGAATACTTCAATTGGTTAGATTGAATTTTTGTGAAATTTGACAGATATTCGCGCAAAGGAATGCTAAATAGAATTTTTTCTTTATTGAAACGCCACAAAAAATAAATCAAAAAAATAATTACAAAAGGACAAAAATAAAAGTGAAAAAAAAAGGAAAAATGCAGATTTACTGGCTGTTGTGTGGTAAGGACAGGAACAAGACTGGTTTCTGACCAAAACAGAATATTAAACTAATTGAGGGGTAAAATATGGAAATAAAGATTTCTAAAATGGAGGGTTGAAAAATATATTTCACTTCTTTGTGTTGCTGCAATTAAAAAATGCCAAATTACCCACGCGAGAATTTCATTTGAATGGCCATATCAAATAACTTCGTCCACAGACTCAAAAGTTAGCAATACTGTGCATCATTACTGTCACTTAAAATAAGGACTCTGAAAGTGTAAAATGAACGTGACATGATAATTGCAAATCAACACAGCCTTATTTTTCAAATCTAAACTAGAAAAATTCAATTTTAGAAAGATTGTCCGGTCTTCAAATCTCGCCGATGTGGGAAGTATTCGGTTATCTTAGAGCTTCTTAGGAGTATTCGGAAATCGAGAATTTCGTTTGGCTTTCGTTTAAATTTGCTCACGCCTCGTCTTTCTGTAATGAGGAAACACTAGATTAAGAGAAGCAAGTACTGAATCAGCATTTCTTTTTTACCTGGACATGGTTGACTGTTGCATGACCGAATTTCTTTACTTTCTCCAGTGCACTGCGCGCCGCCAAAGGCCGGTGGAGGATTGGTGCAAGTTCGTAAACGGTCTTGCGTTCCACCTCCGCATGGTAAACTGCAAGTGCTCCAATCCCCCCAATCGCTCCACTTACCGTCGACTGTTTTCCATGGCAAAGGAAAAAGAGAAATGAGAAAAAAAATCACGTGTTTTTATTTTTAAGTTATTTTCTGTCGTTTGTCTCGTCAAAGAATTGGACGGATATTTCAAAAAATGCGTCTGAAATTATAGTCATTCGAGAACTGAATATAAATATAACCCAAAAGGAAAGAAGGCGATTAATATAAGATCACAGGGAAGTCAATTATATCAGAGAGATTTTTTTCCGAAATTCGAAGTCAGATGAAATCTTCAGGGGAAGATCATGATTTTCGAATCGAAATTTGCTAAAAGAAAAGGTTCGAATGAAAGAGGCAAGATACGTGCATTGAGATGAGCATATATGGTGGATAATTAATTAACGATGGCATGTAAGCTTGTCGTGATCAAAGCAATAGGGAAATTGGGGACCACGAGTGGTAGAAGCTATCTATATATAGAAGAGCTGCAGAGAGGTTTGACTACACTTTCATACGAATGATGAAATGAAAGATATGTAAACCTGGACATGGGTTTTGATTGCATGATTGTAATTCTTGATTGGTTCCTAAGCAATCTTTTCCTCCATACGCTGGAGGAGGATTGGTGCAGGTTCGGGATCGATTCTGGATTCCACCACCGCAAGTGGCAGAACAAGTGCTCCATCCATCCCAGTCGGACCACCGCCCATCAACTACGTATGCACAAAAAAAAGACAAGGAAAATGTATAGTGAGAGGAAATCTGTGTGTGCTTTACAGAGCGCTTCTACTGAAGTGACCAGCATTTGTGTAAAGTTATTGGAATAAACACTGGACGAAAAAACGGATTTACTAATGTTTGCGAAAGGTGCAAATATGTGGTAAATTTGGAGCTCCAAATTTGCATTACATTTGCGCTGTCGGCTAAAGTGTGGGCAAATACATATATTTGCTAGATAGGTATTGATACGCAAAAGTGAAGTAAATGTAATGGTTTGATACAAATTTGATACATATTTGCAGCATGGGCAAATCTTCAACATTTCTACCAGTTTACTCAAATTTACATCCTTGGCAAAAATGACAGTTTTCACTTTACTTCAAATGCAGGCAAAATATTGCAAAACCCCTAATTTGCAGTGGTATTTGCTCTTGTTTTTCCAGGATACCAAAAGAACACTTTTGCATGTGGTTTACTCGTATTTGCCTTAAGAGCAAAAATAATAAATTTCTAGACATTTGGCTGTATCATAAATTTGCACATTTGCATCATAATTATCCATATTTGCAAGGGGAGCAAATATAGTGAGCTGCATAACATTTGCTGACAGTCAAAGGTGATGTGCATGTGACATTTCCTATATGTTTGATCCGTTTTGTGACTAAAGTAAATTTCCAATCTCAACTGTAACATTACATTGTTACAATAAAATTTTGTACACGCTGTGAGACTCTGCCCAGAGATCCAACCCCTTACATGCATCTTTCCTGTTAACTGTTTTATGTGCACTGTCATTTTAATATAAAGGAATCAGAAACCAGTTAATTTTTTTGACAATTTTACATTCACAAATTTCTTCTGTTAGTCTTTTTACAGAACGAAATGACAGATAGTCTACCCTGTCATATACTTTAACTCAGGAAATCTCTATCCTTTCATACCTGAAGCATGAAAAAGGTGTCCCTTTCTGACAGCGCCCCTGGCATAAACCTTTCCCGGGCTACTAATTTAAAGCAAATACACTAATTCAAATCCACTCGTTATTAAGGTCCAGTAGTCAGATCATTGATGCACTGTATTTCCTACAGTCAGGGCCATAGCCAGTATGAGGCAAACCGAGGCACTTGCCTCTGTCATTTAAGGTTTGATCCTGGCAGTGTTTGGTTTCAACGTAGCCATCATAAAGACCCTGAATAGCTAGGCGGGGAATTCAACCATGGATATTGCCTCAGTCCTTATTTTTTTCTGTCTACGGCCCTTGAACTTGGGATACAAGGAGGATCTACAGGAGCTACCGGTCGAATTGTCAAATCCTACCTGACAAAGCCCCAACCCCCCTCCATAAACAATGAACAGACCTTTATTGGGTTACAGGATCACAGGAGCTCTGAGTTGGCCTTAGATCATGAAAAGTCTAGAGCTATAAAGAAAAAAACTAAGGTGGTGAAACAAATTAACATGCAGCCTTTAAACTTCTGGACTGGACTGGGTTGGTCAAAGATGGGTTAAGATAACACAAGGTTAGGTCCAGTGGTCAGATCATTTACTGTATTTTTTGTACATCATACTAAAAAATCAAATTTGGTCCGAAATAAAAAGTTTTGTGGATTTCAAACTCAGTGTTGTGATTATTCACTTGTACATAATTTCCTCATGGCCATTTAACCAACAAACTTAATTCAATTTAAAACCAACAATTTTAGTTTAACCAGTATTTGTTGTAGTTTTGACTGCCCACCTAGAGATGACCACATCTCGATGGTCAAGCTTCCTAAAAATGACCACATTTTGAAAACCCAACAGCCAATACTACAACAAAATATGGTGAAACTGCTCACAATTTTATTTGAACATTGTCTCAGCTGACAAATTTATGAAAGGCTAATTTTTCTTACTTTGTTGTTTGCAACCCTGAGTTTGAGTTTCATTGATTTTAATGTTGATTTTGAGTTTTACTGTTCATTAAGTACTACCTATTCAATCCAAAAAAGTCATAGCATTTTTGCTGGCTAGAATTCACCTGAAGCCTGGTAATTTGCTTGGGATACAAGGAGGATCTACAGGAGCTACCAGTCGAATGGTCAAATCCTACCTGAAAGGCCCCCCCCCTTCCCCCCTGCACAATAAACAATGCACAGATCTTTATTGGATTACAGGAGCTCTGATTTGGCATTGGATCATGAAAAGTCTAGAGCTATAAAGAAAAAACTAAGGTAGTGAAACAAATTAACACGCAGCATTTATCCTTCTGGACTGGGTTTGCTCAAAGATGGGTTAAGATAACACAAGGTTAGGTCCAGTAGTCAGATCATTTACTGTATTTTTTGTACATCATACTTGTGGATTTCAAACTCAGTGTTGTGATTATTCACTTGTACATAATTTCCTCATGGCCATTTAACCAACAAACTTAATTCAGTTTAAAACCAACAATTTTAGTTTAACCGGTATTTGTTGTAGTTTTGACTGCCCACCTAGAGATGACCACATCTCGATGGCCGGCTTCCTAAAAATGACCACATTTTGAAAACCCAACAGCCAATACTACAACAAAATATGGTGAAACTGCTCACAATTTTATTTGAACATTAACTCAGCTGACAAATTTATGAAAGGCTAATTTTTTCTTACTTTGTTGTTTGCAACCCTGAGTTTGAGTCTCACTGTTCATTAAGTACTACCTATTCAATCCGAAAAAGGCATAGCATTTTTGCTGGCTAAAATTCACCTGAATCCTGGTTATTTGATCTTAAGATACAAGGAGCGGGGTTGTGGCTTCCCAAAAAATTCTGATGAAGAGAGGGTCTTCATATACAGGAGCTACCGGTCAAATCCCACCCAACAAAGCCCCCCCCTCCTTAAAAATGAACAGACCCCTACTGGGTTACAGGAGCTCTGAGTTGGCCTTGGATCATGAAAAGTTATAAGCTATAAAGAAAAAAAAACTAAGGTGGTGGAACAAATTAACATGCAGCATTTATCCTTCCAGGCTGGGTTGTTTAAAGCTGGGTTAAGATAACCCAAGGTTAGTACGAAATATGAATTCAGATATGAAAGTTTTAAAAACAAATTCATTTGAATTCCTTTTGTCTACAATTTGGTGATTTGATACTTAAAAAAAAAAGGAAAATTATCTGACAAAATGCTTTTGATTAAAAGGAAAAAGAAACGAGGTTAAAATCTAACACTGGGTTAGTGCTAATCGGTCTTTGGAACAACTGGGCCCCGGTCTTTTTTGGGTCCAATTCTAAATCAAATAACCACTTGAAGTGAGTCAATGGTACATAACCTGGGCATGTGTTACATTCCCCTTCTGTCATTTGATAATAGTAAAGCCTAGGGTCGCACAATGGGCAGGGATCTCCAATTACTAAAACTAAAAATTCAAAATGACACAGTAACTGTTGTATACAGTTACAGAGGGCCCACACTACCTCCCCTTTACATTAAGTAAATACACTACAACAAATCTACTGGACAAAGGTCCAGTAGTCAGATCATTTACTGTATTTTTTCTACATCATAATATTATTATTAAAAAGCTAACAAAAACAAGGCCACCCACAGTACCTTACATTTGGTAAAAAAAAAAAAAAAAAGGTTCTGTGCATTTCAAAGTCAGGGTTGAGATTATTCACTTGTACACAATTTCCTCATGGCCATTTATTCAAGAAACTTCACATCAAAACTGACAATTTTGTTCTTACCGCTATTTGTTCTAGTTTTCACTGACTATACCTAGAGATGACCACATCTTGATGGTAAGCCTCCTAAAAATGACCACATTTTGAAAGCCCAACAGCCAATACTACAACAAATGGTGAAATTGCTTTGTATTTCATATCATTTGTGAATAGAAACTCAGCACAGACATGAATGAATAATTTCTTTGCTGCTCTTTACAACCCTGATTTTGAGTTCAATATGATTTGTCTTTTTAAACTGCTCAAACAGACTGGCGAGATTTATATCAGCCTTCACTCAACAACAATAACATCAGGTGCATTTCTTCACTTAAACCTAAACTTTAGACCAACGGGGTTTACACCATCAATATTATTATACCCTTTTACTAAATGAGCCGAATTTTAATAGATTTATTTAGAAAAGGAATTCACACAGTAAGATGACTTTTTGATTTTCCTTTTTAAATAGGAATATGATATTTTATAATTGCTGGACAAAAAAAAGGTTCCAGCTAAAAATTTGTTTTGAGCAGTGACAGTAAATCTCAACTTTGGATCTGTCTGAAGGCATTTTCTTTGCCCTTCCACAAAATCACTTTCTACTTTCACTTTGCCAGAAACTTTTGCCATGACTTAGTAACGCCAAGTGAAAACAAAATATCTGAGGCATATTTCTTAAGCTATATGTCAGTGCTAGTGAGCAGTCATGGACTGCTGTTTTGAAGGGGCATCCGATAGCAAGATAGCCTTTCCAAAATCAATGAGCATTGGGTGGTACATATTGTTTACCTCTGTAAGAATAATGTTGTCACTCTTTATATCTCTGTGGGGAAACCTGTATGAGTGCAAATGTTCTATAGCTTCACACAATTTCAGTACATTATGTTTCCGCAGAACACTGTGAAAGGGACATGGATTTCCTTAGCAGGGCACCGCACAAAGAACAAGAAAAATAATATTCTAAAGATGGTAAAAATATAACCCAAGGAAGTACACGTGAGGTTTCTGTTTTGTGACATTTACCCCAAACAGATGGGGTATTGATGGATGGGAGCATTCAGTATATAAGCTTCAATTCTGTCATCTTGTGAAGAGGAAAAAATGATTACTGTAAATAAATTGAGACCCACTGGAATACCCCTGTAGCATTTCTTCATGCACAGACCACAAACAGCTTCCCCATGCTGAACCTGTATTTCATTGACCTCTTTATCTTTTGGAGAGTTCAGGTGATGCAACTCAATTTCAAGAACATTGGAAATAACTCCTGTACCACTCAAGGAAGAATCTGAAACAAATACACAAAAAAGTCACTAAACCCACTAAAAATAACTGTTAACTCTACCTTTATTGATAATATTGTGAAATTAAATGAATTATGTTACTTGTGTTGCCATTATCTTTATGAACATTATAAATACACATGTGGCACATTTTAGCATTTTTGACCTTTTGACTCAGCTTACATGTATCATTATAAACAATTATAAACAAAACAACCTTGTATATGAAAACATGACAAAACAAAACAGAAAAAAATGACAGTAACGCATATAAAATAAAGGCTTCACCCTACCCCTGTCAAAATCAATGGTACATGTACAGGTATTACGCTCAATATGTCAAAATAGCGCCAGAGGTAGTAGAAATTACTCAAGCAATTAATCTTGAGCTACTTCTGCCAAATACCAATAAATTAGCATTTTAACATTGCATAACTACATATTTTGCTGACTTAACACCACTTAAATTTTTCAACAATGCTTTTTTCAGCTGGATCACTACCATACGCACGCGACACGCGTGCTCATACATGCTACAAATGTAAATATGGATGCAAATGTAGTTTATTCCCGGTTATAACATAGATGTGGCAGTAGAAGCACGATATACAAAGCAAAATACATCGACTTTTACCTTTTAAATTTCGAATATCCTTGAGAAGAAATCCAGCAACATAGGCAATCTCTTCTCCGCCAAATCGCCAAAAGACCGCGCGCCCGATTTCCCAAGCATTTGCGCCTCAGTGGTGCTGGTCAGCGGCAGTCTGCATAACCGTTCGAGAACGAGGCACAACAATTGAAATTGCCGACCGTTAACACGTTCCACTGCCATCGATTTGCCATCAGCTTTTACTTCGTCGTTTAACGCCATATTTATCAAGAGGTTTCGAATTTTTCTTCTTTGTGGGGTTGACTGTCGAGTATGGAGGAATCGGCCAGTCTTATTTGTTCGAATTTATCGAACGAATGTGTCCTCGAAGAACTTATAAAAATAATCGCTCGAACTCGAGGGAACTGCATACTTATAGATCCTTCGACGAAAAATCCACCATGAAAGGCATCTAGATAGCTCCATCGGCGACGATCAAGTAGTAACGAGTGGATCCAAGAAAAGCAGCCGTTAGTACTTAGTAAATAGACTTCGTGAATCGATGCTGTTTTAATTAGCAGACATTGTAAAACTAAGAGGCAGGAGAAATGTTGAGGACAAACAAATGCTGAGGGAGCAACTAATCGGGAGTAAAAGAAATGCTCAGTAAGTATAAGAAAGTTCGTTGTTACTGTTAAGCCATTAATGATGCTATTTGATAATACCTACATTTGCATTCCAATATTCAGTAATCAACAAGGACCACCCCTACTTCTGAAACTTTATTTGTCCTGTTGTTGTAAAAAAATACTGTAATCTTTTGTTTGGTTGTTCTCTTCAGATAAATGGTCTTGGAAAATTTAATAAGAATTGAAGCAAGTGTTAATTCCCCTCTATGAGGCCAAAATTAACCTTATCCTCTAGTGCCTACTTTCTCCAAAGGCTTTTCCAAAATTTAAAAGGGGAGTAAAGGCAGTGACTGCCATGGTGCTGAAAACATAGTGTAGCTAGAATTTAGATCATGGTACCCTGCTTTCACTGATTGTTTTTTATGATCACCCCATGTAAGGGATTCTGGAATCCGGGAAATTTTTGCTTATGGAATCCAGAATTCGGGCAATTTTTGTCGTGGAATCCTAAATACTGAGCTTTGAAACCTGAAATACAAGTCAAACGATTGGAATCCAGAAACCAAGTAATCCACTGAAAAAGGTTCCGGAATCCGCAGCGTGGAATCCAGAATCTAAAACTGTCTTGGATTCCCTCATATGAGGCAATTATAGTATAATTAAACTTTTGTTCCCACGATACACTGTAAGTGATGGCAATATTGCAGAAGAAGCAGGTTCATGAAGTTTTAAGTAATATGTCAATAATGTTGTTATGGTAGTGATGTAGTGGGACACTCACTATAAAATTAATACAATGATTTACCTGGAGTCAATTGTCTTGTTACAAAAGGGTTTCTCGATTCATTTTTTTTCGTTTTTGTTTTTGCTCAAAGAAGGTCTTAGTTTTAACAGGTACAGTGTAATCAGGATTATGATGACCGCTTGGGGTTAGATTTGGGACATGAAAGTTACGAGCCAGCAATTTGTTTAAACTAGTTAATTTTGATATCAGTTAACTCAGGAAATAAGTAAGTTTAGTCACCTAGTGTGACTGCAGCCAGTAATAATACATGTAATATCTAATAGCAACCTTTTTTTGCTATAAAAGGCTAGAATATTTAGACAGAAAAGGACAATAGTATTTTTCATGACAAGCATCTACAGCTTTAGTTTCAATATTAATGGTCTCAATTATGTATAATTTCTGTTTGTTGCAGAAAAAGCTGAAGAGACAACCCTTTTCCAGTCAACCTCTATTTCGAAGAAGGATTGTTGTAAGTTCAAAGCTTGTATAATTGTGGAGTACATGTCTTCAGAGCAAGGCAATACAGACCAAGGAGATGACAAATCCGAGAAAAGTGCTTTGCAGGAGGCCTCTAGCCTGTAAAAACCTCTTTGCCATAGCTGAACAGTAAAGCAAAATTAAAACAGTCACATGTAAGCTTGTCATTACTCAATGACAATAGAAAGGACGAATGGCTTCTCAGAGCAGGAGGCACCAGAGATAATGCTCCTGAATTTGCTTTGTGATAAGGAAATATAAGTTAATCCAAGGCTCTTAAAGAAATTCCAGATTATTTATGACTGGTCATACTTACAGGTACATGTACATGTAGCTCTGCAAATACAGTAATCCTTTAATCACTCTCTGTTTATGACACTGTTGTTTAGAAAAAGATAAATCTGTGTAAACAGTACAAATCCTGATGGTGTTGATTTGTCCTGAGAATTCTGGTGGCAGGTAGATCAAATTGGTTGATGTGATAAATTTTTCATTAGAATCCTTTGGCTATTGTTTGCAAGTAATGTACCAGTCAGCAGGTTAAAAAGGCCAATTAATGTACAAATGTTTCTTTTAAATCTGTTTGCTTAACTGCAGGCATTTGAGTTCTGCTGGCAACACTTCACAGTACATTTGTACCGATTACAGCAATTACAACTGACCTGCTTGAACAAAAAAAAAAACAAATTTAGGTACACCCTGCTTTTTGTCATGATTTGTTACGGAATTTTGCAAAGGATTGCAACATGACTCAAGAAAAAGAGTAATGAGAGACAGCAGTGTAGTTATTTTGCAGGCTAGCCAGATCAACCTTTTGTACTACATGTACATGTATACTGAGTTTAAAATAATTATTAGCTTCTTTCATTGGGAGCAACTACAGTGACAATGGTAATGTTGACATGCTGTGGAATACTTATAGCTGGTCATTACTTTCATGACCCTCAATTTTTCTTAGAACGGGCAAGTACTAGAAGCTCCGGCTGGTACTTCCTCTAAGAGCATATCCAATACTATACAGGAACCATTAGCAACGAAAATGAAGTTAAAGAAGTCTGATCTGAATTTGAATAGCTGTATGTACCTAAACTATTTCTTAGTTTGCTAAATGCTATAACCCAGTTGTTATACCAGCAAAATTGTACATTGGTAGCAAGAATTAGGCCTTTCATTCTAATAGAGCCTAAAGAAAAAAAATGCCACCAGAATCAAATTTTGTTTAATCTGTAAATAGCAATAAATACAAAAATACTAATTATTTATTAAAATGGGTGTCTTGAGGGTTCCATTTAGTTGAAACAGGATTTGGTCCTTAGATACAAAAGTTTAAGTAAGAAATAGTCTTGTCATAAGTAAATATTGGTCCAAGGCTGAAAGGATTTTTAACCTGTTTCTGAGTTGCAAAAACCTAAAGAACTGAAACAGGTTTGAGGCAACTCTGAAACACCTACAGCTGTATGTAGAATATCTTACACATTTAGATGAAGAACACTTTTCTTATAATATTAATAGTTAGTAATGATCTGATAGAGCGTAGAGTGGAGACAAGTAAACATCAACGAACAGTAAAATTGGGAATTAATATGAAGAGCTGTATGTACAGCTTTATACTGTAGTTTGTAATGTCTGTAATAATGTGTAAGCCACTTTGGTTTATGGAATAAATCATTTAAACATTAATGGGAGGTCACTGCTAGAATTTCTTTCAGTAACTTTAATGTTTGATTAATTATGGCCACTTGTTAAGAACCTGAAGTGAGCCATATTATAATTAAAAATATTTTTAAAATTTTATCGCATTTGCTACAACCCAAGCAAACTCGTTTAAACCTTGGAATTTACATTTACTACTGGAGAAAACGTGCTCAATTTTATGGGTTTGATGACATTTGCTAACCAAATTAAAGTCAGAATTTGATTACATTTGCTACCTGAGCGAAAAATTGTACAATACTAACAGTTTGATCAGATTTGCTGCCCAAGCAACTTTGTTCAAAACTTGACTTTTGACCACATTTGCCGCTACAAGCAAAATTTTGTGTTTGATCAAATTTGCACACCCTAGAAAATTTGTTCAAAGTTTAGGTTTGCTAACATTTGCTTCATGAGCAAACATGTTTAATACAAAGAGTTTGGTTACATTCGCCATGCAAAGCAATCTGGTTCAATTATGAAAATTTGATCACCCATGATAACCCAAGCAAACATTGTTCAAATTATAGGATACTTCGCTCACATTTGCAAAGCTGCGTAAACGTTCTGAAAATAACAGGTTTACATGCTTTTACATCTGTGCAAAACAGCAGATTTGCGCTATCATTTGCGTAATGTGCAAATATAGTTCAAAGAAACATATTTGCCTACACATTTGAACCATCTGCAAATGACCCTCAAATCCATGGCTGCCCATTATCTTTGCACCAAGATGTAAATGTTGTGCAAATGTGGCATATACCGTCATTGCTACGGATAGCAAATCTAGTGCAATATCAGTCTTTGCTCTTGCGCAAAATTGTGCAAATGTGGTATTTGCTACACATTTGCTGTAATTTGGCTACCCTAGTAAATCCATTTTTTCGTCCAGTGAAAAGAACGTGTTAAAAGAGGGGAGACTTCAACTTCAAAAGAGTTGGCTTAGTAAACCAATACGGATGCCGTCAAGTCTCATCAAAACGCTCTTCCAAGCATATTACTATCGAAGTACACTATAAGTACAGCAATGCTAGGATATGGACAATAGATTGGTGAAAAGACAACACAAACAGCGCTTCTTTTACAATAACCTCCATGATTTCTATACTCCTAAGTTTAGTTGATAATTTCATTTCTAGAGTCTTAACTACATAATGCTGCGGTAAATCTTGAGTCTGTGAACGTGATTTAATTGAAACGAAACTTTTGGAACAGAGCCTTTACACACTGTGATTTTCAGAATTTAGCTGCGAAGTGAAAGGTAAGATTAAACTTAAATTTTGATGCCGACACTCTTAGCAATTTAAGTTGTAAGGTCCATGCATTGCAGGGATTTCGCACTCCTTAAATAGTCGCTTGGCAATATGGGTAGATAAGTTCCATCCCTATTTACGATTTACTCCTGACTGTGTGGCGTTACCTGGACATGGATTTTCCTTGCAATATCGCGTTTGCACATCCGACCCAGAACAATCACTGCCGCCGAACGCAGGAGGAGGATTATCGCAGGTTCTAAATCGATCTTGTATTCCTCCCCCGCATGAAAGTGAACAGGATCCCCACAGACCCCACTGCGACCATCTTCCGTCAACTGTCGACAAAAATATATTTGTTCAACCTATCTTGTGCGAATGATATCACCAAGGATCAGGTAAAATCTCGTAGTCAAACTTCACTGTGTCTCTAGCCTATTCCAGGCTCTGAGACAGTAATGCAGTCGTTCCGTATAGAGTGATGCGAAAACGAGCGGGAACTGGGGAGAGAGGATCATTCCCGCAAACTCCCTCTTTTCCAGATCGCGCGCATCTTATTTTCACCTAGCTTGTTTTATTTTCGCAAAGTCCCTACAATCTGAGAGCCTGAGAAAGGCTGCTCTGTCTGTGATCCTGAAAAGTAGATCTCCCTTTCAACTGACTTTGGGAAAACTAGGGAAAGATTTTAATACTGAAAGTACCCTACACTGAAGTTGATTGGAATGGTCACATTTAACGATCGTCTTGTGCCATAGACTCAAAAAATAATAAAATTGATTAAAAATTAAGAACACCAGACAGTAACAAAAACAATATGATGTAAGTTGTGAAGAAGAAGAAGAAGAAGAAGAAGAAGAAGAAGAAGAAGAAGGCAACGGAGGGCTTGATCCTCGCTGCTCAAGAACAAGCTTTGAGAAATCATTCGGTTAGGATAGATAAGACATCTGAGACATCGCTGTTCAGATTGTGTGGTAACTCCACTGAAGAGTATGACATGTTTTCAGTCGATGCATGAAGCTTCCCATTAGAAGCGCCATGAAAAGGTGACTCTACGGTTTCACTGGGATGCGGAAGGTATGCAGAAAGTATGGGTTAGAGTGCCGTTAAATGGTGCGACCATCAACCCTTAACAGTTGCAGAGAACTGATAGAGAAAAGAGAAAAACTTGGGATATAACTATCTTTACGGCCACGCAGCTGAAGCACAATAGACCAGATATTTCTTTATTACACAAAGATACACAGGAGTGGACCCTTGTCGACATTGCTGTGCCAGCGGACCAAAATACCCTTCCCAGACAGAGAAGGTGGAAGGTATCAAGACCTAGCTCTCGAAATATAAAAGAATACACAGAGAAAGAGAGTGATGGTAACACCCATCGTGGGTAACTTACAGCCAAAAGCAGTTGTCAGCAGTATGTTATGGTATGTGTATGTTATACCATAAGCGCGATGGTAAATGCATAATGTAGCAATGAATGACAGGTACACCTGACCGAAATGTTACTTGAGGAAGTTAATGCGAGGAAAACGAACATTTGTCGATATCGTAAACAGTCACAGAAATTGGCTCTTACAGGAAGCATCTGGCCATGGATATAGTACCTAAAGTAGAAAATGTAATTGAAGTTATTTACTTGGGCATGGCTCGGCATTGCAGGAGCGGACTTGATCCTTTTCTCCACTACACTCTTTGCCGCCATGTTGCGGCGGGGGATTGGTACAAGATCGAGTTCGAGCCTGAGTTCCACCACCACACGTCACACTGCATTGTGCCCAGGCCTTCCAATCACTCCACCTACCATCAACTGTGAAAGAATTCAATTCCCCTTTTCACATGGACAATATTGCATCTTGTTTACCCCCCAAAATGTTTGCAAAACCATTCTTTTCAATTCCCCTCGATATTACAGTCGTCCAAAGAGAATTGGAAGACAAAGGTTATGCAAAATTTGGGGGAGTAGACAAGGTGCATTATGGGAGATGTGAAAATGTTGAATGGTGATAGTAAATCGCGTGATTTCATACAGACAAAAACATTTACATTCTGAACGAGAAATTGCTCGAAAGAGTTAGCGTGGTGGAATGTTTGGACATCGTTGCTGTCTGAAAGTCCAGCCTTCGAGTCGCTTCTATTTCTTCGAGCGCAATTCTAATCTAAAAGTGATTAACCAGTAACAAGCTATAGACTAATCAAATACTAAATCCCGACACCCCTGTTGATGTCAATAGTAGAATCTAGTTTCTTGTTGAAAATGTTCTTTGTTTACCTTGTGCCTATAGGAAAATAACCAATCAAAGGTGTTCTTTCACTTGTATATTTGAAATTTACAAAAACTGAGGTATACCGATTTTGTTTAAGTTTACGTACAGACATGTACAGGCGGTGGTTTAATTATTCTATTTTTTGATGCAATTGCCTTAACTCAAATCTTATTTATGGAGAACCGCAAAATCAGCCCCCTGCCTTGTTTTCAGGGACGATAAACATAGCTCTACCTCGCGCAAAATTTCCTAAAATTAGTTTTCAATAACACAAAGTCCCTTAGCGAATGAATTAGGATTATGAAATATGCTATGAATGGTGGAAGCAACTTTTAGACCGGAAACAAACTTGTTTTGGCTTAGAGCGTCAGAAAGTAACCCTAACATGTAGAGGGGAGAAAGAAAGTGCTTTTGCATAAGTGCAGCGTTGAATATAAGATACAAATATGTTCTTCGGAAAGATGGCAACAAAGGCTCTAAGATAATCACCAAAATGAAAGCCTTTTTAAAACTGTAGCAACCACATGGAATTCCGGGTAAGAAAAGAAGTCAGTGGACTGCAACTTGTACAGGGTTGGTGCCGTTTGTTGTACTTCGCAGACTGGCATGACAATGTAATTCCTTTATTTCTCGAAGCCAACGTGCTACCAATAACTTTTCTTTGTTATGAGTCGGTATCAACTTTAATGCACGATATCAATAATGATAAAGCCCCAGCAAACATAAAGTTTATTTCAGAAAACGTCTACTGTATTCACTCATACAATGCAGGATTGTCTACGTCTGGAACGTTCTATGGTTAAAAAAAGCTCTAGACTAGAAATACAAAAAAATTATTTGTCTCGGCTCGGAGTTAAGCTGTGGAATGAGATACCACGCTATATAACGGATCTGCCTGAGAAAACATTCAAACTGAAAGAGTTCTTCGCAAATTGCTATTTGATGTCTTACAAAAAGAGGACGCCTATATTCAAATCCCCATCTAAATGCATTGTTGTATTAATAAATTAAGTATGTCAGTAAGCGCTGTGTAGTTAATTAGATCACTGAACGTCTTTGTTTTATTTATTTTAAAATTGTAATAGTTTAAGGTTTTTTGTTTTTAGTAAATATGTTATTCATGTACTTATCTTATCCCCCCCTCCCCCAAGGCTAGCTTTCCACCCGGGGGAGGGGTACTGCCATGTATTGGCTATATAGGTATGTGCCCCTGTGAAGGGCATGGTTTTCAAGCAGTTTACTCTAGGATAGGGTATATAAATCAGAGCGTTTGGGTCTAGAACAGGGTATCATTTTTCAGGAAACTGATCAGGGGGTTGAAGATTTTATCTAGACTAGGGATTGTGGTAGAAGGTTTTGTTTTGGCTAGACTGTGCTAGTGACCTCAGTAGTTTCTGGAAAACATCTACTCTAGGATAGGGGGGTTTTGGGGAGTTTACTCTAGTATAAGGTAGCAAAATTCAGCTGAACTAGCTCCGTTATAGGTTAAGGGTTCCAGGGTACCCTCCCCCCCCCCCGGGGCTTTCCTCCTATTTGCGGGGCAAGCCGTACAACTCCTGCATACAAGAATAAAAGTTTTTGTTGTTGTTTGTTGCTGTTGTTAATAAGGGTCTAGGATCAAAGTTTTATCCCACTGACAAAGAAAAATTATAGGAGTAGTGTTTTCATCATGCAAGCAAGTTATTCTAACGTTTAAGTCTGTGAGCTGAAAATCCGAAAGTGTGACCATTCAAGAGTAGCTACTTTCAAGCAGTGGTTTATCTTTTGTTTTTGTTTTTTGTTGATGTTTTGTTTGCTTTTTTTGTTGGTCATGCTTTGCTTTTGAACAGCAGTGTTATAATGCTCTGACTTTTCAATCTGTGGCCTAATAATCTTGAAGTGTGATCATTTCAACACAAGCTACACAAGTTGGAGGGATTTTTACAGCGTGAGCATTAATTGACTAATTAGAAATGAAGCTACATGGCAATACGGCCTTCCTTAAGTCGTTGTTTATATACTATGCCGTACGAGACCGTTCTAATGTTTTCGTCTATAGATAAAATCCTGCATGAAGTGCCACGACGCTAACCACACAAATAAAAATTAGATCAGTGTTACCTTTGATAGTATATGTACTTACTCATAGCGACTAGTCGAGCGAAGACAACTTCATCACATTGACTAATTTAAATTATTAGAGGCCTTTAGATTCCAGGGCGAGGACGACTACGAAAACGAGATTTAACTTTCCATTTTTTCGCGTATTCTCCGAAAAAGACCCCCGGAAAACTTTTTTTACTTTTTTCCACCACCACAAAACCTGGCACTATCATTTTCATTGAAGGAGGTTAAGCTATTTGCCGATCGCAAAATGATAAAACTTCTAACTAATTCCCGCCACCACTAAATTTTCGCGGCTAAAACTCTTAGTTGGAGGACGACGGCTATGACGCGCGCGCAATTATACTTACTATTGAGAAAATCTCGTCCTCGTTGTCGTCTACTTATTAGGGAGCTTTAGCATCGACGACGGCAACTGCAGGGAAAACGTCAGTTTTAAAATGAATTCCCGTTTTTTTCAATCTTTGTCGCGTTTATTTCAATTTGCTGAAAATGGCAAGTGTAGGCGAATTTCCCTGCAGTTGATTTCTTGAGGACCGCACTCAAGTTTAGAGAGAGAAAAAGAGATTGGTCGTCGCTTGTTTACGTCCTCCATAAAACTTGCAATTAGGCATTTTCAAGTCGTAGTCGTGCAAGGACGGTAAAGAAATGTACAAAAAAGCGTGATGCACGTGCAAACTTGTTGTTTTGCGTAATAAACCTATTGCTTTTTTGACGTCCTCTTTGCCGTCGCCGTCGTCGTTGCTAAAGCTCCCTATTGTTCATGCTCTGTTCAGTTAAAGTAAAAGATAAAAGCCACTGATTTTATTCAGTTCTAATTGGTTGAAATCACATACCTGGACAAGGGAGCTCGTTGCATGAACGCGTTGCAACGCCACTTCCTTCACAATCTTTTCCTCCGTTAGAGGGTGGAGGATTAGAGCAAGTCCTTCTACGACTCTGTATCCCTCCTCCACACGTCACGGGGCATTTTTCCCAGGCTTTCCAATCGGTCCAGTTCCCATCAACTACATTTTTTAAAAAAACGAAGGAAAGAAAAAAAGCGATATTTAAGGCTGTACATCTAATCATAATTTATTGAGTCCACGTCCCATTGTTCTGTGTTTGCTTTTCGAACTCATGAGGACGGGAAGTTTAACGAAATAACCGCTATGAGAACTGCCCTTTAATCATTTTCCGGATATTACACAACTCTTTAAAATCTCTGATCCCATCGCACGTTAGCCTCCCACGCAGGCGTTTTTAGGGTAGCTCGTATTTCTTCCACCTCCCCTAAAAACGCCTGCGTGGGAGGCTAATCGCACGTAGGCCATGCGAGGTTCATTATATTGTTACTGTTGTTGGCGTATTCTTTTCTCGGCAAATACTGTGAGGCCTTGTAAAAGCCCAACATCGTTATCCAGTAAAAAGATAAGTAGTGAAGACTCAGAAAACCACTCCAATAACATGAAATACCGAGGTCCACCAGACTGTCCAACAGACTGTCTTAAGTTAGACATGAAGAACCTACCTATTTAAAAAGTTAAATAAAACTTAATATATGTGGGGAATCGAGCTTTCTTTATGGTTCCTTGTTTCGGCTCTGTGACTTATAAATTTCCCCTCTTTTGCCTCTTAAGTAATAACAAAGTTTGCAGCATTTCAGAAGTTCACGTGCCGTAAGTTATAATCAGCAAAAGCATCCCACTGATTCTTTACAAGTGTATATTACCTTCGCATGGGATTTCATTGCAAGAACGAATTTCTTCACTCTCCCCAGAACAATCATCACCGCCAAAGGCCGGAGGGGGATTATCACAGTTTCTCAAACGCCTCTGTAAGCCTCCACCACATGTCACGGAGCAGGTTTCCCACTCACTCCACAGTGACCAGTTGCCGTGCACTTCAATAAAAGTAATGGTAATACGACTTAGTAACTGTATCATTTTCCTTAGTTTAAAGGCTTTCTAAATCAGGGCCGAGTTGTTCAAGGCTGGGTTAAGATAACCCAGGGTTAGTGCGAGATTTGAATTCAGATTTGAAAGCTTAAAAAGCATTTCAGTTTTAATTCGTTTTGTCTACAAGTTGATCATTGGAAGCCCTAAAAATAACAGAAAAAATTATCCAAGAAATGCTTTTGAACACAAGAAAAAGAAACCCGGGTTAAATTTAACCCCGAGTTAATCACTAATCGGCCTTCGAACAACTGGGCCCAGTAGTGTTGAAAAATTAAAGTTGCCAAAGTGTAAAGAAAAAAGTCTGAATAAAAGTCATTGGGCTGGTTACATTTCATCTAGGTTTTCTTTTCAAGCTGAAGCTGGTCAGCCTTTTTTTATTGATTTTGATTGGTTACCATGGACTGTAGTTAAATTCTATTGCCTACCAATTATCACTCGATTTTTATCGGCTGTTTCAAGAAACTGTCCGATTACATACTCCTAGTAATCGTACAGGTCAAATAAGACAGTTTTAGAATTAAGCAATAAATATGGACTGTTAAGAAGCAATCAGATTTGTAATGAGCATTTTGTTATTGACACAATTACAGATTATTATTATTATTATTATTATTATTATTATTATTATTATTATTATTTAAACTATTTCTCCGTTTCCGATTGGCTTAAGGCCCAGCGTTGACCAAATTTGGAACATGTCTGCCACTACAGTCAAATCTCGTTAATACGAACACTGACGGGGGGGGGGGGGGGGAGGCAATAGAAAGTTTCCGTAATAGTGTGGCTAAATTGTAATTTAGGCAAGGTTAATCCCGAGACAACGCTCGCGGGCTTGCCCGAGGTAGCCGCTTGTTCTGGTAGGGGCTGACATTTGATTGCATAACTCAGCTCTGCTTTGCTTTGTTTGGTGATCTTTGCGGGTCATTGCTATTCACAGCTTGTGACATCTGCTCGTTTTTAAAGAGGTATCCGTGTTAAGTGGGTCTTCATTAAGCCGGTCAACTGTACTGATATCGAAAGAGAAAGGGACATCAGAAGGCGTGGTAGCGCAGCTAGTACTGTTGCTTGTGTCCTCTGAACATGAGAGAGTGTCCGCTTATAAACGCAGGTTTCACTGTAGTAGGACGTTATTGTGGGGTAGTGCTTTGACTTATCTATACTACATGATTTATAGTATCAATACAGTAAAAAAAAAGGCCTTTGTTTGATGAGGTCTCTTTTTGTGACCTCTCTAGAATAATGTTATAAACCAATAGGAACTCTTTTACGTTTCTTACATGTTTTCTTACCGGGACATTTGTTTTGGGTAAGATCAGTTACAAGGTCTTTGAGCTGTTCAAAGTTCTCTGCCAAGAACACATCGCTGCCTGAGGAGGCTAACGTCCACAGATCGAACAAATTGGTATTCTTGCCGATACCAAGCGACAAAACCTTGACGTTTTTGTCTTTGAGAGGTTGAACGGCGTTATACAAAATGTCAGCGGAAAGGACTCCTTCTTCATTAACCGTTTGCTTACCATCAGTCATGACAAGAGCTACCTTGAATTGAAAACGAGAAGGAATTAGAAGCCTGAGTACAACTCCCTCTGGAGCAGATTTTGACTCAGTCAGGTACAGTCGCTTGTAGGCCCATTGCCCTTTGCCTATTTCTCGCAGTTTCAACGTCGATGCCATCATCACTTGTTACCAAGCCATTGGTCATTGTCACATGTATCATATGCCCAGGGGTAAGTTAAAACAAGGCAAAAATTGGACTTGTAAAAAGAACTTTTTTTAAAGCTAGGCTAAATTTGCTTTAAAAGATCGGGAAAGGAATAGAATCACCAATGAGATCATTTATGATAGACGGATAATAACGATGATACGAAGTGAAATTTAGTTTTCAAACTGTTACAGATCAGCGTTGTAAAGTAGCCGAGGTAATTCTAAAGCTCGGAGAGAGATTACGAAAGGCTTGCGATTTTTGTCTGATCGAAAAAACAACCGGGCGCGTAAACCACTTTTGGTTATCATAGGCCTTAATTACAAAATCTTCTCGGAAGTCAGCAACGTTTTACGTCAGGCCATTTTTAAACTCAAATAGCCTGACAAAACAGCCAACATTTCGCTAAGCCACCAACGGTTTCCCAGCGAAATGACGTCCTCATTTTGCAGGGAAATCAACGATGGTGTCATAAAATGTAGTCTGTTTTCTCAGGCTAAAACTCAAAAGGCTTCTGAATAAAACGATTTCGTGTACTGAGAGTGTTACTGACCTTAGTAACGTTTGGCCTCATTCCCCCTTTAGCGGAGAACACGTCTGTGTTTGCCAGTTTCAAAGCTTTATCTATATATGTGTATCCTCTGGAGTGCTTGATGTTGTTGGAAATGGCTCTTTTCAAGTTGGCAGAATTGAGAAAGGCCCCAGAGAAATCGTTAAACCGCAGTGGTACTGAGGCGTTGGTGCTGTATTCCACTACAGCAACATGCGTGCCTTTTTCTGATATGTCAAAACCATCCAACATATCCTGGATGAATTTTATCAGCTTTCTAAAGTTACGTCGACTTATGCTGCCAGATGTGTCAACAATCATAGCAAAGTCCAGGGGTATTGGGCAACCGTCTGTGCAAGTTAAGAGCAAAAAGTCATGAGCATTTGAGAAAGCAGGCACAGCGACAGAGATAAGATAAATGAGAAAATGAATTTAAAGCCTGGTGAATGACTGAAAATGATAATTCAGACTCGGACTAAATCTGAGATCTCCCAAACTGACTGAAGCCGAACCAATGACGGTCTGGTTAGTTGTCTACAATACTCGTCACAAAGCTTAAAACACTTTTGGGATGTTCCCCTTCCCCAATGTTGATTTGGGTATTACAGTCGTCTCAGTGCTCCAAAATGCGCGTGGCTCAACATTGGGGAAGGAGAGGTGCACATTTGAGTGAGAAGAAAGGTGAGAAGAGTGCATGTAAGACATTTTCGAAAAAATTCAAGAAAAACGTACGGTTCATGTTTCAACGATTTGTAACGAGTATTGTAGATGCGCTTGTACAGAGCAACAGGAGACTCGTGGAAGCTAAAGACATTTAACTAAATTTATGTTACAAACAAGCATACTGCTTACTATCTACTCTAAAGCCCGCAGGGTCGAGAAGTATATTTTCGAGGCGGGGACCCCCTCTTATCTTAGGGTTTGAATAAATGATGTTCATTTGCTTGAAGGTCTGATTCGGCTACTAATTTACAGTATATCTCTCAGCTTAGATAGATAGAATCTTTACTTAAACTCACTTACAATATATAGCACACTGGTGCTAGTTTGAGCGAGCTAAAACTATTAACGCGTATTGCAAGTGTAACTATTTATTATGACCATTACACGCCCGTTACTTTTGATTTGGGTTGCTCCACTTTCTGGCCTGACCTTTGAGCCCACAGCACTTCTTTCCATCCCTTTTCCCTCCTCTCCCCGAGAAAACGTAATACACTGTACTTCAGTAGTTTAAAGATAACCAGAAAACAAAGTGATAAAGTGACCTCTTAGAAAACAGAGGAAGAAAAAACTGTTCCTACAAAAGTTAGGATGGGTATATTTTTCTTTGCCCATCATCTTTCACAAATTCGTTATGGTTTGGATTAAAACAGTATGATATTTATTTATTTATCTATTTATTTATTTATTTACTGGTTTATTTATTCACCCAGTCATGCATTTATTCATTCGCTTACTGATTTATTTATATGTTTATCATGTTTGGAATACTCACCAAGAGCGCGGGGTTCTACACACATTAGAGAACAGCCCCCGTTGCGAGAAGAAGGGCAGCATTTTGATCTGCGTGAGCCGCCACATTCAGAGTCAGACAGACATAAATGCTCTGTCCGACTGTTGCATTCGCGAGAGATAACCTCGCTGCTAATAACAGGGCAAGTAACACTGCCTGAAAACAAAATGACATAATTATGAGACTGATATACACCCTTTTTTTTTCTTTATAAGAATATATTTTATAAGAATATTGAGGCGGAAATTAACCCCAAACACAAATCTAAAGTGGAAATGCCGTGGCCATAAGCTTTAATTTATAATTAAGAATAATTTAAGAATACTTTCAGCCTAAAATCGACAGAAAAAATAAGAATATTCAGCCTGGGACGGAAAAACAACATTCTTATAATAAAAAAAAGGGTGTGGATGGTATAATCTCATCGCGCGAACTATCTTTTCAAAATGGGCTAGGACGACATTCACATCCTTTACATTAAACCCACCACTGGCTTTCTAACAACAACAATAAAATGAACATGAAATACCAGAGCATTACAGTATTGCAAAACCTACTTATATCTAATTCTTAACTCGCTAAAACTAACCTAGCCTGTGCCACAGACGAAACTAAACTCTGGTTAAGTCCGTCTGCGAAACAGCGCCGAAATCCTTGTTCTGGGCCCCACCTGTGTATCCGGATTTGAGTACGCAACATGACTGGCCTTTTAAAAAAAGCCATTGTCGATTTGCCGCATTTTCCGGTAATTTGTTGAGGCTACGTCTACACAAAACCGGATATTTTTGAAGCCGCAAACTTTTTTTTATATGCATCGGCCCTCCGTCTCTACCAACCCAGTGAATCCGGACATCGAAACAGAATTGTTTTGAAACCGCTCTTAAGAGGCAGTTTAAGGCCCCGTTCACACGAATCCGAATAACGAATATGCGGTTTAAAAACTGTCCGAATTCGAATCACACGGTAGACGTAGCGTATGTGTTGAAGTTTTCTTTGACGTCTGTAGGTCGGGAAAAGTCTAATTATTTCTCATTTCGTCTTGGTTAGTCAACAACCCCACAAATATTGCCCGATATTGTATATTTTACTATTTCATAAATGAAAAAATGAAAGCTCCGAGACAGGGAAAATAGAAGTCAGGGAAAAGTAAAAATTTAAGAGTACATTTGTACATTGAACGGACACAATTGTGTTGTAGCAGAATATTTTGTTCATGAAATTGAACAACAAGCTGATGTTGAGTTTTCAAGAATATCAAACTTTTTTGCACGTTATGTCAAGGAACTAATATATAGATTTAACCAGGGCTAAAAGCAAAGCTCTCGTTAATATATACTTACAGTTTACTCAAACAGGACGAAAAAAAAAACACCCAAGAAAAAAAAACTTGCAACCTTATTTGTTGCAAGACAGGTTGCAACGTCGGTGATAAAACGCGCAACATCGCTATTTCACACGTTTTGCGGCAATGTTGCAGAACACGTTGCACGTTTTTTGTTGTCCGTTTTACCTTACCTTAAGACCTACTGATGTTGTTTGACCGTTGTCGTTGCCATCGCCGTTCAGCATTACACAATTATTTTTTCGTTTGAGTAAACTCTAAGTATATTTTTAAAAAGTAGAAAGTTTAATGTTTTGTAGCCCGTTAATTGTTACAGTAGCTTAATCAGCGAAAAACAACTTTGCACGTGCAGCACACTTTTTTTGTACATTTCTTTGCCGTTGGTTTGCACGCCTACAACGTGAAACTTCCTAGTTACATGTTGTATGGAGGAAATGTCGTTTGTGTTCCCCTTCGCATTTTTTTTTCCACTGCCGCTTATTTTCACCTCGAAGGCAGCTACCATTTCTCATTTCACTGCCGCTAAAAAAAATTCATGTTTTCTTCCCACTAAATTCGTACTCCTTAGCACTGTCTTTTATTTCTCACTCTAGCTTTTTTTTTGTTATCCTGAATAAAAAAATTATCTATGAGGGTAGCTGAGAGGGAAGAGTTGAGTAAGTCCATTATCAAGACTAATTTAAAAAATATTAATTCAACAGGTCAGGGAAATTTTATGTTTGTCAGGAAAAAGTCAGGGAAAAGTCAGGGAATTTCAAAAACCTCTGGCTGTGGCAACCATGCCTGGCTTAACTTCTCAGATTTGAGTTGCTGGAACAGCTCAGTCTGTAAATAATTTGGGTTTGAAAGAGTTAACTGTTTATGGTATTTTACGAAGAGACATGCATGTGAAGACTAAAATGATGACCTTGCCAAAACATTTTGCTTGTTATCTTTAATTTCTTCAAAATTACTAGAAGTATGCAAAATAAAGGTTGGGACTATTCTAGAATTTAATTTTAGTATTCTCGCCTGTGAGTTAAAAGTATTTAAAAGGTTTAACTGCTTTAATCCTTACTGAGCTTTAAAAAAATAATTAAGAATGTCTTTACCCTTGAACCATTTAATAAAACGGAATGCCACGCCAGCCAGGGCTATATCAAGATTGTGTTATTATCTTTTTTTAGTTTATTTTTTTTTCTTAATTTCTTTCGTTTTTTATATGGTTATGCTTTAAATTCTTTCATTTCCTTTGTGGGCGTCTCGCATGAGTCTAAGTTTTACGTTTGATCCGTTCCTTTTTAGGCATTAATTTTAATTTTTTTAAAAATATTTTATCATTTTATCATCATGTATGCACTTGCATGACTCATTCTTCATTTAGAGTTTGTTTTGCCCAATAAAGTTGGATAAATAAATACATAGATAAATGAAATAAATGAACTGCTTACAGTACACAACTGAAGAGAGGTTAGCTCGTTTATTTTACTGCAGTTAATACAGGCGAAACACTACTTAGAAAACTGTTGCATCTAACAAAAACTTAAACAACTTACATTTGATATAGGTTTTTAATGAAGCCCAAACCAATTGTGGTAATGCTCTCATGTTAGGAATCCCACTGATGGACAGTTACGATTCATAGCTAGATATTTCGGGCAACAACAATTTGCCGTCTCGTCTGTCCCCTTTGAACTAAAATCAGCTGACATTGAAATCTTACTTCGTATTAAGTAAAACTTCTGGATCTCCAGCTCTGGTCATATAGCATAGTTGCGGGTAGAGCTAGCCTGCCGACCTTAATTGTACTCTCTGAAAGCCATATATAGTTTGTACTTTGAAAAATGAAGTTTGAGACTGTTCTAGAATTTTGGCGCTCAGCATTCTTGGAAGGTTAAAGACCTTATAAGGACTATCAGGGATCTTAACACTTTGTCAGTTTATACTGTGAATTTAAACCAGGATGATTTCATTTCTGACTTGTCAATTAAAAGAATACCAGCGCATTACGTCTATACCGTGAATTTATTCCCAAATGTTGTATTTAAGTTACCAAAAAGACAAATTGACCTCTCTTCATAGTGAGCTCTTGAATCCAAAAACGGACGGTTTTTCTTTGTCCAAACTAATCTTCAAGTAATTTACTTTTTTTCTGCCGGACCTCGTTTTGTTGAAATTCACGTACCGTAATTGCAAGGTTCGCCCCACGACGGTAAACGAGGGTAAAGGGGCACTTAACATAGTTACGTCAGGCTTGGCCAATAATTCAACTAATTCAACTACTCTTCTTTAGGGCTTAAGGATATAACAGCTTTTAAATTTAATTCTGAATTACTGAGCAGACCAACATTTTTTCCCAGTCGTTCTACTGACTTATGATTTTCCGGAAGGCGGTGGACTTGCCCTCGCCTCAATAAGATGGACAATAAATAGTACAGGCCCCAAAGGTGTCCGTCTTAGAGAGCTGAGAAGTGAGCAATCCGTTACACTGACATTTTGACCTCCGCAGTAAAAACATTTGGCTGTATTAGGAAACACACTTCTATGTCGTCTAAAGACTGCGCGCTATGGTTTTCTTTTCTTTTCTTTTTAACAGTAGAACAGTCACGGCAAAAAATAAAGCAGAATATTCTTCGTGAAACGTCATGGAATTCTCTCACGCGAGGATACCATCAAAACAAGGTGTGAAATAAGAATTTTTGGTGATATGATATCATAGTTATCAGATTTGAGTAACATGAGGGTCAGTGTATGTTGTTAAAATTGACCAATCGTCTTGGGTGTCTTAAGATTCTCTTCTCATAGGTTTAGTTCGATGTAACGAAAAATGTTTCCTGCAAAAGTTTCAACATGTACTGACCAAGAGAAAATACGACAGCTTCTGTTTAACATTTGTTGTACAGTGCATGTATCCTGCCATATTGAAGGTCGTTCATCTGGTATCCAGACATCTTGAAGTCAGTTTAACAAAACTCGGCAGCTTTTAGATTCGACCCAGAACTCGGTGTTTAGATACCAGATGAAACACTCCTACTTATGCTTCATCTGTTTGAAATGATTGCCGCATTTGAATGAAAGTTTTCATCGAAGCATTCTAATGTCAACGGGCAGCTATTCCGTGATCGGAGAGATTTACTCTTTGCACCATGCCAGGATAATCTAACGGAGTAATTGATGACGTCACTAGTTCGCAGTCAATAGAGAAATAACCTAACTGTACCAAAATTCTTGTGTCTAATTTTAACGCAAAAGAATTTCCTTAACGGAACTATTGGGTAAAGGTACTCAAACGCTGCCTATAAGAAAAACGGAAACATTTACACATCTAAGTGGAGACATTCTTTCTGTAAGTGCCACTCAAACGTAGATCAAGGACTTTAATTGAATAAATATTTTGTTCAAATAATAAAACGGCTATTTTAGAAGTTGTTTTTTGTAGGTTAAATGAAAGGACGATATCATGAACTAAGTGTAAACTTTGATCATGAAGTTATGTATTCAGTTTTCTTTGCACGTACTGGCCAGCTAAAGCTAAACTGATGCCCTCCTTTATCAGTGTTCTTCAAGTACAACGTGGCTTACACTGTCCGTACGTGAAAGAACACGCCTGGGCCGCAGATTTAACAGCGTAAAAAAAAACCGTTTATTGGATGCGCTGCGTTAGACATATGACAATGTCTTTCTCTGATATTTACTATCGTTGCCCACACTGCGCCGTCAAATGTGCGTGAATGACAATTATAAATGGATCATTAATTTTCTTTCCATCCGTATGGCGTGATGACTTTCCCAAATTAACAAATCAAAGACATGTATAAGTACCTCCTCAAACGTGTGCTGTTAAGGATTGATTTTTGAACTCCTTCACTACCAAAATCGCTTCATTTAAGGTCCAGCGAAGCTTAGTTATTTATTTAATTATTTATATATTTTTTTGACGTGTCGTGCTCGAATTGCATGTCCAGTTAGCTAGCGTGATTTAAAATGTTTCATTTACAAATGTAGCGATTACAAAGTAATGACACACCACTTACTGTAGCAATAGATGACTGGTATCTCCAGTAAAATGAACACAATCGTTAGCAGTCCGACCATGTTGCGCTTTATCCTCCTACAAACTGTGCCAGGAGAAATGTTTGTAGCTCGTTTGCTGGATATCATTTAATAAAGAGCTTACGTTTGATCCGAAAGATTATGAGACGTCAACAAATTAGTTATCCACTAACGGACACGCCCTCAGTAGGTCGACTTCATGTTTGACATATTTCAGCTATCAATGTCAAGTCAGGGAACGAACGTGCGCATTGGGCTCCACGCCAGCTTAAGTTACTAAATCGGAAAGAAAATAATCTAATGTTGTTGTTTGTTCTCGGTTTGAGATAATCTTTGCTCTGAGTTCTACTATTTTAGTATCATTTAATTAGAAAGGTTATCATCTGACTGTACAATTTGCGGAATGACTTTAGAGACGTGTTTTGTTAATTTCCCGTCAGCTGAAGGCAAGTCTGTCAGAAAAAACGAGCATAAGATTTCTCGCATATCTCAATCCCACTGGTGCGTTTCTTTTACACGTCTGGGAAAATGGGAAAATTCTGTGTCTCTAGCCTCTAACATAAGCTTATATCTTATCAATATCCTATCAGAAGAAAAGAAACAGAGTGTTCCTAACAGAACTCCAAGCCTTTTGATAGGGAATAAGACTAGTGAGTTGGCTGTCTTCGGTAAAAGTCAACTTTGGGTGGGCGACGTGGGCTCATTAAAAGCACATTGCGAGTGTTTAAAAACACTTGGTTCACGCACGTTCATTCTCTGCCCTTCTGACTCTTGCCTCATTAAGGGGCAGGGAAATTATAAATAGTTTAAATTGTCACCAATACAGCGCGGGTTTACATGTCATTTTGTGGGATGCGTAGAAGAACGTAAGGAACGGGTTATAGGGAGCTTAAGCAACGACGACGGCGAGGGCAACGAGAACGGCAAAAAACCAATAGGTTTGATATCAAAACAAAAACAACTTTGCTCGTGCATCACGCTTTTTTGTGCATTTCCATGCCGTCTTTGCACGATTACGAAGTGAAATTGTCTAATTTCACGTTTTAGGAGAACGTGAACACAAAACAACGACACTCGTTTTCTTTTCCTGAACTTTGATACACCTTTAGAATCCAACTCCAGAAACTGTCGCCAACATTTGACGAATTGAACGAGAGGAAATAAACGCGATGAAGTTTAAAGCAGGGCGGACTCACTTTTTAACTGACGGAAGCCGTCACCGTCTTTGTTGCTTAAGGCCTAGGCCAAAATTTGAACTTTTCATGAGACGAACTTCCCTGCTAGTAGAGGTCTCTCACGACGAGGCAAAAATGAGTTACCTCTGCTAGCAGGGAAGAGACGAACCAAATTTCACTGAGTTAAGTTCATGAAAAGTTCGACGTTTGTCTCAGTGAAGTTCTTTTCACACGTTCTATCCGTCTGCTTCAGATAGAACGACTCTGAAGATTCCTCTCAGAGGCAAACGCCGACCTTTAAATGCGACAAATTAAACTAATAATTAAAAATTTGTATGATAATGTATATTTAGCCTCGTTCGGGAGAAGTTTTATCAAAATTGCTTTTTGGTCTGATTCAGATGATTGGTTCGACGCATCCTATAAAAGCTCGACGTCTGACCCAACAGACGATCTTAACTTAATGTATACGTAGGTCGACCCAAATTAGAGTTTGGTTAGTCCCATGGAAAGTTCTCCGTTTGGCCTAGGTCTAAGTTTCCTAACATAATAAAGTCTAAAAACCATGTTTTAAGATTATCGGTGAGCCGCCTACCCTGATCTTTCTCCAAGGGGCATAGAAAAGGATTCTGTTGAGTAGCTAGGTAAATGGGTTTCTCTGTCTCGCGCTTTATCTTTAATTTCCCTTGACACTAATCCGAATGAATTAGATCTACATGTAGGCTAGGACTAAAAAAATACTAGGGCCGGAGTTGCCATTGGAGGCAAACTGTAAATACCACCTAATTACGATATGTTTAAATCGCACTAGTTCAAGGAGTTTTTAGCTTTATTTTTTGTTCTGTCGTTCTCTGTCCTCTCTTTAACCCCACACCAGGCGAAATTATTTATCACTCTAAGTCTGATATCCGTGAAGAGGACATCCTGTGGTGTTGCCATTCAAATAAATCCTCTTTGGTAGAAATCTTCCAGACTACTTTTCATTTCTTAGCATTTTACGAAAAGAAAACTCCTAATTTAATATGTCTTTGTGCATTAATTGTATTGCAGTCTCGTTCTTCTGAAGGCATCGCGCCAAGTATATGTTGCTCTTTGTAGTTTACGAAAAAGTCCGCATGTTTTTCCATATTTCAGTAAAATTGTTCGACATGTCAATGAAGCGTCCATCCAAAGAAAATGACGAAAACTATTTAAAGCCTTCGTTGTAGTGAAAAGCCTTGTGATTAACGACTGTGATATGGATAACATAGTAAGAGCCATGAGAGCCCGAGGTGTAAATTTCGGATTTTGGTCTCACTTAGGGTGTTCTGGGCAAAACGCCATCATATTTAGCCGTGAAGGTCTCGTTTAGGGTTGCACGCGAAAAAACATAAAAATATATATTTGATATGTATATTTTTTCGTCTCTTTTAGGGGTCAAAAAAAGCTTGGGCCACGCCCAGATAGGTCTCCTTTAGGGGTCTAATTCAAAATTTCCGACGGGCATCGTAGTACCCCCCCCCCCCGGGCATGAAAGCCATATAGCTCTTGATATGATGCATTTACCGCTCGTCAACTCGACTGCCATGAGAATTTTGGTTGTTTTACCTTGTTGGCTTGTTAGTCCAGTGACACGCATTTTTATCCGCAGGACCATCCAAAGTCACATATTTTTTTTCCACACCGTGAGCTCATTTCCTTAACCGTTTTAACACTAAATTGGTTATTGATAAACTGATAAATCAGCTGCTCTTATTCGCATACTTTATGAATTCTGGTGGCCATGGAACTGTTTCTAGAAAGTTCACTGCTCGGAAATTATGGTGTTCGAGCCATTTGTCTTTACCTTTTTTGTCCTTAAGGCAGGAAGCAAAACTTCAAAGTTGACCTTTCCAACAGTGCACGAATCCCAAGTAGGCTAATTTGAGGTGTTTATGTAACCTCTCCTCTTCACCATAAGCTGCTATTAAACACTACTCCCTTGTAAACCAAACACTTCCGATCGCTATAATTCACAGATTAAAGTTACCTCGACCGGCTACTTGAAATTTACCAACAAAAGATGACTACTTCTTTTTCAATCTCTACAATGGAATTGCCTTTTTGCAATAAACCGTTTAAGGACCGGCAGTTTCGACTATCTGGACTGAGGTCAGCTATTTGGGGCCAGGAGCCTGTGAGGGGTACCCAACGAGAATATTATTCCCAACCACTTAAACATAGCGTTGTTAAGCGTATTTAAGTATTTAAACTGTAGATATAGGCATATTTTTATCCCCTAAAAATTTTTCATCTGTTCGGATTTCCTAGCTGAAAGTCTAGTTATCCGAAAATTATAGGGATCAAAACTTACATTTTCGAAAAATTCAGCCAGAAAAAAAGCGTCCGAAAATTCTAGGTGACCTTTTTACGGTAAAAATCCGTTAAAAATGGGCATTTATACCATTTTTTAGATGTTCGAAAATCCTGGGAGAGGCAGGCAAGCAAGAAATTTTAAAACAAATGTTCCGAAAATTCTAGACCTCAAATCATCTTCCGAACAGATATTTCCGAAAATTGACGTTGGGTGCCCCTGGCCTGTTGGGGCTTATTTCTTGATGTTTTAAACACCTTTTACAAAGAACGATGGTTATTGAGGTATGTTTTACATCATCTCAATAAAGTTTAGTTAAAACCCTTCCACTAGCCTGCGAGCAAGCTCTCCTATTTGGGCAAGCAAAGCGAGCCGCGCCAGAACGCGCAAGCGAGCGGCGAAGCCCCTAAGGGCCGAAAAAAAAATTCTCCGGACTGATCGGTCTCGTTTATGTTTCCTTAAAATATTAGTTGAGAGAATTTTATAGAAAATCAAAGTATTTTTACTTTGGTAATCAATGATTTTATTAATTCTCATAAACTTCAGTGATGTATTGTTGTTTTTAGGAAGAAATTGATGATGGGCACTCTTAACCATGACCCTGTTTATGAACGGACATTTTTTACCTGTGCAACCCTTTCACACGGAACCGTGCAAATTCTGTTATAGATTGCAGTACCTGTCGCCGTTCAGAAATTGGAACGGTTCCGCGGGTTCCGTGTAAACAGAAGGCGGATCCGCCGAGCAAGTTTTTGTCCGTTAAAAACCTTCTCCCTACCAGCCGAAAAAATATGGGGAAAAATCCTGTGGTGTTACCATTCAAATAAAACGGCAGAAACCTCTTTGACAGAACCTTTGCCAAGTATAATAGTTTCTTAGAATTTTACAAAACATTGTTGCAATTGGCCAATATAAGGAGGAGGCTCAATCTCCGTTAATGTGTCAATGAAGGTTGATAACCTCGATAGTACACAGCGTTAAGTCACTTTCCACTACCTGCAGGCGCATGGCATGACGCGCGTGTTATGAAGCTAGACGTGACTATTACGTGCTTAAAATTGAACATTTGCCATTTACCGTTCAGGAACTATTATCATCGGTCGGGAGTAAATCAGATTGCTGGGGAGTGGAAACATCTCTTGTACGTGTTTCAACAACAGCTAACAATCATTTTTTTTATTATTATTATTCTCAATCATTCTAGAAAATTTTTAGCTAGCTTAACCATAAATACAGCGTGGAAAGTGTTCCTTTTTTAAGATTTGAGAAAATATTAAATCTGTTATTTTTGCACTTTCAATCCCTGACCACCTATCGATAATTACCTTAGAGGTTTCGTGATCTCAGTTTTATTTCCTGAGCCGCGGAATTGAATGACAGGTTTCTTTAAAGCTTATTGTAATCTTCAAGATCAATGACATCAATTGTATCATACACAAACCTCATACAAGTATAGTAACTACCTCAAAAATTTGGACTATGAAAGTGAACATTGCCAATTCAAGTCAAGAGTAAGTTAAGAGACTGTTGCTAAAAAAAAATTGATTTGATTTATTGCGCATGAACATTTTTGACGTGACCCAACTTCCTCCGTGCGTTATTGACCGGAGAACTGATTACTGCGTTAGTATTATTTTGATCTCTCCAAAAAAAGCGGCGGTAGAGAGGCTCATTCATTTCTCACGAGACCTGTTAGTTGAACTGTTACAAAAATCTATGAAATTGTGCGTACCAAATGTTGTCAATTAGGCATTCCTCAATAATTTTAATGATTGCCACCAGAATCAGTGATATCTGGGAAAAGGTTTTTTTTAGTTTTTAAGAGGAGATAGTTTAAGCCACGCCCGATTGACGCGTGCGTGAATTGTAAACTCTTTGAATATTAATTGTCTAATTTTACACACTTAAAGAATGTAATCAAGATATAATCTTAAACCCAGGGCAGAGTGAGACAATAGAAAGGAAAAACCAATTTCGAAACCAAAATACACCTCTATGAACGAGAGAGGAATTGTACAAACTACTGAATCTTCGTAGACGGACATGCAAACAAAAGATCTTTCCTCACGACATGAGGATCGCGTGATAAACATCTCTTCATATACCTCCTTGAACAACGTGCGCCGCCATGAGAGCCGAGTGTGGTAGAAAAAATAGACTTTTATTACCTGAACTCTGGCTAACTGAGATATAGAGGCAAACAGATCAAGTAACCATTTTGTTCGCTTTCTTGCTGTAAACAGGAACACGATAAGTCGCGTCTGCGTTATTGAATCGACTTCCTACGCCATAGGCACCATAAGATACACACAAGCCCCCGAAATATCATACCGTGGTCAATGATAGTGGTACTTAACACGAAAAGCCGTATTTGATCAACTCTGAAAGTCAATGGTCCATTATGTGTTACAACGACGTCAGAAAACCGACCTCGTGCAACAAATACGGACATTTTCCGCAACGGCCCCTTCCAAGAGTCCTTACTAACGAAGTTTGAGTGTACTCTCTAGAGAGGCGCAGCGTTGATCCAATACTTACGGTGATCTTTAGACACTTAGAAGTGCACTTATGAAACGAGATACAGCTGAGTTTTTTAGACCGACGTTTAGGTATCTAGATATAATTGGATGAAACACTGTTTCATACATTTCAAACCTCCCGTAGCGATAGAATCAAATCTTTGTTTGAGGGTCTTTTTTTCTCTTTCAGTTTACGAAACGCTTGTTAAAAATAGCATGATTTAATTCACTGTACATGATAATTCTTATCGTGATCATACTTTTCCTGACCGGAGAAGATTATTGTTTTATTAGTCAAAAAAAGAGGAAGAGAGGCTTTTTTATCAAACGGCACCTGTTGCGGAATTTTTGAATCGTAACTTATTCTGTGAAAATGTGCGTTTCAAATGGGCATTGTTCAATTCTCTGTTCTCGAATTGCCCAAAATACTCTGTTTGCTCCTCAAAATTTTGCATAGGATTGTTTCCAATTTCTTTTGGGACTTTAAATCATTGCCATAAGGTTCCAGAATACCTTATTAGGGGAGAAAGTAAATTTTCTAAGGGTAAAATAAATAGCCCAGAAAACAAATCATCGAGCAGTTTGTACCACATGAGTGTTGCATGAGATTTTCATTGCCTGAACAGCTAAACAGATCAAGTTAATGAAACAGGGACATATTTGGAATGATTACGTCTCTATTCTCTGATCTCTATTAATAAATCGACTTCCTTCTGTAATCACGTTGGGCATATGACGTCACAAGATTGAAAGCAAAATTTAATTTTCAAGTTATGGCAAAACAAATAATTTTGAAATGGCGTGACGTGATAGAAACAAAAGTGAATTTTTTTTTGGAAAAGCTCAATTGCTTTAGGAGATATAGCGGTTGTTTACCATTTACCAAAATTTTCCAGGAAATCCGGTTGGAAAATAAAAAGGAACACGACTTTTTGGGTCTTCCTAATGGAAAATTTCCGAGAGCAACGGAAAATCTGAAAAGGTAGTCCTTTTATTCAGGATGGAATATTCCAAACGGAAATTCGTGTTCCATTTGTTCAAGGCCATCTTTGATACCAGTTTCAGGCCTTCGAGGCCGTTTTCCAGTAAATGGAACTAATTTGTACAAATGGTAAAGGCGATTCCGGGACGAAATTTACCGGTCCTGGGGCCCGTTTCTCGAAAGTCCGATAATTAACGGGCCCGGTAAGCTGTCTCCGTTTACATTAAAGATCGAGGTTTCAATAGTTTTGCATCTAGCATGATAAAACTATCAGTTAGTGAAACAAAATGCAGTAGTTTGCTAGCCAGAACCCGCGCTCTTAGTCTTTATATTTCGATCTGAATATTTGATTTCGGGCCCAAAAAGTTAGCGGGACTTTCGAGAAACGGGCCCCTGAACTTTGCGACCATTTACCGGAACCCTGAACCGACCGGTTTGCCCTTGTAAATGGTAAAAAACCATAGCACTTTGAAATGTGCTTATGTTTCTAAAAATAGTAACAAAATGAAAGCTTTGATTTTTGAATTTCTTTCTAAAGAGTATTATTTAATAACAACTCTTTAACCAATTGAGCTTTTCAAAACAATTTTCACATTTTATTCTATCGCTTCGTGCTCTTTTTAAATTATTTATTTGTTTTGCCATATCTTGAAATTTTAATTTTGCTGTCAATCTTAAGACGTCATATTCTGGCCAAAAAACGTTAAAATCGAAAAACAAAAATTATACGATTTTTTTGGAATACTAAGTTCTACCACCCTGAAAAGTTTGAGCTCAAACGAATGAAATAGGAAAAGTAGTTCCTAGGATGCACTTTTAGGCGTCCTATATTCCCACCGTGTAAAGGATCGAGACCCATGTGGGCATGTACTCCCAAATCATCATGCCATAGGGTTCAAGAACTACAAACAAGATACGCAATGTATCCATATCGGATGTTCAGACAACGAGAAGTGGGAAGAAAAACTGGAAGCAAAGGAAGAAAACAGACGTAGACCATCAAAATATTTGTAGCTCAGCTTCTCAAAAGATCAACAATCGTCCTACCCACGATCACATGACTCCAGCGTAACATCCGACTTCATAAGTACAATGACAGGTGTACGAAGAGAAAACTGGAATCAAGGTCAAACATAACTCCTCTATTTTCTGTGCCAAACTTCGTTTTGATAACCATTCCAATATTTCTAGCTCCAGCGTGTTTTGGAATCGTCAAGGGGAGAAAGTGGCAAGTGGCAAGAGAAAGGTGGCACTTATTAATAGCATGCGCATAAGTTCAACGTCGGTTGAAAATTGGTTACAAGACTCGATCGGGAAACGCAATAAAGGACCGACACGTCTGCGCATGCCTGGTATGACTCCCAACGAAAATCTTTATTTTCGTTTATTACACTTATAATTTAAATAACGCTGGGACAAGTCTATACAACAAAGTGGTTTAATAACCTGTATTCGTAGACTTCAAAATGTTCTTTTTCAAAGGTTAGAATGTGCATGTTAACATGTTAAGGGTTTCTTCCAAACTTAAGCGAGAGGCTTTATATCTTACTAGTCTATGACCTATACTATTAAGATAAAATAATATCAATTTAAAATCCTGAAATAATAAAATTATGAATTCGAGGCCTAATGGTTTCAGTAAATAAAGCATACTGGTCCAATTTCCAAGCGGAATTGCTTGGCAGCTGCTCCGTGGAATGTTGGAGCGACGTCTATTATTGGAAGAGCTTCCTTGCGTTTAGTGAAAACTTCAATCACTGCTTGATTTCCGGAAGATTCTGTCTTCTGAAACAATAATATAAAATGGAGCTAAGAACAATCACTATGAATATTAAACTCTTCATAAACGCTGGCAATGGAAAAGCATTTTGAGCTATCGAGGGAAAGTCTTCAAAGTACAAGGTAAACCACTAAACAATTCTCTAAACAGAATGGTCTACAGTATGCGTAAAATCGTCAATACAAGCTTAATTTTTTTTGCTCTGGCAATAACTGTGTTTTATCACCTACACTGGACGAAAAAAGTGGATTTGCACAAATTCGCTCCATGCAAATGTATCGCAAAAATGTAATAACTGCAGAGTAAATATGGGGCAGAGATGATAAATGCCACATTTTCATAGGGGGTGTAAATAACTTGGCAAATATGGCATTTACTCTCTTTGCCCCATATTTATTCCTCAGGTTTATACTTTTGCGACATATTTGCAAGGAGTAAATTTGTGTAAATCCATTTTTGGACCAAGGGCTAGAGCCTTTGTGGAAAGCAATCAAAAGAAAAACTGGAGAAATCGGGCGCGCGTCAAAATTTCCCGTTCCCGCGCCCCTCCAAACGCCTCACGCGCAGCAAACTCCTATTAGTGGCTTTTTATCTTTCACCACAAAGACGGCGGAACGGGTCGGCGGAACGTTTTTCCAAGTGGGTTGCTGACCAGTAACGGGAAGAGTGGTGGCTTGGGGAACCCTCCCCTCAAAAGGTCTTAGGTGTTTGCTTCTTTCTTTTTCTTTTTTTTCCTCGCGGGGGAGAGGGGTTGGCAGCTTAAACCCACCACCACCACCAGCAGCCTCCAGGCTCCACCATTTCTGCAGCAGTCAGCCTAACTGCATAACACTGTTATGAATAAGTTTAATTCTTCAAAGTAGAGATGAAAAGCAGTGGAAGGGTTTGTGCGGTAAGTACTTTCTCTTCTTATCATTTTTATATACTACTATTGTCGGGAACAATATTTGTATACTGCTTACCTTTGAATCAGCAATGGGAACAAAGCTGAGCTGTTTCTGTTCAGATGATTTAAATTCCTTCTCATTTTCGCCTAAAAGCTTGAGAGTGCAATCATTTTGCCTTTCTTTATAGCAAGAAAACGTTATATTTTGATGAGCTCGTTTGGTCAGGAGTCTCAAAAAGTTCATCTGAACGGCTTTGGCCTTGTATTCAATCTAAAGAAAAAAGATGTCTGATTAAAGTTTCTATGGCCTCTGAGAAGCCAGTCTAAAAATTTCCCAACAATGTATTGTTTTTAAAAGGGAATTTATATATGTATAAATATTTCACAAACGTTTTATAACCTCCGTCATCAGTGCTAAAGAAAAATTACAAAATGCACCCCGATTTGACTGAGATAGATTTTGTGTTGAATTTTTACTTGCTTTTAGATTAACTTCTTAGTTTTTAAATAAAAAGTTTCAAGAACTTCTCTGTATATTTTTTGGAGTTTGTTCATTCGTAACATTAGCTCAAAACACGATCGCAAGACTAGAGCATCACTTCCGCGAAGACGCCGGCGAAATGTATAGAAGTTTCAATCAGTTACAGGTTCGGTTTTTAAGCACTTTCAGATACGAAGTTAATGACGTCCAGGTTTTCATAGGCCGCAATTCGGTTTTGAAAGCACTTTCGGAAATCGGAATGAGGAAGATTTTTGCAATTTGAAATTGAAATTTTTGAAATCCAGAATCCGGAAAAAATTCAAGAATTCAAGTTCCACTGATTGACAAAGCCTGGAATCCAGTACCTAGAATCCAGAATCCAAGAATGTCTTATTCCCTTACATGGGGCGATTTAGAGGCTACGAGTAAAAAAACCAGTGGCAGACAGGAAATAATCTTTTGCAAAACTTTGGCAGTGAAACGGTTAAACATTTCCCGCAAGGTTACCCTCAATTCATTACCGAAAGTTTAAAAGAAGAACAAAAAGAACATAGCAAAAATGCGCAAGTTTTCTGTCACTTGTAGGGTGAAAAACTTACCATCTGACTTGAGGGATTAACTTCGCTAATCCATTGCTGTGCAGAAAGTCGAGGAACCGTAATCTGCAAGAAAAAATGTCCATCTAAAAATACAAATTCGCCATTTTAATTGATAGCCAGCAATTGAACATATCATCTGCAACAGACTACTACGTGCATAATACTTGTGGGCAACCCAGCTTGGATGTACGTTTCTGAGAAACTGCCCACCTACCCCTCTCCTAAGCACACATTTTGCCCTAAGTGAGAAGTTAGTTTTAATGTTGGATTAGGGGAGGTGTAAAACCAGAACCGTTTAATTATCCCCCAGCTTAACTCAGTCAGACTCTGTAAAGAAGACCTTACCGTCACAAAGGTAAATCTTTCTTTCAGTGCAGATATAAATCAAAAACCTGTCTCGTGATCAATTCAAGATTTTGGAAACATTATTATTATTATTACAAAAACTCGGTATGATGACGGAAATTACCTTCCTCAAGAAGGCCCTCCCTGGAGGGTGCAAGAGTTGACAGTGGCCGGTTCATTTAAATAGAGGTCTCAGTGAAAAAAAAAACACAACGGCCGCCGAAAATCATAAGGCGTACTGAACAAGAAAAACAAATTACGCATCACACTTTTCAGTTCATTTCTTTGCCTTCTTCTGGACGATTACGAAGAGGAAGTCACTCGGAAAAAATAAATGTCAGTGATATTTTTTTATGAAGTACGTTGCGTATGTCAAGTCACAAGTACATATTTTCTTTTCTCAGTTCTCTTTCCGAACTGCTTGTTGTCTCTAAGGGGCTGTTTACATGATATCGGATGACTTTCATTCCGGAATGAGTTTCGTTCCAGCGTGAAGTTCGTACTGTATTCACAAAAATCGAATGGCACAGCCCTAAGGCGTTCTCGCTCGAGTGGCGTTTTCGCGCCAGATCAGATACAAATGCGCCACTCGCCCTAGACTACACGATTTGCGATTTTCAGTCCGGAACGAAGTTTGTTTTCAGTTTACATGATACCAGAATAAAATTTCGTCGCGGAACGAGAATTTCATTCGCAATGGAAACCGGAATGACCTCATTGCAGAACGACTTGTATGGGAACGAAATGTCTTTTCAGTATCGTGTAATATAAATACAGATAACTATAATGATTTATGGAGATTCTGAATGAGCTCGTTCCGGAATGAAAAGTCATTCGGTATCATGTGAATAGCCCCCTAAATTCGTCTCCAGAGACCTATATTTATAAAGAGGAGGGGGTTGGAATAATCAAGATAACATTTGAAAGCATGGGAATTCACTGAATTTGTGGTATTTTTTACAGTCCAAAATAAATACTGACAGATTTCTTACTTCTAGGGAGGTCTGGGGACATGCTCCCTCGGGAATTTTTTTGTATTTTAACTTTTTAAGTCCCATTTCCTGAATTTATGAGTTATTCAGACAAGATATTTACTGACTGCCCAAACCATTTTCCAGATTTCAACTTGGAAAGTTTAAAGTTTTTTTAATAAAAATATATTTATAATATGAAAAATCTGACCGATTTCCGTAAAACGGTGGAAAACGGTATGGATCCCGCGCCTGAGTCTCCTCCGATCCTTCATGGATAAATGATTAAGCCCCACGTACTAAGAGCGAATAATTTGCTTGTACCTTACTATTCTTGGGATCAATGCAATTGACTTGCTTTTCAAAATCGCAGTAAACGCGGAAAGCGTCTTCGATGCATCCTTCGTTTGGATCAATCCAATAACTGCCTGAAACAAGCAAACCATATTTGAAGAAAGTTAGTAAAATTATTCGGAAAATGAAATTGAACGCCGCATATTCCGACAGACAGCAGACAGCAGAGTACTGTCGATTCTTCAATTATTTGATAACTTAATAATTCAATAATATCACAGAACTGAGAAAACTCTGAACTCATGAACGAGACGAAAAACATTATTTAGGAACTGATAACTTTGTCTGGTATATTTTCTCGCCTAGATTTCAAGTGGAGTACTGCAATTCCAAATTTATTTATCGTTATGGGACTGTGTGTTTTCTGACAATGGTTGATCGTCGAGTTCAGTGGTGTTTATGTTTTTAATTTTTCGCTGTTGTTTGTGAAAATGCCGGTTCCGTTACGTCTGACACTAGACAAATTGACTAATCAGATAAGAATTTGAATGTAAGCAGACTGTAGTGTATTAAACCGGATGTTTTGGTTCTTTAAGTTAACCGGAAGTATACGTATTAGACGTCCCACAATACCATGCGTTCTGGGTTGCTGTTGTTGTAATGCCTAGAGAAGCGTGCTGGATGTATGTTCAGTTTTGCTGAAAGTTAATACATACCACTTGGATAATCAGGATGATCGAGATGAAGCTCTCTGCATGAGCGTGCCGGATATCGCTTAGTACCATTTTGTAGCTTATAGTTCGTTAGGGTGTAGTTGATTCCCCTCAGCCAGAAATCCGAGGCTTCTTGAGTCTTGTTTCCATTGAAATAATGACGTAAAAAAATAAAAAATCATACTGAGAAAGTAGCCCAAACAGTCGACCTTTTGTCAGTATTTTAGTAGTAGTCCCTAGGCCTCATTATTATGCGCGGCCGGTGCGTTTCGGGTCACGTGATCGGAGGAAGTTTTTGAGGCCTAGACAAACTCGGAGAAGTGCCGATCTTTAAGCGAAGGATATTCAAGCGCAAAGTTATTTATAGATTATTTCAGTTGAACGTGGAAACTTTTCAAAAATGCAAAAGTGCTCACGCATGCGCACTCCGAGATTGTCTAGGCGTCTCCCGCCGTTCGTCTTGGATACGTCACCGAAATGCATTGACCGAGAGGGCTTGGAAAGACGACGTATAGGGACTAGGCAAAGTTTTGTTTATAACAAAAGGATGACTACCTCAAATTGTAAACGGTGTTCAACGGTGTTTGTCTCGTCGTCATTTCTCTATAAATGATATGAATAACAATGTGTGAACGTTAAAAAGTTTTTCAACATACATCAACAGTAACAACTATGTTTGAAATTGCTTTGAACTACCAAACGAAGCTACCAGTAAACTGCGCAGAGCAGTCAAACCCCAAAATGCCTATAGTACTTGTTGTCACGTGAATAAATCAAATTAAAGTAACGTAACAACAAGTTCAGCCATTACTGAAGAAGGTAGTGATAATAAATTGAGATCTTATGATCAGAAATTCTTGTTAAAATATGACAAAATAAACTGCCCAATAAGTAATTAATTTCAAGTAATAAAGTAATTAAATAATTAATTTATTTTATCGAGGAAGAAAAGCTCAATGTAACCGCAACTAAAATCATCATCCTTGTTTATCGTTAATATTGCTTTACATAGAGGATATTACACGGTGGCGCGAAGATATGCATTTTCTTTTCGAGTGGCAAAACAATATTTTACGAACGAGCGCAGAAAAAATATTGCTTTTTTGAATGAAAATAAAATTCCGCAACTTTTGTTAAAACAAAATGACATTGATCCTTGTTTATCGTTATGGAAAATAAACCACTCGGGTCCCGGATGTAGTTTTTATGAATTTTACGAGTGGTGTATTTTGCAGTAAAACACTCGTGTCTATATAATAAAAAGTTATACATTCACCAACCTTGTTACTAGAGTAGAGTCTTCTTTTAAGGTATGCTGGTCCTTTTTCCGAAGATCCTACAGGCTACACGGGTAAAGTCATGGATACAGATTAACAAACATTGATTCATCATCTTTTCTTTTATCGTTCATCAATGTAATTCATGGCCTAAATAAGTTCATTATTCAAGCAAATCTCAGTGCTTATGAATCGTGGTTTAATCTGACTTCTGATTAAACTGGCGAGAGGATATTCACGCATGTGCGGCGGGGTGACCGAAACCGGAAACCGCGCATGAAGTCTCTGACACCTAACTAGGGTATTTAAATTCATGCCAATCACAAAGACTGTCTAAAAACTTGGCAACGAAAAAGAAGTTTCAAATAAACCTTTTTTTCCTGCTGGATTTCTTGTGTTTCACCTAAAGAGTGCATGTTATATGTCCATGTGTTAAGTCTATTAAATGCACTTTAAGAAAGAAATAACAAAATGATTGAACTTCTTGGCTGCGGCACCAAAACTGTGAAACAGCTGGCCCGAAAATATTCGTAATGAGGTTCAATAGATATTTTGGTATGATTATTATTATTATCATTATAAATCCTTAGCTAATTCCCCTTTCCTTTCAAGGCTTACCGGTCTGTAGACAAGTTTCCCTGGGTGACCCTGCAATTAGATAAGAAAAATTTAATTTAAGTGATACTCTCCGTAACAGACTAACATGTAACAGTTAATATTCTTCTGTTCGTGGATAAATTTTGAAACTTGAATGAGCTACTAGCCTTGTGAGACGTTGAGTGGTTAAGGCGCTTTCGAAGCAGTAACGACAGTTTGAAAAGTGATGCCTGGACGGGCCGACGGATGGACAGTACATATAGAAAACGGACAGGGGGACAGACGGACGTCAGTACGGAAAGGAAATTACGGCTTAACTTACATTTTCTCCAGGTGGGCCTGGTCGTCCTGGTGGTCCCTACAACGGAAAAAAAACTTTAAACCGTGAAGAAAGTAAGGCAGAAACAACATGCAGTATATATTGTGTAGCAAAGAAAAATAAAAAATTAAACACTGACAACTCACCAGTGTTCCGTCTCTACCCTAAAATTGAGAAAAATATATTCACTTATTAAAGAAAGATGAAATATAGTCTTTCGCATGTTCAGTTAATTGATGGCTTTTAAACTAAGAGTGGCATTTCAATTGATTCTTGTTGAATAAGTCTGGAATGATGTTATCTTGTCATGTGCATGTTTGTTCTCTTTCTTGCCATCAATTTACTGAAACAAAACATAAATTCATGTGGGTGTTTCTCAATACAGTAGTACTTTCTTTCGATTTAAGTCGAAATAGGGCATAGTTTGGAGGCCCTGATTCAGACCAGATTCCACAGTTTTGCAAAAACGCTAACTAAAGGTTTGTGGTAATAAAGGAAAAAAAGACATTCTCGGGAGACGAATTAGATTTTCCGAGAGTGTATAGCTCAGAAAGGTAACATGAGCATCATTAATTGGTAATCGCACAGGAGCCCATAACGAGCAACTTAACGAGCAACTAAATACCGGATTGAAGGTCGGACAGACGGACGGATGGATGAATGGATAGATCGCTACTTTATTTAGCATAGAATTCATATGGAAGAACCATGGGTAAACTTACAGGGGGTCCTCTTGGTCCCTGTAAAAAAGAATGACAATAACAAAGGTCAAAGGCAAGGGCTAGGCAATTTTATCAAGCAAATTTAGTGATTTCTCCAAGGCTAATAATTTCAATTCGTGCGACCTATTCGATCACTAAGAAATGTTCTTCCGATTAAAATAAGTGACCTAAACCCTCTGTATTCTCTGATATCGTTGACTAAAATCCATTAAAGAGTGCACGTTTTGAAAAGGCTGCTACATCTACATGCTCATGTATGGACTTCCCGAAGCCCAATAAACAAATGTAACTGGTTCTTGTACTAATATAAAATGATTTTACTCACTCACTATGATAGCTTTGAATGAAGCACAATCAGGCTACTTTAATTTTTAACATTCTTTCGTTTATTCCAGAGTTACATAAAAAAAATAATTATCGAAATTCAAACCTAGTTTTGTCCGGTTCAACAAACTCTTGCTGTTCATTTGCCCTAAAATTTTAGCCAGTTTTCGGCGACGTTTTGCTAAATGAATATATAAAAATTATTTTAATACCGTAAATTGTTAAACGAATTTCCTAAATCCTGAGTTCTGAGACAGAGGAAACTGATATGCATAAAACATCGATTTTCTTTGCATCAAAAAGACTGAAATTGTGATACAAGCAAAGCCAAAAAAGTGAAAACTTACGAACCGCAAATTAACTTACCGTATCACCAAAATCTCCTTGAGGTCCAGGTCGTCCCTGCAAGAAAATTTCAAGATTTTTAAAATTGGCATGGCCGGCAGTTCACGCTAAAAATACTCGATCAGCATTATATAGGATAAGGATAGCTTTCAAAATTAATTACATTATATGCCGGACATACTTCAGTTGGTTGCAAACGTTAGAGCGCTTGACACAGTACAACGTTGTAGGTCAGTATGGGTTGGTCTGGTGGTATAGATTATTTCAATATTTAATTGGCGGTTTGCGCTAGAAACACTCGATCAGCATTAGTACAAGGTTGGCTTCCAGTGTTGGTGACATGCTAGAAATACTTCAGTAGGTCGTTGACTTGTAGTCTGTCCTCTACGATATGGATGTTCGACCAGGAACTGTAAGTACTCACCTCCATACCAGTGTATCCAGGAACGCCTGGTGGTCCTTGCGATCCTAGTGCTCCCTAAAAATGGCAAGGCCAAAACAGATATGTTGAGAATGGTGGCACAAGATGGCTAAGTAAGTGTGCATAAGCTAATGCACGAGTATTACACGAGCTAGACAGAAGTCCAACAGACTTTGCTGAATGACCGATTTTTGATTGCGGATTGACTGACCAACTGACTGACTGACTGATTGACTGATTGATTGATTGATTGATTGATGGATTGATTGACTGATTGAATGGATGGATTGATTGGTTCATGTATATATTCATTTATTGATTCATTCATCGATTGAGTGCGTGATTACAAATTATGTCTAAAATCAGGTCACAACCTTACCTTCGGGCCTTGTGGACCATCTGAGCCCCGCCGACCAGAATCTCCTATCATGCCCTGCAATAGGAAAAAAGTAAAGGCTCTGAATTCTACTTTGTTGTCTCTTACAGAGTTTAACATCACTGGTACCCATTTTTCAAGCCAAGTTTCCATACTGGGGCGACTGCATAAATCAAAACATTGGTGAGTGAATCAGAAACTTCTTATAAACCAAACACCGAAACGTTGCTGAGAAATAGGTGACATGAATCCGTGGATGAAACGTTTCGTCCCAAGTAAGAAAAGCCAACACAGTCTTGGATTCTGGATTCCACCCCTTGGATTCCGGATTCAAGGTGCTGGATTCCGGATTCTTCGTCATTGAAACTAGGATACCGAATTCCAATCAATAGTGAGATTCCCGATTCCATGATTGGTATTACGCATTCCAAAGCCCTGGATTCCGGAATCCACAAGCAAATATTTCCAGGATTCTGGAGTAGTATAACTGTGTAACTGCCAGTTGAACTGACAGTTGAACGCGTGGTCCCAAGGTCAAGGTCAAATACCAATATAACATATACCAAAAACATAAAATGTCCTCATACCCCCATGTCCTATACTACTTTCTGGATTTCAAAAGCAAAAATTTCCCAGATTTCGGAATCCGGATCCCCTTACATGGAGCGAAACGTTTAAGGTTCCATAATTCTGTCAACGTCTGAACGATAATATCATTGTTATTAACGAGACCGAAATTCATATTAACATCCCTGAAAAAAAAAAACAAGGTTATTGAGTCCTTGTTGAATTTTCATATTAACTCAAGAAGTGTTCCGTCTTTCATTAAAAATTATGTAAATATAAATGAGAGTGAATTACATGTATATCTGTATATAAATATATATTTCTATACTCAGTTACCAACTTTCCATTAGGTCCAGGTTGTCCAGGCTTTCCTGTAAATCCTGTATCACCCTTTTGTCAAGAAAAAGCATATCAGAAAAAAGGAAACATTAAATTAACATTTAAGGCCACCAGTTAAAAAAAACTTAATATTTTTTATTCCATGTTTCACAGAAAGTGAGTCAACAGAAGAGTTTACGACGTATCGGAACCGTCTGTTCAAACCAAGCAACTGACTTAAAGTGCTTGAGTAGCTTCTCCTTCCGTTAACAATTAAACAATCCACTTAAGAGAAGACTATTTCTGAAATTTTTCAGACCGAGGTTTTGATAAACTGCATTAACGTTGTTTTAGCGTCTTGTGGATGAGTATAGAGTAGGGACTTAAATGTCATTGATATCACTCATTCATTGCGTCAATGCTTGTAAAAGGAGAAAGTGTACGATAATTATAGTTAGTATATACACACTCAGTGATCTTGGTAATTCAAGCAATCTGATTGGTTAGCTATCTCGGACTATGACGTTATATTCACCGCGCTAGGCGGTGAATATAAAGCCGAACAAAATCGCTGTCGGGAACTGGGTGTTTTGCCAAAGTTTCAAAGTAAAACCTTCTTGAAAATACACGAATATCCAAGTGCTGATGACTTTGAAGGCAAGAAAAGACTTCGTGGTGTTTAAACAGCGTGATTTATTGTGAAGTGGTTTACTTTAGCTGACTTTTTGTACGCTCGAAGCTATGTTTACCACTACAGAGGAAAACGAGGTAGCTTTGTCACTGTTTTGTGATTTCGGGATTTTCTCGCAAGACCAATTTTGCCTATAAATAGAAGTTAATTTATGGAGAAGAGAGGAAGGCAAATATTTTCGAAAATTGTACGTGCCAGCAAGTTAACAAGGCAAAGAACTTCGGAGATAAACAACGCTCACCTTGATCGCAGCCGCTGTTGACAGCATTTGTAAGAAGCGACGAAGAAAACTTTCTCATTCACGGTGAGTTGACAGAAACAAATAAAGCTCTAGATACTTTTCTTCTCAGAATTGGGTAGTAATTTAAATTTTCGGCGTTTTCTTTTAAACCGTTGATGCTAAAGCTTACAAAACTCGATACAAAAGGATTAAAACTATCATTTGCCATGTTTGAAGATACTGTAAAGATCTAACTTTTGCGCATCCACTGTGCTTCGTGTTCACGCATGAATTTTCACCCGTCAATCAAACTAATCGTTTTTTAATGGTTTCCTTTCTGATTCTGTTGAGATCACTTCGTGTGAATATACTAAAACAATTATTCACCTCAGGCTCAGTTAATATTGTTGAATAATCCCCTCGACTTCGTCTCGGGGATTATTCAACAATATTAACTTCGCCTTCGGCGAATAATTGTTAAATAATATCGATATACTGAATATAAGTACAACACTGTTGATGTATTTGAAGAGAAGTATAGAGCACTGAGAACCAGCAGTTTATGTCGCCAATGCGCTCCAATATTAGGCTTGTTCACTAGGGAAGGCAAATTCGGGAGTTCGATATACCGGATATCCTTTAGGTCCCTCTTCTCCCCCATCTCCTGGTTCTCCGGCTGCTCCCTAAGAATGGAATATGATAAATAATATTTGCAGTTATTCTGATAGCTGGTACAACATCTTTATTCCATTTCTACTAAAATTTCAGCGACATAATTGTTGTCATCAGGCAAGACGCTGTATACTTCATTAGCGCAATAACAAAATGTTGTCGTGACATGAAAAACGTCCTGTGCGTTTAAAGCATCAAATTTCCAATAGCAGATAGTGATGGGAAAGAATATTAAAAGATATTAGAAAAAATCGTAATAGCATGTTAATACGACACCAATATCAACAATAATTTAATTTGACAAGGATGTGTGTATGTCATACAGCATTAACTCGAAAGAGCATGCCCCTTCTCCCACAATAAGCTTCGTATATAAGAGGGAAAATATTGAAAACGTACTCGAGCTGAGCTGCAGCCGGTCGAAAACAAAGTCGCAGTTATTGTACATGTCTTTTAGTTTTGGTACACCAAATCTTGTTTATGTTTTTCTTTTGCTGCTTTTATATAATTTTGGTAGATAACAAAGGCAGGAAACGTTAGGTAGTACTGTGTTATTTGCAGATCAGAAGTTCTAAATAAGCTTCGCACTGACGAGTCGAGTCGAGACTCTACGCTCCTCTCTTTAGAAAACAATGAACGTTTTCTGTACAAAGGTTTCCCATGTAAAAAATACCAGCTCAATACTTACTCTTTGGCCTTGGAAACCTCGTCTGCCGTCTTCTCCATTCTTACCCATATCTCCCTTGAAAAAGAAGTAAGGAAACAAAATTACTTCCTTGCAAAAAGATAAAAATACCCTGGCCTTTATAGGTAAGACACCCGACCTGCAGATGACAAATCTTGGAACAAGTCAAACCGCAGGCCCAAAGACATTTCGCCTTTCTCCTTACATACTTACAGAAACTACAAAGTTAAAGGGGCTATGTCACCCAACACGCATGCGCGAGCCAATGAAAACAAACTTGAGAAAGACGGCCTAACTTTTTCAAGTTGTGTTGGAGATTTTGGAAGGCTGTTTTTATCTGTCTAAATCTCAGCCATCGTTCGATAGTTAGCGAAGTTTTGTATTAAGAATCGTTCTATGGTGATTACAGAACAATTTTTTGGCGTTATTTTAAAATTGTTTGCCTGTGGAATGTTTTTACGTGGATTTACTGTGTCCTCTTATCAGCGGCCGTTGTAATGGCAGAGTTAATGACGGCTACTCCACAATGAGTGATGGAATCTTTGATGGAATCTTCCCTATAGTTCACAGGACCTTTCTATTGAGTTATTTTAGAGGCTGCTGGCGCTTGGATTTTTCTTGTGCTCAAAGTATGTGGACATATAATGAAGCGGCTATCGAGTTGGCGGCGACGATTACAAGAGCATCAGGCCATGAGTTTCGTGACGAAACTAAACTCCTGGCGAAGGAAACATTCTAAAATTCGGCTAGATTCCTTCTTGTATTTATCTCGATTCACGGAAAAGATAAACACGACCGTTTGCTCGTCCAGATTGTTCTCAACGGACTTAGAGAGGCACCTTAGTACGAGTTAGATCCTGTAAATGCCATGTTTTTGAACTGTTTGTGTTCGAGCATAATTTTGGAAAATAGCAGAGTTTACTTTCCCTTTTTATCAACGGACTGCTTATAGTGGAGTAGTATACCAATGATGCTGGGTTCTGTTTTTCTCGACGTCGCAGTGATTCGGCACGATCGAACAATTTTGCGCGATAATGTATGTTTCCCTAAGATCAAAACAAAGACTTGGTCTCTTGTTCTATCAGCATCTAAATTATATAATCAATAGCGACAGACAAGTCTAATTGTTAATGATTTGAAACAGTCTTGGTCTTTATCTTCGGTCTAGCGTCTTTTGTAGCTCGTTTGTAAAACACAACTTCCATTTATTTTGTTGAATAAGACAATTATGTTGTTGTTGAATTTTTGTTTGCGCTCTATTTTATGAATGGCATGCGTTTTTACTTCAAAACTACAAGTAAAATTGTCGTCACAATTTTATTCTTGATCTAGCATAACCAGAGAAGAAACGCTCCATAAATTCTATCGAAATATCCCTTATCTAAACCCGTTTCGCTTGTTAACCTCTCCAAATTCGGAACCTTGGACGTGACAGAGAAGATGAAGAAAGTCACGCGTTAAAAACAATAGAATTTTGACAGTTGAAAGTAATTTGCATAACCTCAGAGCGCATGCTCTCCAGCTGACATAGCCCCTTTAAGCCGTCTGTCGAAGCCGGCCCATGCCTTAATATTACTGAGAAAAATGTAAACTTCCTCGAGAGAAGCTTTGTTTATTTCGGCGTGAGAGGTTGCATTGCATACTATTTCTTTCTCTGTCACTGGCGACAGTAAGTAAGTTACTTGTCACTGGCGAAGTCTGAATTAAACAGCTTATGACCCTTTCGATTCACTCCGAAACGTGGAAAAGTAGAAAAGTGGAAATTATACAAAATAGGAGGGGGCGGGCTCCCGGGACCCTCCCCTGGGTCCTCCACTACGTACGAGGCAAAACTACTTCCAAAGAGGTTTCCTTTGAATAGTCTCGCGAACGGAATTTGGTCCATGGACTCAAAAATATATTTACATTTAAAACGGACTCCATCATTCCATGTAAACAACTGAAAAAAATTGATTAATATTCATTTTTAGGGGCTGCAAATGACCAGATAGAAATGCTGGACATCCGTCAGTTGTTATCAACAGCAGCATTTAATAGAGGGTCTCAACGAGGTCGGTGATAGCTTTGACGGTTGACGGTTAATTTTTTCTAATTTTGTCGGTTGACGGTTAAATTTTGGAGCTTTTGTTGGTTGAGGAGTATTAAGTGGAAATTTAGTCAAAACGTTTAAGTAAATATTAACTTCTGTGTGAATTTATATTCACTGTTGTGTTTTAAAGGTCGTCTTGGTCTTTCGCTGATAAAATTTCGAAATCTTTTCAGATCTAAGTAAGTTGTAAGGTCTGATAATGTCTAAAGAGAGTGTTTTTGAGAAAATGGGAACTGGTTTTTCCACTTTAAAGATTTTTTCAGGAGACACGATCCCTTCAAGACCAGCTAAAATAGTGAGATTTCAAATACCTTGAAACGTTTTTACGGTCAATCTAAAGCTACATTTTTGACTGTTGACGGTAAAATATTAACCTTTTTTGACGGATGACAGTTACAGTTTTTGGCCGTTTAACGGCTGACGGTTAACCTCTAATAAAATTCGGTTAAATTTTCGACTCGAGGCCGGCACTCATTTCTCACCGGTTCTCCTTCATAGCCACGTACGCCCCTCTCTCCTATCTCTCCCATCACTCCGAATTCCCCCTGGCTCCCTGGAGGTCCTGCAGAACCATTAAGACCCCGATCTCCCTGCAAGATGAAAAAAATTAAAAAGGCGACCTGTTAGAAAGTGGAGGACGGTTAAATAAGGTCTCTTACCTTCACGTAAAGGTTTTAAAGCAAAGGCGTTTTTGAGCGACGCCGTCAACAAGAGGTGAGGCCTTTTCCATTTGATCTTATCTTATAGAGAACATTTGCCCTAATATTTAAGCGAGACCACAGCCCAAGAACATTAAAAGGCCTCTTCAGGTTGACGACCGTCGCTCAAACCAACATCGTCCACAGGGCGCTTTTCCCTGGCTTTGGAAGTGGGGTGGGTCCCACTTCCAAAGCCAGGGGAAAGTGCCCTGGGGACGAGGTTGCGCTCAAACGTATCAAGAAGAGCTCTGACTACTGTACCGAATGGAAGTACTTCGTGATGCCTAATTTGTCAATATAACCATCTCGTCATCACGCAAAAGTTACTAATGTTCTTGTCAAAAACTATAGGATGAAACAACTGCGAGGAACATTTTGCTCCTTAGTTTCTAAGTAAAACTGGCAAGAAACCTAGAAAGGAATGTCTGGCTGATTGAATGATACGATACAAATATTGATCTATGACTACGTACACTGTTTGGCATAGCAAGTTCGTAATAGTTTTTCATAGTTTTGAAAATAAAAATGGTTTGATCTAAAATGAAAATGTACACGTTAATTTCTTTTTAGACTTTTGGTTCACTTATATATTTTTAGATGGAGCAAGATTTTCTTCGGGGTAGTTGTCGTCTATATAATCAAGTTTTCATTTGTAATAATTGACACGGATTCATTTCCTTACAAGCCCAGTCAAGCGCGTACAACAAGCTATTAGTTTTACTCATGTCTTTATCAGCCGAGAATAAAACGATGTAAGACCTACAGGTTCTCCTGGGGTTCCAGGTTCTGCATCCTCTCCATCTAATCCAGGAAGACCCTACAAAGATAAGAAAATAGTGACCAACTAATACTTTTCCTAGGCTATCATTAGAGAGGCATTAGAAACTAGGAGTTGTAAGAGTGAGCACTAGAGCTGGAACTGGAAGATATTTCCAAGCTGACGGCTCAAGAGGAAACGAATTTTTGTCCTCTGATTCGCGATTTTATATTACAATACATATGGCGAAATATAAAAGAGCGGAGAAAAGTTTGACGCTAAAATAATAGTTATAATAATTTGCCGGCTGACTACCGATAAACGAAAAGAGATTCCTTGCCCGGCACTAATTTTCTCGGGGCCTCGACCTCTCGGGCCTCGGGTTTTGCCTAATACAAGGAGCGAGGCCTCCGAGCCCTCCCCTAAATCCGCCAATCACTGCCCCCCTTGCTAACAAATACTGGAAAACTGATGATCCACTATAACTGACGGAAGGATTTACCTCAAGAGAACATAAAAGCCTCTTTTTCTCTTTTATGTCAGCGTATGTTTTCTTGCTTAGTTACATAGGAGGAAAAATTTTTGACCAGTTCACCACCTGACATCCGACGAGATCGCAAGATGAGTGAATAATTATACGAATTAATGACAAGCTAAATTCTTAATTTTTAGTTCTACATTTTTCTGCAATAACTTACATCCTTCCCTGGACGGCCTTCTTGCCCAGGTTTACCTTGTTCACCTGGATAACCCTGCAGGGAAATATATCTATATATATAAAATATAATTTCAAGTGGGAAAAAGCGAAAAAATATTAAAAAGCCAAGTTGATGAAACAAAGATCATCTTTCATATATCGTTTTTGAGCAACAGCATCTCTCTCTCGTAACTTTTTAAGTCATAATTTTTAAGAAAAGGAAAGGAAATAAGGCAAACACTACTAACATAAATCAAAATGGAATATCGAAGGTTAAATACAATTAGTGAGAGTAACAAAGGTTGAAAGGTTGCATACATAGACCACAAATTCTCTCTTGCAAAGAGTTATTCTTTTCTTTCTTAATCCGCCGAGTAAAAAGAGTGAGGAAAAAAACAATTGCGTACCGCATTGCTAACGTTAAATAATTAAAATGACACTGTTCGCAATCAGTCTAGGTGCACTCGAAGCATTTGTGCTACGCCTCAGTCAGGAGTCTTTGGCAGAGCTTGATCCACATAGCCGCAGTCTGAAAGGGAAGAATTCCCTGGGGGCGTGGACGTCAAATAAAGAAGATTATTAACGATTAAACATTTATCGTACCGGTAATCCGTTTGGTCCTTCCTCCCCTGGTGTTCCCGGAGTGCCAACGTCGCCCTAAAACATAACAGTAGAAAGCTTTAGATTCGGACGACATTTAATCTTACGTTTTCTCGCCTGTCTCTAAAAATAGACACCCCAGAAAGCATCATTATTGTACTTTATTTTACTACAAAAATTAGTTCGCTTACTTCCGTTGAGGGAGGTAAGCCCTCTCCCGATCGCTAAATGATAAAATTCCCAACATTTAATAACCTGTTTTCGCCAATACGACATTTTCGTTAAAACTCGTAGTAGAATGACCATGGCTAACACATTTTCCCGCCAAAATGACATTGGTTCGCACGCGCACTACTATACTTCGTATTGCGAAAATTTCGTTCTCGTCGTCGTCCTCGTCTTAGAAAATAAAGGACTCTAATAAATAAAGGACGTGAAGTATAGAGCTCCAGCGGGACGGAGTACGGGACAAGAAACAGATAGATTACCCTTTCACCGACATTTCCACGAGAACCAACTGATCCTGTGAAACCGTTCCAACCCTAAATATGGGGAAGAAAAAGAAACGTTAACTGACGGGGGGAAAGTGTCAAATAAAGCGTAAGTTTACTCTGCACTTTTGTTGTGAATACGTCAGTCGAAAAAACGTGATTTGATTTGTTCTATCTTCCAAAGAATGTGACATTTCATGGTCTTATAGTTCGATGCAGTCAACTCTCTTTAATGCCAACACACCCGGCAGGACCGCGAGTTCGTGTCCCTTGTAGAGTGAACCCGGACCATAACAGCAGAAGATCTGTTTTTAGTCGAACCTCTGTAAACTATTTTTCTCGTAGCTGCACGGACAGAGGCTAAATACCCTGTAAAAAGCCTGCCGATACAGCTGGCTCTCACAGATGCCCTTAGCTTGGGGCAACGGAAAGCAATGAGAGGCGGCTGTATTCGCAGGCTGTCCATAATAGCCTGAGTGTCCGCAGGGCGATAATCAGTCTATTGCCGACTTCTGGTTTAGAAAAAATGCACTTTATTTGAGTGTCAATGTAATAAGCACTAAATTACTAATTTAGGACACTTTTTACCGATCTCCTACTGGAGACGGGACCTTCTGACAGTGCCGGATCCACATCTTGAGATGAGGGGGGACCCGGTCATCCGGTCCTTTAGATAAATGGGGGAGCGGTCTCTAAAAAAAATTTTTCTGCCCTTCGGGCCTCAGTTTGGTCTAAAAATAAGTGGAACTGGATCCGCCACTGTTTCATTTTACGTGGTCATTCGAGCCACTCGAAGTGCAGTGCAAAGGGAGTACCTTAATTTCTCAATTATTTAAAGATTCGAGTGTTGGTCCGGCTCCGGGAATCGAACCACGACCTCCCATTCTGCAGTCAAGCGTTCTACCGACCGATCTAATCCTGTTGCGGTCCATGATATTATAATCGCGATAATCAGGTAATTTTCATACAGAGAGATTGAATACAATATACTTACGTTCAATCCTCGATGTCCGGTTGGACCAGGAGGCCCGGATGGTCCAGGGAGACCCTACAGCAATGATAAGGAAAATGACTGTAAAAATTCAACTTTCTTAAAATACAAACCGAAATCATGGAAAAACATATCCTTTTACATGCATTTATATATCTTGCTTAGGTAATTACTTACAGCTGGCCCATCCAGCCCACTTGCTCCTCGTAAGCCGTCTTGTCCAGATCGGCCCTATGAAGAAACACAGATGAATTACCTTGCCGTTTACACGAATCAGTTTCCATGATTCTGTATGTATAATCCCGGACAAAACTACTTGAGAAAGTTTTCCCCATCATGTCCACTTTCCTACGCAACAAAACTATTTCAAAAGCGACGCCTTTGCGGGAAGAAAACCCCTTCCCCCGATTCAATGTTACTTCCCACAAACGCCCAGGGATCAGGCTTTCTTTTGAATACACAACAACATTGCTTTCAGGGGAAGGGGGAGAGGGAAGAACCGGTAAAGCTACGATTTTTAGAAAAATGCTGTCCAAGTATACAATTTTCTCAACAGTTTTGTCCAAGATTGTAGGTTTTTTGTAATTACACTAACCGGAGGTCCTGGGTGACCAGGTTTTCCCGGCTTACCATGCTTTCCTCTAGCTCCCTGAAATAAACAAAAAGGCTGATGTTAATCAAAACTTAGCTTGCATCGCAGCTGGTCCACGCTTCGTGTAGACCAGAAGAGTGTCTGCGACACAGGCTGGTCATAACTGTGCTTATTCTCGGCACGGATCAAAACTGGTCCGCACCCAGCATTGAGTTTTGATTACTGTAACACTCAATGGTCTATGTTGTGAAGACTAAAACGTTAACGTTGTGCATATTGACACCTCGCTAAATGTTAAAAAATTGCCCTGAAACCAATTCCTTACTCTTTCATCCCAACCAGATTTTCCTCAGCAACGCTAAAGACCGGGGGAGACAGCGTGACTTGGTCAAGGAAATGTTTGGACAAGCAATGTGCAGTCTAGAGATCAAACGCTGAGTGTGACCATAGAGTGTTCAAAACCCTGCCGTTATCTAAACACCAGCTTGCCTTTTTAAATCGTTAGCGTCTTGTTACAGTTATAGAAACTATTGGCGCCTAAATAAAACTGTTACTCAACTTACCTATATATTCTTTTATTCATTATATTATTTAATACAAAGATTCAAGTTTACCTTCGTACCAGGAACACCAGGATTTCCCGGCGATCCGGCTCCGCCATCCGGACCCTGTTGAAATATGATAGAATCACAAATGCAGTTCTTTATCTTCATCATCCCGTCCAAAAGCGTAAGGAAAACCACGTGTAAATGAATTACACTGGCTGCTAAGTGACCAGTTTAATAGATTTATCTTACATTGCACTCACTATCAGTCATCTCATTGGCTACGAGCTTAGAGTTAATCAGTACAACCTTTACATTATTTAGTAATCTGCCAGATAATAATTGACTAATCGGTAGGTTCCGCGCCAAGAGATAATTCTCTCTTGTTGCACGCACAATGCATGATTTCCAAGAGCAAGGTCATGATCAAACTACGTTCCTTTCGACGATTTGTTTGTCGTTATTTTCTTCAAAGCAGTTAATAAAATAGTTAATCGATTGGGTTTTTGTGATATACGGAATAATCAAAGTGTTACCAGCCGAGCTGAACTCTTACCTCAACATTGAATATTCCGGACACCAAAACCTCGTTCAATAATTGTTTAGAACTTGATGGATTAACTAACTGACTAACTATCTATCTGATTGATTGATTAATTGATTGATTGATTGATTGATTGAATGAATGAATGATTGATTGATTGATTGACTAACTGACAGACAGACGGAAAGACTGACTGACTGACTGACTGACTGACCGAGTGGCTGACAGAATGACTAACTGACTGGCTAACTGACTGACTGACGTATCCACTTACGACTGGTCCTTGAGCTCCTGGGCTTCCAGGGGTTCCAGGGGGACCTCTAGCACCCTAAACGGTACCACAACAAGAAAAAAGAAAACCGTTTTATTTCTGGGCTTGCTATGCATTAGTTACGTAACAGTTTACTATAGAGGGGTTCCCTCCTTGGAAAGCAGTCCAATATAACAAATGCGTAAGATGCTGTGGAAAGGAGCATTTGTTGGACATATATGTCTCGTGGATGTGTTACATGTCTCCCTGTGTGAGCGCATACTTTTTCATTTGATTCGTGCAACACAAAGTTTGTAGCAAAAGTCGTCCTCGCGACTTGTCATGCGAGGTTCAACTCGTTGAATTGCGAGGCCCTCATCAGTGGCAAAATGTTGAAAGGGCGCCATGGCCACTTCACTTGACTTTGCATTGATATACTGTATTCCTGAGAAGGAATGAATAAGAGAATACAACCCAAATTCTTTCTGTCGGTTGATATGCACTAGGAAAACAAAAATGTATTTAAAAACTATCCTCCGGACATTTTCGTGTGTGCGAACATTGGGAATTTTCCCTTCCACCTCTATCCCTTCACGTCTTCTGTTAAATGTTCCTGAGTGTTCCGCGCACGATTCTGTCGCGTTTAAACCTCTCCGCAACATGTTTCTCTTATTTACCAACGTTTGTCGATACATGATTTCTTCAGTACTGTACATACCGGGGCCCCAGGTATTCCAGCATCTCCTTCTTCTCCTGATGCTCCTTGTGATCCCTAATAAACAAATAAGTGAAAAGCAGAGAAGCTTATCCAGGCTCACACTAAACTAATATAAAAGGTATCAAGAAAATTGTAAAATGACACAATATTTGATATAAAGACTTCGTTATCACTGTCACCTGAACCTAGAGAGATCAAATCATGGCCTAGCCGTCAAAACGTTCTCCAAATTTATGACCTGGGAATTATGATAATTTTGGAAAGGCCTTGACCGTAAGAGAGCCTTCTGGTTGTTTTTTGGAGGAAATGGGGTTGAACTAAGACGACATTAGGGTTGGAAAGGTATACACATAAAACTAGTTAGTCTGCTAATGAGCTCAGGGGCACCTTTGTGTGGTGATGGACTACCTGGTAGTTTATTGAACCGACTACCACGACATTATGGAGCCATTTTTTGACTGAATGAAATCTTGGCTAGATTTGGAAGAAAAAGGGCAGAAATAAACAAAACACGAGTCTTTTAACCAGAATCTCTTTAAACTGATGAAGTTTAGAATAACATACCAGGCCTCCTACTTCACCTTTACTACCAAAATCGCCGATTGCTCCTTTAGAACCCTAAAGGGAAGCGGTAATTTTTCGTTAGTGAACTCTCAATTTTGAATAGTTAAAATTGCAATAAGAGAAAATTAGTACTACTTTGAACAGGCAGCCAACTCTAAAGTTGCATTTTAACATCTTTATAACCTACTCGGATATTTTGTTCCAAATGCTGATGACGGTAATAGAGTGAGATTTAAATTCATCAAGAGCCCGAGGGTCAATTGAATACCAACAACTTTGTTCAGATAGAATTTAAAGGAATAGGTACCAAAGTCAAGAGCCAGAAACAAGAACAAGCTAATTCCGTACCACGGTGAAGCTGTTTGGTGACATAAAGAACTAATCATGAACGCCACTTAGGCAAGGAAAAATAATCCAAAGAGAAATACTTTTGGTCCAGGAAATCCTTTGGCTCCAATAGCACCGCTTGGTCCTGGTGATCCCTAGAGGGTACCAAAGATAAAGTACTGTTAACTGAATACTCTTTAACCTTTTAAACCCCAATATCCATAGTCTGAAATGTCACACGTCTCCACTTCGGCCCCCCATGGGTTAGGGGGTGGAGACGTGTGACATTTGAGACTACAATATCCACACAAATTCACTAGACTGATCTCAACACATCTCCTTTGGGGCAAAGTTGAGAGGATTTGATAAACAAATTTGGTGATCATTTTACAAATTCTAATAACTAACTTTTTTTCATGAGGGCGGTGTACTTACATGTAGAAGAACATTGATGTTGGTCGCTTAATCAGAAGATACTTTTGCAACCCCAACCCCCCCCCCCCCTGGCCCGTACACTTAAACCCATACTCCTAGCCGTGTGTGAGAAAAACTTTTACGGCCTCGTGAAAAACACACTTCTTTAAAGGACAAAAAGTGAAAATTTTACCGTGGCTCCTCTGATTCCATGAGTTCCAGCTGCTCCTCTTTCTCCCTGAAGACCCATTTCACCGTCCTTTCCAGGCGTCCCAGGGGTTCCAGGGTCACCATCTTTACCCTTCGAATAACAAGGATATAACAAGGTTAGTTTAACTGAAGAATAAAATGCTTCCCGAATATTCACTAACCTCTTTATACGACTGAAAAGCTTTGATTCACCAACACCCCCCCCCACCACCACCACCACCCCCATTCCACTCTTTATCCACAAGAGAGAATGATCTAAGAGAGCGAATCCCCCATACATGACCCTCTCTCTTGTAATCCATCAATGCTCCGTTTCACAGGTATTTAAAGCTACGTAAAGCTATTCGGAAAGGAAAAATTTTGAAAACAGAATTTGAAGCTACACCTGAGAATCGAGTTCGGGAACCCTCGCACAGAAGGTCGCACACTGACAAACTGTGCCAGTCGATTTGATTTAACTTTGCTGAAGTCAAGAATCGTTTGATTCTCGGCCTTAAAAAAAAACTCTATTTAATTTGTCATTCAACTTTGTTACTTTATTTAACTTGTTGGCGTGGCAAATGCAAGAGCGTGAGGCTCATTACTCCCCCGCGCAGCAATCCCTTTCCTACACAACCTACGTTATCACAGGATCTACGCAATCTACCCTCTTCCGTGAATAACAGCACGGTAATTTTTACGTCTTGAGAGGACAGAACAAACATTTCCAGCGTCACCGCGCGATGACGCGTTCATCTGAACAGAGATCAGGATAAATCATGTTTCCATGTTTAATTATTGGTAAATAATTTTTTACATACCTTAGGACCACGATATCCTGGGTATCCATTGTTACCTGGCCTGCCGTCGATTCCCTTAAAAAAGGAAGCTAGTTTTTGTCATCACTAATACAAATTAGTTTCAAATATTGTACCTATCTTCGTAGTAAAATGAACGGATCGTTTACAATTACATGTACTTCATTAGAAGTACGTGTAGGGAGAAAAAAAATTCAGTACATCTTTCAATTTTGAAATAAAAGTACCAACCGGTTGTCCATCCTTTCCATTTATGCCCGCAATACCAGGGTATCCCGATGCCCCCTAAAAAAAAAACAAAATAGAGTACCGAAGTGATGACGTCATAAAAATGAAATTTGTGAAATTATGGGATTTGTTAAGCTATTCTGAAAGAACAACGTCCAAGACGCCTACTCGCCAAAAATTAGCAATTCGGGGCAAATTGTCTCTGAGATATTAGCCCAGTTATGCTGTGACGATTCCATACAAATCCTTCTAAATTTGGCTTGGTTCATAAGATTAGGAACCAGGTAAGATTTAGAAGGATTTTTATGGAGTCATCGGAGCATAACTGGGCTAATATCTCAGAGACAATTTGCCCCAAATTGCTAATTTTTGGCAGGTAGGCGTCTTGGACGTTGTTCTTTCAGAATAGCTTAACAAATCCCATAATTTCACAAATTTCATTTTTTATGACGTCACACTTCGGTACTCTATAACACACTGTTAACTGATAAAAAGTGAAATCTAATTACTGATCTCTTTCTTGTACTTTCACAATAAAAAATGAATAAGAAGAGACCGTAGGTTGCTTCACTGAAGAAAGGTTAACTCACGCGTTCTCCTTTAGGTCCTTTGGATCCAGGGCGTCCCCTACCGCCAGGCCATCCCTGAAAGACAAGACAAAACCAATTTAGCTCTTCTTCAAAAGGAGACTATGATCAAATGATCAAAAAGCTGTCGCTCAGTTTGATTAGTGTTCCTCATTTAATTGTTAAAATCAGCCCATGAGCCAACAGTTGTTGGTGTAAAGCCTTAACCTGATTAGGGGGTTTTATCCCCGATCGGATCAATAAGAAGTTACTACCTTCTCCTTGCAAACTGCTAGAAGTTTACGTAACTCAGAAAAACTAAAAAAAAATCATGGCTGTCTTGTCCCTAGATGGGGACTGCAATACAGAGTCTTTGATAACTTTTTTTCTCAATATTCACGTTGATCGGGTCTCATGCATGCGTTAGTAACGATTTTAATTCAAGATGTACATGTTATTGCATTATTTCACTGTGTTACTGTGCCTGAGTAGAATGTCAATATCAACCTGCCAGAAAACGAATCTCAATCAAAGCATAAATAAATGGTTTATAGTTATCTCACCTGATATCCAGGTTTGCCAGTTTTGCCTGGAGACCCCTGATTTCCTTTGGCGCCCTAAAAGAACAAATTAAATTAGCAAATAATCATTTTGATAGTCTTTTTCTAATCGAGCGATTTTCTAAAGCGTATAAAGGGGATTTAAGGCTGAAAATTAAAGTACAGGAGATCCTTTCAAACTATTCTTAAGTATATGAAACCGTATGTTTTTTCTTTTCCCATTATTCTTCATTTTGATTGTTCTGTTAATGTTGCTTTGTTTGTACAAACATACGATTTTATTTACAAAACACCACTTTTAGGCGCCATTCTTAGCAACAATTTAATTCTATGTAACAATTTTGTTAAAAACAGTAGGTTCAAATTTTGTGAAACGGTTTGTTGCCAAAAACTGGCGCGCCAGTTTCGCGTGAACGACTCGCACAACAGTTACCATAAAAGGGGAATTTAGGGAAATCCCAGTATCGAGAAAATCACTAAGTTAATAAATATTAAGCCTCAATTTTCCTTTCAGATCCTTTTCAACCGCCTAGGTTGTTCATCCTACTGCGAAGGTCATGTTCACTTTCAAATCTTTATCCGCATTTCAAACTATGATTCATATCATATATTTAAATTCATAAATATTAATAAATGATTCAACATTACGAGGGCTCCAGGGTTGCCATTTTCTCCATATTGACCATCCGTGCCTGGTAAACCCTTCAAATACAAAGCATAACATGATCTATGTAAAACAAATAACTGACATAGAAGGGTGACATAACTACAGGTCAGGTAATAGTGTGGATTCAAAGAAAGAAAACAGCTGTACCAGGGCACTGGTATCGATTACAATGGAGCCACTGTTTGCAAAGGAAAAACAGCAGGATTATTGGAACGGCTATAGAGTACTAAAGTGATGACGTCATAAAAGTCAAATTTCTGAAATTATGGGATTTGTGAGGATATTCTGAAAGAACAATGTCCAAGAGGCCTACTTACCAAAAATGAGCATACAATACGGGGCAAATTGTCTCTGAGATGTTAGCCGGTTGTACTCAGAAAATTCCATACAAACCCTTCTAACTTTTTATAGGTCGAGCCAAAATTTTATCTGGTTTATAGTGCGATCCAACGTTCGAAAATTCGGAGCTTGGGTAATAACTGGCTAATTTAACTGAATGATGAGGGTCTGAGGCTTATCCGATTTTCAAAACATCAAGGTAAGGCTTGAAAATAACAAGCTAAAATTCCGACAAATAGACCAAACTTTAGCAAATAAACCTACGTACGCTATTAGGTAGTCAACGGGATAAAACAATCTTCCACCGGCATTACAATCAGTCACGGGGCAATTGGCTTGCACAGGAGCCCATAACCCGGAGCGAGCAACTCCCATACTAGGTCTATGTTACGGCATTTTTACGGACCAGTTTATTTTTAGACACATTTTAGGGCACTTTTTCTCGCGAAAATGGAATCTCCACCACGTCTATGAGCGCATTCGAAGTATAAAAATATCCTTTTTAGGTCTGTAGGTTTTGCTGAGTGGTTTGAGTAATTTAAATAATATTCACGATTCGCGCCAAAACCGTTCTAAAAATAAACTGGTCCGAAAAACGCCGTGTCACGAGCGCATGGAAGTTGCTCGCTCCGGGTTATGGGCTCCTGGCTTGCAACACATCTTGTCTCTTTCTCACTCACTCTCTGTTCCTTCCCAATAGTTCTAACCGGAAATGTAATGAAATGTAAAATTGAAAGTCTGAAATTAATGCTATTTATAGAGCCATGTACGGGGTTTCATAATGAGTGCAATAGTTCTTTCCTCTGGTAATAACATTTTAGTCCCTTCTTGAAATAACCTTTGGGATGAACACTTACTTGATTTTTAATGTATGTTCGTATGTCTGGGCTACGAAAGATTCTCAAATTGAAGCACTCTTAGAGTAAAAAATCATGGTAACTGGTGGTAGGAATCATAGTGAAATTAGTATTCCAAGTGACAAGTAATAACACATTTCTGTTTTTGGTTAACATACCGGTGGCCCAGGGGGACCAACTTGACCAGGTAGTCCACGAAGTCCCTAAAGAAAAAACGCACAAAAAATCACAGCTGAATTATCGTTTGACAAGAAAGTCTCAGGCAACGTAATGCCTAGTTTTGCCAAAGATGAGCATTAGGGATGGTTATGTTTCTGAAGTCACACATCATTAATAAGAACTAACCGCATCTCCAGGTTTTCCGTTTTTCCCATAAGTACCACGCATGCCCTGTAAGGAGAAAAACGCAACTTTCATCATCCACTAGTACATTTAATTCGGTCATGGAAAGGACAGATGCAAGTGTCCACATTGAAAATTTGTCCTGACTCGGAGAGAGGTGCACGGAGAGGGATTAAATGAAGGACTTGATTTGATGCATATCAACCTTGATGACCATGGGACCAAGAGAGCTGCGTGTAACTGGAGGTCTTATTATAGTCCAGTCCGCAAGGAGACTTATAATACGTAATTAGGGACGATTTCACAATACCTTAAGAAGCACGGAGTATATAATCATTTAAAACCCCGCTTTTTGAGAACTTTTTGCTATTTGAACTCGAAGTAAGAACGGGAAATTTGGATATGTGTTACATACAAAGGCTTTGAACTTACTCTTCTTCCTGCGCGGCCAGGGTAGCCCGGTGGTCCTTGAGATCCTGGAGCTCCCTGCAAACAAAGGAAGCTTTTCAAGACTAATTCAACATTTTAGACCTTAAAGCTGACAGTTGACTGAGTACTTAGGCTATATGGCATTATAAGAACTTCGAGAAAGGTACAGGGGTTTTAATTGGACATTAGCAAAGATGAACTTGATAGAGCCTACATTGCAGGCGTTTTGTTGTTGAGTGGAACTCGATACTTTTATTTGCTATTTTATAAATTTACTGCGAATAATGATTCAAAATTTTGAGCGAATGAAGTTCCATAATGATGCCTGATATAACTGAATCGTCTGCTTACAAGTAAATGACGACATGGGTATTTTATTATAACTTCGTACCTGAAGCCCTGCACTGCCCTGGAATCCAGGTTCTCCACTGTTACCTCGGCGACCCTGATAAGGAAATTCAAACAAACTTAAGGACTGAAATCTTAGTGGACACCCAAATGAAAGTATGGGCGGTTTTTGATGTTAGAGCTTTTCATTTGCGTACTACAAATTTTGTGTCGCCTGCAAAGCAAGTAAAAACACCAATTCCCCGTTTCTCTTTACCATTGTTTCTCGTGATACATAAGGCAGTTTTTGATTAGGGAAAGTATTCATCTCAAAGGTACACGAACCGCTTATTTTAAACGTTTGTAATCTTAGAGAGACTAATCCGTTGCCTGCCAAGCTTTCTCAGATTTGTTACCATTAAATTTCGTGTAATAGAAGTTTCTGTTGGCAATAAACGATGGCTTGAAGACTTAGTAACAGCTGGCATTTTTTACAGACACTGGGAATGGCTGATCGGTGCTTGCATGCAACACAAATGGATTATTCTAGACTCTAAAGCTTTCCTGGAATAGTTGTAAAAACTCTTCCACCTGTTAAACCTACAATTTAGTCGGGTATACTCACTGGCCTTCCGGTTCTACCAGGTCTCCCTTGTTCACCTTTTTCTCCGCGATCTCCCTGGAAGAGTGTTAGTACGAGTAAGTAAGTAACCTACAGTATCTTCCGAGCCCAGCATTTTTAATGAGTTATCACTATATATATGTACTTGAATAGAGTGATTCTAGTGCCTCCGATATTCAAATATTGCACAGGCGATTAATTATCGTCATGATAAATGTGGAGATCGCCTCATACTTCTGCAGGACAAGTAGCTATATTTTGACCATGTCGTAGTCAGCAAAGTCGCAAAACGACTAATTTTAAAAATAAATGTAGACGAAAAGACAATAGGTTCCTCATAACAGGGCTGCAACCGAACAATTTTGAGCTTTCTTTAAATTTCAATGGAAATTTGTTTAATCTACTACATAAACTGGAATTACCTTAGCTCCTCGTGGTCCACGACGCCCTGGGTATCCAGGACGTCCATCCAGACCCTAAAAATGACAAGAAAGAGGAAGGGGAAGAACGTTACCTTCAAAGAGATCCTGCACGATCTAAAAAAATTTAAAATGATCGGAAATGATCGGAAATCGGACAGTTGTAAGTTTCAGGGTTATCTGGAGATGACATTTCTAAGATTAAGGAACAGATAAGAAGAGATTCCAACCCAGTGGAGACTCGTCTCAGAAAGAAAAGCTAATATTATTACCCATACAGATACCGCTTAGGGTGGTGTATAAGGAAATATAGAAAGGTGGTAACCCAACAAGGTCATACTATGTTTAAGACACCATTCAATTTCAACAACTAAAGCGCAATTCAAATCATTAAGTAAAAGCTTTTGATTGGTTCCGGCATTCGTCAGCTGGTTCTAGTGTATAGTTTGTCACATAAAACCTGTGCCCGGCATTCCCATACTGGTCTTCTTTTTAGGTACATTTCTTCAGAAGTCACCCTACCCCTCTAAACTCTCCGGGTAATCAAAGTACCTACCTTTTCTCCCCGAGGACCATTAAATCCAACAGCTCCAACCATTCCTGGCGGACCCTGAAAAACAGATCAATGAACACATTAAAAGAATATTCCTTAACTATATATCGGCTTGTTTTCTTTTCATTGCCGATCGGGCTTTATCGGCAATCGGAGGTCACAAATTCCACTAAGATCACTCGCTGAACCCTTAGGTCAACAGATGATTTTTAGCTTAAAATTGATTACATAAATGCTTTTTTCATCTTATCAGCGAAAACAATATGTACTTACTTCTCTACCAGCTCTTCCCGAACGACCATCGTCCCCTGGTGGCCCCTAGGCACAGAAAGAAGGCGGAGACACATTCTAAATATCAAATGAACCCTTTGAACACAAAGAAAACGAAAAACAGAAAACTGTCTCAATGTCTTTCAAATCTAGAATTGTCATGTTCTACTATTATACCGTATTTACCTGAATAAGTTCCGCCCTCGAATAAGCGTCGCTTTCTGGGCGCGAAAAAATTAATAAGCGCTTGTTCAAGTAAATATGGTAAGCGATTATGATTTGCTCTACCTGTTTTCCAGGGTCCCCGTTGCGCCCTGATTTTCCCCTTGGTCCCAAGTCTCCCTAAAAACAAACATTACCAGCGTAAGATTAAAGTTAGATCAAAGGTCACAACTTCTTGTCAGGCAAGATGATTAATGTCTAATTCACGATTTGGTTACATGTGAGTCTGAAATACATTATTTTCGACTTTGGCAGATGTTTTAACACGTTCAACCTATCTTTTTTTTAAGTTCAGTAATAAGTCACGGCAACGAAAGTGATCTCTACAAAAGAATTGAATAAATTTAATGAAATTATGAATATATGAATACAAAAAAAATTCATCATTTTATCTTCATCTTTCACGGGTATATTACGAACTAATTATTTAATGACCAACTCCCAGTTGCCTTGCCAGCTCAACTGCCGAATCCCGGCAAGCCCTAACTGCAATGACTTTCTCTTCTTTTGCCTCGTCGGTGCATCAACCACCAGTATTTTCAACCGAATGTACGTGTTGTTAGTACTTACTTGTTGCCCAGGTCGTCCTTGTTGTCCCTGTTCTCCAGGAGGGCCCTGAGCGGGAAAAGTTTCGCAAAGAAGACATTATATTAACTTTCATACTCTTAGCTATTCAAATGGTTTTGATTTCATCCCAGGGTTTCTTTTTTTTCACAAATTTATTCCCAACTATACAGTCATTTTTTACAAGACAAATCCATTGCCTAAAATTAACACTTAACTATTTTGTAAAAAAGCTTCATTGTCTCCAGTTTTTCATACCTTGACGTCTTTGCTTTAGCATTCACCATTTTCACAAAGACCATAATGCACATTGTTTACCCCACATACTTTTCCATAACCATTGTTTCCAGTTTCTCTAGGGTTAGATACATTATGCCCGAAAATTTAAGCATTATGCTTTTGAGCGTCACCCTCAAAACAATAACATTATGCCTTAAATTGTGCTCGAAAAGTAGCCGATTGTGCTCGACTATTCTTGGCTATAACGCGCTTTTCCATGCGTTACTAAAGGAACTTGGAAGTGAAAATTTCTCATTACGTTTATGCAAATATTAATTTTGTCATTATTATTCATCTCTTTATGATAAAAAAAATGCCCATTATGCCGGCATTATGCTCGATGCTCCGACTATACCATTATGCCCAAAATTACGCCGGCATAATGTATCTAACCCTAAATTTCTCCTGGGTATTACAGTCGTCCCGGAAGAATCGAAGACAATGGATACGCAAGCTTTAGAGGGAGGGGGCGTAAACAAGGTGCATTATGGTCTATGTGAAAATGATGAATTGTCAGTCGGTATTCATACCACTTCTCCCTTCGCTCCTGGAGTTCCTTGTATTCCTGGCTTTCCTTCTTCACCCTAAAAATAAAAAAAGAAAAAGGTTATTTGACGTATATAACGTCCTTCGACTTGCATCGTAAGTTCCTAAATTTTTTCAGTACTTTTAGCGAAATAAAATGAAGAAATGCCCGTGCGTAATGAACAAGCATTATATTCCTTAAAAATCGGTAATGTCTTTAATAATTTCATTCCTGTGTGGTCGGCAAGTCATTGAGGATGACAGGAATACGTTACCCAATGATGGATCGGAGTGACTCATAACCTTTGCTTTGACGGCTTTACAGTCTCGTTTCACAAGAGCAATTATAACTGCTCATACGAAATACTAGCGAAGAGTACTAAAAAGACTCAAAACCGTCCCTGGCTCAATACAATAGAAATGCTGAGAGTCTTTATTGTGATGCGATCCGAAATTACCAATTTAGTACCTTGACTCCGTTTCTTCCTTGTGCACCTGGATATCCTACTGCTCCTGGCCTACCCTGTGTGAACACGAGTGAGTGTAAAACTTAGGTCCCGCTCAAACGTCGAAGGTTTCATTTACTGAACCTAATCCCTTCAATTAATACAAGAAAAGATCGACGTTTGAATCAATTAAGTCCGACACATCTAATTTGGGTCGACCCATGAATTAGGCTCGTTTGGCTCACATGGGAATTTCGACTGTGGAGCGACTTCGTTTCATACGTCAAAATTTTCATGTGCCTAAGTGGTAAATATTGTAGACCATTGTACATCGTGAAAATGAATTGAATCCGACTAATTAAGTTCGACGTCAGAATCAACCGTCGAACTTGTATCATTTGGGTCGACCAAAATAGGTATTAAGTTAGCTACATGAAAAGTTCAACGTTTCACCTGGCCCTGCAGTATCACTGAGTCAATGCAGCCTTTTCACCAATCTGGTGTCAGAGGCTCCAGGCAGGTTTCCATGGTCATTACCAAATGTGCTTTGATTTTTGCTTTGCCAATTTGGTATGCTTCGGTTCCCCTCCTCCCTCCAAGTTTGTGTATGAGTATCTCACACACTAATATATCGGTTTTGTATTGACAGGTGTCTTGAGATGGGCTGAGGCTTGGTTGCTATGGTGACCTCCTTGCGGCTAAGGAGATTGTCGCCCTCCTCTGTCACTACTTTCACAGCACCTACCCTAGAATACTATTGTCGAAGTGTCACCCCATGATAATCAGGATCTAGACTACTCGCAATAATGGCCAAAATACATGAAAGATGCCAAATTTCATTTGATCAAATATTGGTAATCATATAGAGTGGTATGGAGATGGCACGTTTATCGTTGGGTCTGGAAAACCTTGGAAAATTGTTGTAGATTTCTTAAATCCTCCACCAGAAGTTCTCCTCATCCCATTTCCAAACGGCCATCGAAATTTTCATGCAAGCATCGGTCATGTGGTCACCCATCGACACTTCCCTTTCCTCCGCTCCTCCTTGAAATATATCAAGCCTTAGATGATTGAAGTGATCTTGAGCTAAACGGAGAAACACGCATTCTTCATTGAAGGAACACTGGATGTAAAAAATGGCTCTGCACCAAATTTGCGCGTGGCAATTATGTTAAAGAACAACGGACGACCATACTTACACTCTGTCCAGTTTCGCCAGGTTTTCCAGGTGCCCCAGGAACTCCAGGTAAACCCTTAGAATTAACAAAAAGTAAAAGTCAAGTACTTTTAGCAATAATTATTATACAATATAGTCATACAAAGAGTGCTCGTTAAAAGAGGAAAAAGTATTTGGCGAGAAAACACTTAACGCTGCAATAAGCGACTGCACGTGGGTTGTGTTTCCCTGTATTACAAATCCCGTGGAACACATCCTTATTTAGTCTAAACGAGATTGCGCCGCAGGGTCCTAGAGTCTTAAATAGAACATTCAATATCACTATTTAGCGTCTTAAACAGGGTTCCCTTCTGGACCAGAAGCTTTTAACAGGGGATGAACGTTGGCGGTGCGCGGTCTAGATGAGTGGTACCAACATTACTGATGATTTCAGTTTTTAAAACCACATAATTCTGTACTCAAAAAGGAATGAGTCAGTGTCATAAAAAAGGTAAAAAATTAAAGGCCTCGGCGGCACGCATCTACCCAGAGTTCCCTAAAGTGCTTCCCGGGTTACAAATCTGCAAAGGCAAGCCTAATATTCACCACCATAAAGGTACAGGATCTCTCTGGTCCACTGTTTGTGAGTGAACTAACTAGCAAGCTAAAAAGCCCCTTTTGATTTGTTCTTAATGTAAAGTCTATCATACTATCCTTCTATAAAAATATCGACATCTTTCCGTGACTTGGTATATAGCCTGCTAAACAGATAATGTCCTCCCGGGCATGCGCAGGAGCGCATTAACTTAACTTTCTGAAAAGAGTACCACTAGTTAATTTTACCCTCTTTCCAACAGGACCAAATGATCCAGGTTGTCCTATTGCTCCCCTCTTACCCTGTGCGAAGAACAAATTATCAACAGGTTCCAGTTAACAACATAAACGCAGCGTAATAAGAGGTGATAACTTCACTTCTGAAAAGGCTTTAAAGTGCTACTGTGATCAAATCAAGCATTATTTGTGTTTTACGATTTTTAGAATATTTGATAGCTAATAAATACACATACCAAATTTGAGATCCTAATTCTCACTAGAAGTCTGATTTTCTAAGCCGTGTTTTTCTTTAGTGGCGGTCCGCCATTACCGAAACTAAAAATGCCCGAGCAAAAGGGGAGGGATTGGATCGAGGTCGACCGGGGTTGCCTGTGACGTCATCTTATCCCCAGAAGCTGGAAGAAAAGTTCTTCTTGGTCATTTTCATCGTGCAAAGATGCCCTTGTTGCTACGTTGTCCAGGACTGCAGCAACAGTCTCCAATCCGAAAGAGGGAATTTCTTTGCACAGGCAAAAGAGCGCTGTGGAACGCATTTTTCGAACATGCAGCGAGAACTTCAACCTCAAGGAGCTCTGTATTAATTTCACGTCCGATTGCTTCGAGAGGCAAGTTCACGTAAAAGGCGCTGCAAGAACGTAGAAGAGGAATTCCCGGAGCCAATCCAACTGTTTGTAAAAATAACGTACCTGGCAAGTCCAGTGTCATGTCCGCGAGAAGCCGGCTTATGGTGAGTTAACACTCATAGCCCTTGGACTCTTGCTTTGTGGGATCGTGTCATAATTTTTAGTTTGGAGCCGGGATAGAAAGGGCAAGATACAAATCATTAGTACGGTTTTTTTCGAAAACACAAACTTAAGTTATATACACACTGACGGAGAAATAAACAGAGGTGACAAGAAGCGATCGCCCAATCTAGTATTTTGTTGTGTTTCGCGTAACTTCGCGGCGGTAAAAAATGTCGACCGAAAATTAGAAAAGGGGCTAATTTTTTAGTAGTCTGTTTTGGTCGTATTCGCTGCAGTCGCTGAACTCGTAAAAATCATTTGTGGATACTGAACTATGAAATCTTAGTTGACAATGAAATCATTGATTCAGTCTTCATCTTTCTGTAGGTGCAGTTCAGTGATCACTTTCCAGTATGTGAAGTTCAGTAAGACGCTCAATGACCACACAGTATATGTAGTTCAATAACCATAGCAATAGTTAAAAAAACCGCATATTAAAGTTGTTTAATCTCTGTATTTTACATTATTTAGACATTGTTCCTATTTTACAGCAAGTGATCGTAAGTATCACTGTTCAAAATTATCTTGCCTTGAGGCCTGCTAGTTCAGTTTTCATTTTCCTGTAGGTGCAGTTCGGTCAACACAGAATAATTATATAGTTCAATGACCATACAGCTAGTAGTACAATAACCATAGCAGTAGTTCAAAAATGGCACAGTTCCTTTCATTGTAGGTAATTATTTGAGGGGGTTAGTTTGTTCAAGCCACTTCCATCTTTGTATTTTATTTAGACATTGTCCCTCCATCATCATAGCAAGCCACATCAAGTGCCATTGTTCAAAATTTTCTTGCCATGGGGCCTGCTGCTAGTTTGATATTTTTCCTCTTGCTCTGCTAGTATCTGATCATACCTTTACAGTGGAAATGCTTCCACTTGGTTATGTTTATGAGTAGTGTCGTTGCTCTAGATCCTGTAATTATTTTGGTTTGTTCCAAAAATTAGGCTGGTGGGTGGGGCCTTCAGCCTTGGATTTTATGATCATTAATTTGTATTTTGTGATTTATTTTGATAGAGTGCTCCAACTCCCTTTTCATCTTTCAAGTGTTATTTTTTGATGTTATAATTATTTAATGATAAGGGGTAAAGGGTACTCTTTGATTTATTTTGATTATTGACTGATGTCAATTCAAATACTTTTTTATTTGGAAATCCCTCGAAGATGGTGAGAAAAAGGCTTGTAGTACATGATGCAAGAAGTGCTGCATTGATAAGGGATGTTTCTTTTGATGATCTTCTAATAAAGAATATTACTGCTGATTGCTACATAAAGAAAGCCAGTTAAAGAAGTAGAGGGTGAAGGAGTTGGAAAGGACAATATGGAGTGACATATAAAGGACTACATACAATAGGAAAAATTTTTGAAGAATTATTCATCCTTTTCCATTGTCTATATAAATACATTTTCTCAAAACAGTTATTCCCTTTTTCATTGACTGTATAATTATGTACAATTTTTAAGACAATCTGTAACTGTTTTGTACTCTTTTCTGTTTAGTATTCGTGTGATTTTTATTACATTTTCTTTTTAGGCTTTTTCCTTTTTTCACGGAACCAATGTATATATACAATTTCTTAAAAGAAGAGGAGACTGTTTTTTTTCTTTTATCTGTCTGGTTTACATATTATTCATTCGCCTGTGCCAAGATATGGTTAGCCAAGTGGTGTAGCTGCCCAGCCATAAGTTGAAACTGTGCATCCAACCACCTTGCCTCAATGACCGCAGTTTTTATTTGTTTTGTCTTTCTTTGGAGAGGCTTTTGTTTTTCCTCTGGTCTTCCTTTTAAATCTTGCATCACCTCTTGTCCATGTAACAAACTTTAAAGTATAGTTCTTTGATTGATAACCTTGTAAACGTATGCTCATGTGTGCAGCCTGTCAGGAAACACCTTATGTTATCTGAGGAGGAAACCTGAACCCTCCCGAAAGCAGAGCCACACACTTAACATGAACCTTGAGGGAGAGAGGTTGAAGTAAAATAACAAACTATTCTTAAAACTGTGAAAGGTTTGAACCCAGAAGTCATTTCATAAGAAGGTTGTATCACGTCAGTTATAATGGTATTTTTAAATTAAAACTGGTTATTGACCTGATTGATGAATTAAGTTGTGATGTTATTGGTTCTACAAAGAGAGAAAAGCAAGTAACAAATAAACAGGTCTTTTCACAGCTTTCACCTTTTGACATGGGCAAGTTTAGAGGGCCATGTGTTAGAAAACTGTTTACTGGGTTAATCATGTATCTACCCTCTCAAAATAAAGAACATTGTATTGTATTGTATTAAGGAAAATCTGTTGGAAAGAGTGCCTTTCAGTCAGTACAATTGCCAAGTTTGAAAGTGATCTGTTGGAAACTATACAACATGTATTCATCAAAATTGCAAAATTTTACAGACGTTTTATTTGTATGGTGGGGGACACAAACTTTCCCCCACCATACAAACGTCTGAGTGTAAATTTTTGCAACTTTGCAAGGCTCTATCTTCCCTCACTTAGGACCTAACACTTTTAAACTAGGCAGGTTAACCGTTAGACTTGCTACAAGTCAACCTCTCATAAGTTCTTAGTGAGCGAAGCAAGCTTCAACAAGGTCACACAGTGGCCCACCAGGAAAAAAAATGTAAAGGACTTTTAGAAAGTCTAGTTAACTGTATTGCAATGCGTTCATTCCAGTGGTGTTGACAGATTTTCCCTAAATTGTCTATGTCAAAAGCTGAAAAAAACAATGGGGCTCACTGTAGAACCAATAACATTGCTACTTAATTGACCAATCAGGTCAATGATTGTCTATGATTCATCATCTTCAAAGCCATGATGTTGCCCAATTTCACTTGGAAAGCTGTCCTTATTGCTTTGTAAGCACAACATGGGTATGGATAAGGCTTGAAACTTCCAACAAAATCCCAAACAAGTCGAGTAAATTGTCTGTAGAACACTGATCGGAGAAACCTATAAAGAAATAGAAAATTTGTACTCAGTCCATCCCCAGTTTGGTCTTTTCTACTTGTTTGTATGTTGGACTGTTTGATTTTGTTTTTTATTGTAGCTTGTTCTTTCTCATCATGCAGTGAGGTAAATGGTGTACACTCCTTGTTTTATTTCCTTTATTTTATATAGGAGTTTTGGGCAAATTATAGTAATTTTTTCAGGGTTCTACAAAATTAATAAGAAAAAAAATAAGTCTATACTGCTAGGAGTTTATATTTTCTTCGTCAACAAGAGTTTGAGTATAATTCAACCTTATTTACCAAATAAATAGATATTTCAGGTTCACCTACAAGACACCCAGGTGAACAACATGTGACTTCAACCACTACAGCAAGAGGACGAATAACAACAAAATAAACAACAAGGAGTGAATAAATTACTCTGATTCCGTTTTAAGACCTTGAGCGAACAAATTTCAGTAACTTTTTCCAGTTTTCGTCTTCAGATTAAGCGATGCGACTTGAAGAAGCCATCGGTTCAGGCAAACATCCTGAAAACCGGGATGATTCATGAAGAGTATTAAATGCAGTCACCTTCCCGTTCTACTTTACCCATACTTCCCTTACACGGTCCATTTCTTTGCAGCAAATACACTCCTCCGTTTTGGTGGTGATGGGACCTGATGGCGACGGACCATCGTTCGAACAAGTGCACTTAACAAACAAAAAAAGACATGTGCTCCGTTCAGTATTGTTTTTATTTCACAAAGTTAGAGAATTTAGATACTTGTACTGGGTTCCCTTCTGCTGTGAGCAAATTACATCACAACAGGAACGCAGTACGATGAAAAAAAAAAAAACAAAAAACGACAAAAAAACTCAATCGGAGTAATACCTACCATGCGCCTATTTCACCAGTAAAATGTCTTTGGAGCTCGAGATTACGATCTTCTTCAAGAATCACGCTTTCCTCGAATGCGGCGGCGGCTTCTACGGTCGCGTTTGGCTCCAAACCTTCATCGTACGGGATAAAAGCAGTTCCATTGCCGTCCAAAATATCTTTCTGTTCGACTGTTTAAAATCAGATCTGTCTTTCGAAGAAATGGACGAAGAACACGGAACAGACGACACCACAATAACACGCTAGAAGTTTGTAGCGAGATGGTGGTGAGTTTTGGGGATAAGATGACGTCACAGGCGACCTCGATCCAATCCCTCCCCTTTGACTCGGACATTTGTTGTTTATGTAATGGCGGACCCATTTTTCCCACTTTCAGGCATCTTTCTTGTGGGAACCGCTTCGTCAGATTGGTCTGAATTACATTTTTTCGTGAAGTTTTAAGTCCAAACATTAAGTTCGAGCCCAAAAATTTCGTTTAGAAAGACTGCGATTTTCGTCGCAGTAGCACTTTAAGAGAGTGTCTCTGTAAGAGCGGTCCGGTCGATTTTCCTTGAGACACAGATTTAGCTCATTTCTCGTGTGTTGTAAGACATTCATGTACCTATACTAAAACCACAATCCGTTTGATCAGATCTCTTTATTTTTCAGAGTTTTACGGAAATTAAATTTCACTCGCTCGAAGGCCTGTTGTGACACTTTTCAAGACGTTCATTTGAGGCAACTTTGCCGGACAATTTACAACAAACTACGGGACTCAGCAAAAAACAAATACCACAGCCATATATATTAACTCTATCTTATCCATCGAGGCGACTTTCGTGAACATCACGTTTCAATCAAGCAAACAGGAAGACTTGAACGACACCTTATCGGTTCGCTTAAGTCACACACGCTAAAACCGATCAAATTCAAGGTACATTTTTGAAAAAGTGAGGCGTTCTTAACTGATCCAACTAATATAGCTAGGAAGTAGGTGCCATAGAAAAGGTAACTACAGAAAAAAACTTTGCGGCCCGACCTTTACTAAAACTTTATAACTCCGTGAACTTACCTAATTTTCGACAATCTCCAAGTTTTGCCGCCATTTTGAGGTACTTGTCAGCATGAAGCGTAGCAGATATAAATCGAGCAGGTAGATCTAAAACAGTCAGAAATACGTACGAAAGCATTTAAATGAACTTCACGTTCAATTCAAGGCGCAAAATTTGAAATTGTTCGTTAAACCTACCATTCCTACATCCCCATGCGACCATTTCTTCCAACAATTCAAACACTACAACTAGTGATCACTAGTGTTCGAATTTCCCTTGTCGATTCCACCGTAAGAAATAACCTGTGCCACCCAAGCTTCGACTCGAATGTGAAGTACGAATCAAACAACATAACTGCGTCATCTTCGAGGCCATATCACGCTGGTATTTTGATTTTCTGATCGACAAGAACGGTGATCCGGAGGTGATCGCCATGTTTACCTCATAAAGGCGACCGCTGACCAGCCGCTGCGTGAGTGAAAACAGTACGCCGCGGGGTGGTGTGGGTGGCGGACTTATCGTGATAAGATATTCGAATACACGCTAAAAAAGCTTTAGGACTCTCAGTCTAAACAGTGAAGGCATGCTTCGTGGTACAGACAACTTTTATTTTATTCTCATAACTTTTTCCTTTAAATTAAAACTAGTATTAATTAATAGAGTTATTTAAATATTTTTAACCGACGTACCCATATGACCTTTTTGCTTGTCCTCAGTGGTATAAAATAAGTTGTCTTTTCTTCAAGAACCTTTTATTTATGCGTTATTGCACGGAATGAACACTATACTTAGAAGGTCTGTTCTAAATCATTTTTGCTGTTCCCAAGAATGTTTGAAAAATCATAGCTTTACTACGGAAGCCGATAAGGGACAATCCCAAAATATTTACGAAATCCGAAAAAATGTTTTTAAAATCCGAAAAAATATTTCAAATCGTAATGTTTTTTGGAAATCATCGTTGAAGAGTTTATCAAATCTGAAAAACTATTACAAATCCTAATAAAATTATTGAATCCACAAATATTATTTTGTAAATCCGAAACATGTTTATAAATCCGAGAATTGTCGCTAAATCCTGAAAAATATTTTGCAAATCCAAAAAATTATTTTGTCACGTGTTACTTGCGCCAGCAGTCTGCTACCAACAGCGGTTTGCCCCACCCAAAATGGCGGAGTTTTGTTCGACTCGTACTCATCGTGAACCCTGGAGGCAAATTTTGCTTCAAATGTGGTTCCAAAGTTGCAGGGATTTCACATCCGAGTGCAAGAATAAGTACATTCGAAGATGAGCGTGCTTCTCCCTCGTCATCTTCGAAGTCATTATCACAATACTTCACCTCCAAAGCGGAAGAACGCAGAGGATCTAAGTTTAACAAACCAAACAACTAGGCCGGTTTCAAAAATAACACGTTAACGATCCAAGACCCAGGATCCAGTTCAGTTTTCAAAGTACCTCCGTTCATATAGATCTCATGGTACTCGCTCAGCGAGTGGACAATGGTATCGTACCTAAATCCCCTCAGTTCAAAGTAATGTTCTATTACCAGCCTCTTCTCTGCCGAACTGCACAGACTTTCCTGTTGATGTCTCTTTATTGTTCCACACTGCCGACAGAATACTCCATTGCTCTCAAACTCTCTGCCACATTTATGGAAGAACTGACATCGTACTTTGTGTTATATTGTAAACGATTACAAACTCTTTATACTTGAATCACCCAAAACCATTATAAAATCTGACTAAATATTTTATAACTAATCTCAACTAAACAAGGTATCAGGAACGGGAATCTCGTTTATTGATACAGCGAACGTTTTACACATCACCATAAAGAAATTACAGCAGTGAATGAACAATAAAGCAAAGTTGAAAGAGATGCCTTCGTGTGGCTCTTGCATAACTTATAAAATCTTGATAGCTTACAAGCCCCTAGGGATTAATCATACCTGCAAGCACGCTTTAAGTACTTCTACAGTTAACACGAATCATACATAATGAACATACTCCAGTGTCATTAGCGAAACGTGACAAAATATATTAACCCACACCCGCCCCTCCTCCCTGGGGGCTTGTAAGCTAGGGAAGAGGACGAAGAGATGAAGAGGACGAAGCACGCTCATCTTCGAATGTACTTATTCTTGCACTCGGATGTGAAATCCCTGCAACTTTGGAACCACATTTGAAGCAAAATTTGCCTCCAGGGTTCACGATGAGTACGAGTCGAACAAAACTCCGCCATTTTGGGTGGGGCAAACCGCTGTTGGTAGCAGACTGCTGGCGCAAGTAACACGTGACAAAATAATTTTTTGGATTTCCAAAATATTTTTCAGGATTTAGCGACAATTCTCGGATTTGTAAACTTATTTCGGATTTACAAAATAATATTTGTGGATTCAATAATTTTATTAGGATTTGTAATAGTTTTTCAGATTTGATAAACTCTTCAACGATGATTTCCAAAAGACATTACGATTTGAAATATTTTTTTCGGATTTCGTTAATATTTTGGGATTGTCCCTTATCGGCTTCCGTACTTTACACAAAGCTGACTCTAAAATATGATTTTTCCGTAACAGTAACTAATGTCATTTACGTAAGGTGTTAATAAAACTAGTAATGTACAATTTTTAGCGTTTTCCACTTATAAGACTGACATACAATTGTCAAGTGAACTATGTTAGTTTGAACTCATTCGATTCCTTGATTTGATGTGACATTTTATCACTAAACCCCATTCTTTTCATTTGCAATTTTCCTGTACTTTTTTTTTCATATGACAACGACAAAGAGTTTTATAAGTAAACTGATTTTTTGGTGTACCACGCTTATCACATTGTATATACAAATACACGCAAAAGGCCGGCTAAATAAGCTCGAAGAAAGTACAGATTTCCTTAAGCATGGAAACAGTAAAATAGTTCAATTTTCCCTCCTTGACGTAGTCACACAAGTCATAAATGTCATAGACAATCGGATGCGTTAAGCCAATTTCTGTTACAACTGATTCGACGGTGGTCATGTGATTCACTTCTTCCTCGTCAATTAATTCCTCGTCAGATTTATCGTCAACCGCGGTGCTCGGAGACTAACCTACCCGTCTCCATCTCGAGGAGGACAAAGGGAAGAAAAATCCTTGTATTTGGGCTTTGGTCAGCCACTCTTCCCGGGAAAACAGGCCCTCCCTGTTTTCCCCCTTCGCTTTCCTCATATCTTGCGAGACTTGTCGCAGATCCTCTTTCCTTCCAGATTGCTCACTAATTTCAAACTTGGAGGTGAGATACTCCCTTACTTTCTCTTAGAAGCGAACAGCGCCACCTTTTGGCTTATGAAGTGCCCACCCTTCACTTAAATTCGACTGGAGAGGTTCGCTACCCTGTCTCTCGATAACATTGGTACTGTCGTCTTCTGAAAGGGTAAGGGATGAGGATTTTTCAACCCAGCTTAAATCTAGAGATTTCAAAGCTGTTCTAATGTCAAAAATAAAGGAAATGACCCATGAATTCCAGTGCTCAGTGGAAGGATAATTACACCATCAAGCAGTGACCCAATGGCCCTTGTAGCTGTCTAAAATGGAGAGATTGTAAGTTGGCTATGAAAATTACACTTTTTTCTCTTTTGCTTTGACTTTGTGAGGTGGTTTTGTCACAATTTGAACGGACACGCGTCACTCCTACGTAATGTTTTAACGGGAAACCAAACAGCATCGTTTTATTTCCAAGTAGGTATATATTCAGCCGTTCTTAGCCACCATTTTGCGAGAACAAAGTATATGTATATATTAAGAGTGGGACAAAAAAAAACAGTTTACTTGTAAAAACCTTTGTGTTTTTTATATCTTTACATACTTATAAAAAATTGTACAGGGAAAATGAAAATGAAGAAAAAGAAAATGTGTCCTGCATAGCAGTCTTTCAAATTTCCTTTTAGCCGACAGGGAGTCGTCAGAGGCATCGGGCGAAGGCAGCCCAAAAAATTAGGAGCAGGAGGAGGAGCTTATTTAGCCGGCCTTTTCCATGTATTTGAATATAAAATGTAATAAGCGCGGTACACCAAAAAATCGGTTTACTTATAAAACTCTTTGTCGTTGTCATATGAAAAAAAAAGTACAGGAAAATTGCAAATGAAAAGAATGGGGTTTAGAGATAAAATGTCACATCAAATCAAGGAATCGAATGAGTTCAAACTAACATAGTTCACTTGACAATTGTATGTCAGTCTTATAAGTGGAAAACTCTAAAAATTGTACATTGCTAGTTTTATTAACACCTTACCTAAATGACATTGGTTACTGTTACGGAAACTCATATTTTAGAATCAGCTTTGTGTAAAGCTATGATTTTGCAAACATTCTTGGGAACAGCAAAATGATTTAGAACAAACCCTCTAAGTATAGTGTTCATTCCGTGCAATAACGCATAAATAAAAGGTTCTTGAAGAAAAGACACCTTATTTTATACCACTCAGGTCAAGCAAAAAAGTCGTATGGGTACGTCGGTTAAAAATATTTAAATAACTCTATCAATTAATACCAGTTCTAATTTAAAGGAATAAGTTATGAGAATAAAATAAAAGTTGTCTGTACCACGAAGCATGCCTTCACTGTTTAGACTGAGAGTCCTAAAGCTTTTTTAGCGTGTATTCGAATATCTTATCACGATAAGTCCGCCACCCACACCACCCCGCGGCGTACTGTTTTCACTCAGCGGCTGGTCAGCGGTCAGCTTTATGAGGTAAACATGGCGATCAACTCCGGATCACCGTTCTTGTCGATCAGAAAATCAAAATACCAGCGTGATATGGCCTCGAAGATGACGCAGTTATGTTGTTTGATTCGTACTTCATATTCGAATCGAAGCTTGGGTGGCACAGGTTATTTCTTACGGTGGAATCGACAAGGGAAATTCGAACACTAGTGATCACTAGTTGTAGTGTTTGAATTGTTGGAAGAAATGGTCGCATGGGGATGTAGGAATGGTAGGTTTAACGAACAATTTCAAATTTTGCGCCTTGAATTGAACGTGAAGTTCATTTAAATGCTTTCGTACGTATTTCTGACTGTTTTAGATCTACCTGCTCGATTTATATCTGCTACGCTTCATGTTGACAAGTACCGCAAAATGGCGGCAAAACTTGGAGATTGCCGAAAATTAGGTAAGTTCACGGAGTTATAAAGTTTTAGTAAAGGTCGGGCCGCAAAGTTTTTTTCTTTAGTTACCTTTTCTATGGCACCTACTTCCTAGCTATATTAGTTGGATCAGTTAAGAACGCCTCACTTTTTCAAAAATGTACCTTGAATTTGATCGGTTTTCGCGTGTGTGACTTAAGCGAACCGATAAGGTGTCGTTCAAGTCTTCCTGTTTGCTTGATTGAAACGTGATGTTCACGAAAGTCGCCTCGATGGATAAGATAGAGTTAATATACATGGCTGTGGTATTTGTTTTTTGCTGAGTCCCGTAGTTTGTTGTAAATTGTCCGGCAAAGTTGCCTCAAATGAACGTCTTGAAAAGTGTCACGACAGGCCTTCGGTCGAGCGAAATTTAATTTCCGTAAAACTCTGAAAAATAAAGAGATCTGATCAAACGGATTGTGGTTTTAGTATAGGTACATGAATGTCTTACAAAACACAAGAAATGAGCTAAATCTGTGTCTCAAGGAAAATCGACCGGACCGCTCTTACAGAGACACTCTCTTAAAAGTTTAAAATTAAAAGAGAAGAGTAACAGGCAAGGTCGTTAACAACCACCGCTAAGGAAATGAGCCCAAAGGCGCTGTTTTTTTGTCTCCGTACTGTAGACAGGATCCGAGTGAGGGTGAAAAATAGTCCTCATTATTGTTGTTATTTGCTGTTCAGTATTCATGCTAAACGCTGCAGACGCATACTCTGAAATTGGCTCTACGATCGGGACTTAGATTCCGAACTGCTCACGGCTCTTCACGCAAAAACACAACCTTAAAGCTTTTCGTAAACATTCTCAAACATTACTTATCTCGAGTTTCATCACTACGACACTATTTTTTTAGAAGATGGAGAGTGATTTAGAACGTTGTCATGATGAACGTGAGTTTACAATCCTGAAGAGGGAAGTTTGAAAGAATATCTTGGCAGAGGAAAGTTTCCTTCTACTTCCGTAAGAGCAGAAGCTATATCATCTACTGGCTTAACGTAAAATAGCGTGACCTCGGTTTTTAATATGCTGATCTCTGTCACGCTATTTCTCGATCCGGACTTGCCGTGGCGGTCGGTAGTTACTTGGGACTTTAAGATTCAAAGACGCGACACCAACTAGAACGTCACTTAAAAGGTGAATTTGCGTTCTTTCAGTCATTAACGCCAGTATTCCTACTTACTTTGGGTCTACTTTGTCAAATGTACGCGAACCCTCCTGAATTTGAATTCCAAGGGACCATATTCAAGGAAAGCGAAATAAGATTTCGTCGTTCCTTGTTTACGTTCCCCATAAAACATGAAATTTTGCATTCTCACGTCGTAGTCGTGCAAAAACGGCAAAGAAATGTACAAAAAAGCGTGCAAAGTTGTTGTTTTGCTTATTAAAACTATTGCTTTTTTTAGACGTTCTCGTTTCCGTCGCGTCGTTGAATCTTAAAGTCCCTAGAGAAAGGAGAGTTCATAGCACGCTCTAACATACATGACTGCCCTTTGACCCTGTTTGACCAATTGGACCAGGTCGTCCTACAGCACCCTGTGAAAAAAGGTAAGACAAGTTAATTTTCCTGAGTGATAGAAAAATTGCACCCTGTTTCTTTTCGAAATGGTACATGGTTGTTCACGTGTAACTTGAACTGGGGAGGTAACTGATATTATAAGAATGCTATAGTTAAATTGTAAGAAAAGGCACTTAGCCCAGCCCCCTATCTCCCCCCCACCCACCTCCCCTTCCACATCTGTTTTGTTAACTTCGCATGATTTATTGCACCATCAGCGAATGAAGTACGCCACGAAGAGGAGAGTGGATTTTCAAAGCTGAACACGACATTTGTGACACCTTTATTTTAAGCAAGAACCTGGCGTTTACAAGATCAATCATTTAAGCTAAAAAACAGTTTAAAATACTTACTGTATCTCCAGGTTCACCAGCTCGTCCAGGTTCTCCAGCAATACCCTGTAAAATGAAATATGACGTATAAAATTAGAAACATGACGTTAAAATGTTCTATGAAAGAAGTCTTTTCGCGTGGAACAAATTAGAGCCTTACGTGAATGTACATTTTGCTGAAGCAAAACCCGAGAATCGTATTCTTCACATTAAGGCATGAAAAAAATGTTAAGGAAAGGCTTGTGGGGTAGTATAATCAGACAGAATAAAATTTAAAAAATATTACGATAGTTCTTCTAATACAATATAGTCTCATAAATGCATAATGTTCGATAAAAAAAAAATTGAGAACAATTTAATATATAAATGTGATTTGAATTTAAATAAAAATATAACACCTTTGACTTCAAAAGATAGTCAATATCCGCTTTCGCCAAACCAATCCATTTAACTTGTTAAATTGGTTCTGTTCTCATACAGGGCTAAAGAAAAAAATTATTTCCGACAAATTAGCCTATTACAGGCACGTCATGTTATGTTTGTATATTATCAGAAGCCCGTTATATCGTTACTAAGGCTACTAATAATCCCCACTCCAGAAACTTTAAGGGAATGGATACAAGCTTTCGGCGCAACGATTTGTGGGATCGTTTGGGTGGACAAGCGTTACCTATGATTGGTGAATACACTACAAGTAGTCCCCCATTTTTCCTCAGGGATAGTAGAGCGAGCGAAACGCGAGCGGGCGTGAAAATCACCCCACGCGAGGAAAGGCGACTACTCGTAGTCTAATTAGTGAATGGCTGCCTTGAATAGACCAATTCGGCTAACTCAATGTTGTACCCAATTCAAACCCTTTGGGGTTAAAACGTTTTGTTTCAGGAATTTCCATGTCATTTAAATGTGAATGCCACATTATAATGCAAATACAATACACAAAGAATCTTAACCCCCGGAGATTTGAATTGGGTACAACATTGAGTTAGCCGAATAGGTCTATACATCGACCAACCATTCAAAGCTTGTACCCATTCTCCCTGTTTCTGAATCATCTCATCCTTGTAAAAATGCCGTCTTTTTTGTTTCTTAAATTCGACGTGCAGTTTCAACAAACCTCGTTTCAAAAGGCCACTTACTTCTGTTCCTTTGCTGCCTGTATCACCAGGAGGACCCATTGGCCCAGTAGATCCCTGAAAGAAAACCGATAGAAAATACATTTAAAAGAGATATACCACAGCTAGCTCTCAGGACACGCACCACGTAAAAAAGACATTAACAAACACGAAACATTGAAGATTCAATGAAACTGGTTATTTGGTCATATATAGCGGAGCTCTTGCGCGCAAAACGTGCGGAGCACCATGGGTAAGAAAATTTAGTTATCTGCCCATCCGAGAAAATTTGGTTATGACGTCAGCGTACTCCCTCCGTCCGACCGGACAGCTCTTTGGAGGTGAGGGAAGGGAATCACAAGTGTCAGCCCGTCGGGGGAGGAGTATGTTATGGCTGAGGTGAAATTTTTCATTTCCAGCACCTCGCTCGTTTCGGCGGTAAATTACACGACCGCCCGGGCTTTTAGAGGAAAAAAAAACAATACGAGTCTTTCTTTCCACTAAATTTTAATGTCTACATCAACTTAGATAACAGGGAAAGAGTTAAGAGCAAGAAATAAATAACAACGGAGACTAATTTCGTTGGAAAAAAAAAACATGAAAATTATATAGCGGCGGTTAGAAAATGAGAAATGCTAGCGGCTACCAAAGTGAAAATGAGCGGAAGGGAAAAAAAAACAGAGTGAAAAGGAACACAAACATTTCCTCCATAAAACGCGTAAATAGGAAGCTAAAAGAAGTTTCACGTTTTAGTCGTGCAAAACAAGGGAAAGGAAATGTAAAAAAAAAAGTGTACTGCACGTGCAAAGTTGTTTTTTGCTAATTAGATCTATTGTTGTTGTTTTTACCGTTCTCGTTGCTTTCAACTTGTCTTTAGTGTTACTCGATTTTATATTATCTTTGAGGAATCTATAAATATTAAAAAGAGCTTCGCTTCGTTTTTAACCCCTGCTAAATCTATACATTATTACAGTACTACTAGACTGCAACAAATTACCTACCATGTTACCCTTGAGCCCGGGGCTACCATCCTCACCCGGGAGGCCTGGTTCCCCAGGCTCTCCGACCTCTCCAACAGGTCCTTCAGGCCCCTGCTCTCCTGTTGGACCTATCGGTCCCTGAGGACCTTGGGGTCCACGATCTCCCTTATTTCCACCTCTTCCAGCAGGGCCCTGTTCTCCTGACTCCCCAGGTAAACCCTATAATAGATAAATAAGCTTGAATTATATGTCACAAGTGACTTGCAGACGTGTACATCACGATGATAGCGTTGTGATAAAAATTGACCAGAAGCTGTAGTCTGCCCACTATTATTCGCAAACTGTAGGACTGTGTCAATTTTCAAAGACAGGAATAACACTTAGGGGCTTTCTATCCAGCCCACAAATCCGTAAATTTCAGATAGAAATCAAATGGAATGGATTTTTCCGGTTCAGTCCGACCGGAAATATTCGAGACCATCTTTGAAGGTTGTCCACTTTAACTGGTCCAGTCAATTCATTAGTTCGTCCCTTTCCATTTGACAAAATTGCTGACCCGAAAACCGTTCTTCGGCATCCTGCTTTTTTTTTTTGAAAGAACAATAACAAAACACGCGGTGGCTTGGGTCGGGTCTGTGTAACCGTAATGTACCATTCCACTGTGCACGTGAAATTTCAAACCAGAATTATTGTTGAATGGAAAGTGCCCCTTGCTTCATTCTACTTTATACCAGCGGATGTAGCCATGTATGTGCTGTATTCTTGTCGCAAGAGATTATATACCTCAATGAAAAACTATTTTAAAGCTCTCTCCTGGCAACATCTTTTAACTTTTAAACTTAGATCCATAAATGAGTAGAGACAGGTGCTTACCGCTGTCCCTTCCCGACCTTGTTTGCCCTGCGCACCCTGTCTACCCTGTTGAAAAGAGAGAGGACGTCAAACTCCATACACAGTATTAACCAACTAAAGTACATGTTGCTGACGTTATGGAGTTTTTTGCTTACAATTGGACCTGCTTCGCCAAGAACTCCAGGTCGTCCTCTGGGACCTCGTTGACCCTAAGGAAAGCAAACAAAGTAGGCCACAACTCTAGACAAAAAATAAAGTCAACGAGATAATATTTGTTACTAGAATTTTTAGTCGATTTTAAAAAATTTAATAAACTGGAAGCTTGCTTTTTTTTAAGAACCCTTTTTTCACGTGAACGTTTGTCAAATTGTGAGACTCTCGATGATTTTATTCGTGTGAAAGTGGTTTCATTCCGAAAAAATACTTCACACCTTCAAAGATTCACTGTAAATTTCACCCGTTGAAATTTTTTTCTCGCTATGATACCAAAAACGTTTACATCGTGTTCAAGCTGGGAACCCTAAATACATGTATAATAGTTTCTTATATTTTCAATACAACGCCACCTACATTATAAACGTGCTAATTCAAAAAATATATAAATAAATAGCAGGGTTAGAAATCATGTTGGTATTACTCACGTCTCTTCCATTACGTCCAGAAGTCCCTGGCTGCCCGAGAGTTCCCTGCAAAAATGACACAAATAGCTTTTAGTATCCTGGTGGCTTAAAGCAGGATCCTGCCGTGAGCTACAACCTAAGTACTTCGGTCCCAAATTAAAACACGAGAGGGCGAATAAAAAAAATTATTGCGGGAGTGGCTTTAAATATGTTTGTCGTAATATACAGTGTGTTTCAAATACTTTGATTTCTAAAAGATCCAAAAACTGTGACAGAAAAAGCCAATTGTGATAAAGGGTTACTAAGAAAACTAAAGAGAACTAAACTGTCTTAGTGGCTGTCCACAGTGCCGATCGCCTGCACGTACCGGCACAAAATGGCATTGCGCTCACACCTTGAGCACTCGATATGTAACTGTGCACATACTTACTCCTTCTCCCCTTGTCAGACGCCATTTTGAAACATGGACTTAGCTGGAAATAGAAAGCGAGTACAGAGTCTCGACCTTATACTCGGGCACCGGTGTGTTTACATTAGCGTCCAGCGAGTACCATACTCGGGCACCACGCCTCGGCAGCAGTGTGAACGCTGCCCAAGGAAAAAGGTTGTTCAGTTATCTTGCAGGAGCCCATAAAACAGAGCGAACAACTCCCATACTTTTCCTACGTAACGGCGTTTTTACGGACCAGTTTATTTTTAGACACATTTTAGGGCACTTTCTCGCGAAAAGAGAATCTCCACCATGTCTATGAGCGAATTCGAAGTATAAGATGTCAAAAAGGAAAACTAAACGTTATTAAAAGGCAAAAAATATATATCATTTTTACATCTGTAGGTTTTGCTGACTGGTTTTTGGAATTTAAAAGATATTCAAAATTCGCGCCAAAACCGTTCTAAAAATAAACTGGTCCGTGAAAACGCCGTGACGTGTCGAGCGCGTGGAAGTTGCTTGCTCCGCTTTTGGCTTGTTAATTACAAAATGGGATGGCAAAAAGAAGAAAACGACCAAACTTGAATTAAAATAATGCATACCCGGGCTCCTTTTGATCCCTTGTCCCCTTGTTCTCCTTGCTCTCCTTGTTCTCCCTGAAAATCAATTGTTACAAGGCACACTAAGTATGACACCTGTTTTGACTGATTTAGGGCCAGCGGTTACTTTTTAACGCTTGTAACCAGGGACTTTTATCCGCCCTGCTTGAAACCTTCATTCGAAGCTTAGTTTATGTATCGTTATCAGTGTCGGATATATCTTTACCGTCAGTTATGTGATTTTAATTTTTTTTCGTTTATTCCTTCAGTTTATTTGTTCTATACTACACCTTTCCTTATATTTCTATTTATACACGGGTTATTATTCAGTTTACAGAACATTTATATCACAGTGATGAGGCAGGGGCACCCAACGATGATTACCTCCTAAATACGTTGAAAACACATTTTAGCCTGTCCGGAGTACTTTTAGATCTCTAGAAATACATTCAAAGCGGCGCTATAAAATTTGTATCTGTTTGGTCATCACTTACAGTCTTTTCGAAATTATTAGGGCTTCAGTATTATTTTCCCGGAAGTTTTAGGCGCAATTGATCGCTTTACGAACCTGAGAATTTGTCTGACTCCTATCTCAATCACATTTTTGAATCCGAAAATTTTAGGTTTCCCGTTTCTACGAAAAACAGCATTACTTGAGGAGTAAAATGTCAAAAATTAAGCTTCAGAAAATGGTAGGAAATTTATTAAATAAGTTTCGAAAATTGTACATGAATGGAACAGCCATCTAGAAATTTGAAATTTAGAAATTCTATTAATACAGCATTAGTACATACCCTGTCTCCTTTTATCCCCTGTAATCCACGAAATCCAGCCAGTCCACGTGGACCCTAATCAAAACAATAAAACCACGATCTGGTACCTTTGCAGACGCACGTATGCTTATTTATAAGATTGTAATCTGGATATGTAACAACATTGACCTCCTGGATTGCAAACTAAATTCTGATTGTATTCACTCACCGATTCTCCTGGGTCTCCTGCTTCGCCTGGATCACCCAGAAGCCCTGGCGCTCCCTGCAGAAAGAGAAAATATCATTGGGGCCTTTTTCCTTACTGCGGTAAAATCGCAGTTCGCCTCTACACAATCCATAGTTTTCCACTATGGTATTTCTAGAACCTTTGGGGGTAACTACTATAACCAGTATTTTACCTCATAAAAACAATTGACCTAACATAACTAAATCTAGCAACCAAAATGGTCCTAAACAAACTGACAGCTAAAACTACTGTTTGGGAAGTGTTTGGAAAATTAGCAGCTATAATCTAACTAGGTAATCTCGCAGTCGTTCCATTGGAGAATAATGCACTTTCCTCAAAGACATCGCCAGAGGATTAAGATAGAGGACTTACTCAGATCTCGACAAAGAGATCGAGTATAGTACACATAAAAACATCAGCTTTCTCCCACATTTTCTGTGGAAAATAAACAAGCTACAGTCTTTACCACGCGATTCCTTTAGTGGAGTCTTCTTAGATGTGGTAACGTAAGTCTAAAATTAACTAAACGAGAACCTACATCTTGTCCACTTCGGCCTCTTTTTCCAGGTAGCCCTGGTGTTCCGGGAGTTCCCTGATTCAAACAAAATTTCAAACAATAGTGTATTTTAGCCACTGTAGTATGAAGTGCACCCCTACTCACATTATCTGATTACAAGTTGATCAAAATATGCGGAAGAGTCTAACAGAGTAGTTGAAGTAAGTAGTGCCATAGTACGATTTAATCATTGGGTTTTTCAGCATAGCTATGGTCATAGCAAGTCATTAAGAAACATTCTGCAAGGCTCTGAGATAGCGCAAGAGCATTTACAAGATAATTTTAGGAGAGTTTTAAGACTTCTAGAAAGTCCCCGAGTTTACAAAAAAAAGAACTTGAGACAAAAAGCAATTCACAAAAAGACACGGAAATTTGTAATCGGAGATAAATCGTTAACTGGGTGCTTTTTAAAAGGGAAAGGGAAAAGGAAGATTTTTCGCTAGTCAGAAATAAAAAACGACGCTCTCATCGTTTTCTAACTGCGATGTGCATCCGAACCGAACCAAATGGTATTTAAAATACGCCACTTCTTAGCGCCATTTTGAAACACACTTAGCAGCTTCTGATATGAACTTATTACGTCCAACATGAACTTGGAGAGAGGCTGCTACGATAGAAGAGATTTGGGAAATGCAAAGCAGTGGCTCGAACATTCTTAGTTTCGTTGCAGCTTCTCTCTAGTTTAAGGTGAAACGGGATTTGCCTAGTCCCTAGGCCTCATTATTCCGCGCGGCTTATGCGTTTCGGATAACGTGATCCGAGCGAGTTTTTTTCTAGCGGCCGTTCGTCTCGGATACCGGTTACCAAAATGTATTGACCGAGAAGGTCTCGGAAGACGCCGTAAAGGGATTAGGCAAGAACGAGATTACGACACAGCAGAAGGTAAAGCTGTTTAGCTTGATCTGGCTTGATCAATATGGCGACTCATAATGCTACGCTTAGCCCCTCCTGGAAGCCTCGGGAACAACTGACAAGATTGAGTGAAAGAACAGTCCGAAAAGGCAGCAGAAACAATGGACCATAGCTTTGAAACAATAAAGCTTCGCGTCTGGAAGAACGAATGAATTTAAAGGTTTCGAAGAGATTCTTGACAGCAGAGTGAGAGGACGACTAGCGATCAGTAACTTTGTCATCTTTGAATCTTATTGCTTCCAGTTTCTTAGATAGCCGGGAGTGTCAACGCGGAATGCTGTGAGTTTTTCACTCAAAACTGTAGGTCACAAACTTGGTAATCATAAAAAATATGACAATTTTTCCATCCAAATTAGAAATTACAAAACAAAAAACAAAACAAAAAAATAATAATAATGATCAGATTGACCCATGTTAGTTATGCTGAATCAACTCACCGCTTCTCCAGGTGGGCCTGCTTCTCCCACTGTTCCTTGCTTTCCAGTTTCACCCTAAGTTGAATCCATAAATTAACAAGACGTTAAGGTGGATTTGCACTGTTGCATAATTTTTCGTGTGTACACATGTTAATCTTTCGCGAGTAAATGAAATAGAGACAATAGTCCAGTTTCGAATTAAAAATTACCGCTGAATACAAATATTAATGGTACATTTATACAGAATTAGCCACAATGTAAAGTAAAATATTCAGAAATTCCGGCAAGTAAGTGTTTGATATTTGAATATACAATAGACAGAGTGAAAAACAGGTCTTTTTCTCGTTGGAATTTGTGAATATATTACTTCAGATGGAGGTTAACCCTGTAAAAAATGCGTCTTCACTTCTTTCAGAATTCAGCGGTCATAGCGAACTCGAAACTGGACTATTTATGAAAAGCTGCGCGTAAACGTGAAAGTTGAATCTCGCTCAACGGTTTTTACATTTACGCGAGACCTTTCATGCAGTTCCCTCTGGGAAATGAGATAATATGGGAAAACTGTACCGTTGTTAGCTTGAAGAAGGTATCATGAAATTTGCCAACATTCAGAACAATGGGAGCTGCCATCAAATTGATTAAAATATAGAAATAACTGGCGCTCATAACATTTTAAATAGGAATAAATAGCACAGAAAATACAAAAGGAAACATGGATGGACAAACTTGTAGAAGATTTAAACGGATTGCAATTATGGTTTTTGAAAACCTGTTGAGTAAAATTATGCAAACTAAGCGTACCTCGCCGCTTGCGATCTACTTTGTCTCAAAAGGAAGATAAGAGAATGCTCGCAGTTCAAAAGTTTAATTTTGTTGTTGGTAATTGTTTGATATAGTGCTTGGGAGACATTTGTTTGACACGAAGCTGCGATTTGACATTTACAAGGAAGTTTTGTTTTACTTTCGTAGCGATCAGGGACGCATAAGTGGCATTATTTAGAAACTAAACTAGATAGCCATGACACAGCCCATTTAAATTCCATCTCAAACTGGCGAGTACTCAGGAAATGGTAACAGAGAGGTTAAGCATCACGTTTACTTCAAACGGCAAACGCAAATTTGTAACACGTGACCAACTGAGCATCCCCATTAATGTCTTTCACGGTTCATTATTTCTACACTTAAATTAGTAGTTTCACGCAATTCCGCTTATTTTCTGTTTTGAGAAATTCCCAACTTGAATCTGACGTTTGCCGTTTGCTGTATACGTGAAGCTTAAACTCTCTAATATATAAGGCAGCGATCTTTCTAGGCCTTACTAAAAAACAAAAAGAGTTCACTTACATCAGCTCCTCTTCTACCGGGAGTGCCCATCGTACCAACGGGACCCTGAACGAAAGCAAAAAAAAAAAGGAAAGGTCAAACAAAAGAGATACTAAATCGGAAGAAAATGGAAACGCACTTCAACATATTTTAATTAAGCAAAAGTTTCTTTACTTTGCTGATTGACTATTGTTCTATAGATACACAAGTAACTTTCGGAAGCCTGCGTGGCAGTCGCCAAAAGGGAAGGGAGGAAGGAAAGAAAAAGGTAAAGCAACTATATTTTACGTCGATAACTCGTGACAATAATAACTGATAAACTTGAGGTCGACGATGCGCTCCAGTTTTACCCCCTCTAAACATCAATGCTTCGTTTTAAGGGTGTTTGAAGTTACTTCAAGCTACACAGAAGGGAGAGAAGTTGAAACAAGGATGATCACCGGGAATCGAACTCGGGACCTCACGCACCGAAGGCCGCGAACTAATCAACTGCGCCACCCTTGCTCCTGCAAAAAAATCAAAAGCAATCTCTTTCGCTTTTCCCTTCCTCCTCCCCCTTCGACGCCTGCCACACATACAGGCTAAACTTTCGGCAATGATGATAACATTGTGCAGGCCTGAAGGATGACACTTGGTAAGTCAAATTTTACAAGACATAAACTATCAAGGCTTTCGCCCTAGCGTTTCGGACAGGCAAACCTTTAACAATTTTTTATTCAGGCAGAGTCTGGTGTCCAAGCAATACTTTTGCCAGATGTTTCTGAAATGATTTTGACTAATTGTAAGCATACTCGTGCTAACTTTGTTTGTCAGATCACGGATAAATTTTCCCTACATTTCTTTAAGACTCCGTACTCTTTCCCTCAACTGACTACTGAAATCATCTCTTGGCCTCGGTAATGTTTCCAAAGCTTAAACAGACTACGAGGCCCGTTTTTAAATAGCACTTCTTGTTTTCTCAAAATATTTAGCAGACTAGGAATCTCAGACGGTCTTAAATCAGTCAGATGACATTAATTCAAGTGGTCGACGGCTGCTTGTTTGAAGGAACAACTTGATCTGATTCTTAATTCTTAGCTGTAACATTAAACATTGGGAAATTTCTCATTGCCGAAAACCTGTAAAGACAGGTGATGATCTCAAGTCTAAAAGAACATTTACGAGATTAATGCCCGGATGGGACTCCAATACAAAAGAAATTTAGATACTCGTCCTACATCCTCCCACAGGCTTTCCTGGGGCTTAGTAGCCAAGTGAGAACTGCGAGAGGGGGATGATGGGAAAGAGTGCAGCGTCGCCTCCGCTTTCCATAATAATTAGATAACTTACGCAACAGGACAGGAGAGGGAAGAAGACGGCAAACCTTGTGTGACAAGAGTGGCAATAATTTTCTTTCAAATAACTTTTCGCCAAACTTCACTTTCCTTTAAAAAGACCTTTTTGTAAAAGACCAGAAAATATTAATGTTAAGTGAAGATCACGACAAAACACGTAAGAAATAGTCCTATCACGTTTGTCACACACGAGCGTTTTGCCGTCCTTTTTTCCTGCCGTCCTGTTGCGTAAACTCACTATTAACTCAAATATCCCCGGAAAACTGATCGAGAGCGACTGGGGACGAGGCGGGATGGTCGTCAAAAAACAGATTAGAAACCCCAAAGCTACGGTAAAAGGGACAACAAAAATGTGCAACTTGTTTCGATAAATTACTGCAAAAGTAGTTGAAAAGCGATGTTGCGCGTTTTACCATCCTCTTTCAATCCTGCCTTGCAACAAATCACTACAGGTTGCTGCAAGTTACATGAATACTGACTTCTGATTGGATGAAATTACATGGGAGTCACGCCCCACGAGGGAGTTTATACGTCAACTCTTGCTGCAAGGCAAGTTTGCCTTTGGTAGGTAAAACGGTCAACATGTACAGATTTTGCTTCGAAATGTGGAACTGTTCTCTACCTTTGGAAAAACTTTTGTCAACCTGTAACAACCTGATTTGTTGCGGGACAGGTGTGAACGTGGGTGGTAAAAAGCGCAAGATCGCTTTTCAACTTGTTTTGCAGAAATGTTGCAAAACATGTTGCTCGTTTTTGTGGCTCAGGCTTTATTTGACCACTAGAGAGTTCATACTCCAACACAATTACCCTTCCCCCCCACGCAAGAACTATTCGGGAATTGTAATTTCCTCCCTCCCCACACACCCCTATGTTAAAACATCTGCATGGGAGGCTTTAACGCAGTATGATGGCGTTTCCTTTTCATAGATGAGAAAACTCTTTATGCACAACCGTGAGCGATATAAGTTTGAGTAGAAATATTGGTTTTCCGTCCTGAACACGGCTAAGTGCGACCAAAATCTGCAATTTCTACCCCTCAGCACGCCCGTGCATTTCTTCTCAGCGTATTGCGTAAATGTCATTGCTTGTTTTAACCCTTTCACTACCAAATGTAGCCAAAGGCAAATTTCGACTAGATTTACAAATTTCATTTTGTAAAATTTTGAAAAACAAATATACCATGTGTAAGTACAGGCAGAGAGCTTTCATTTGAATGGTCACATCATAGGATTTCGTCCACAGACTCAAAAGCTAGAACTACCTACTAAATGAATAGTACCATGTGAAAGTACTGCTGAAGAGGTTTCATTTGAATGGTCACATCATAGGATTTCGTCCACAGACTCAAAAGTTAGAGCCACCTTACAAAACTCCATCAAACACTCTGGCAGTGAAAGGGTTAATAGTTTCTAGAGTTTTTGTGGATTCTTCAAAACAAGCACTAAAGACACTATAATTACGATAAAAATAAAGTATTACCGGGTCTCCGGGAGTGCCTCTCACTTCAACAAAACCAACACTCGGTCCTTTATTGCTCGAGCCCACCTGAAAAAATATAATAAATTCAGATTCGATAAATACATTCTTCGCTGTTCTTGCAAGGGTACCCAACAACCTTTTTCTGTAAAATAACTGTCCGAAGGAGCAAATTAATATTACCTAAAAATTTTTAAAGCTCAAGAAAGGCTGGGTTGCCCTTTCATAGTCTGAGATATTCTGAGTTTTTCTGCTAACTTATCAAAGATTGTCGCCAGTTTTTTTTTTTTTTTTTTTTTTTTTTTTACGATGCATTGCCGAGATATGGCGACTATTGTTAAAAAAAGTCTCCTGAAAACTTCGGTGTTAAGACTAAATGTCCCCCAAAATCTTCTAATGAAATTAAAGTACGGCTACTACATGTCGTCAAACTTTTCATCGGACCCATCAGGGTATACGTACCTGACAACAGTTTAGGGTGAAACGAAAAAGCCGTCTAAAGCTTAATACTTTCGAGACAACCAAAGTTCCCCTAAGAAATCCGAACGGATAAATACCAGGAAGTTTTTAGGGCAGCTCCAAATTAACCAAACAGGCTTCTAAAGCATAGAGTAAACCACCTGAAACACTTTAGACGTATTTAGGAAATTCGGGCGTTGGGTGCCCCTGTTCTTAATCACCGTGATTTTCTTGCCCTGCTGAGATTGCAAAAGGAGCAAAGATCGTCTCTCACATTGAATGGGACCTGGTCACGAGGAAGGGTACCTTCATTTGTTTTCTCCAAATTTTCTGCAGCTAGTTCACATTCGGGAAAAATAATTGCAATTTTCCCTCGCTGTTGCTAGAAAGAATCTTGATATTTTATCGAGTTCGAATAAGATCCAGTCGATTCAAAACTGTTCACACACTTTTTAAAAGTTTTATTTCCTTGGGTTTATTTCTTTAATGTGTTTCTTTGTGTGTGTCTTAATCACAGCAATAAAGATCAATCAAGTAGAAAAGTAGTCTCTCCCTGAGAAACCGTCAAATAAAAATATGAATAAAATGATCACTCACTACGTCCGGCGGTAGAGGTAAAGGCCCGGCATCTGGTCCCCCTCCATTAGTGATATTAAACGTTCTACCTGGGGGACCTGGGAGACCACGGAGGCCTGGACGTCCCTTCACTCCTTTTGGTCCCAGACCTCCTTGTGTACCCTACAAAGTAAACAACACAATTGCTAAGCATACTGACCAAAAACGTCCAGACGCATGATAGATCCTTTGCAGCTAGTCACGGCCGTAGTAAAAAACCGTCACGACACAATGGGACAAGACAAACAAAGGGTTACAATACTCGTCAAAAATCTTGAAACACTTGTGTCTGTTTCCCCTTTCCTAATGTTGATTTGGGTATCACAGTGGTCTCTGTACTTCAAAATACGCGTGGCTCAACATTGGGGAGGGAGAAGGCACATTTCAGGGGCGGAAACCAGTATGAAGTATAAATCTCAGGATTGTTCCAGAAAATTCGGGAAAAACGGTGTCTGTTTCAACGATTTGTGACGAGTATTGTAGCTGCAAAGGGCCTATTGAATACGTAAATGAAAATTTATTCTACAGATTTGAGGTATCTAGGGAAGAGAAAAGTGTAGGAAATGGCTTCCAGAAAACCAGAAAATGGAAAAATAGAGGTAACATACCACACCTGTGGATCCTAATAAACATGTAGTTAATTTAGTAGCTTTCTTACTTAGGTAAATAGGCTGTTTAGACTTTCAGGTCTGTTTTGTAATGTTTTGCACGTATTAATTAGTTGAATTAGTACTTAAATTTAGACTAATAGCTTTTGCAATACTGTAATTCCTTTATGGTCATGCAAATAAAGCATTTGGTGTTGTTGTTGTTGTTGTTGTTTGAAGCTGACGAGGTAAGACATGATACAATAATCCCCTTCACAGAGGTTCACGCTGGGTTTTCCAATAATTATACTAGTACATAAGAAATTTCTGCAATTTGATTGGCTCAGAGCAATGGTATTTCAGCTTAATTTGAAATACCTACATGTGAAAATTACAAATCTTTTGCGGGTAGTAGTATAAACAAATAATAGCATGATTTGCTGGTGATATTTGGCATAAATACCACTCGGGATATTTCAAAATTGCCTCAAATTTCGTATTACGTATAACAATTTTGAAATATCACTAGTGGTATTTATCCAAAATATCACTACAAATCATGCTATTGCCAATACAAATAGCCTTAATCGAAAAATCGCAAACGCGCGGGGGAGGATGGGAAGAGGGAGAAGGCGGGACCCTCTTATCATCTCTCTCCCCTTCCCATCATCCCCCGCGCGATTTCTTTTTTCGTCTCTCTCTAGTCTCTCCAAGACACAAAGTTTTGATCAAGATTGCGACTTTCATTACCCACTAAGATCAATGTAAAGTAATGACGCCTCGTTAACGTTTCTACACCTGGCCTCAAAAGTGACCCACAGACTCTTGGTAGCTGGTACCTGTCCCCTTCTTGGTTCAGCTGTGGTTCCTAACGCATGCCGATGTAGATGCCCCTCTGCATTTAAACCAGCATCGTATCAAGAATTTCTCGCATTTCTCGAGTGGGGTGATTTTCACGCGCGCTCACATTTAGCTTTGTCCAGGTCGATGAACTGGGGCCCATTTCGTGAATGCTTTTCGAGCCCGAAATCAAATATTCACATCAAAATGTAGGAGTTAAAAGCACAAGTCCCCGTTAACAAACAAGTTATATAGTTTTATTATTTTGTCTGAAAAACTACTAAACTTCCACCTTGAATGTAAACAACAACAGCTTTCCGGGCCCGTTAATTATCGGAAGAAACGGACCCTTGGGCAGAGATGATCAAAAGTCGAATGTTTACATAACAACTCCTATTCTCCGTTTACAGTTAAACCGCAGTATTTTCAACTGTTAAACGCCTTGGAAGACGATGTTTTGGCGAAGACAGTAATCGATTATTCGCTAGAGCCCCTGTTAGAGAGACTGCAAAAGTTTGGGGTAAAAACGATTAACCAGGTAAAAAAAAGGGTAATTTATTGGCAATGTTCTACTTGTGTCGTTGTACTGGAAAATTAAAGTGTACCAGTGCTTGTGATAGCGCATATACACGATCTTTACATCTGATAGAATTGGCAGCGACAGGAGCCAGGTAATCGACTCCTAACAACGAGTGTTGCTGCTTTCGCAGCGAACTTGGGTAACGATCGTGAACGACAACCTTGTCATTTGACTGCACTTGGGCAACACCGACAACACGTCGTTTTCATATCGGGCAGCGAGTTCGGGTCAGAGCCGAAGAGACAAAGAGCGTCAGGGAGTTTAAGTAGCGACGTTTTTGAGCGACAAACGTCAACCGGAGGTGGACTTTTTGCACTCTTGAGCGATGATTTTGAACAAATTTTTGGGCAAATGGTCTCTATAAGAGTAAAGACACTTAGCAATACAAATATGGTAGCGTTACTGGGGGCATATAAAAAGAGAAAAAGGACAACTTCCGGTTGCCGTGCGTCGCTCAAAAACGTCGATTCTTAAACTCACTTTGGCATATCGCAACCACCACTGACAAAAACTCGCAGATACCCGTCGGGTGTCCACGACGTAAAAAATCTGATCAAGAGCTATTAGGTATACATACATTTGTCCCTGGATCACCTATCTCGCCAGGTAAACCCTTCGGACCTGTATCTCCCTGAGAATAAATATCAAGCAACGTTATTGATTACACTAAAAGAATTGTTCAGTGCATCAAACCTGTGATCTAATGGCGATGGTATTTCAGTGATAAACTGGGGTCTGCGCACCAAAACAGGACGTGCATTACGAAATTCCACACCGGCTAAGTATTGAGTGCCTTTAGCTCGTCAGAGCGAAGCCAATCCACCGAAGCAACACCTCCGTTTCTTTAGAAGCTAAACCTTCAAACCCCCTTGGTAATTTTGTTAATACGTTCAGATTATTACTTTTTTAACAAACACAGTGTTCATGCCTACATTTCTCTGCGTGAAATACTGAAAAACAAATAGTCCTCTCCATAGTTGATTTCTCATGTGGGGCCCACGGAATTGACTTTTGAGACAAGGGAGGTAAGGTTTGGTAAAGTACCTAGTTATTAAAGCAAAAATACCACTTGGATAATAACTTTTCTTTTCTTACCCGTGGGGCCAGTTTAAATATTTTGCAGGACAACAAAACTAGTAATGCTAAGAAACTGAGCTAAAAGAGAAACATCGAATTTGGAAGCAGGGTAATACAAGCTTACAATACCTTGGGTCCTTTTGGTCCAGGATCTCCTGGTGGTCCGATCTGGAGAAATAGAAGACAATTAAATAATCATCACTATCGCTGGAGAGTTTTCACATGACGTCACGGCGGCCATATTAGAGACCTTTAAATTCGAGGACCAGAACGACCACGAGGACAGGATTTGGCTTAAAGTTTTTGCGCGTATTCTCAAAACGTTAACACCCAGAAAAGCTTCATTGTACCTTTTTTCACCATAGAAGTTAGCACTGTTATCTTTATTGAAAGAGGTAAAGTCCTCCCCCGGTCCCCAAATAACAAAACCTTTAAAGGGAACCTCCACTTCAACAAAAAGATAACTTTAAATCACAGGAAATAACTGTTACAGTCAAGTCAATCTAAAATATTTTTAAAGAAAGCGTTTCTATCCGAAAGAAATAACTTTTAGATTCGCCTATTTTTGTTTTCAAATTTTGCGGGCGTCGCCATCTTGAATAATTGTGACGTGTTATGGTTGCCCTATTGTTATTAAACAAAAGCTCTTTGTGTCAGAACAATAGAGCAACCGTAACACGTCACAATTATTCAAGATGGCGGCGCCCGCGAAATTTGAAAGTGAAAATAAGCGATTTTAAAATTCACTTTTCCTGATATAAACACTTTTTTTAAGGAGAAATTTCGAACAAATTTGTTTATCAACATAATTGTATTCGATTTAAACTTATTCTGTAGTAAGAGTGGAGGTTCCCTTTAACATTTGATTACTTGTTTCCGTCACCACGACATTGTTGCAAAAACCAGTAGTAGAATGACGACGACTATCACGTTCCCACCCCCTCCCCACCCTAAAACCCAAAATGGCGCTGGTTCACCCGCAAGCGCTACTTAGCATTGAGAAAATATCATTCTCGTAGTCGTACTCGTCTTCAAGAATCTAAAGGTCTCAATTGGTGTTCAAAAACATGAAACGGTGGCCATGTTGGTATTCCAAAGCAATCCTGTGCATATGTGAGTTGAACTTTTTTCTTTTTGTAAACGCTTTCTTTTGTTTCAATAGATCTGCATAGATGCTAGCCACGTGAGTGAAAACGCTCTTTTCAAAGAGCTCTTGTCCTAAGGCCCGTGCAGCATGGCGCAACAACATCTAACTTTGTTGGCTTCGACGGCTGAAAGAACAAATCTCTAAGTCACTAAATTGATTTTTGTTGGTTTTAATCAGGTGCCGCGATCTTGGTAGAATGAGCCAGTTCGGCTGATATTATCAGCCCATTTTACTGTGTCTTGCAAAGCTAGTACAGTGGAACCACGATTTAACGAATGGCAAAGGGACTGACCAAATTTGTTCGTTATAACGAGGTTTCGTTATATCGAGGTTCTTTTTCATATATTTTACTATTATTGGGACAAAGAACATCGTTCGTTATACCGAGGACTTCGTTATATAGAGGTTTGTTAAATCGAGGTTCCACTGTAAATACAAATCCTAAATAGACCTTTTTACCGACACGGCAACCATATTGAATTTATTAGATTTAAGGAGTATTATGGGATGCTCGGGGGGGCACTCGCTCCGTATTTACGCGCGCTTTTCGGATAAAAAAAGAACTTCAATGTATATTTCTCGGGAAAAAGGCGATCATTATTAAATCCAAACACGGCACAACGATCTTTTTAACCCATTACAATCTTTTTTTAGAAAAAACTTTTTAAAAAAATTGGCCCGAAAAGCCCGCGTACATACTGACGCGAGTATACCAGATCGTGCTTACTGTATGCTCCCTGGGCATCACAAAATACTCCTTAAATCCAAATTAATTTAATATAGCCGCCGTATTGGTAGAAAGGTCTATCAACTTTTGGATGTACTCACGCGTATAGGACCAACAGGAGAAAGTGACGGAGTAGTTGTCGGTTCCTCGGTGGTCGTCGGAGGTGGGGTGGTTGTCGGAGGCGGAGTTGTTGTCGGTTCCTCGGTGGTCGTCGGAGGCGGAGTTGTCGTTGGCTCCTCGGTGGTTGTCGGTGGCGGAGTTGTCGTTGGCTCCACGGTGGTCGTCGGTGGCGGAGTTGTTGTCGGTTCCTCGGTGGTCGTTGGTGGTGGAGTGGTTGTAGGTGGAGCTGTAGTTGTTGGGAGGGGAGTAGTTGTTGGTGGCGCGGTTGTGGAAGGAGCTGAAAGTAAAATGAAGCAATAAATAATAATAATAATAATAATAATGATGATGATGACGATGATAGCGTTGATGGAAAGTAGAGTAGTCGGTAGTCGGTAGCCGGTGGAGGGAATGTGG